GAAACAGTAGCGAACTTAATATTTGCTGATTTTACATATTTTATCTGCAACGAAATCGGTTACGTAATACATTGCTAATTAAAATTAAGAGTATTTAATTAAAGATTAAATGTAGGTCGAATATTGAGATAATCCCGAATATTAAATAATAATTCTGAGATGAGTTTTCCTTTAAGATTCAACATGGAATAAACCAAAATAAATAAACAATTGTAGCTTCAAGATAAGACAATAGCTTGAATAGTGTAACATGTCTATTCGATTAACTCATAATTTTTCGTGGTCTTTCAAGAATGAGAAAATTGAACGTCATCTTTCGCCGAGACTTCTTAATGTTCGACGTTAAATATTTTCGCTTCAGGGTAGAACTAATCGTTTAATGAACGCAACGGGAACATGGAAAAGCGGCAAATGCGATTTTAATGCGGAGTCACACGGCCCACCCGTGTTTTCCGCAGGTGTGTCCTTAACGATCTCGCCGAATGCCTCGCGGGTAACTTCGCGGGGAGCTTATTTCGCGTCGCATTAGCCCTAGAGTGCTGCACCGGACGACGACCAAGCTTATGCGCGTCTGTGACTCTCTAATAACGCGAAATCTTCAAACGACACGCCATAGACTGCAAGACAAATTCAATTTTTTCATGTGCAAATATTACAAGAATACATTCTGTAGTCTATTTTATATGACGGGAGAAGAAAAGTGATACTCTTAAACCGTTTCTTAAAATGAACATTATACCGGATTCTAAATGAAACGGAAAGTGTAGGTTTCGCATTGCGTACGCGCTAACGACGCGTCCCCCCTGACCCCTTCCTTTCCTTTCCTTTCTTCTCCAAGCTTGCTCCTTAATGCAGAGCGACCGACGCTCTTTTCTTTCCAACGGCGAATAGGGAGACACGAAGTTACCCAGCACCCTATTCGAGGCTAAAAGGATTCGGCAATAAACAACGGTGAGTCTCAAAATTAGGCGTGGGTCGCAATCTACATCGAAACCCCCAGCGGTGGTAAACTCATCGACCTCGCCCTGCTCGCCGAAAATCGCTACGGGGCGAGTAGCCAATGGATTAGCGATGTTAAGGCAGGAGGAAAAGCGAGGAGTATAGGGGAGCTTTCTCGCGCTGTTTTCTCTCAGTGATCGCGGAGTGTCCTTTTAATTTTGATAACCAACGATCGTAAATATCACCGTCGTTGACGTTTATTGGCGCGCTAAATAGCTACCGCGCGCTCTCGTCCTTCCTTCGCTCTTTATATTAATTTTGAATACTCTCCATGAGATCGTAGCTCTAAAACGAATCGTGCGTCGGATAATTTCATAAATAAATCGAAGAATACCGTATAATTTGCGGTGTGAAAGGCGATACAAGCGTGAAAATTGTTCCTTATTTTCTTCGTGATTGATGAACACTCAATTTCTCACGAAAACTGAACCATTCAGACATTTTGCAAAAATCGCCTCTACAACTGTTTAAAAATTTCTTGAGAGGCTTCACTTTCTCGACGAACACTTCGGCCCGAGAGGACCGACCAACCATTCTCGGGTTCGTCGCGAAAGGACGAGAGCTCGGATCGGCGACGAAGACGTGACGGTGGGCGCGCAAGAAGCGCGGGCAAGTGTATCTAATTACCCGTGGCGTTTACGTCAACGTTTACCGTGATTTACGACAAAATTGTAGCGACGACCTTCGGCCGAGGTGGACGGGTTCGTGGGGAGAAATGCAGAGCGAGAGAGAGAAAGAGGGGGAGAGCGGGGAGCCTTTGAGCGAGCGGTTCGCGGCTAAAAACTCTAAAGGATTCGGTCATTTATCACGGCAGGCGCTGGCCGCGGGGCAACGAGGCAACAGCAGGGAGGGAGGGATACAATCCACCGGACAGACTAATCGCGGACTAACTATCCACATATTATCCACAATAATTCCACGTTATACCGGGAGGAAGGGTAGCCCCCGGCCGTTCTTGCGTATCGGGACCGACGACGAAACGCTTCGTCACGTTTCGCCGCTTGACCCGACCGATCCTTGTCACGCCTGGCGACGTGTCCTGTTCTTACTGTGTAAAAAGACGGTAGTGGGATGAGACGGATTGGTTCGGACCTGACGATGTGAAATACCATCGGTTACTTTTTGAAGTATTCTCTGGCAACTAAAATGGGAATATCGGGAAAAAATGAAATCGATCTCGAGTATAAAGCACAGCAGCTGTTCAGAGAGGATAGACACCCATAAGAAAAGGAGGAAAAGAGTGGAATGGATTGCTCGCTATCGTATTAGAGTCGCAAATTTCAGAAAAGAATTCACTCCAGAAACGTCAAAAATCCGACGATCTCGTTATTCACCGTTCGCGAGTGGACCAGAAGAGAGCGCGCATTGGCTGTCGAGATGCACACGCAGTAATTCGCGCGAGAGCATTTTTGCGCAGCGCGCGCGCGGCCGCGCGCTCGCGTAAATATACGCCGGTGGGTGGGCTACAATTTTGAGGTTTGTCGCGCGTAAATAAAGTGAGCTCGACCGTGGAAATTAATTAGTGTACCAAAGGGCAAAATATATAGGGAAAATTGGGAACGCTCACTTTGCAATTTAATTGGGTATTCATTTAACCATGCCTACGCCGCGTATAAGATTTGCATAATAGCGCCGGTACTAATTAGCTCGCTAGCGAGCACATGTAAAGCGATTTATTAAATAACTATGTAATTCGCAACGCGAATTGCGGTATCATAAGTTTTTGCTGCCCGCCCCTTCTCCCCTCCCCTGACCACCACCCCCATGCGATTTCGCATTGCGTAATTTATTCATGCAAGTACTAACATTTAACGATTAACTCGAATTTTCGCCCGTAAATTCGAAATTAGCGAGATTGTAACGGAAAGGCAAACAGGACGGGGGCACTTCGTTTAGATTCCGCGAAATTTCATAAAAGGCGATTTGCTAATGATAGAATTATTAAATACGTTACGTTAAATTTGCCGCGGACAGGCGCACGCACAGATGCTTATTTGCGAAAGGGAAAAGATTGCAACGCTCGCTCCCTATCTTTGAAACGATTCGTAAAGCGGTAGAGAAAAATAACGGATAAATTATCTCGTGAATCGCGGAGATAATAATTTAATATTATTAAAGTTCATTTCATGCCAATAACTCGCGTGTATCGAAACCGCGATAAAGGGCTATCGCGCCCGTTCACGAGCCCGTAGTTATATCGGACGACAATTGGGACATATGGAGGATCATTGAAGGAGTACGTGTTAGGGCACACATAAAACGCCTTCAAATTACAGAGTGGGCCGGAGTCCATCCATCACAACTGGGGCCATGGGACTTACGGTCCCAGTGCGCCGCCCCAACGTTTAAGTCGTTAGCAATTTCCTGCACGGGACTATTTTCGGGCCCAAATTCCATATGGCCCGATAATGCACGATAATACCGCCGATTAGGAGGTCGATGCGATGATTTCTGACTTTCTTCGATGATGATGTGATGACGAAGAAATCTCAACGGTTCCGAAGCGACGTTCTCGATCAATTGAAATATCAACTTTTCTTTTTTGCGATCGTAAAAATGTCAATGCCTCTGAGAAAAAAAAATTATTTTTCAAAAGCATTAATAACATCTTTGTCTAAAGTCGTCTTGATGATTGTGGTCTTGAATGCGACTTTAATACATATTTAATTCTAAGAAAAATTAATGATTTGGTTATCATCTTTTCATATTATGTTATGACAATAAAAGTTCCACTCTTAAACGTGCATTTTATTGTCACATTGGTTTCTATAGTTTCATAAGTTTATTGAAAGAGATAACAAGACGCGCAGGTGCGATCCTGATTTTACCGACGTAAAATATGGGTTATTGTTCTGGATTACCCAGCACCAGATGGCGGTAGTCTACAGACATAGCTATTGTGTGAAACATTTAGCTCTCATGGTAACGAGCGCTTGTTCGTCGGTAAGTCCTCGTACGAACGAATAAGCAACCGATGATAACTGTGAAGTGACGATTTGACCGATTATACATGAATATTGAATGCAGCTGTGGTAATGCGTACGTATGTACTCAAAACGCAACGGTGTGTATAAATAGTTCAAATTCACTATAAAACAAATTTAGTATCAAACAAAATAATCATGAGATATAAAATGAAAAATCAGTTTGATAATAGGAATAAAATTCAATTAATAATATATCTCATTGTTCTGGATAATTATGAAATATGATTTTAAGGCACAATATTGCAATACGAAAGTAGAGGGGATAATTCTAAAGGAGTTTTGGGAAAAACTTACGAAGAGCTATTAGAAAAATTAAAATGTGAAAATTAATAGATTCAGCGAAAACTGAATCTCGGAACTTTATTATTGAAGGTATAAAATAGACGTTTCTGTCAGGGAAGAGAGTAAAGAGTCTCTCTCTTTTTTATATATACGTATATTAAATAATTTCTTAATAATCGCAGATATATATATATATATATATATATATATATATAAAATATAATTATTAAATTAGTACAAAATTTATTTTTTAATAAAACATATGCGGTATATAAAATACAAAAGAAATATCCTCTAATTTCATATTGCAAACATTTTGTACGGCAATAAAAATTATATATAAGCCCACAGAAATGTAAACGAATAAATCGGTTATCATTCCTTAGAAGAGCTACTTTTCATACATACTCTATTCCATCAATAATAATTTGATATGTTTAAATACACTATACCAAATACCCACAACTAATAAACCAACCAAATACCCAACACATTTATTTAGCCCTAACCTCCCCCATTGCCACCCCTATATAACTATATAAAATCAAATAAAACATTTTAATAATTTTCGATCATCAGGAATTGAACAATTTTAGGAATTTGATATAATCTTTATATTAAAAACAAATAATCGATCATGTGGTGATTTGTATTCTTCACTCGTGATAACAGTCAATTAGTAGTCAGTTGACCGTTTTAGAGATTATTTCAGCGATCTTTTCTCGGTATCGCCCAACAACTTTGCTTGTATGTATATGAAACCGAATAATTGCAACAGTAATAACCTATGATAACAGGAAGAATATTATAAATTCACAAAATCCACATTAAACATCGACATAAAAAAAGTCGATCTCGCGTTGACTAAAAAACTCAAACGAAAGATGGCTTTCTAAGCCTGGGATACCCTGCATATTATATGAAGACGTTTATTATATGTGTTTTTACTTATACGTGTCTACTTATACGCATATCCTAGCCTCTCTCACGTGCAATTTTGCGTGTCATGTGTCCAACCTATGTTCACATAATCCTTCTCCGAAATAATTTATGAACATGTGACATTCGACTAATTAATTAATTGACATTTTGGAGTTCGCTAGAGCCGGTGGCGTCCGGTGCTTTTTGCAGTTGCGCGCTCTGGAATCTTTCGTAGCCGCCAGCACTCTCGCCGAAGATCTTTCTGCCGGGGATCCTTTCATCTTCCTTGATGTTGACCTCCGTGCCGATCTGCACCGGCCACGGCAGCTTGCCATCGTCATTGCGGATTGTTATGAGATTGCTCACCTTCCGCTCATTGCCCGCATCGAATCCGTCGTTCCGCAGATTCTCCTTCGTCGAGACTTTGACGCGCCGCAAGTCGCCCGAATCTAAATATCCGTAGGGACGTTCATAGTAGCTCGACCTCTTCGTGTACGGATCGTAGGCGTCGTACAGATTTCGGTATCGATACCTGCTGGGATCGACGTTGCCCGGTACGCGTTTGTAGGTACTGTCTCGCGTGACTGTTGATCTGATAGTGTTCGCTGTTTCGTAAGGAGTTCGCGGGTAATTTCGTAGGTCCACCGGTTTCCTCACGATCTCCGGCAAGGTGGCGTAATAGATAATTCGCTTGGGCTTGGGCGTCGGTCGACTCCTGCCGTAGAGGTCGAATTCGTCCTCTCTGTAACGATCGTAATAGTATGGGTCACTCGACGGTCGCATGTAGTAGTCCCTCTCCATCCTGTAACGGTCGGGATACTGGTAACTGTATCCTCGACGATACGACGGCACCTCGTGATCTCTTTCGCGTATTGTGTTCCTGTACCATGGGGATTCATAGTCATCGTAGTAGTTCCTGGTAATCGGCATGTCTCTGGACTCACGGCCTTCGGGGTAGCTTCGTCGGTGGTGGCTCGTCACGAAGTCCGCACGAGGTGCCTGGTGTCTTCGGTAATTGCTAGACAATGCTGCCTCTTCCTCTTCTTGTTGCTGCTGCTGCACCACCTGCTCCAAAGGGATACGATGACGGAACTCCACCGAGATCGGTTGTACCGAAGTCGACCATGTTTCGGGAAAGCTCAGGCGAGCTTCGCGCACGCTTTTAGTCGTCGAGATTTTTTCCATGCTCGTCTCATTCTCCGCTTGTCGACGAACGCGTTGTACGAGTCCTCTCGTCTCATTTGGAGACTCCTCATCGTCATCGTCGTCGTCCCCGTTATCTAGATTCAGTAGTCTCATCATGAGTTTCGTTTTGAACAACTTTTGAATAGGAACGGTGTCGTCTTCAGTTACGTCCTCCTCTTCAATCTCATCGTCGTTGCCGTCATTGTACGATGAATCCTCGAAACTCTCCCGTAAATGCTCCAGGTTTCTGTTCTCTCGAGATGCCTGCGCGATATTCGGAAGAGCGTTCGGTTCCATGGAACTCGGTGTGGTGAATTCCGGACGTTGCTTCTGAGCGTTGGTCGATTCGTCGAGAGGAGCTAGACGACCTACTCCGCTTACAGTGCGAACCTCGAATGCCGAAGAGTCCAGTCGTGGCCGAAACGGATGATCCGTATAGACGGACTTCGCGTGCGGCGTTACTTGCCAAGCCTCGCCGATACCAGCCGCCTTGGCTCCAGCCAGTAGAAAGATCAATCGATACATGCTTAATAAGCGCATTATCGTAATTTGTCTGAAAGATACAAGTCGTTAAGTCGTCGAATATTAGTTGCCCAACGTATCAAATCATCTCATGAATAATGCGAGTATATTAAAATTAAGAGAAGATATTTTAAATATAATTTAAAGGGACCAAGGAATCTAAAAAATAAATATATAAAGAAAACAAAAGCATAACATGGATTATTTAAGTTACAGTTTCTAAAAATTATCTTGAAACGCATACATTCTAATTGCTTCGAATGTTATTTGCATCTTCATTAGCAACAATGATCGTTTTATTATCTGTTCAAGGAAAGTCCCGCATTACTTATAAAATGAATTGATAATTCGTGTAATAAAGTTAATTTTCACATTGCGAATTTACTGACGTTTAAATTAAAAATAAGTAAAGATTTCACACAAATATAGTGTCTCGATTAATAAATTAAAAAACGAAAGACTGCCGGAGATGTGCACTGGTCCAAATAAACAAATTGTACTTTCACACATTTCTCCTACACGCGAGACCGACATTCGCGAATCGGTCTGATTGTTCACGTACTCTTTGAACGTAACCGTGAATGTCACCGGCACTTTTCACCGCGAAACGCGCGGTTGCAAAAAAAGAACCGGCGATACACATTCAATGACCGTTCCGTCCGGTCGTTGCGCGGTCAGAGATCAAATCGTCCTCCAACGTAGACACGGTCGATTCTCCATAACAAATATAATTTCGCAGGCCGTTTCCGCAGTATTATGCCGAGTTCCGGCGTGGCTCGTAGATCCGGCCTGGCGATTGTTCGCCCGAGCGTGTTTACTATGGTTCGAAATCGCGTCGTATTCTCGTCAACGAAAGCTTCGATTAATTTCCGTTTCACGGTTTCCTTTCTTACTTTTTCAAAAGACACATTCCCTATCTTTCTATACGTTCTTTTCCTCACGTTAAAAGAAGTGCAGTTTTCGCAATTATATCCCGGAGACGTCAAAACGTAACGTAAAGTCCACCACTACGGTAATGAAAAAGTAACATTACTTCGTAATCGACGCGAGATCGTCGCGGACAAAGAACGGTCGGTGCTCATGGGACAGGGTCTTACTTGGCGAATGACAAACGTGGAGAGCTTCCGGTTACGCGTTGAGTCATTGCTCCACAGTTACAAACGTTACATTGTGAATACGCCGGTAACAACGAACCGCGCGTTTGTGAGCGAGAGGCCGGTATCTACGGCGATGTAGCGGAACAAATCTTCAGCAAAACGACGATCTCGCCGTTACCACTACTGGCGTCGCACAGTTATACTCGAGGTTTACAGTTAGGCTACACCGACGCTACGCGGAGACCGTCTCGCGATTCGCAATTAAAGGATCTTCTTTTTAATTGGCCACGCCACGCAGCCGAACAACGCGTCTCACGACGGAACTGGACGTTGACGCTTTACCGTCTTGGAAATTGGAACGCGCAGAACGCGGCACGTAGCGGAAACGTCATCGTATTTAACGGACCAGCTTACACTCGCTTCAACACGGGAAGTATAAGAGACGAAAAAACAGAGACAGATCCGATTTAAATAATACGGACTAATATTTTATATCGTAAAAGCGCACAACTAAATGAAAATAAATGAACGATGCGAACGATTTAAGACCAAATTTATTTTAAATGCAATTAATTTAATCATATCTTTGATATTGCTATCATATTTCAAACGTAAAATAAGATAATTCATTTGACAGATATATAACACAAGCAGCAGCTACTGTGATATAAACTTTCAATATATTTGTGCAGGAGAACGAACCGTTGAGTCCGATTTTATAACGAGAATCATGCTTATACCAACGACCGTGTACACTTCCATACGAATACCTTTGAAAATATACACCCACGTAAATTTATTAGTTAACATCAATATGCGAGACAATACAACGCGTTAATAATTAAACGATAATTCATTAAAAATCCACTCAAATTATGTCTTGATACCGACGATGCAATTAGAAATATTTAGAAATTTTTTCATCTCTATACGCGCGTAATGGATATGCGAATATATTACATAGTATACTTTTATATTTATCGTATAACAAACTTTCCATTTGAAAGATAAATTATATGCTATATAGGAAGAGAAAAACGTGAATAAACAAAATAACATATATGCAAAACATATATGTTATTAACATGTTATTAATATTTTCATATAAAAAAGAAAAGAAACTGTTTTGAAATTACTATAGAATAATTAAATTCGCGTATAAAAATGAAGGGCGACCTCGAAACAATGCAATCTATTTTCCGGTTTTGTGAGAAAAATATTTTTTTCTTAATCAGACCGTTGCACTCTTGCGTTTGTTTACGTTCGAATGTTAATTTGATGTTAAACCAAGCCACACTGATAAAGGGTTACTTTAAGCTTTGCTAAATAATGTACCTGCTATCCGCCTGCGGGTCTCACGAGTGTCGTTGACTGTCCGGAGTGACTATGATTACTACGGCGCAGGTAGCCCACGGGCTACCGGCTTACTCCAGCTTCGTATCTGCATACCGTTCGGTTGTCGCAGCTGAAACACGCTCACCCCTCTACCACGGAGTTAACTACCGTTCACAATTGGTCGTCGTTTTTAACTGTAAGGCCTGTACTGAAAGATGGTTAGACAGTCACGCCGTCTGACAAAGGCGATGCAACAACCTAAACTCAAATAAATAGGATATTTCCGAAACTGTTGTTGTTGGATTTTTCCCACAGACATAATTGATATAAATGAAATATAATGGATGCAAATGTAAATTCAATAAATTCCCCGCAGACATATTTTTATAATCAAATTGAAGTTTCGACTTTTTGTGTAATCAATATAATATAATATAAGATGTATTATATGGGAAAGGAGGGAGAGGATGTAATGTTTATTATTATTTAAGTATTATGTTACAAATAGTCATGATTTACAAATCTCTCTACTGACAAATTGATATTGCATACATTCTTAAAAAAGCATATATATGTGTTGCAAATAAAACAGGGAGTCATCAAAGGACCAGGTCTAAACGAACATTGTATAGTAGGAAGCAACGTAATAATTAATAAACGCTGCTATACGTCACGATACATAAATCATCGGCAGCAATGAAGCGATCAAGCGTGTATATAGTACCGTATGATAATTATCATTTCAACTTCTACTCCATTGTGTTTAAACTCGACACGCTCGTTACAAGTACAAGCATGCAGTATAATTAGTATGGATTATAATAGCCGGAACCTGTCATTAATTATGCGATAAGGATACTAAAGTTGGAACACATGATAAATTGTTTTGAAGTACATGTAATTATACCGTTCCTTCTTATATTGATTGTTTTGTATCAAACCATGCGTGTCTCTATATATGTCGAACACATGTATGTCTAAGTCTATTCCTAAAGTTATTTTTTATAGAAATTAATTATGTGCAAATTATTCGGTTTCATAATACATATCTTGCATTAACGATAACTACTTTGAATAAAAATTTGTGCTATCAACAGGATAGTGAAGGTATCAGGTAGCAGAGGAGGTATCAGTCATACATGAAGTTAATTGCAGGACACTGACATTAGATTTCCATAAAATTATTGATTTTTAGTGGTATTTTTGGTATTGTTACCTGAGACTAATTCTATTTGAAGAAAATTAAGATTTTATTGTAATCCATATAGCACAAATGTTTGAAAGACAACCCAGAGACATTCCACAGATATCCGAACATCTCTGAGACATCTTTAGGGCGTCTTTTGAACACTTGTGCTATATGAAAAATATGATTATTATCAATATGTTATAAAGAATTATACTTATCCCAAAACTAGATAGAAAGTGCAAGAATATTTTTCATATTTTATATATTACTTTTACGTCAACTTTTAGTTTCAGATAACTTCTTCTGTATTCAAGGCAAAATAATTATTTCACACATGATTCAAATTAGTAAATGAACATGCAATGCAACATATAATTCAACAAATAAGAGTCACAATCCATCCGTACCATCTCTGAAACCTCTGATATTTTACACTTACTGATTTATGTCTGGCCCAGAATGCAGAGACTTGAATTTCAATATCCGCTCGGCATTTCCTATGACAACTCGTAGGCGAGACTTCCTCTTGATAGCTCGAAAGTATCCAAGCATAACGGTCGTGACGAAAATTTGAACTTCGAGCCGCCATTACATGAACGAATGCGCGACATTTTATTCGGCACTCCCGACATTTCGTGATACTTCCGATAACGATTCCATGACAAAAGGGGAAGAGGTATCATTTACAGCACTCACGACGATAATTTGCGCATGAGACTCACTTTCGGCATACCCAATTTGCTTGTGAGACTCACTTTCGTCACTCTCAGTTCGCGCGCGAGAACCGCTTTCGTCGATCGAAGGCGTACAACAAAGAACGCTTCGAGCCGCCATTACACGAACGAACGCGCGACGTTTTATTCGGCACTCCCGACGGCCCATTTCGTGATACTTCCGATAACGATTTCATGACAAAAGGGGGAGAGGTATCATTTGCAGTACTCACGACGATAATTTGCACATGAGACTCACTTTCGGCATATCCAATTTGCTTGTGAGACTCACTTTCGTCACTCTCAGTTCGCGCGCGGGAACCCCTTTCGTCGATCGAAGGCGTACAACAAAGGACGCTTTGAGCCGCCATTACGTGTAAACGCGCGATACTTCGTTCGGAAATCTTGATGGGCCGTTTCGCGAGACATTTATGTCCGGCGGCTGTTCTACGACGTTCCATCATCACATATGTGTGAAACGCTTGTGGCAAACGATAATTCGCGCACGAAACGCATCCTCGACGGGTTAAAATCGCGAATAATACGAAACGATTGACGAGTCCCAACCGCCGCGTCGCCATTTGTTCCGTAACTGACTGAACATCGTGACGATTGAGATAATCGAAGTTACCATACATCATCACGCATATAACTTCACTCGGCACTCTTAACGGTCGTCCCGCAGAATGTTTATTATCGACGGCTGTCTCACGGTATTTCAACATGACAAACACAAGAAACTTACTTTTGATAATTCCCGACGATAATTCGTGCCTCACACTCTCCTTCAGTAGGCTGGAAATGTAAACAGAGGCAGTTTGAACACGTAACCGCCATTACATGGCGAACATACATTTTACTCGGCACTCCCCATGGACAATGAGGCGAGATTCTCAATTTCGGCGACTGTCTCGTGATATCTTGCCACATCGAACGCGTAACTCGCTTTCGGTAACTCTCTGAAACGATAATTCGCGTGCGAGAGTCACCTTGAACGCGGCGAAACCACGAAAAATACGCGGCACAATTTTTCGAATGAACAGCACCGCGCCGCTATAGTGCCGTAACTGGCCGGCTAGTGTCGCGGTGGTTGCAAGTCTCGAAGCAGAAAGTATCGATAACACTTAAGTCGCAGAATATCGGACCTCTCATATTGGTCAAAACTCACGCAAAGAAGATTAGAGGCGATTCTGATATCTGAAATATTAAAAATTAAAACAAAGGTAATAATTATTACGCAAATATCTCTTTTCTCTTCGAATTCTTTAATATATGCTTATTTTAACTGAACTGCAGAAAGTGCATAAAAGTGTAGTAGAGTAATTAAAAAGAACAGACCTATCGAATGGTCAATAAAGTGCCAACTGCAATAAAGTGTCTAAAACGCATAACCAATCGCACTGATCAATTTAACTAATTGACAAATGCGATTGGTCAATTCCATTAAGTTAATCAGTTGATTAATAAATCTATTAGGTTAATCGGAGTTGGTGCAAGTCACTCTAAATCTCAAATAGAGTTATTGAATATAAAAGTTATTAAAAATTACTGAAAAGTCTAGTATTTCTCAAGTATTTACCAACATAAATACTAAAAGTTAGTCCTAAATCTAGTATTATGGACACAAGGCTGCGTTCAGAAACTCCATCTTGAGGACAGAACTCGAATATTTCCGAACACGCGCGAGTCTCCATCGGTGTACCTGAGTGAAATTTCCGAACGCAGCCCAAGCAAGATAAATTTAAGCAATTAACGAGTGTGTTAACGGTTAGAATAATTTGAATGAAAAACACAAAAGAATCATAAATTTTGTTCAACAGTGATGTAAAAATTACAAATTAAAGGAAATATAGAATTATACTGTGAAAATGGCTGAAGAGAATAAAAAGATTTCTTTTGGCTTTGCGAAGTCTATAAAGAAGTCGACGTTAGTGAAGCAGATGCCACAGGAGGAGAAAAAGGTGGATTATATCGATTGCGTTGATGAAAAAGCTATTAAAGTAATCGGGTAAGTTAATAAAATGCATGAATGTTTATATTCAACACACATAGTAACATAACCTATAAGTTCTATAAGTTACTTTGTAAATTAATAAGAACGTTCTTTGTTCAGAGAAGAAGAAAAAAAAGAGGAACCACTTGTTATCCCACTCTTGGGACCTAAGACTTGGCATGATAGAATTGTTAATAAAATAGATGCTGATATATTTGAATCCAAAGTAGCAAATAAGAATGATGTACAAGCTGTTAAGATCAAAGAAGAACCAAAAGAAGTATCTAATGGAGACTTAACATTAGTTAATAACAGTGTTTCAAATGTACAAATAAAAACAGAGCCACCTGGTGAAAGTAAAACCCTTACTTTAGAAGAACAGGCGGCTAAAGAAATTATAGAAGATCTCGAATCATCAGAAAAAAAGGACGATAAATTGAGCAATTTAACTTTACCTTTGGCAGAAGGACAGAATTTAAGTAATGTTGACGAAGTAAGTATTTCTGAGACTATTGATTATAATATTTGGCAAAAATATATATTGTAAATAATTCATTCACTATTATTTTTTTTTTCTTACATAGAGTACATTAGAGAATTACGAAGAAATTCCAGTAAGTGCTTTTGGTCTAGCTTTATTACGTGGAATGGGATGGGAACCTGGTAAAGGGATCGGTAAAAATGAAAAGTATGAATTTTGTTTTATATGAATTCTATGTTATATATTTATTATGTTCTTTATTCCAGCATGAGTTTTCAAATGTATTAGCTACCTTTCCACATGTTATTTTTACAGAGTCGTACAAAGTGTTATACCTAAATTACGTCCAAAAGGAATGGGACTTGGTGCAGATAAAGTAGCATTGCAGAAACAAAATGGAAAACCCCAAAAGGAAGAGGAGGAACTGCGAATAGAGAAGGGAAGTTTCATAAAAATCATTGTCGGCAAGCAATCTAATACATATGGCCAAATAGAAGGCTTTGAAGATGAAGGAAGATTAATAATAAAAATGGCTTTAGGAGGAAATACGTTCTCTGTGAACGAGGGCACTGTTCGAGTAGTGACAAGAGCAGAATATTTAAAAAATTCCAAAGTTCTAAGTTAGTAAATAAAAATTAATTTTTTCCGGGGATTTTTAAATGAATATGCTATATAAATGGAAATTTTTATATTTAAAATTTTTATGTTCTAAAATCTCTCTCTAGTAATTACTAATTTGTAAAGAAATTAGATTTGAACTAATTACGATTTATAGATTTAAAAATCTTAAAATCCGTTCAATGAAACAATTTATATTGAATACCATTTAAAAATTCCTGTATTATCTCGATTGTACAAATTGAAGTTTCGTTTTCAGTATCTGGAAATTGCTTTTAGATGCCACTAAATATGAGGAATATAAGAGCAAAGAAGGTACAAGCAAGAGGAGATCTGCATCTCTTAGCAGTGATTCTGATGTACGTGACGGGAAAAAAAGACGCAAAGAGAACGAAGATGGACATAAATTAAAGAAATCCAGCAAAAAATCAAAAAATCGACGAAGAGATATATCTGACAGTGACAGTGATAGCAAAAAAAAACATAAAAGGCGGGGAAGTTCCAGTAGTAGTGATACGCGTAGGACAAAAAAGACTAAGAAGTCCAAGAAGCACAAAGAGAAAGATAAGGAGCGAGAACGAAGAAAAGATAAAAAATCGAGATATTCTGAATTTCCTGACAAAAGAAAATCTAACAAGCGTAGAAGATCTCGATCGTCTAGTAAACGATAATATATATATAAGATATATTTTATGTTCCGGAAATATTTTATAAAATTTTATTTGTATTCATTTTTTTAATAAACTTATTTTTTCAAATACTTCTTTATATATTTCCTTTCAATTTAAATAAAAATTATTATTGTAACGACATGTATGTATTAAAGATAAAATTCTTTGTAGAAATGATCTCATTTTCATACAACAGATAATGCTTGTGGTTTTCTTACGTCATCTCGAGATAAGTGAAACTGTCTGGACATAACCTAAATATCATGCTAAGCACGAACGTCGTACAACGCGGAATAAGAACGATGTCGTGTACGTGTATTATTATTTGTTCTTTGCGACATACAAAATTTGGCACTCTTGAAACTCTCATACGACATTTAAAGGGAAAGTGAAGAATATAACTTTATTTATCAATGTGTCAACAATATCAGGTGTCTGGTGGAGTGATTATTTACTAATCATTATAATTAGATTGGTATTTAGTAAGTCAAGTTACAACCTGCGATAATCAAATTGCACTGACCATAAAAATTAACTATAATTTTAATCAATTAATTTCAATTAGATAATGTTTCATTTTTTAGATTAGATCTGTTGAATTTAGCTGCACTTTGTGCATACATAAAGTGCACACATGGGATAAATACATGTTCAAATGTTTGATGAGAGCTAGCGAGACAGAAGCAAAATTTAGAAAATAAACTATGAATTGTAGTTTTATCAATAATATGAAAAATTAATTATAAAAACAAAGTTCAATTCTTTTCTATAAGAAATCCTGAATTTTATCGGTTAAATTGTGCCAGCGCATTCTGCAAATAAAAATAAGGATTTTTTTTAAGACACTTTAGATATAAGAAATATATAAAATAACTATACAGGCTGTTTGGAAAATAAAAATTCATCTTTTTCACTTGTCTTTCATCTTTTGACAGTGATCTCGTATAGCCGTGACCGCGTATAGCAAGAGGTTAACAGCCGGTTGCATTCATGAATTAATATAACTATCGAACCTACTTTCAGCGCTGCGTTTGGCTTTGGTACAACTGGCGGTCGGTGACGACAAGGCAGCAAACGTCGCGCGAGCTGTTTCATTCATTGAACGCGCTAAGCAGGAACACGCTGACATCGTTACGCTGCCCGAATGCTTCAACTCGCCGTATGGAACATGTAATTATGTGACGAAAAGCATGCCGAACAACACAAACGTCCACCTAAGGATAATAAAAAAACGAGATAGATCGAAGGATTTACGAATAAATACGTCAATATATATATATATATATATATATATATATATATATATATATATATATATATATTCAAATAGATAAATGAATATCTTACATTATTTTTTTTATCTTCAGAAGTTCTTAGCACTTTTGTGTTGATGGTTGTGGTTTCCAATTTGGTATTCTTACGCGTAACAAATTTGAATTCGAAGTACGCGATTGGGTAATTAGGAACGGACGACGCGTCTTACGATTGGTTACGACAATTCGCTTCTTTTCACATACACCTATACTCGGTGCAACAGTTGGGAAGAAACTGTTTCTTTTCCTTCTCGTTTTTGTTCGAAAAACAATTTATTTCGGGATCTATACCGTTCTATCTGTTACGTTCTAAGTTTAGAGAGTGTAAAGAAGGATTGCTAGATCGAACGGAGCTGAATAGAGTTTCCTTTTGCTGCACTTTCCGGATCTCGTTATTTTTTACCTCGCGTAGGGTAATTCGGTGTGTGCGTGCACGTACCCACTCACCCTCTCGTAACGTTCCGTGATAACGTCGACGTGTATGAACACGTAGCCCACTTCGCGAAATACGCTGAGAATATTCCCAACGGCGAGACGAGCGCGGCTTTGTCCGAAGTGGCGAGGAGGAACAGCATTTACGTGATCGCCGGAACAATACCGGAGCGGGAGGATGACAAGTTGTACAACACTTGCACCGTATGGGCACCCGATGGAAAACTCATGGTTAAGTATAGAAAGGTAAGAATATCGGTATACAAAATTTCCCGAATGGTTGTCCTCCTATTAGACTAGGTTAGTTCTCCAATCGAATAGATTCCTTTGATTAAAAAAAAGTACTAATTTATTGTCAATAATAATAAAAATAATGTATCACCGACAGCGCATAATTAACAAAGACTAAGCTCATTTTTAAGGCAAAAAATAAATGATAGTATCGCCATTTTCGGTTAAATTTCGCAAGGATCATATATTGATAGAATTATAGTTTGAAATTTAATTGCAGGTACATATAACGTTAATTTCGAATCAATAGGAACATTAAAGAATTCTCTGCAAAAGTAGAACGAAGATCTTGTAGAGATTTCCTGCATATATGGTATAAAACGTCACCGCATACAAAATAGAACGCGCTTTATAAAGTGCTTCCTTGTTTATAGATGCATTTGTTCGACATCGACATTAAAGGAAAAATCACTTTCCGAGAGAGCGACTCGCTATCGCCCGGGAATTCCTTGACAACCTTTGAGGTAAAAGGTTGCAAAATTGGCATCGGTATTTGCTACGACATCAGGTTCGAGGAAATGGCGCGACTTTATAGAAACAGAGGTAAAATCGATATTACATACAGGGAATACTAATAAAACTTGATGCGGTATTGCTGTGAAAATAACGAGATAGAATTTCATGTATTTTAAGCATTATTGGCATTATTATGCTTTAATGTTCATTCAAGTGATTATCCTCGTATTTTGGTTGTTTTTGAAACGAGATAATAACTTGTTTCACGTTTCGATGGATATGATAAATTATCGTAATATTTTATAGAAACGTACGAGCTGTTGAACCTAGCCTCGTGATTCGCGACAGAAAATTCGAGACGGAATTCTATAGTCGAAATTTTGTATATAGATCTCTCTTGTAAATAAATCATTTTGTTTTATAGCTTTATACGTAAACTTTTTAATCATATATATGATTATTTATTAATTATATATAATTTTAATAAAATAAAATATATTAATTATAGATAATTTTTTAATCATATATATGATTTCTGTTAACATTTTTTATGTATATTTAAAATTCAGTTTTGCGCATTTTATCGCGAATTATATATCGTCGTAAGTGCGCTCCGTACTTGCCTCCTTTTTCCGTTAGTCCCAACTTACCTAGCTGTCGCGATTGAAACGAATGCTTGTACGGTAGAGCCATCGATTGATCGTCACTGTTGTAAACTGTCATTCTGAATCTCGTCTTGTGATGTCAGGCTGCCAGATGTTGATCTACCCCGGGGCATTTAATATGACCACTGGCCCGCTGCATTGGTCGTTACTGCAGCGTTCCAGAGCAAACGACAATCAATTATACGTAGCCTGCGTTTCGCCGGCACGTGGCTTACCGCCCGGGTACGTCGCTTGGGGGCATACTCAGTTAACCAACCCTTGGGGAGAAATACTCAACGAACTGGGCGACTCCGAGGACATGGTGGTAGCTGACATAGGTGAGTTTTTCTCAGAAGCTATTCTAAGATAGCGACAAATCTCTGGTATTCCAGCCGCCGAATACTTTCTGAAATTGCTGCGAAACTCATTATCGACGGATACGCTCGTACGAAATTTATCAATTTATTTTGGATTAATTGCAAAACGGTCTTTAAGAGGAGATCTTGCGTTAACAATTTCGTGTTTTAATATTTTCCAATTGATGTAATGAAAATGTCTTCGTAAAAATTCTAATTACGCGACAATTCTTACGTTCCTCGAACTATATTTGCGTCGAAATAACTGCTTATCGCAGATCTGAAAGTCGTGGATGAGGTCAGGTCACAAATTCCGACGTTCGGTCAACGTCGTACGGATCTATACGACACCGTTTGGAAGAAGGATTAGGGAGATGTAACGTGTGACAACGCTCGCGTCGTGTCATTAAGCAATTTTGCACGGCGTCGAGCTATCGGGTGCTTTAAATTTCACGCTCGGATACTCCGTCAATAAACTTCTCACGCCTACGTCACACATTACACACAGATATACACATATATACATTCTGTGGGGGCACGGGCAAACATGTTTATATGTAAGTATAATCACTGGTGGCAGAATCATGTGAATAAACTTTATTGCTCTGTAACATTCTTCGTGGTATACCAATTCTTACTTTCGCCTTATCATTATGTATCCTTATACTATCGATTAATCTACGAAAGACGTCGGGTACGACGTGGCGATCTTGTCAATCGAGGAATCAAGGGAAGATTAAAACCTTATCGTGTTTATTAATATTCTGGATGTCGTTTGAAATAGATTTTTTTAATTGTAATCTCGTAATTTTTTATGAATTCCGAACGATCGTTCTCATCATACATAAAAGGCCCCTTGATCATTAAACGATATAATTACGATCGAGAGTAATTACGTATTGTAGCAATATTAAAGCTATCGTCTAGGTATTTATTTTGAAGTAGGTTATATTATATATATATATAATATTTTCCTTTCTTTGTAAACGTTAGTTTAAAATGTAAGCTTAGAGAAATTGGTCGATTAATAAATTCAATGTTCTCTCCGCCGGGCTGGGTCGAATAGAGAGGAAAGAGGAGAAGAAAAGTACAATGGTGAGACGCGAAAGGAAAACGCGTGATCACGCATTTTCCACCAGCCGACAAGGATATCACTTCTTCTTGTCGAGATGGGATGATTAAATTCGCCAAATAAATTCGCTCCGAATCGTGACTTGAGATACCTGTCCCAAATACAGTCTCTCCAAGCTTCAAACATCTTTTCGTTCTTTTACAGGGGGAAAATATTCAGGAAACTTATGTATATTCTCGATGTAGAGAGAGAGAGAGAGAGAGAGAGAGAGAAGAAAGGATGTGTCTTAGCTCGGATACTTCGGCGCCTAATAAAATATCTCTCTGGCAAAACTTTCGGAAAGATAGAAATTACATCAGAAATTAGATCATACTCAGGTCAGGTATCTCGCATACCGAACGAGTGTATCATCTTACTTAAGCTCTAGCAACTTAATCTCAGACAGCCTCTTTTGTCGCGTTCGTTCTAACGGCTCCGGTAATGCCGTCGTCGAGTTTCGCTTGATTTTTGCACGAAATCCGCACGACACGCATATTTACAATTCAAATGCGAATCGCTCCATTATGAATCTGAGTTGAAGCCGTTTTCAAATATTTCATTTTTGCTCGAAATATTCGTCTTATGCAACAACTAATCGATAAAATTATTAATTATAACTATTATTATCCATTATTATCATCATCGTCATTATTTACGATTACGATCAATCTTAGTTTTTGACGTAAATTCTTGCCGTTTACAGAAGTGATCGTATTTGTTAAATTTAGTAAAATCGGTCTACGTATTGGTCTATATATCAATTTTTATTTCTCAAATGTTTCGGTCTTCATGCATAGCGAGAAAATAAAAGAAACCTGAGGAAGTCCGAAGGTCTATTTAAATTAAAACAATTTACATATATACGTCTCACAACCTAGGAGACGATTATTGACAAACTAAGAGATATATATATATATCGGTTTTGTAATGTCTTTCGACGTTGTCCGATCCTCACATATAATTGTGGTGCAAACTAAGATCCATTCTTTTATTCTTTTTACTTTATTCTTTTCCTACGAGAATTTTTCTAGTTGAGAGTACGTGCAAAATTCGTACAATGTTGTCTAATCGCTACCTTCGAAATTCGCAAAGCGATTAACGATCCATGGGCGGTGTGATAGCAATCAAGCGCCGTTAAAAATATATCACAGGCAAGCATACGCGCGCGCGCGAACAATGTGTACACGATACTGGAAACTCGCGAATGTTCGTAGTAACGTCGTTTTCCTAAACGAGGAATGACTTAGCACCATGTTCTTATTCACTGTTCCCCATAGTCAAACAAAGGCGAAAGCATTCGTATACGTTACACTACTATACATATGGCCCCATGACGCTCGGAATTGTCGCGCTGGTATCGGTATTAGTACCGTTTCGAATTTTCTGCATCGGGAAATCAGTCGAGAAAGCTTACTTTTCGGATCGTTTCCTATCAAAAAATAAAAAATAATATTGATTCGAAAGCAATTCAATTTTTAATTGAATTTTTACTGTGAAAAAAAATTGATATCAATATATTCATGTTGAAACGAAATCAGTAATGAAAGTTATTAACCGGTTCGAGTCCAGTTATTGTAACATCGAGTAACTATGTATTTCGCAAAACTTTAAAAGAGGGAAAGTTGTTCGCTTCAAATCGAGATGTGTTAAGTAATTACGCGAATTCAATTAGCGTAACATTGAAAAAATAAAATGAATGCGATGCGGTACATACGCGCGCCGATACCACTTTATCGGGGACGCATTGTTTTCAGTGGAATTCTCCAAACTAACTTTTATTTTTCCCCAAACACACAATAGCATATTTAAACATGAACAGATCCAATTTCCCCGACTTTTTAGTTCTTTTAATACCGAATGCAGAACGGGATGCCGGAGTAAAAATATTTGACGGGACAATTTTTATTCTACCGCGATGCGAGCGCAAAACACTTGATGGAATAGTTTTGGTCCTGACGTCCTTGAAATGGTTAACGGTTCGATATTGAAACGTTCAAGGGGTTATTGTCGAAAATATAGAGCAACGAATGAGCAGTGTAACAATTAGCAACTTGGCTGAATTCAAAAAATATATTTTTCCTCTTCCTATATCAGACACAGTAGTCAACCGCGATTTCAGCGAATGCGGAAAGGAACCCGACGCATACCGACGCATTACTCATACCGCATTAATAAAACGCGTAGTAATTGCTCCGGAAACTTAAAAAGATCGAGCATGTAGTCGCGAGATGTTCATACGAGTTTCAATTCCCAGCGGCTTAACACATGTCTGATACGCACACGTGTCGCGCGTGCTATGGTGGCACACTTATAAATATCACATTTTACACACATGTACCTGTAATATCGTCGACAAATTCTTGCGAAGCTAAGTAGAATTGCGAAATGAATCGAGAATTGAAATACGATATTAAATCGTACAACGTGTTGCTTCCGCATTTAAACAAATGCGCCGAATAAATCGGAGCATATTTTACGGGAACCTCCCCGTCCATTTCTCAGCTTTATCGCAAATTTATTTAACTGTATTACGCGCGCGCACCACACTGTCGTTTTTACAAAACGACAAAACACAATTAATGGCCGTAGAGTAATTATATGTTCACCGGGCTAAAGCAAGATTTTCTCGTTGCGAGGAAAAGAGAGAAAGAGCCATTCGATTTATGGTTTGAAACACGCTCGGAAACGAATAGGCGCGGATAACGATCAAACAAATGTACATACCGCGGTGCTTGCGTAGCTTGAAAATTTTAAATAGAAGCGGAACGCGTTGTTACGGTGCCGCTGTAGGAAATGCAATACACGACGGTGACGAGTAACAGGAGTAACAGGAGAAATTCGTGACACGGAAAGCCTTTAAATATAAGACCCACGTTCGTATCGACTCCCACCCGCGGCCGATCACCGAATTATTTCGGCTATTAAACTCTTCGCGTTAATAATTTAAGCCTTCGCTCATCGATCCAATTAGTCGCGCGATATCGCCGAAACGACCGCAATCACAATTAATCGATTCGTTATTGCGTGATATAATCTGGGTGTTTACGGCAATTATTGTTGCTTTGAAATGTCATACGAGCGATAGACTAATTAATGCGTGAACTGATAATTGGAACGCGAATAAATAATCAAATGTTCCGTAATCTGATAGCAAATAAGGGAGAGTACGCTTTATCTCGTGTGTTCCTACGAAACGTCGCCTATTTTCTACTTGCGAATTAAGCAGTGACTTTTATTTGTTCCCACCAAACGTGTTTCGAAATAAAAGAAGAAAAACAAAGATATTAAACGCGTGTGAGATAGAAATTTTGAGAAAAGAATAATAAAAAAATGCATAAGAATTCAACGATGACAAGCTTGTTAGCGGCTATTTTTCTATCTGTCTTTCGTGCGTATCTCTTTAAGATCCGAGCAGTATTCGTGATTGATACGTGTGCAATAGAAATACAGAAAAAATAGAATATAGGAAAATGTACAACAATCAGCTGATAAATTCTAATTTCACATATCAACATTGCTCTTTGCGCGCAATAAATAACGAGGAATAATCCGGCATGTTAACTTTTTACAGGACTGATTAATCCATCGTCACTTAAAATCAAATATGTATATAACATAAAGATACGTTAAAAGTTGCTAAAATGTATTGCAATCCTCTTAATAACAAATAAATTATAAAGTTAAAACTTTATTCTCTCTTGACTCGCTCTGTAAAGAGTTAACGCGTTTCGCCGTTAACAATTTAGCGCGAGCGCAATTGACGCGTCGCCGCATGTACATACACGCAAGATTATGTAAATTGGTTCCACGCGACTGCAAACCTTCTCTATTAAAGCTCTGTTTGTAAATAGCAACATACATATCTCCCTACCATTTCGTGCCCGCTCCCGCATATCGCCGTGCTCGATAAGCGCTCGTTAAGATAAAGCTCTGAAATCGCCTCTCACATTGTGCCAGTCGAAGTTCCACTTCGAATCGGACCTACCCCTATGTTTGTCCCTCAGCTTCTTGGACGTTTAACCCTTCCGGAGTTTAATCCGGGAATGTTCGCGTCACGAGAGAGAACACACCGAACAGTTTAAATTGAGATAACAAATACACGAAGCGCCGAGATCGATTAAACCGAAGTCACGGGGACTAAATTTTAGAGAGAAAAGCGGACAGGGAATTCGCGAGAGAAAGAAATTTTACGACAGCGCGAGGTATGATTGTACAAATGATAGATCTTTTGGATGAGACTCGCGCTAACTTTTTCCTTGCGATATGCCGCATGCGCTAAAAATCTCCCCGTTGTATTTCTCTATGCCCGGGAAATAATTACAGAAATGTGAAACTCCTCCCACGTCGTTATTACGAAGCGTGAATTAACATTGTCAAACGACATCGCCTAATTTACTTCTTCTCATGTGCTTCTTGACGTGTCGAGAAAATATTAAGAAGTTTCGCAAATGACATTGCGACTTTCGTTTACACATTTACCCTCAATACATATTGCATTACTATGTAACGCATATTCATGCGAACGCGGTTAATTTAGAAGTATTACATTACATTGACTTAATTCCGTTGTGTGAAATTGTGTGAAAATGTCGAGCGTGTTCCCAACGTATCATGTAACTTGCGTCCCCCAATAGACACGCGCGTTTGTACAAAGCTTCGCAATTGGAAATAAAAAATACACGGGACTGCGAGAGGATATTTCGCGAAGTCACTGCATTTCGAGAAAATAACTTGCTGCTGGAACACGAAATTCGTGATACGAACATTCGTGGGTTAAATGTTTATCCGATGACACGGTATTATGCCTCCCACCAGCTTGACGGAAAATGCGACGAGTGCGGCGATATATCTCTTTACTTTTTTTTTTTCATGCTATCTATGTTCTTGTTATGAGAATGATATGTTGATTTGCAGAGGTTCCCAAACCGGCGGCGCGATGAAACTTTAAGGCTCGACAATGAGATGTTCTTGCTGGAAAATTCTTTGACGCGTTCTCTCTCTCTCTCCCTTCCTCTCTTTCACATACGCGCATACATTCACTCTCCAATATATAACAAATATAGGAGTTTATACAAAGTTACTTTTGAAAAGTTTACACAGAATGTTCCAGACTGCCGAGTTATTTTTATCTACGGATTCTTCAGAGTTGATCTTGCCTTAAGAAAAATGGTCGAAGCGCTTCGGAAATTAAACTTTGAAATTTTCTTTAAAGCACGCGTTCTTAAATGAACGATATATTATCGTTCTTCCTTTTCAATTTCAAGACAATCTCATACAAGCAATACTTTACCTCACCTATTTTTAATATAACTAGTAGTAATATACTAGAAAATTTTACGATTGTAAAATAACGTAGAATTTTCAGTAAACAAATAACCTTCCTTGATATTGCTCGAAAATTCCGCAGACGAGAGATACTTCGATAGGCATGAGACAACCTGTATAATCTCTTCCTTAATTACGGACTGGAATCTTCCTCTGATAATAGAATCTCTCGTAAATATTTAAGTAGACGCGAAAAAATTTGGGAATCCCTGTGTTAAAGCGAAATGTACAGGCCGTTAGGCAAATGGATGGATTTCTTGAGACGTCTTTACACCGCGCGATTTTTCAGTAATATCATCCGAGATTGATTCGCATCAAAATCGTGATTCATTCGTAGCTTTACATCATGTCGTATCTTCGCCGTTATAAATGTAACGTCATAACATTACATCGCGTTCTCGTTACGTTTTACGATACAACGCATTTTCCGGCGCACGGCGAGGGACCGATTTTACAGCGAGTATCGCGAGAGATATTTTAACGAAATCGCGTTGTGCAAACGGGCCATTACTTGACGAAGTAACCCCGACGTGATCCACTTTTCGTCGCGAACCGCTTTTTCCTCATACGCATGTGCGGGGTAACATATAAGCACTCGACGATTACCGGAAAAAACATCGAAAGTACCAAAGATCGCGAAGCTAACGAGAACAAAGTCGAGACGTCGGATTGATAGATATTACCTCGTTTGATTATCATCACAGACGCATGACGGGAGGCGCCCTTTAAAAAGGTGTTCGTTCACCGGCGAGCCCGGCAGAGCAAAGCGAACGAACGAACGGCAAATTACGATTTTTCAACTAGAGATTGAAACGAATCTCGTTAACAAAAGGATATCACACACATGCACACACATACGACGGAGCTTTCCGGCGCTAGTGGCGAAGGACTCGCCCCCGCGCACTAATCTCAGCCTGACACGTTCGTTATCACATCGTTTATTGACAATGGAAAAATAAAAATTTCTGCCGACACAATCACTCTCACACTCCATTCACACACACACACACGAAACGCGCGCGAAATGTGCCGCGCGAGGTCTCGATCGGTTTTTCAGTCTACAATTGTCTGTCCAGCGTGAGTATTATCAAGAACGAGGATCTTGAGGAACATGCCCCGAACTCTATCACCAGTTCACGATGCACCGCCGATTACGATAGTCCCCGAAAATTGGTAGCGGTTAAGTCGAGAGTCGATCGGAGTCAATTTACGCGATAACATTCGATCGCGTTCGCCGGCTACGAACAGTGCAATTTACTCCGAAACGCGACCGAGTGTGGCACGCCTTCTGACAGTGGCTGACATCTGAGTATATTCGAATTAGGCCAGAAGAGCCTCCGGCGTGTCATTCCTCGACGTTTGGTTGTGAGCGCACGGTTTAAAAAACCCGACGTCGAATCCGCGTGGCGTCTGATGAGTGTTATCGTGCCGGATTTGACGAGAAGGAGGATGCGAGAAAATGCGCGCTTCGAAAGGAAGCGGATAAAATTCCGGAAATAAAAAGCTCTCCCGCTCGCACGTTTGCCCGAAATCCGACGCAAGGTCTGACGATTTTTAAATTTCCCTCGGGAAAATCGCGAAGACGTATGGACCCTCGCACTCTTTCCCCCTCAATTAATGCGCTCGCGCGAGATAATGCGACGGGATGATAATTAAACGACGGAATATCCAAAGTAAAATATTTACATTACGTTTAATGTGTATTGCATTTAGGGGAGATAAAATATTATTTTTTCTCTCATATTTTTCCGAATTAAAGACGATGTTATTCGTTTTTTCTCCGATGATCTTTCGCGAAAATCGCTCGATCGTTTCTCGACTCGATCGCGGTGGATTTGGGGAACACTGGTTTTCGCTTCACTCAGCTTGCGTCTTTCCAAAAGGACGATCTAATTGCGATAGGTGACGGACGTGACATTCGCCGAAACAACGTGTATTCGCGGCGTGAGCCAAACCTGCCTGTAGAATTCCTCGTGCACAATTTTCTCGTCGTCGTTGTCTTCCTCGTCGGATCGCTAATATCGTTAACGAGCGAATTCCTTCGACGAGCGTGAGGCCTGCGGCGACGATGATCGCGGGACCCGTCCGGTCGTAACTAGGGCACCATCAGCAGCACGACCAGGCCGAATAGACAGAGAACACTCCGATGCTGGACCCCCGACGATCCCATCGCCGCGTCGTATATGTACGGGCCGCTCTCATTGTTCGTATCGTCCAGGCACTCGAACTCGCAGCAGCGCTCACCCACGCGGAACTTTTTGCATTTCTGCAAAAGAATCGCGGAGTACAATGTGAAACAACTTCGATCCCGAGGAGAGGACAAAATTCCTCGATACTTTAGACACTTTTCAGCTTCGATGGATATTCGATGCTGAGATACCGAAGTCACAGTGCACGTATTTCTGTATCTATCTCGGGAGAAAAAGGGTCGAATGTTCTTTTGTGAATATTTAGTGTTCTTAAATATTCATAAAAACGAACATTGACTTTTATTGGATATTGTTAAACATTGTAAAATATTTCTGCCGTGTTTCGCGCACTGACGCTACTCAAAGAGCTACAATCTGACGTTACTCGTTTACGTGTGACAGAATAAGGACTCGTTATTCCGACGCGAGGTTCTAAAGGAGCCCCGTAAAATTTTGCATCTCATCGGGCACGAAACGCAAAATGCGCGTAAAAGCTTTCTCCGTGAAGTCGCAGCCGATGAAGCCTGCCTTGATTTCGCGCGCGAATAGCCACTTAATTTCGTTCGTGGCGTAATGAATTTCCTTTGCCGCCAATTATCATTAACCCGTTCGACGCGCCGTTATTGAATCGCCTTTTCTTTTAGCCTGACTACCATCGCTTTTTTTTTTTACTCCGATCTCTTTTATGTCCAATTACGACACGTGGCACGCGAAATTGCGCGTATCTGTCATCATGTGACGACAATTAAAACGATCGCTTGCGTATAAATCGGCGAGCCAGCCGAGCTTCATTATTCATACATGACACACCTTTTTTATTTCATCGAGCTCGTTACATTAAATCTATTTCTTTCTTCAGAAAGAGAGAGAGAAGGAATTAATATTATGACGTGGAATATAAGGCACGAAATTAAGCGTTAATATCAAAACCACTCTGCGTAATGCTGCACGCGAACTTGAATACTCTCCTCCGACATTTCCGCATTTTGCATAACGCGAAATAGAAGTAATTCATCGGGCGTGCATCTGCCGACGAATTCGCGAGGGACGATTAACAGAGAACGATCGCATTTACGTGGAAAAGACCCGTCGTTATTAAGGACGAACAACTAATTTAAGACTGGCCTGCGCTGACGGGTCGGATATTAAAAGCTTTTCGTCGTTTACGGTAATTACGACTACTTGCTCGCCGTTGCGAGTTGTAAACCTTTACGATTTTCGTGAATTTCAAATCATGTGAGAACTAATCTGCAATATTACGTTCTAATATAGGCGCATCGATCTATTTATTATTTATAATTTTCGAAAATTTTGCGCAACATATGTAGAAGATCAGACACACACACACACACACACATGTGAAGGATCGTTGAATGCAGGAGAATTGAAAATAGCATAACGCCTAAGGGCCGTCGACAACTACAAGTGTAAACGTGCCATTGCCTTCGGCGTTGCGAACTATTCAATGTTTATCCTAAAGACCGCGCACTTACGCATACATATACGGCACGAATGTACAAAAGTAAACGTGTATACATTTACGAACTGCCGCCGATCTAATAAGTGGACCAGGTTAGAATGTCGTGCCGGGTTCGCGTACGGCGTGAAATGTCACGCACGCAATCGCACGCGGGCGCGCCCGGGCGCAACGAGAGCTCGGTCCCCCACGTAAGCGCGACGAACGATATTGTAATTGCACAGGGGGATTAGCATAAAACTCGTCGCGTGCAAATCGCGGCCCTACTGCCCTACATAACGCGGGATCACCAGCCGAGGTTTTATTTTTGCGCCACGTCGCGTTCCGCAGAAAGGGGGGAAAAACGAAACGATGCGTAGATAGTATAATGATTTTCTCGCGACGAGTTAATTAAAGTTACGTGCACATATGCGCGTACATATGCGTACGAGAAAAATGCACATTCTGTCGCGCTACCCGGAATATCCGACGATTCAATACGAACGTGGGTTTTGATGCCACGTGAGAAATCCAGCACTCGTGAAAAAAATCTCGTTATCGAACTCTCCTGCACTTGTAAGGTCACACCGGGGGGGGAGATTTAATAACGCGATTATTAACTGTCTCGTGGAGTAATCGCATTAGCGCCTAATTACACAAAAGATACTCCTCTGCTTCTCTCGCGTCTGGAGATGTAGTTGAATAAAGAAAATTCTTATGCGCGAATGTGCAGCTGAGTAAGCGTTAATTGAAATGCATTTACATCTACGAAGCGCTCGGTCTTTAAAATATCGTCTGCTCGATGACCGTACGTGCGCAAATTGTGATCACAAAACGTCTTAACCATGATAAATACGAATCCTTAAAATTGCGAAAAAAAAATATGATTCGTTGAACATCGAGAACGATATTAAGTAAACGGAAAAAACATTTTTGTTGACATGGCCAATTTTTCAGTACACACGAACAGCGAAAGGATTTGTTACACGGGAAAAAGTATTGTATTGTTGTAACAAAACATTTAGTTGGCATAACTAAATCATTTTGCTGTCCATATATCTAACGAATAACAATTAATACTCTTAAGTCTTTCTGCTATCCGTTTAGTAATTGAGAAATTTTCTGTGCCAGCAAAATATTTATCTTCCATGTATTATTGCGAAAATCTGCTTCTTTCACCAGGATGTATTTGATATTCTTGGCGAGGAAATTTTTGCCGAGCACACGAGAAAGAACGTATGTTAAAAGAGAAAAAAGACCGAATTATTTTCGCAAAAGTCGCATTTTCGCGAATTGAAAGGTATTAAATGTTGGGCTGTATTACGCTCGCACAATACCTGTTAAGGATGTTAATATCTGTCAACGCTGCAGCGTATCTAGGTATCGGTGTAATATGTTTCCAGCGGTCGTGTTAAGGTTTCCACTTGCGAACTATGCAAAGTCGATCGTGCGCTTATTAGCGACATGGAGATCATCAAGTACGTAATGCACGAACGCGGAACTTTGCGCTACTTTGGCGGCGCGTGTGTGCGACATCGATTTTAATCGGCGATGCGAGAATAGAAGGAATATAATTAAAACGCAGTTGGAGCGACGAGTGTGCGAGTGGTCGCCGAGGAGACGCAGTTTACTTCGCGAGATCGCGCCGAAAAGCAAGGTCAAACGACTTTCCTTTCCTTTTTTTTTTTTACTTTGCTTTCCGTCGACAAACGGCGTTCGCCCCGTCGCGCAGAATGAAAATTTTCACTGAGCTCTCGCCGGTAATTAAAAAATACGAGGAAAAGCGAATAGTACGAATGAATGTTAAAACCGTAACGGAGAAGCCGCAAGGTTCCGGAGAGGAAAAGCGCTCGTGAACTTAATTCCCGACGAACGACGACGGCCACAACGTCAACATTTCCTAATAACAAACGACGCGTGGTGGGAAATCGTGAAGCTGGCGAAATTCTCGCAAAGCGTGTGAAAGGAGATACGCGGTCCGTGGATTTAATTTTCTCGAGCATACGAAATGCGCCGAAACTCCCGCCAATCTTCCTTCCAATCGCGGTTGCACCGCGGTTGCATCCGAATCGCTCGACAAATTACCGCACATCGAATTTGCATAATTCGCGAAACGTTTAGAAATACGTACGCCGCGATATTCTCAGGAGAGAACACACACACATGAACACCCAGCAAGAGTCGTGAGAGTTGCATCCGCGTAAAAGAACGAAATTTTTCAACTGGTCGACTCCCGACTGAATTTCTCATGAAAAGTGGATATAATTCTTCACTTTTCTTCTTCCCTTCCGTGATGAGATTTGATATTATCTCGTAAGACATCCCGTACATAATCCTCCTCGGGGAGGATGCCGCGATTTAATCTTCCTCGGATCTTTTAAAAAGCGGAAGACGGAAGCGTACGTTGCGGCTCCTCGCTACGCCGCCCAACTACCTACCACAGTGTCGGTATTAGCACCTCGTTGTAGAACGCGAGGATCGCGCCTCTAAAGTTAAATATATATTTTTACAGAGTAGGAATATAATCCGCGCAATGTTACCGCGCGATGTTGTATCGAAGAGTTACTTTTTATGGTTGCACACGCACGGCGGTCGCACGTGTCCTTGCATCGGCGAGCGGATTATCGATTCGAGTGCCGGAAGAATCGAGCGGAATTTCGCATTAGTTGATTACACCGTCGCGCACCGGAGTATCGGCGCTTCGAGGAGAGAGGAAAAGCGAGCCGGTCGTTTCTCCTTCGCGAGACTTTCAAAAAGACAACGGGGCGACGCGTTGGGGGATGAAGCGCTTTTTATTACGACACGGCTAATATTTGCGTATTAAAGTTCAGGCGGACGAGCCGTTGGGGGTTACTTTTGCGAGACGCAAAAGTAACCCCCGACGACGCCGTACGACGGGATCGATGCTACGACAACAGATCAACAACGGCAACGTCGTCGTGACGTTTCCGCTTCTTTTGCGCCAGCAAAGTCCCGCGCACGCTACAGGCAGAAACGAAGTCGTTATTTCGAAGCGATTTAATGCACGTCTCTGTCTCTTTGTCCGCCCTGCCCACGCCGCCGGTTACGATCTTCCTCCGCACGCGAGCGCGAAGCGGAAATTCGCACGTTCGCCGGCGCGCGAATATCGTCGTAATTGGCCCGGTGCCGCACGCCGCTGCAAAATATTCTCGCCAATATTAATCTCGGCCGCGCTCGCAATCAACTCGAGATACGCTCGTTAAATCGGCTCGTTAAAATCGGTTTCGCGCCCTCGCCCGCCGCTGTCACTGCCGCAGTAATAGAGAGCGCCGTGCTGAAACGCGGGATGCGTTGGAACATTCGACTCTTTTCTTTTTTTTTTTTTTTTTTTTTTTTTTTTTTTTTCTTTTTTTTACCGGTTAAAATACTTTCCATATATGCAACGATCATTCCGGTCGGACGAAAAGTTTCCGAAAGGTTGAATTATATATGCATTTGATGTGACTTGCAAGCGCGTGCCCGACCTTTCGGGTTTGAACGCGCGAGCAAGATAAGTCTATCGCTTATTTTTGCTTTACCCTTAAAAACAATTGAAGTATATGTAGTAGTATATACGAAAACATACGGATCTTATTGTCAATAAATTTTAATAAATTTTATATGTTATAAATATCGCATCTTGTAGTCGATAGATTGATTTAATACATCCGATATACTTTCAAAAAATTTGCATTTTTTCCATCAAAGTCTAGTAAAGCCCTTTTGTATGGCGGTATGTTTCCGATTAACGACGAAATTATGCCATATGAATTAGCAATAAAAATAATTTTCTCGTTACTTTCGAAGTGGATTCTACCTTAATCAATTTTTACTATAAGGCTTGGTAAAAATATCAAGGCCAGGAGAAAAAAATATCGAGATGAAAATTAAAAAGTCGTTCTTATATAATGACGACGTTTCGCGATCAATTTCGTTTCTCACACAATTGCCCGTGATCTCATCCCTTGCGCGAATTCCTCGACTCTCGTTTCTCTTCGTGCGAAACGGTAACCACTGATCCCAGAATGATAAGGAGGAAAAGAACGAAATCTCTGTACTCAGGAGGAGCGTGCATCTCGACTTGCGCACATCACGTATATTATCGCAGTGCGGAAAAGACACCCAGTTGTATTCGCCTGGATAAACGCGCCGCGGCCGTCCTCATCATTCGCCATTCGTTAACCTATTATTCGGAAAATATCGGTATCACTATCTTGCCTATTGTCCGGACAGACGTCTGTTAGAATGACATATGACGTCGTGCACGTGATAAAATAGGAACGCCATTTAGAAACGTGCGATGTCGAAATAACGTATCACATATCGTTCGCTCGATATTCGATTCCCTTTTTTCACTCCCGGTCTTTTGTATAAAATCGTATGGGTTCGTCATACGAGATATCACGTAACTCGTCCTGATTTTAAAGCCAGATTCCCCGAAGAATTCGCGATCGATTTCCGCTTATCGAAAATGTCGAAAAAGATGTCATCGTATATCACAATTTTTCCAATTTTCGGCGTTGCCTATATCACTTTGTAAGTCTAAACCTTGAATTAAGATGATTAACGAGAAACACGATCGATCTCAACTCCGCTTTGATGTTTATTATTTTAGTCAGGGCTTCGTTCGTTCGTTTTGTAGGGAAAGCGCAACGAAATCTGTTACCATTGAAAATTTATAAGTATTTCATCGATGTGTACCGCGCGCTCGAACGTTACACATGCGTTCGGCGAGCTTGAATTTCAATAATATGGAATTTTGTAAGCCGACTTGATAATCTCACGTGTAAAATGATATTAGGTACATGTCGTTCTCTATTATAAGGTCTATTAAAAAAAGATGCTCTTTATGGGTATACCAGAAATGTATCGCATCGCGCTGGTGCAACAGCGAAATAGGAGACTTGCACGCATCGATTTCGCATAAAGTTTTCTGAAACTGTGCGTATTATCGACGAGATTAACGTTCAATCGTATCCCCTTACAGATGCAGGAAAACTTCGACAAGATATAATTACTTCTTTACAAAAATTCAGTAGAAGCGAAAATCAAGTTTGTATTTGAAGGGAACCCAATCTCGAAATACGTTTTGATTAATTTGAAATAAAATTTTACGGTTTAAAGCACCTATGTTTTTATTTGACTCTGAAGTTAGAAAAGGGAGTTAAATTCATCTCTTTAGAAAAGGCGTTTATCAGCAGAACGATGATAATTTGAGGATAAGGCAGTTTAATTGGACGTAAAACAGACGTGAAAACTAGAATCTCGAAGGTTCGGATGAACCGCTAGTTTCTACTTGAATAAAAGATATCACCCTTCTCAGCGTATATATCCATGCAAAGCCCAACAAAGCCCAGAAAGACGTTAAAGAGGGTCGAGTCGGTAGCCGCGGATATGGAGTCGCGATCTCGTATGATACTCACATACGGTGGTGTACAGTAGATGGCTTGACACCACATCGGCTCGGAATGGTAACAGACGCAGAGACTGCAGACCGCAGGTCCCGGCACATAGAGGAGGCCGTGTCTGACAGTGCCGCCCTGAAAGTCCGTGCAATTCTCTTCCAGAGCGCCTGAAACAATTTCCCATGTCGCTGATCGAAATTGGTAGCGATGTAGTAACCCGGTTTCTCCGCGACCATACGACACACACACTTACATGTATACACATATGCATTCACAACAAACCTTTACCATGTAGCATGTATACATATATACTTATATATACACACACACACGCACGCACGCACGCACGTATTCATGCACACGTACACACTGTGACTCTATTTGACGATCGAGACTGTCAATAATTCAGACCAACATCTCATTAAATCTGCTCCCTTGAGTGTCGCTTACAGAACTTTCCAACGCTCAAGCAGTTGTTAACCTTCACGTTCTTTTAAAGGGGTTTACTTAATAGGCTTAGTTAAAGAAGACTCTCTTTCTCTCTCTCTCTCTCTCTATCCCTCTCTCTCCGGCACGGTTACATCATTGAGAAACCAATGGCGCGACAAGGGTATAAAGATGGATTAGAAATTAATGCTCGAAAAAGGTTTATAAATAGAAGAGCCGAGAACGTTATAGAAATTTAATCCGTACGACGCACACACACACACACACACATACAAACGTGTCCAAAGGACACCACTGGAAACGCGCTTTGAAGGGACGTCCCCAATTTCTCGCTCTTCTCGGCTGATTTTACCCCTCGATGAGCACACGATCCAACCCTCCGCGCTCTAAGCGACGATATCGCGCACCGATATTTTAAATTGGCTTATTTATGTGATTTTCGCGTCACGCCTCACCTGTTCTCGCCGGGAGGGATAAAAGGGTGGACAGGTAGAACGTCCACGCGAGTGTCTTGATGGAGGGCCTCTTCATGGTCCACGATGGTTACTCCAGAAAAAAAGTGGAACGTGCCGCTCTCGTATCGACAGGTAGCCTCTCTTCGGAATGGTTATAGAACGGCTATTCCAGCAACCTCCGTTCGTGCACTGGCGGCAGGAATATGTTGTCTGCGCGAAAGAATCAGGATACATTTGTCATCATTATCAAACACGCGTGGGCTACCTGATGGGCGTAATACGCGCGATAATTGTCACATGACCTTAAAGACCAATTACAGCAGAGAATTCCTGATGTACGCCGCACATTCCAAGTGGAATTGGAGATTTGCGAGAAACGCGGAATAACTTGATGGCCGTCGACGGCCGCGGACGGTTACGACGTAAACAGCTCGGGACGTGTGCAAAATACACTCGTTACGCTCGTCCTTTAAACGAGATGATCTTCCTGAGAAGACGTTGGAAATAATGAATGTAAGGTTATTTCATCTATTAGCTTGTGTCCTTAATTTTTAATTTTCTGAGCAACTCCTTCGTTCTCGTCAGTGCCAAATATTAAATTGTAATCTTCTTTTTCCGTTATTATATAATTAGAACAGGACACAGATTTGCTTCTTTTGTTGAGAAAATTAGAAATAATTAGGGGAAAAACGGAGGTTTCGTTTAGTAGCTCGTGTCCCTAATTTTCTATACTAAGTGATTTCTATGCATTACTTTGTTCTACCAATTTTTTCGTTTATTAACACCATATATCGAACTGCAATCTTTTCCGCGTTGTTTTTCATTTTGCTCTTATGTAATTAAAGCAGCAGATTCTGGTAAAATCATGGTTTCTCATTTGCAATTATTTGTGTTTACATATAAATATACGATAAAACACACGAGACGCGTTTATAAATCGTTAAAGTGCATATTGCGACGACGGCTAATGAGTAAATGTCGCGAATTCGGAAATTTTAATTTTAATGCAATCTCACACGGTTTCTCTGCATCTACAGGAGGGCTCTCAATAAATGAGTTTGAAACTTTCCAATTGCTATTCATCAGCCGGGATCCCTCGGATACATGTACGGAGTTTCATTAAAATCCGGAATTTCCGAGTTTGCGAGCTTTCCCTGGTGGAGCCTCGCGTTCAACTTTTTGTTAACAAGCTTTTTGTCACTCACCGGAACTACAACTCGAGTCCAAGTTCGACGATATAGCCAGCGGTCTTGACGCAACGCAAACTCGTCTGCCAAGTGTTACTTGCGGCAAGGGAACGTGTGGGAGCGAGGAAGGGTAGAAAACGGACACTTGGCTCGGACTTCTCTCCGTCGTGCTAAGAATCGAAACCGGCTGAAGGAACTTGGACGTGTTTATTTTCCAATGCCACAGTTATGCGGAAATAATCCCCGTGTTTGTTCGCGATGATAGGAACGTGAACGCTAGCACGATCGATGAGACGGCTCGCTTCTCGCACGTCGGCTTTCGCGGCGTCGCGGAAAAACCGAGGTCGTCATGTTCCGCGCGAAACTTAGCGCGCGAGGGGTGCGTTGTCGTCAGACGGGATGCGCGCGGAGGTGCGTTTCGTCGTTAGCCGGTAGATAAGGTCACGCGAAGCGTGTAGAGTCTTCGCGAATCGATCGTCGACGCGTATTCGAAGCTTTCGCGCGCGCGTTCCTGGGACACGTGTGTGTGTGTGGATATATGTGTACGTGCAAACTTTGTTCTTCCTATACACGAGGCGTACGCGCCACGTCGTCCCGCGCTGTCGTGCATGCGCTCATCGCTCTACGCGGCTCTACTTGTCGCCTGGATTTTCTTCCATCGCGTAGAATTATAATGCGAAACGTATATAGGATATACCGTAATCTATCATGTGTCACTCAGCGAACTTAGCCTGGTAGATTATCGCGCAAGTGTCACAGTTGTGGAAGTATCATTTTTTAACATTTGAAATGCACTCGTTGCGATAGTAAATATTAGCTGCGTTTAGCAGAAAACCAGCTAGTCAGCGCTTTCCACTGCGTTCTACACAAGATTTTCTGCTGAACGACATCTAGTGATTTATATTGCTTCAACATGTTTACCAAGCGGTCCAGCGTAGTATGCTGGAAAAAATGGCGACCGTATGGTAAACATGTTGCAAAAGCGTAACCCGCTGATGTAGTTTGACAGAAAATCTTACAACATTTGCAAACTGCTGGCAGTACAGCGCAAAGCGTTTATTAAACCGTTTTCTCTGCTGAGCGCAACAATTGAACCGTGTCACTATTATCTTGAAGCGATAATATTCCCCCCGTATTTTTAATCGTATCAAATGCGATAGTAATAGAGTTAGCAACGAGAGAAAAAGCTTCGTTATAATAATGCTCTCTCACACACAGAGCAGGTTTTACCGCCACGGTTTTGCACATTCGCGTAAACTTGCCTCTCGAAAGCTTTTTCATCCCGCAAAGTTGATATAACTTATGGGCAAAGCGCTCACCTTAAAATTAAGGCGGCGAGGTGCGCCGGACTCTGACGAGATTAGATTTTGACGCGCTGCGAAACTTTAACCTTACGTAAATAATGCGACTCTATTTCGCCGATAAATTGTTCTCTTCCGCGTTTCTGTGATACATCTTATAAATAGATGAGACGTGTAAATGCGTGTATGCGCGTGTACACACGTAAGACGTATATAAATACGCGGTATAAATTGCGATTAAAGAGAGATATTATTCGCTGGTCTCGTCATAACTTCGCACAAATTGATTTTTGTTACGTTGAAAATTGCAACTTTATCACGTCGCGTTTTTCCGATTTTTGAATTTTTGAGTTTTTAATTTTATATTTTATTGGTATATAAATATGCTTTGACGTATATAAAAAAAAAAACAATTGAAATTTACCGGACAGAACAAATTATTCTGTACGAACGAAACGTCAGACTTTTTAAATCGCAGAACAACGACAGGATGTAGCGGGTTTATGTGAATAATTGACCAGCGACAATATCCACTAAATAACAAATTGTTTGGAAGATTTTCAGTCGACGATACTTCCATAATCCATCAACCGCCCGTTCCTACTGTATAATACAGGCGGACAATCGAATTGCGTGACATAAGTCTGCATTCGCATGTTATACGGATGATCGAGATCGCATTACGCTGCCGCAATCGCGTGCTCGAATATTTTGCCGGAACGGCTCTTTCGTTGCCGACATTGTCCCTCTCGCATGTTACAAATACATAAATATGCAAAAAACCGCACCCACTCGTTATAATTGGCGATACACGGGGTTTATTTGTAGCCGCGCGAAGTCGCCGCGAGTTCGTTTAATTAAGAATAGCGGTATTAAAATTTATGATTACCGCGGAATGCGAATTACCGCTGCGGCTGCAGAGGCGGGATTTCGCTTTGACCTACGGGGTGGACCCAAATCTGCGACAAGGAGCGGCACAGCGTGAAAATCCGTCGGAAATCAAACGACGAAAATGCCGGCTTAATCTTTCACTTCGGACTCCGTTATTGTTTTAAACTGAAGCGTGCTTCAATCATTAAATTTTCTGTCTGCGGGTATGTATATAATGCTATAATCACCTCTATCGCATCACCGACGGTGGCAAATGAGAAGAAAACCAAGCCCTACGGGCGTCATAAGCGTCCTTTTATTCATTTTGTTCATTTTTTTTGAAAAAAACGCGTCACGTCTAGAATTAGCCGCGTATAACGACTATTCGTTACCGAGAAACAGATAATGCGCACGCGTATGCAAACGGGCGCGAAACGATGAGTGACGGATAGTCGTTTGACAGGTAATACAACAACGAGAAAAATTGGAAGGATCCGAGCGCTCCGTGTTCCCTCGAATCACGGGAGGATGCGCAAAAAAAAGATTGATTCAAAGGGGAACCCTTTGGGGGGAAGGGAGTCAAGGGGCGAAAACGATGTCAACGACACGCGCTCGTATCCGTCACGGAATCGCGTCGCGGCTGTAAGCCCGTCGATCGGCGCGGCGCAGGGTGCGGGGGATGACGTCAAGCCCCCGGTGAACTGCGAACTTGTAAGTCAGTCCGCAGCTGACACGGGGGTACCAGCTCGCTGGGTTCACCATGCAACGGGTGGCCGGCCGGAAATAAATCCGCATAGTAGTGCATGCGGTACGCGTGCAAGAAGGAGGAGGAAGAGAAGAAGCGAAGGAGGGAGGGAGTCTGCGTTACCTTCGTGCTGCATCGCGCCTGCCGATTGCCACCTCACATCGTCCCTCGTGCGTCGGCCCGCCGCATGCACATGTGTTCCCTCGTTCTCCACCGGTCGGGGGGTTGCTGAGAAAGGGTGTGCTCGATTTCTCGAGACGCGATCCAAATTGCTGCGATCTCTACTCTCTCGCGTAAGAGGGAACCGAATTCAGATCGGCCGGTCACGATCAGGCGGGGAGAGAAAAATTGAGAGAAAGACTGAAGGAGCGATCGTGGCTGCACCGGCTGCACCGTGCTCGTCGTATGCGTGCGTACGCATATGTGTGTGAGTTACGATACCAAACGAGTCTGCAGAAGAAGCGCAACGTGGTGCAGCGGCTGGTAGCGGCGCCGACCGACTGACTGAACTCCTCCTGTCGCAGTGTGAGCGAGCGCGGCGGCCGCGCTCGCTTTCTCGCGCGGGTCGATCGAACACGTTCCGCGCACCGCGCCTCTCCCTCACTCTTTCTCTGTCTATCTATCTGTCTGTCTCGCTCTAGCCCTCCCTCGCGGCGATGAAGCCACCCTCGTGGAAGCGCAACGCACCCTTCGTCGCTGTCGCCGCCGTCTCCCTCGCGACGACGCCGTCGCCTACGAAAAAGCGCATTCGTTGCAGTCGTCGCCGCGTGAAACTTTCGTGCTCGTCTCACATCGCTATTCGCGGTAGCGAAGTGGCTGGTGCTCTCTTGAAGGGCGCGAATTTCGAGACTGTAGCGCATAGTGCAGATTGGCGGGGGAACCAGTAGGAAGCCGGGAAAGCATATAAACAAAAGTTTCGTCCGATAACCGTATTTGCAATTTTAGCGTAAATCTGAAAAGACGTCAAGCAGGTAAAGGATTGCTCGAATTTTACATAATTGTTTCGTGTGCTTGAATTTGATTCCTTTATACTTGTTGTTTCACTCAGCAGCTATCATTTGAATTAATTAAATAATTGGCTTGCCCTAGTCTGCTCCGAATGAAAAAATTCGCCTTGTATAACGTATAATTCCTAATTAATGCCGTTTGAACTTTGAATAAGTAGGATCTGTGTGTTGTATTCAGCTAATTCTCCACGCTCACTTAGAATCCTTCTTTAGAAAGCGTTTCAATTACATTTGATTTAATGATACTTATTATCTTTAATCTGATATTTATAATCTGCGTGTGCTCTATTATATATATATATGTATATTTATTTTTTTTACGGGGAATATATATATATATATATATATATATATAGTCAGTCAAAAAGTTGAGTAAAATTCTTTATCTTCCTCGACGGTAAATCGACTACTTTTTGCGATAGAGGTAGATAAATATTGCAAAAAAATATTGGTTACGGATCATAGTCAACGAGAGTGATTACTTGATGAATAATTTGTTCCTATCGAATGTAATCGAGGCAAATTTGGCGAAAAAATTGAGTCGAAATTTTTTATTGACTCAATATATTGTATATCTTTTCTCGTTTAATTCTGGAATTTCGTGTTTCGTTCTCGATTAAGCGCGTACTGATGTTGAACGTGTAGCATAGTACTATTTAAACCTCCGGCGGTCGCGTGACCAATCTACGTTATCAGCTGCGTCGATTAGAGGCGCGTTTCGATTTTCCCAAACTGTGATAGGGACCGCGATACTGAAATTGTGTTAATATCCGCGGTAGCAAGATAGGAAATATGCGGAAGAACGCAGCACCGGCCGGTGAAATCTCGGGGTTGGGAAAAAGAGATTAAAGGAATTTTATCAGAGAGACGTTGTGCCATGTTGGAACAAATCAAAGCTTTGGTTGAAGCTTCACGGTTATTGAATTTTCGCACGTTTCATTTCACACAGATATGCTTTGAACGTTTACCGTACAGAATGTGTCAATCGTTGCTCTTCTAATCAGCGAATTCACGATGGGGTTCTACGAGTAAGTTAGAAATCGAGTTACACAGAGATTCAGCGAAAATTCAAACGAGGAACTACGAAGATTTCAAGAGAATCGTCAGATTTTGAAGAAGCGATGCAGACGCACCTCGGACGCGAGAACGAAAGATACTGCGGAACATTATTGATCTATATTGTGGTCTTATCGAGTGGAATCTTGCCAATTCGTCGGGGGATGCGCGCAAATATTAGGGATCTGCGCGATTGGCTTCGAGAGCAATCCCCGAGTATGCTCAAGATATCTGATCGTCTTAATACCGAAACAACAGGATCAATTTATCGATAATTTCGAATTATTGTATATTCAAGTGGAAGATAATTTATTCGCAATCGACGCCGCAAACAATATTAGGTCCGAGCGATATCCCGAGAAATTATTATTAATAGAGCACGAGTACAGGAAGTTTTAAGTAGCGTTATTAATAATTCACCCTCTCACTTTGACGTAGATAGATTACTACAAGAACAGTTTTCCAAAATCCCCAAAGAACTCTCGCGACATTTTTCCTCTCCCGATGAGCCAAGGAGATTTTTCACATAGGCACTTATGCACCCCCGATCAGCATACTTATCTCGTTTCATTCCCTCTCACCCCTCGACTACCGCAGGCACTTTCATGCCCCCCGCAGTTTGCCGTACCCACTCAACTGTCCGTCGTCTCTCGCGCATTTCGCGCAAACACATTTGTCACCACCTGACTGTGACCCACCCCCCTCGTTGCCGTACTTTAAGTTCGGCTGCACCTCGCTGAGAACCACCACGCCGCATCGACATCACCATGGCAACCGTTTAGGATCGTGAGTGTTCTTTTCCAAACAAACGTCCCGACCGACCGATCGGAGATAGTATACGCGAAAGCCACTCGCCGCGGGAGCTGCGTGGATTAATTAACGTCCATCTTTTTTCACAGTGAGGGGGTTGGTCACCCCCCGACCACCATGAACGACTGCCTGTCGTTGAACGCGACCGCCTGTCGCGTCGCTCAACTGGCGCGGGAAAAGGTGAGAATGAACGCGACCTTTTGTCGGTGAGATTAACTGTTACGAGCCAGGACGGAATTCGATAGTTTTTTGGTAAATTGAATTTTCGATGGCTCACACACGAGAAAATCAATCGTAAATCAAAACGTTCGCTTTTCATCCCCGTGCTCCACCGTTCGATCGCGAATCGTGCTTCAGTTATCGTCGTTTAAGGAATCTTATTCATCGAATATTTAAGGGGGAGAGAAAAAAAGAGAGATTCGTGGACGTTGATCAGGACGTTTGTGAGTGTCGTATTTTCGGCTTGGATATATTTAACACCTTTTCTCTCTTTTGTCCAATCTAGTAGTTAATCGAGATCGCCGCTGAATCGTGATGTCCGCAACGTATTTAATTATTACATACACTAAACGCGGACCGAATCGATCGATCGATCTTCTAATTTCAGCGATATATTCGCGCCCGCAAATTCTATTTGCGAGGGTGGAAAAATTTTATTCTCTTCACAGCTAGCGTGCCACATATGTGTGACGAAGGAAATTCGATAATACAAACGTATATCTCGCCTCTGATGTTTAGATACATATATGTGACACGATTTTTCCCCTTCTTTTCTCTTTTTCAAAACGGTTATTTACCTTTTACCGGAAATATGGTAAAAATAACTCGGCCGGTTGTTGAACTCTCCATATCGATTATTGACGAGTGCTTAAAGCAGAAAGGTAATCCGTCACGAATAGACGTCAGTAAGACGAATTTAAACCTGAATTAATAGTTTCGTCGATATCCGCCGTCCATCGTCGACGATCTTCCCATTCACGCGTCTAATATAAGCACGCGTCGGGATAATTTTGAGCTCGACGCCACGAGAAAGTATCGTACAGCAGAGAAATTGTAAACTTAATAACGTGCGTATTAACAATCAATCAGGAAGAGAAACGTGCCCTGGAGCGTCGGCGGCATCTTGTTTACCTGATCGCTGCCTTCTTACGGGAACAAGGGTGAGCAGTTTATATTTGTGCTTAAAATAATTCACGCCGTTTGGCATTCTCGCGATCGTTATTTGTCTTCGCACACTTCCGTTCGCTTCTAATTGAGAACTTGCTTTAATAAAGAAAATATAAAAATATAAAAACGATTTAAGAAAGTAAGTAGTCGCGTACGCAAAATCGCACAGATAGTTACGCAACGAGGAGGAACCCCGTCCCGAGGTCGTTACGTAGACAACTCTCCCGTAGATATTCCAATACTGCGGAGAGCCTCTTGAAGGAAGCGCAACTCTCCCGGGACGTTCACGTATGCGATAATATCGATCTGGAGACCATCATTCTCGAGTACGCTGATTATTATTACGCCAAGTACAACAGATACCCCAAGTTCTGCAAGAAGGCGGAAGCAGCCGGGAATGTCACGCAAAATACGTATGGAATATAAGCTCGTTATATTCGCGCAGGCATAACGTAGGTCGTGCGGAAACCACCGACGGACCGGGTGTAATAGAGCTTTGAGAGTTTATTGTGTGTGCCGTACGGACTGGAATCCGCGTTTATGGACGCCCGAAGGATGAATTCGGCAATTCGGCCGGCGGCCATGCGGAAAAATACGCGATACATGATAACGGATATGTTAATATAGCTCGATATGTTGGGCGTGCTGATATATGTGTCGCGATATTAGTGAATTCAGCTCTTTTATAAAAAGCCCGGCCTTTTTATAAAAAGGCGTCCTCGACGTAAAAGGCGATGTTTTATAAAAAGACTAGTCTTTTTATAAAACGGCTGAATTTATATAAAAATCCTATTACCTGCATGTATTAGATAAGGATGGTGAGTGTGATTTTATTAGCATGTATCAGCTTCCGGCCGCAGCGAACGTTAAATTGCAATCGCTCCCGCAGCTGCGGTAAGAAGGAGAGAGTCTCGAAAGTTCTTAATTTGAAACAAGAGGACGGCCGAGCCGTCGGCGACGAGTGTAACAATATCGGCAAGAGCAGGGTCACGCAGAAGCACGGCGGTATCCTCCCGCCGAACGAGCTGAATCTCGGCATCACGGTGACGCCGATTTTCCCGGCGGAAAGCGGCGATCGAACGGCAACGATACAGCCGATACAGATGTTCGACGAAGCATTCACCGATAATAACGAGAGGATACTGAAACCTATCGGCAATCTCTACCCAGCCGGCTCCGAGCTGAAGGAGATCGCCGACGTTATATCGCGGGTAAACACGGAAATGAAATATACGATCGCGTCCGTCGTGTGTTGTCTTCGAACCGGTTAATACGGAGAAAACAAATCGGCGACGATCTAATAGACCGAGAAACAGGAGGTAAAACACGTGACACTTTTTCGATCCGAAACGAATCGTTAAAATGGGAATTGTTCGTGTCTGTGTAATTGTAAACTCTCAGTCGTATTTTCATTCGCTCATATTCTCATTAATACTTTGTAAATTAATTAATGATTCTGATTTTTCTAGAAGTACTTTAGCGACGTGGTCGATTTGTTTTTAAAATAATGTCAGCTTGATTGAATAACTGTCACGCATTTTCCTTTTGCTATCTTCCACGTATATAGAAATATAATTATTAGAGCAAGAAACTCGGTTATTATACGGTTGATGCTCGTAAGTAGACAGTAAAGAGACAGCGAGAGAACAGCAGAGTACAAGCAATGTGAAATTGGGCGAACTAATTCGCAGGAAATCGTGCAACAAAACTTGAACGTTCACTGGGACGACGTAAAGGGGCTGAAATTTTGTAAAGCGTTACTGAAGGAAGCCATAGTCTATCCAATGAAGTATCCGACTTTGTTCAGCGGGAAACTCGGTGCCTGCAAAGGTGTCTTGTTATACGGTCCACCGGGAACTGGTACGTAACCGCGAATTCGTATATCGGAAAAATGACAAATTAACGAGGAGATCGATCACCGAACGCAGGTAAGACGATGCTCGCGAAAGCCGTCGCTACTGAGTGCCAATCGACCTTTTTCAACATCACCTCGAGCTCTGTCATCAGCAAGTGGAGAGGCGATTCCGAAAAATATATTCGCGTAAGTCAGTCTCGCATTATTTGGCACTGCAAGTGCGATGCTTAAAATTCTGTATGCTTCAAAGAAAAGAAACAAGAAAAATTGAAGGAACGAGAGAATGAATTTTTCTTTTTTTCTTACAATGAAAAAGAATCGCACGACGGAGAAATCAATTGAATTCAGGTGCTCACCGATCTTGCCAAACATTACGCGCCCACGATCATTTTCATCGACGAGATCGACTGGACGACCACGAAGAACGCGGATTACGCCTCGTCGAGCTCGGAACCTGCCAGGAGATTTCGAGCGGAACTTCTCGCCAGATTAGACGGGCTGTTATCGATGGAATACATGAATGTGATATTGTTAGCGGCTACAAACGTTCCATGGTAAGTACAGAGCGTACGCGGTTATACAAAGATAACTTTGATTATTGAATCCACTTTGATATTGAGTCTACTCTCGATCATTAAATTTGAGAGATCCAAAGGAAGGATACGTCAATGTAACGTTATATTTTTCGAGGGAAAACCTCATCTTCGAGTTAATATACGAGTTATCCCGTTTATTTTTAGTCCCTTTGAAGATCCTTTCTTACCTTCATGTTCCAATTTCGAGCGAGTTTTACGTTGTCCAGGAACATAGACGTCGCCCTGTTGAGACGTTTAGAGAAGCGGATCTTCGTGGATCTACCTGATCGGGCCAGTCGATTGGAAATCTTGCGATTTTACGTGCACCGCGATCTGCACGAGTCGCCGGAGATGTCGGAGCTCGTGCGAGAAACCGCCGGCTATTCGTGCGCGGATCTGAAACTATTGTGCAAGGAGGCGTGGATGAATCAATTACGGCCCGTTTGGACCAGACTTGAGAGTAAGGCTCTCACGGTGAATGATATTCAGAACGACGGTCTGATCAATGCGATGAGCCACATCGCGCTCGCTAAGAACACCGTGAAACCGATCGCCAAGCACATGAGCGACCAGTACGTTAAATGGCACGAAGAATTCGGTTCCTTTGGATAATCTTTTGTACAGATGTAGGCAAGCTTGAAGCCAATTACACTAGGAAAATGCGATACGCGCGATTATTTGGTCAGTAAGCGGAGTTTTTCGTAAGTGCGAAGCAATAACAATTTCGCAACGTGTAATCGAGATTCATCCGCGCAAGTACCATGTTATAATTTATTCACGTTACAGCGCCAGTTACGTTAAAAGAGCAAAAGCAGATATTATATTTTTAATTTAATTAATCAAGTCAAATCTCTCTTACAAGATGTATTAGAATCCTTCGTTCTCACGACACGTATACACGGATTGTTAGAATTTCTATATTGTTTTTTTTTTCCGAGAAACGCGTGTAAACGTTGATTTTATTGATACAAACTTATATATTAATACAGAGTGCATGATACAAGCCGTGTTGCATTCTGTTGGAAAATAAAAGCTTCCACTGTGTTAAACCATCAAACTATTAACAGTTCTTCCTCTTCTGCCATTTTAGATTTGCTTGTTTCATTCCATGATAGTAACCTACATGCAATACAAAATCATGAGATTATGATATATTTTAAGCGTGGAGAGATACTTAATTTTATTTCTGAGTTAGAGAAACTTTCGAATCATTCTTTACTCTAAAGAAGCGAACTGAAATGTTCACGAAACATCGAAAACAAATCTATGAAGGATGCGGTGCTAATTTGGAAGCCAAATTAAGTATCATGAAAATGTATATGCTATTTTTTCCTTTTACAAAAGAATTTAAAACATTGATATAAGTATATATATTATTTCTTATTACCTAAAACTATAAAATTACCTGTGTGAAAGCCACTTATGTACCAAGACATTAACATACTAGATAACGCATCCGTGTCGTTCTCAGGTAATCTGTAAATAAATATCGTTAGTTTTCATGATGACACAAGCGCAGTATGCTTTGCTAACTCGTCGTCCTTACTTGGCCATTAATTGCGGCGGCAAAGGCGGTGCGGGTGGTACTCCGTCTATTGACATATCAAAAAACGGCCCTGGCATAAAGCTATTTTTGTACAACCTGGGATCTTCCGTATCGCAATCCATCTTTTCGCCGTTCATCTGTTTGGAGTTCTGTCGAACGGAATAGTTGGACGCATCGGAATCACAAGCCTGCTGCTCAGTCTTTTCCGCAAAGGCATTCTTCTGTTGAGCGATCTGACTTTCCAATCCATTGGATTCCAGAAGAGAATCCAGTTTTACTTCCTCGGTATTATCATACCCTGTGAGAATATGACAAACTAGTGTCATCTATGTGACAATATAGATATTTCTTGCATCTGCACATGCAGATTGTTTTATTATTGTTTCATTTTAATTTTTACTTTACTGATAGAAACATTATAAGATATCAACATTGCCCAATATAATTACCGATGAATTTCACCATGCATACATCAGAATTTTCATAAATTTTTGTTACAATAGCTTCATAAATTTCCCCATCTGCTGTATACACTGTACGACATGGAGCACCAATGGTCCATTTCTGCCAAATCATAGGAGAAAATGACAAAATATGAAATTACATGATATAATGAAACAATAAAATGATGTGATAAAAGTATGAAAATATATAATAATATAAATGAAAGTTTAGTTATGTACTATACTTTGACAGGCTTCTTTGCTTGATTTGAACGTTTAGAATTTTGAGACTGTTGTTTTGACAGCCGGCCTTGAGGATCTCTAGCAATGCGTTTAGCTACTTCCTCCTTCGCCAAACTGACAGCTCTGTCATATGCTTTTATCAAAGCTGTATCATCCCAGGTGGTTTCATCTTCATTCTGAAAATTATTAGCCGTTGTATAAATACTGTAGAAACTTTTGTTATCTTTTCTATTTTCAAGTTTCCTTTTTATATATATATATATTTCAAAATTAGTTTTTATATAACTTCTTGTATACATTCCGTATTTTATTTCTACAAAGCAAAAGATTCATCACAGTCAAGCTAAAAACCCCAAACCGTTAATCTTTTGAGTTAAGAAGTTTATCTATACTTAATTGTCAAATTTGTCATTTAAAGTTCAAATAAATATATCGAATATGTAAGACAGAAAAAGAAAACAACATACAGAGTATCCAAGAGAGATGTAACGCTTGTCTGAGACTATTGCAATGTGATTCTAACCTCTTCTACTAGTGTTTTATATACGAAAATGCTTACGTACAACTCCGTCTCCCCTGACGAATAGCAAATTGCTATTATCAGACATTCTAGCGAGAAATTATTCCAATGTAAGTTAAATTTCGTTCCTGAGGAGCAAATATGTCCAACACTTTTCAACGTGCACCACCACAATTTTGCGACAACTCCATTGTTTGAGGTAACTTATGCTTGTTTGAAACCGAAGGTAAATCTTCGTTACCAACTGAGGTATTCGAGAAACTGATACTTGGATATTGTAAGTTTACCTTATGCTGTACGTACAGCGGTGAAGTTCTGCGTCCACGTTAACTACAGCTAGAGGGTCAAAACGGAAAACATGAGATTTTCCTGGATTTATATCAAATGACACGACATTTTTCTTTAAGCATTTTATTTTGCTTATAGCCGTATCGGATCTTCTCGGTACCGTGAGAAGTACGAAAGGCGAACTCGTCGCTACAAAAATTATTAGGCTTTGTAACAAATAATGTTCCTTTTGAGCGTCGATGGATGTTAACAGTATGTTTTTATTATACACTTGGCCCGAGGCTGAGGAAAGCCTGTAGTGCCTGCCGACTCCAGGCCAAGGCACATGTTTTTTTCTTTTCTATATTTTTTGTAATCTTTTTCCTCACTCTTTCTCTCTCTCCCTCTTTAGCAATCAACTTAGAGTAGATTCGTAAAGATCTTCATGGGCGATATTGAGTTATATTATCACACCAGTTGTGTAGCTAAAAACATGTTGGTCTTCGATGCATTCGATCGTGTTTTCGTTTATATCCTATGACATGGGGAAAATAAAATCAGTGTTATTTATATGTTATGTTGCATTCAAACTGCACCGTTGCACTCAAAAATCTAATACCAAGATAAAAATATACTATTACTCATCAATAAATTAAAACAGAACTCTCATCATCAAAAGAAATTAATTACGAATAACAAAAAAAAAAAGTAATATTTTATTCTTTTATTTCCTTTTGCAAATATCAATGTCATGCAATATTGATGCAATTATATTAGTAAAATTTTTTTGACTTTGTTATAATTTCTGAGAACTGTAAATTATTACATGACAAACGAATACAGAATTTTCAGAAATGTTGAAAGAAAATGTTTTAATTATATGTAAAAATCGTTTCGTTCGGGTTATACTGATCTTCAAGTATATTCTAGATACATCCTCAAAAATCAAGATTTTATCTGCTTTGGCGTCACTGCGCCGTCTAAATGGATAGTGACTGAATCAATCCTAACTCGTACTCCATACGTAATCGTGTCTTGTACCTGTGCTAGATTCCCATCTGGTCCTGAATGTTGCAACTCGCAAAACGACGCCATGTTGTACGTAAGGATCACGAGGCTTTACTTTGAAGTTGTGCCGTTAACGCCGCAGTTTCCTGCTTCATCTGCTTTAAATCGGCGGTTATCCTTTCCAAATTAGCACCCACGTTCTTGGCGGACTCGGTATCAATCTATGTAAATGTTAGATCGCAGAATGTTACACAGGAATTTTACGTGTGCTCGCAAATCTATCTTTTCGATTCTCTCATTGTATTGTCGACTTACCTGTTCCTCCAAATCCCTGATCTCTCGTATCGTCGCCCCTGTCTCCTCGACAAGACTCACGAGTTCGCTGCAATCTGAATGTAATGTCGCCAACAATTTGTACGCCTTCCTCGACGCTTCGTTCGTTCTCGCGTCTCTGAATATCAATTCGTCGACGACGGTAAAGGACCTCTCCAGTCTACCAGTAAGTGTGTTAATCTCTTTTTGGATTTCTCGAGTATCAGCTAGGACTTTGCTTATCTCGTCACGTTGTTTTCTGACGTTATTTATTATCTCTAAAATTCGTTGAGTATATGCAGATCTGTTCACCTCCCTCGGGAGTTTCTGGACCTCCGCGACCAGCTGCGAATATTGCTGATCTTTATTTCGGCATTCCTCCTGAAGCTCCTTTTCCTTCTCTTTCAGCAGTTTTATTTCGTCCAGCTTCTTTTGGCTCGCGTTCTACGTTCCAAGTATAACACAAACGAGAAGTATATTAATCGCCCCATAAACTCGTTTTAAGAAATATATCACAAGGCTTTGATGAATAGATTACCAAGGATTTAAGATGTACAATCAATTGTAGACGAAAAAATCAATAACAGCAGATGATTGAGAAAGGTCTGAATAATGATCGAAACGATTAGGTAATTCTTAGAAAAGTCCGCTCGCGATATGCTACTTGTTATTTTAGATTAAGAGAATATCACAATTTGCGTCTTACGTCGATTCTTATTGGCTTTTTCATCCGCAATTGATTATACATTTTATTTTACATAATGTTGCAATACTTACAGCTTTTGTAGAATGTTTCTCTCTTTCCTGCCTATATTTCATGATCAGAGGTAATCTGTGCTTCTCCCATTGATTCGCTAAACTGATCAATTTGTTTGTGCTAGCCTCTATTACGGATTCCAATTTCTTTATATTTTCCGAGCCGTCTTGTAGCAGTTCGTATGTTCTCGCTTTGATCTTCTTTTGTTCCTCGCTAGTTTTTAACTCTTTCTCCTCATTGTGGCTGGTTACAGTCGCCTGTGTTAATCTAGTAGTTAACTTCTTCATCTCATTCTGTAATTCTTCTATGCTTATTCTAAGACTGTCACACTCCACTTTCATGCTCTCTATCTCAACTTCTTGTTTCGCTTCATTCTTCAACGTTTCCTGATCTGGAAGCACTGAATGCGTTGCAGACTCTTGTTTTACCTGAGAATCCTGAAATATAACGATTACGTTGAATATTTATATTTTTTGTTGAGCTGGTATATGTAAAAACATGTACTTGAAGCAATAACTGTTATTACTTTAAATATCTTCGAAATATGAGAAGAAAATAATGTATCTAATAGAATCTATAGTGATACTATTGATCATCACTTCGAACATTTTCTAAGACGGATCTACAATAGATGTAATAAACTTTTTTCACTAAGCCTTAAGCTGTAACTTAATTTCTGATAGAAAGCATTTCTTGCCCTGTCTAAAGTCGCAATCTCTAAACTTTGAGCAAGTTTAAAACTTAACAAATCCGACCTAAACTTTTTCTCATCTTAATCTAACCTTTAATAAAGTATTTTTATTTTTTGAAGATATTCAAGGTAATAATTATTGCCTCATCCCATATATATATACTTACTGTCGAGATTTGTGTCTTGTTGTCTGATGAAAACTTGCTAAGCTCATTAACAATGTTATGTGCAGTGGGATAAGCAGCTTTTTCAGACTGATGACTGTTGAGCCAATTTATACATTCCGTAATATCCATAGAAGAGGCATTAAGCGCTCTTGCGTTATACGATATTATGGAAGGTAAAAAGCATGAAATGTTTTGCATTTGATCAGGCACTGGTTGTAAATAATGCATATAGTAATCCTTATAATCTACAATAACAAGGATACTTTACTCGTGTGGTAACGACACTTTTCTTTCCTTTCTGACATGAAAGTAAAGGTAAATTTGACTATTAATATTGATATTGCATACCATCCTCTACATTCGCTACCGGCACTTCAATATTTACAGACGTGTAAGATGTATTAGCTCTCCCTCTGTTCCTGAATCCCTTTTTGTGACAATAATGCGGCAACCATGGTATTGAAAGTCCTTGTGATATGGCAGATGCAACTGACTTCTCTAACAGGGCAACCTTACTCATCGACTCATTTACAGTTTTTTCACTCTCCTTTGGCAGTTTTTCAATGAGAAACATGAATACTCTCCGCAAATCTGCTTCTGAGTTGTATAGAAATGTTTGATAACCGATATCACCTCGGTACCCGAGTTCCTGAAATTTTCATTGACTAGTAGTAAATTATTGGTAAAATTAGATAATCATATTCTTCAAATTGGTTTGTTCTGAAGAGATATTTACTGTACACAATTGTGCAAGAGTAGCACCCAGTCGAAAACGGGCTGCCATATTCACAGGTAGTACAGTCGACAATCCTAAACTTGGCCTTATTGCTTCTAAGCATCTTACTGTCGCTTCCACAACTAATTCAGTATTAAAGCCACTTAAGTTTGTCACACTCTCTTCGATGTCACTGAAAGTAATATATGTATTCTATAGCAGCTATAATGCAAAATTTTCTGAATAATAGCCAAAACATCTCTTGGTGTGCTCCAATAAGTTAAGAACTAATTCAACAAATAATATTTGTTTAAATTGTAATTTAAGCCCTTAAAAATTTAAGTTATTTTAATCTCGACACACTGATTTTGTTGTGAATTACATCTGGACATTCTCGTAAAAACGCTGTTCGCTTTGCGCCGAGAAAAATCAAGCGATGACAGTTTCGACAAGCCGATCATCGCCAATGAACTCACGTGCACAACACAGAGTCGCAAGGAACAATCATAAACACTGTTGACCCCGGCATTTCGGGAAAAACCGCAAAATCTATCGCTCACGTACTTGCGCGAGCGCAACTTACCAGCCTATTTGTCGCAACGAGTGTATTATTATATTGTCGATCTCCTCCATTCTAAGTAAAAAGATGAAAATCCTGGGAGCCGCTACCGCCCCGTCGCCGTATCTGGCCGTATCGCGTGTTTATGGGTGCGTTCGGGAAGCGCGCTGTGAGCGCTAAAACGTTATTCTATCTTTGTTGCTCATTAAATAAAAAACAAGGATAGATTGGCTCTTTAATGTTGATAACGCGATCCCCGAACGCACCCTATGAAGTTCGGCTCAACTCGAAGGACGGACGATGAATCGATTCTTTCTCTGCTAAAGAATCGATTGTGTTCTCGATGGCTATAAATTAAAGGTCTATGCACATATTTTTAGTCGTAACTGTGAATTCGTAAGAAAACTGACCAGTCGCAGCCGATTATTCTTCAACGGCAAGGAGAATAATCAGCTGTAATTAGACAATTTTCTCACGGATTTACGATTATGATTAAAAATTTGTTACGTGTTAAGGCTTTAAAAGTCAATAGGTGGGACTATGGAGACCTCTCGCGGAGACCCCGGAACTATAAAATCTTATTTTTCGTATTTTAAGATAAAAATAAAGAAAAAATCATCTTCTAATTATAATATTCGTAATCAAGAGAATCGTAATAAAAAATAAGAATTTGTAGTTCCGGAATCTCCGCAAAAAGATTCTCTCTCCACTTCCGCAGTCTTTCCCGTAAGTCTTTAAATCTTTTCCCAAAAAATCGCTCCGTATTAAAATGTAGACGATTTTCCGGATTTTTTTTTTTCACGAATATCACACGATTAGAAGGCGATTCTTTCTTTTATTTCGGTCCGAGAACTAAAAGTATGAATTTGTAGTTCCGGGGTCTCCGCGAGAGACCTCCACGGTCCTTCCCGTAGCCCCTAAACTGTGCTAACTTCAGGCAGCACTGTAAAGATCAATTATTGCGGCCGCCTTTGAGCGGCCCGCATTCCGCGTTCCGCACGTTGTAGCGTTCGGTGTGCGTCGTTCCTTGCGCGTCGCATCAGCACGCTCAGCTGTTGTCTCGCCGTGAAATGACAGTTCCGCCGCGGCGGCGGTGCTGGTGCGCGATGTGGAAATTAATTTTGTGAAGAAGGCGGTGCTGAATGTGAAAGGGACAACGCGGAATTGCTCGACGGGCACGACGACGAGTACGACGCGGACCCGCGTCGGGAAAGATGAACGGCAGTCTGGGAATAGCGCGCGGCTCGGAGCAACATCCACAGCGTTTCGCGGACTACTTCGTCATATGCGGTTTGGACAAGGACTCGGGCCTAGAGCCGGACAAATATTTTGGTAAATATTTTCTTTCGTTTCCGCAAAACTCTCTTTCTTTTCTCTCTCTCTCTCTCTCTCTTTATATATGTATATATATATATATATATATATATATGTATGTATATCTTCTCCTCACCCTCTTCTCTCTCTCTCTCTCTCTTTGCGCACCAATACATCACTCACTACCCGCGTTGAACTATTATTCTCGCTCTCAGCGCGGAATAAAACGACCGCGAAGGAGAATAAGAGAAAGAGAAGGAGGGAGAAGAGACGGAGAGAGAAAGAGAGAGAGAGGCAGGCAGAAAGATCGCGTGAGCGTGAGTTGCGGGCACGTTGAATTCGCGAAATCTCTCCAGCATTGCGTAACGCTCGATAAAGTCGCGAATGCCCGGTCCCATATCGCGCCTTGTCGGGTCACCTTGTTCGCCGTAAACATCACACGTGGACGGATGATTGCGAATGTTGCGGCGGAGGAACGAGCGCGGTTTGCTCGTCTCCGTTATCCGTCTCGCGAGTCGTTAGTTATCCCGCCGTTCGTGATGCAGATCGCGGCGGCCCGACGCTTAGCTACGCAGCCTCCGATTGGCGTTAATTATTTTATCGACACGTGACGGCCACGAGAATCGATGCCTCTCGTCCGGAGCAGTGTCGAGAACGCTGAAATCGGAGCTGTTCGTGAAATATAGAACAGCGTGTTTCAAGAACGATAATCTCATTATTGCCACGCCGCTCGCGACGCGCGCAAATTCCCCTCAATGAAACATTGTGCGCGCCTTTCCGGATAACTTGGAAGTAAAATAAATAATATCGTTTCGCGTGCGATACCCGGAAAGACGGACAGTTGTTTTGCGGCTTGAAATGAAGCTCGATTGTCGCGGAAGAAACAAGCAAAAGGATAATGTTAACTTTGTTTTACATCGCGATAGACATTATTTTAATAAACGTGCTAAAGGGAGTTTTATTAAAAAGTTTTATTAAAAAGGCAAAATGTCTCAACGTCATATTGACGACTCCGACTCGGCTTTTGAGCCGTACGAGCATGTAAGGGCGGATTGATCTTGCACGAGGCAAACACACGTGACACAAGGCCACGATTAATTTTAAAGACTTCATTTGGACGGGCTCTCGTATTTGATCGGACAATGTTACGCAAGAATCAATTAACCCCATCGAGCGGCGACAATGTCGCATAAATTGAGCGTCGAACGTGGAGTTTCACGTTACCGACGTTCGCGCGTAACATATTCCTCGTTCAATTTCACGGAGATTCAGGCGCACCTCACCGTATTAATTACCATTAAAACGAAAGGCGTGTTCCGTTTTAAAAATCCGCCCAAGTGCGAAGAAACACGTCTGTTTCTCGCCTCAGCCGCACGGTCAGTTGCGCACCCGCCGCACTTAAAACGAAACTTTCCGCGTGTAAAATAAAACGGATGTGCATTTGAGCTTTCTAGAGGAGCGACGGAGGATAGGGGAGAGAGAGAGAGAGAGAGTGTAAAGGGAGAAAGATACAGAAGCGTAGAGAAGGCAGCTGAGACGAGCGAAAACCTTTGTATATGGATAAAGAGAACGTTTGACAATCGATTCTTTCACAAGAAGAGCAGCTGCGTGCCTCTTCTTTCTTTTCCTAGAGAGAAGGTTGATCGGTTCCCTTTCAAGGCGCACAGTGGCCGTATCTATCCCTACCTTCGCTTTTCTTTATCTTTCCCTACTTTCTTCCTTCAATAATCTCCTGCCGGTATTTCACCGCAGATTTCACCGTAGAAACATTCAAATATCACTATCAAATACCGATATCGCGGTACCATTATGCTTGTGAACAGACGGCATTTTTCCGTATGATAAAGCGGTATATAGAAGATTGAGCAATCGCGAAACGGATCTTGGGTCTCTTTGTCGTTTGGACCACGTACGCCTCTGCTCGTATGCCTGGGGCCACATGTACAACGGGAACAATACGCGCGCAGCGGGCGGCGATCTCGGAGGAAACTCCACCGTAAAATCGTTCGAGGACGACGACCTACCGCGGGATATAGATGGTTCCGCCGGAAAGGAGACTCCTCTGAGAAAAGTCTTGCGTCTAAACATGCTTTTATTTCGTTAACGCAGTTCGTTTCGCTCGTTCTCAACTCAGTTAGCTGTTCTTGACTAAACATCGTCTCTTTCGTCGCTTCGGCACCCCAAGCCGTCGAGATTATTCATGGGAGACAGGGGTGGCTTTATCGATTAATTTAAAACGATAGAAACGAACAACTAACTCGGACAAAATAAGTTTCTGTCTTTCTTCCCCTTTTCTTTTGCGAATGGTATCCTCGATAAACGATTTCTCCAGTGGATATACTGAAAGAAAAAAGTGCTACCGTTTAATATTTAATATTTATTTGATCCTAGTAAAATGGCTATTCTATTCACTTTTTAGTGAATATTTACTAAAAATGGAAATATAATTGTCTGAATATATATAAAATATGATCTTTTCTTCGTACAAGTAGAGACATTTACTTGTATGTTAAAACAATTTCGATAAGTATTAAATAAGTATTAAAAGTATTGATTTAACGAGTTGAAAAAAATAATTACGTTTACTTGATTCCAACACTTTTTTCTATATATGGAGGGATGATTTGATTTATAATGGAGTATGCGCTTTTTTATAGTTGATCAGCGCGATCCATGACAATATCGGCTTGAGAGTGAGCGAAGGGAAAGTTATTATGTAATATTATTTATAATATAATCCAATAATATATCCTGGATTGTATATGCGAAGGATAAAGTTAGCTCTTAGCAAGATTGACAGCCTTCAAGATGTGCAATGTAAAAACATTCATGGGTAAACGCGTGCTCGAGAATAAGGTCAAAGTTTACGAGCACAGGGAACGATGCTTCCGCTTCATCACACACCGGATATTTCCGTCGGATTCCGCAAGCGGGCAAATGGCTTTCGGAGGATTAAGATAAACTCGTTGTGACTTTGGAATTTGACACACCCGTCACCAGTAATCTCGTTAAGAGAAATTTATTACCGCCCCGAAACGACGGCCGAAGTAAAATAAGAATAGAAATATCTAAATGTAGATACTCGTCTCTCTCTCTCTCTCTCTCTCTCTCTCTCTCTGTCCCATTATTTTAAACGGAGAAAGTGAAACACGATAAATTTAAACACAAATCAATTAGTAGATGCATCGCAGCGACTTGAAATGAAGCAGGATTGTATGTTGATGTTTTATCTTCGAAACAAGAAACAACTGTTAGCTTTTTTTCTCGATAATAACTTCTTCTTTGTTTGACATGTTCTGTCGGTCAGATTGAGCGTGTCATTTTCTTCGTGTTTCCGATCTTTCCCTTTAAACTATCACTCACCATCCAGCTGGTTTCTCCGCCAACAGCAAACTTGTGTCGAGTTCTGCATTTGCAAATGTCAATAACCGGTGATCCCCGGCCGGATAGCACTTCACCCAGTTTCAACGGCAGTCCTTCATTTTCTCCGCTTCGAACGCAATGAAACTCGGCCGCTAAATTGGCGATTCCTCATCCGTATTGGAAATATCATAATCGTCGAACATGACGACGATCGACCAGCGTTTTCTTTCGTCGATTATCTTCAAGCAATTTTATCACGCATAAAAGCGCGAAAAGTGGCGAACGCAGCGATTTTCAGCCGATCCTCTCGTTTGCCCGCATTTCCCCCTTTTACAAATATCAGCCATCGATATCCTTATGCTACTTTCACTTAGGGCCTCGCCCTTCTTTGCGTACGCTCGAAGAGCGACGGTTTACGATAGGGTCGTATTATTCCGCAAGTTTAAGTATTTTTGTAAGCCTCTGCCAGATTTTAGGTAAAAATAATGTATCGCGACTAAAAATATTCTCACAAGCTTTTTATCGATAATTATAACTGGCTCTCATCTTCCTCTCCCGAATTGTCGTCATACGTATTCCGGTCTCAAAGGACACTTTATTAATTAAATTTTCTTTATTTATGTATTAGTATAGTAATAGTACAGCTATTTTTATGGAAGGCTAGGATGATATTATCTACTTAAATAACGTAAAACAAACGTAGTTTCACGAGTAAATTTAGTCAAAAATTTCTGTTCAATTTTTGAGTCAAATCTTTATTGCATTCAATAAGAATGAAATTATTTACTTAATTGTCGTCGTTAATTCTCCGTCTATAGTTCTTCGCCAATATTCTGACAACATTCGTATACCTCTGTCGTAGAAGGTAATAGCTGATTTACGATAAAAAAGTCATTTAAAATCGAACCGAACTTTTTTTTGATCAGCTCAAAATATGATCGAGGAATAATGAAAGTGTCTTTGATAAGAATCGGAGGAAATGGCTTAGGATCTTACGTCTAGAAATTATTTGTTTGCAACGATCGACGCGAGACACGCTTCTTCTTTTTATTTATCGTTCGTTAGAAATGTTTGTTACGCTCGCGTGCACGTGCATCGTACGCCTTGAGCCTATAAGCTCGCTTCCGCCTTTTAAACGCACACTCAAGTGCCGGTAGCCCCTTCATGTACAAATGACCCCGCATACGATGACATCATACGTACTCGCAAGAAGGGGAGAGGCAACTTATTCGGGCAGGACGACATGGCACTTTGGGAAGGTCTAAACTGTGCACGGGAGCGGAACAAAAAACATGCGATTTACCATTCTCGCCTTCAAACAAATTGTCGCGTACTGGACAATCCGTTTGAGAGAATTCTTCCAGAATCACGTTCGTCAATCTTCCCTCTAGACCCATATGAGATAATTTTTTCGTCATTGACGATAATTTTTTCCATTTACTTTTTGTAGTTGTCGATAAGATATACGAGAATGACATTTGTGGCGCAAACCTCGGAAGAACACAGCCGTACAAATTTACATATTCCTTAACGCCGTTAAAATTGCCTACTAACTCTATCACTACTAACTCTGGACTTAATTTGTTCTTACGCAAAAACCCACGATTAATTGAAAGGATGTTGGAGCGACAGCCGAGCTTCGAAGGGAAAGCACCCTCATCTAAGCGGGACTAAAAATGTAGTAGTCAGTAAATTATTGACGTTTTAAATATGATATGGAAACGAACATGTTGAAATGAATATGCGAGAAGATATTAAAGTATGGGAAAGTACGATGAAACGAATGAATAATACAAGAAAAGAGAGAGAGGGAGAGTTACATACTATTACTGCTCTACTTGTTATCCTACATCTATACGTGTACAGATGCATAAAAACCGTTCGATCACTTTACTTTTTTATTAAGCTTTTCATCTTGATTTTATTGATATATCGTTATTCTTGAATGTAGTCGAAAGTGCAGGACATTCATTTTGTACATAAGAACTGTAAACATTTTATATTAATTGAACGTTTTCATGAATTAATAGTTCTACGCACTAAAAGTGTAACGTTATATATAATTTTTAAATTTTCTCGTTCTTATAATCTTCAGCTTACCATTCCGCATTTTAAATTTTACGTGTATACTTTACACGTATAAAAGGCTTTTAAATTTTGTAAAGCCATCTCGTGGAAAAGTGGGCTCTATAATGACGGTAATCGTCGATCATTCTAGCATCCTTTTAAAAGTGCAACTTCCCTAAGTACTTTACATCGTGAATGTTTTGTTCGAGAAAATTTTGTTTTCCAGAAATTTTGGTTCTTGACGTATCCTCAACTTAATTTTTATTAATCTTAATCTTAATTTTATTTTACCTTATTAATTTTATATTTGTTACATACTTAAATTTTTATATATTTGTCAATATTTTCTAACTTATATATCTAAATTATATATCTTTTTTTTCCTTTTTTTTTTTTGAGAAAGTAACATTTCTTTTTAGGACGCTTTATATTTGGTAATTTCATAAAGATCCGCTCTCTTTTTTTTCGGACTGTCGCGTGACGCACGCGATTGATACACGCACTTATAAGTACGCACGGACCTGTACACGTGACACATGCACGCGCGTCCTTGTGCGCCGCAGCCGGATTCACAGAAAATATTCGTTTGTCCGGTGCCTCGTGCGTGCATCGTGTTCTCGAATCAATACTTTCCGCGGCATGGGGGCATATCGGTCTTTTTATTATTCGTTTTGTCCTTCCCCACTCTCTTTCCTTCCTCCACGGACCTGCTTTTCTCTTTCTGTTGCCGTACGTTTATTCGCTCTTCTTGTATACTTCGTACAACGTGAATGTAAATAAATCCACACCATACGACGTTTATCCTCGGAGATAAATATGCGGAACATTCGTGCGTGAAATCATCGATCCCGGCGAAAAGCAGGATGAGAATTTTCGTATGTGTGAAAATGCGTTGGACTTATCGTAGAACGAGATCATCTTTGTTTATAATTTTTTTTGTACNAAATATTAACCCTTTGCACTCGAGGGCTCCGGAGCGGAGCCATTTAAAATTTGTCTTCAAACTCGAGGGCTCCGCTATGGAGACAATGTAAATAACTTTGAGTTCATAACATAAGGACAAAGACAAATCGTAAAAACTATTGTGTATAGGATATTCCGCTCTTGCTATTTGCATTTGAGTTTGAAGAGTTTGAAGACAAATTTTAAGTGGCTCCGCTCCGGAGCCCTCGAGTGCAAAGGGTTAATATTTATTTTTAAAAAATTACCATGACGATAATTTGCATACCTTTCACGATGCAATATGAAATACAACTTTTTCACATAGCTCCGCACGATATCCACACGCGAAATACAGTTGTATACATCAATGTCAATTCGATTTTTTATTTGTCATGCATATTTTTCAGTTTTTTCCAGATTGATTCATAATTAATTGCAAAACAGAGATTAACTTGCGGGCGATTAGGAACGGTGGCGCGAGACCGCGTGTTTTACGACTAGTCGTCCCATTACCGTCACTAACCGCGTTATGCACTTTAATATTGCACGTAAGAATGTAATTATGAATATATACTCGTAATAGGATCATCTTGGCAGCGATGCGTGCACGAGAGTAGAAAGTATGGAAGAAAAAAGTGCAGCACATTGAATGAGTGGATTTAAAGAGGTTCTAGCACTAAATGTGCCGTATTTCCAGTGGCGGATTAAGAGGGCCTTTCATAAATTTATTATTTATCAAACAAAATTTCATTTCTATACATTTATTTCACTATAGCTTTTTAAAGTTCGATTTTATACATAAATATAACTAATTAGATTAGGAGAAATTTGGCATATATTACTAATATGCACACATATACAAGTTTATAATTAAACACCTCGGAAGTGATACGGTGAAGATTATTGAAATTTCTGTCACGCCTTGTTAAGTCGATTAACTTCTGTATCATGTATATGTTACAAATTTACCTTATATTTGATCGAATTTCCTTAAGACCAACATATTCGCGTAATAACTAAGAACTCGCGTAAGAACGAGGAGGATGTGTAGTAAAAGTTCGAGCGTGCGATCTTTTTTCCTTCCTCCTCTTCCATGAGCGCTGGCTATCGTTGTAGTTGCAACGCGTTCCTACAATAATTAAATGTCCGTTGAAAGTAAGTTTTTTCTAAGGTTTTTCCAAGCACGTACATACACTCTCGTAAGACACACGGTAAATATATCGCGAAATTATAAACACGCACGAGAGAGCGCTATAATATGCCGCGCTGAGGCATTTAACCAAGGAATCGACTAACGATATTCCACGCTCAATTGAACACGATGACGACAGACCTGCGTAACTCGTTTTCAGGGAGGATACGTAATGATTTTAGATAAATAAATTACGGATAACTTTTTTCTATAACGCGCGCTTACGCGTGTTGCCTCACACGCATTTTATCGCTTGATCTATACGGAAAAAAAGTTTGGTTGAATTTACCAGACAATGAACGAACCAAACAGAATTTCTTCATTTGGGTCATGAGAATCAGAATCTGAATTTGTTTCCTTCAACCAAAACGTGTTCGGTCTGTTCACTGTCCGGTAAATTCAACCAAACTTTTTTTTCTGTGTACGCGCAGAGAAAAGTCTGTCTGGTCTTATTTTAAAGTCAATACGTTGAAGAGAAAACACGTGGCTTTGGTGTTATATCGGTTAGTTAGCTCTATCGCTTTTTTTTTTTTCATATAAATTCGTCGCGGTATTTACAGCGTTGCTATCGCGATATTCATTATATAAACGAAAATCCGAATATGGTTCTCTCTCCCTTTCTCTCCATGTGTGACGCGTGACGTTTTCTAAAAATACACATGAGACGGCGGTTATATGAAAGGACCAAAAGACTCGCCCAAGCAACCGATATTCAGATTTATTATTCCAGAATTTACATGTGTGGCTGCGTGAGTGTATGTGCATGTGGATAAACGAAAATATCGGGGAAAGCTATCGGCACGTTAATCGAAACCGGCGATTTCGACGACGACGACGACGACCAAACTAACTCGGTCCACTGGATTATCATCGCCACTCCGTGCACGTCATTTCCAAGCGGAGATTGACCCGCAGGCCAGTTCATAACGTCAATTATGATCCCGAATTAAAATCAATCGCATATGCGTTTCTATAGGCGCACTTACGCGCACTTACACGGAAAATATCTCGACTAAAAATTCTAAAATCGGAGTACTAACTTCACATACTTTAAAAACGGCACATCAATGTTAATCAAAAATGATGTGAGTCGTTTAATGGATTCTGTTATCGTATCGGTTAGCTGGCTATCGCTTCATTTTTTTTTATATAAATTCGCCGTGATATTTATATTTGCTCTATTGTAATGAAATATGCGAAGAGTGTGTTACGGATATATTTATTATTGCGTATTTTTATAGTGACGCGTCATACTGATCGTGTTGTCGCATCACGGCTCAGAATTAAATTAAATTAAATTCAGCAAATCGAAGTGAAAGAGAACTCCGTGTAACAGGATATACGAAAACTGTTCACGCAAAATGGGATTCAATTGCTCTGCGGGAATTATTCCGTAGAACGAATTCATCGGATACACGCAGATTAATCCAGAGCGCGAGGTTCGCATGTGCGCACCGTGTCGTTTCTATAATTCGCGGGAAAGTTGGAAACCGCGTACACTCGGCTCGACTTTATCCTCCGAGGAGATTTGATTAAAATTACGCACCGACATTCGGCTCCGGTTGATCCAGTTATGTCACGTTGGTTGAATACTTCATGGGTCATATAATAATGTGTCGAATCCACTAAACAGCATTCATCAAATGCGCTTACGATGAAGTCTATTTTTCTTTGGATCATTCGCTAATTAACAATCTTCTTATTTTTGTCTTTCACAACAAATTTTCATATTTATCCATAAACAAACTGGCATGATTCTCATAATATTTTTTCATTAAACATTTATTTTGGTACATAACTTTTTTTATTTATAGCCCATAGCTGTTAAAACTTTGGCATTAACCGGTATATTCATTGAGTACTTTCAAACGATTTATTGCTTACCGTGTTTTTTCCGACAACGCTTCGGACCCTTCCTTGTGAGAATTCCTTATATTCAAATTCACGCTCTGTTTCTCCTCATTTATTGCCATCCATTGTAACGGAAAAATCGCGAACTTAATTGGAGTTATTAGGAACGCTTCGAGCTGTAACAATATATGTAAAAAAGCGTATTTTATATAAGAAGAGAGCTTCGAAGCGTCAAGTGAATTTCATACGGATTGAAACCTCACACTAATTAATGTCGATCAGCCAAGGCAAATATTTGAGTATTAAAATCGATCGGAAACCCTTTAGATTCCAATACGCGCCGGCGCATCATGGGGCGTCTCGCTTCTCTTCATTTTCTATCGGCCCTCGTCAACGGGAAGATCGTTTGCTTAATTGGCGAATTTACTCGCCGTCGCGATTGATCGCGCAGCAAAGGACGTTACGCAATTTTCGGCGTCCTTCCATCATTCGCCCTTCCTCCGTATCTCGCGAAGGCGGATTCGACGGTGCGCCTCGCCGTCCTGGGTGGCTCTTTGATCACGAACGATTAACCTCATACAGAGGTGCTCTTGTATTCGTCGCGACAGCAAGTTATTCCGCTGTAGCAGTTGGTACGGCTCCAAGGCCTCGAGACCGTCTCATTCACGTCGACTCCGAGCCGAGCGTATTCGATAACATAGCTTGCTGCTGATTCCGCTACGAGATAGTTCTCGCGAGGAAGCTGCTATTTCAACCGTTGTTCGCGGGAGATTAAACCGCGCGCTAAATTTTCTCTCCTTCCGTAGCAAATACTTTAACTGTCTGCTACACTTTGGCGTCGTTTAAATTTCCCGGAAACGCCCCCGTGAGAATCCACAGATCGGAATTTGCATTGGAATCGATAGCGCGCAGCCCGCTGAAAATAAAATTTAACCCTTCGAAAAACTATTGGCCTTACGGGATATTCATAGTCAGATCTTGTATATTGAGGAACATTCGGGCGTTTGATCAAATAAGAAAGCCAAATAATAATAATAAGAATAAGAATAATATTAACTTTATTGTGTACATCAACATGTGTAGTATAATTAAGTTGGAGTAATGACTGCCATTTTTGCAGGTGATTCATTGCAATGCACGCCGCTGGATCGGGCGTACAAGAGCAAAGTGCTAGGACATTATCCAGATTCGGTGCCATGGAATCCTTTCGACGAGCATGCCGTCTGCATGGTATATATCTGTTCGTGATAGCAAATCGCTAGTTGCAACCGGAATGTGAACTGATGATGAGTTAACGATAAGAATAATTTCATTTGCACGATATGGTCGCACTTATTGCGCTGTCGGGAAACGTATAAAAAATATTCATTGATAAGTATCGTTTGAATTAAATTCATTTTTGTGATTTCCGAATAAGCAGTATTTTCACTGTTGCTTCAAGCATATATTCTCACATGTTTTGAATGAGACTTCACTCCGAGAAATTTAAAGTTCCCTTTACAGGTCTTTATTTTACACCATAAAATTATATATACTATACATTTTTACTTGTTAAACAAAAAGTTGTATTTATTTTATTGTAAGATATAAATCCTATTATTCTATCGTGTCGTCTTGCCTAACGCTCTCGTTACATTTCTCTGTCGCTAATTAAGCCCAGAGAATCTTAAGCGTGCGGCAGTGAAGGGGAGAGTAACTTATCGATTACATTGATAATAGCTTTGTCTGCCAAGCGGTTTACGATTCCGTACTCAAAAGCACTCGGTGGAGCCGACCTTTCATTCTTTCGTGCTCACGAAGGAGGACGGCCACAGAACGTACGGGTTCAGTCTCGTCTTCTACGAGGAGTGCCGCAATCGCAAGATATGCGCCGCTATGCAAACGCTGCAGGCGATGCACATCACAGAGCTCAGCAGCGGCCAAAACGGCACGCCACCCACGTACGTATATCTACTATCCGTGTGTTCGTGTAATTGCATTTTTAATCGCCCCTATCTGCGGACGCGTTACGCCCTCTCTCTCGGACGGGGTGAGGTCGCGAAGGTCGAAGAACTCTTTTCTTTTTAGCAGCGAATGAATTTTAAATCAGTCTGCTTCTTTGAGATATGTTGTCGCGTGTGCGAGGCGTTGCACGACAAGAACACCGTTTTTCATGAAGAAGTTATTACCGTTTAAAGTTTTGAAAGAGACCGACGCCCGCCATCGAGGTGCATATATAAAATGACGAAACTTCGCTGAATTTTAAACTGTCCCGATAAATGAGTTTTATTTCGAAGATTTTCCTTCGAAGAGCGTGGCGATGTAGACGCGAAGTGTGTATCAGCAATGTCTATGATGAATAACGGGCTCATCTTCGGAACGCTTCATTTGTCTCAATTATTCGATTATCCTCGCGCATGACTCACGATCGACTGCAAGGCTCGACTTTTCAGCGCGAGAAAGGGCCAGGACGGGCACAACACGAGGTCGTTGCCGCGGCACTTCAAACTGTCTGCCCATTCGCCGGGTGCCGCGTTAGCGTACTACGACTCTACCAAAGACAAGTTGCTAGTGACCAAATCGATATCCCTGTTGTGCCAGCAGCCCTACCTCCACGCGGCGAAGACGTTCCTCAATAATCTCTACAAGTAAGTGAGAGAGAGAGAGAGGAAGGTCATCTCCGGATTCCACGCGGTTTCAGCCGGCTCCGTTGTCGTAAATAACGTGTGCTCATCGCGAGATTTCTCTTTTTCTCGCTCACATGTCCGTTAAATCGTCGGTTTCTCAACACATTGCCAAATTTGATTGATCTCGCAGCAGGCGTACAGAAAGAATTCTCTCTTCCCATTGATATTTAATTGTAAACTTGTATGCGAGAGCGTGTGTAGAAATTCTACAATACAACAAATTTATTCTACTCTGATATATTTATGTCTAAGTTAGGAGTATTAAAAAAACTCGTAAAATATTGGAAACTAATACACAGATATTGTAGACAAATTTTGGAATTATTGACCGTTTAGTTTAAAAAATATAGTAGTGGAAATTGATAATTTTTAGTAAAATTGAAGATATATATGTTATGTATGAATTAATTCGCATAAATTTTGTTGAGTTTTACTGAATAATAAATATGATTAGTTGATACATCAAAATAAAACACGCTGATTTTTAAGCGACGTCGGGAACCAAGTTCCCCGATATTACAGTAATAACCCAGCGAAACATGAATCATCGAATCGATGTCGAAATCGACAATCAAAATTACATCAAATTGGCATTGATTCGACGTCGATTCGATATGTATTTCTCGCTGGGAAGCAACGTGTTAATCGATGAAATTTTCAGGTGCGTTCCTAGACACCCCGGACCCGGCCTCAGTCTCGAGTCCTACGTGTACAATCTCCTCTATAATGTACCGGTGCCGTTGCCCGGTAAATCGTTGAAGTTCTTCGTACCTAACGACGAGCCCGCGAAATCGCCGCTGGAGCTGGTCATTCATCAGCCGTCCCCGTCGCTGGAGCTGCCAATGTTGGACTATCCCCTGAAGGACGTGTTCACGTGGCTGGGCGCGGACTGCCTGATACAGCTGTTCACGTGCGTGTTGCTGGAAAACCAGGTACTGTATTATAAATTATATAACAATAATAACAACTTTATTGGTTCCAAAAACAGTAAGAAATAAGTGATGCAAAAGTAATATGAAGAAAAAATACAAACCAAGGGAGCGAGCTAATAGGAGAAGAGGATTTAGAGCGTGCGGAAGACGTAGAACATGCGATTGTTAAAATCATTTAGTATTGTAAATATATGCAAATTAGACCTGTAATTTGGGTCTTATTGTCCGTTGCTCTTGTACATTTCTTGATTTTACCCAGAAAGTCTCACAATTATTTCATTGTATAATATAATAATTGTATAATTTGATTCTATATAATTCAACTAGGTACTCCTGAGGAGTGCTGACTTCCATAAGCTGATGGTAGTGTCGGAGTGCATAACGGCGCTGCTCTTCCCGTTCTCGTGGCAACACGTCTACGTGCCGATATTACCCGCCAGCCTGCATCACTTCTTGGATGCACCCGTGCCCTTTATCATGGGCCTGCACGCGCACAGCGAGGGCGGCGTGTTGAAGATCGCTAGCGAGGTAGGTCTCTCAGGAATCCCCGACTCTCTGTGTCTTGGCGTTAATCTTCGTTGAAACTATTAAATGCATTTACAAGCTCCAACGGCGGTAGACCGTTCAGTATTCAAATACCATCCAATTACTCGGATACTGTTCGAAATAAACGAGTATCCGAATATTTGGTACCAAACATTACGATTAATACTCGGATAGTACTCATCTGCCATCTGTTAATGATTTTTCAACAGCTGATTCCGTATAATTTTATTTTTTACGGAGTTATCTTTGGGATTGTGATAATTAAACATTTTTAAATCATGATAATTTAAAACATCCTCAGGATAAAGTATACTGTGTGTGATCCGAGTACCCATGTTAATAATTGAATAATAATACCACTATGTACGGTTCTTTTCTCTTTTTTTCGCGCTAAACAGGAACTAAGCTTCGTATCTTCATGAAAGCAAAGTATGTTGCAAGTAGAAATTTTGTTTGAGTAACATTCTGTTGCGTTTGATTGCAGGCGAACCTCTGTTATGTAGATATAGATAAACAAAGTAGCCAATTCCCAGAAGAGTTACCCGTGTTTCCTCACAAAGTGCAGTTTATCGCGGAGATTAGGGCGCTTCTAAATAAGTACAAAGTACCACATTCGGGAAAGTGAGTAACTTTTCTTTATTATCGTTCCTTGGCAATCCAGACCGGCGATTCGGTTTCTGAACACGTAGAACACGCCTTGCAGGACTGATAATATGGTCATAAATTATTACAACGGCGACATCATGACTAGTAGCCTGACGCTTCCTGGTTCCGGTTTCCACCTTCCTCGCAGAAAACATTCCCTGCACGACGTGTTAGATTGGGATCGACCGGAACCAAGTCCACAATCGGACAATTTGCAAAGGATAGTGGATATTGTTAAAAGACCAGGTAACACGAACTGCCACTACATACGCCAATCGAGTGAAAAGTTATCATCGAGATTACATAATTACATAAGCGCGACATTTGCGGTAACGTCATAAATATATGAACTTCCCGATTACAGTAGACGATATCGATCCCGTGGAGGATACTACAAATGAGAAGTTACTCACGCCGCAAGAAGAATACCAGGAGACTCTCGTTTTCAATAACGCTATCAGAGAGATGTTTCTGAATCGTTTTGTACAAATGTTTTCTAGTTACGAACACTTCGTTATACAGCCAAGTCAGGTACATACGTGTGTTATTTATAAATGCATATACATATTTATAGAATATCCAATCTCGCGACTTTAATTGGTGTGTCACTTTCCTCAGTTCAAACAGAGCCGGAAATCCTAATATAGAATGTCGATGCTATAATAATTTTTAAATATAAGAAACGTTTCAAACAAATGGATAAATTAGAGGGCTGAAAGTTCGCGTGCTCAGACCATGGTACAATGCGTAGTAATAAAAGTGTCTTCATATACCCCAACCTCCTTAAATCCTTTATGAATATTGTTTTTTTTTTTACTGAAAACTACATGTGATCAAGTCGATTCGATTGAAGTCGCAAGAACTGCACATCCTATAACGTCTTTTCAGGAATGCCTTTCTTATAACAAAACGTATTATTTATATTTGTATATCGCTTTACATTGCAGGACAAGGATGAGTGGATCAATAATAGAGACAGTATGCATGTTTTCGACAAAGCTACATTTTTATCCGATCAGCCTACGCAGCATCTGCCGTTTCTGTCGAGATTCCTCGAAACGCAGATGTTCGCGTCTCTCGTCGACAGTAAAGTGATGTCGACGTGGAGCGAGCTCGACTTTAACATAAAGGTCTTTGACCAAAGGATCTCCCTTTTGAAGTGAGTCTCGATTACACATTCTCTCAATATGATGTTCTTCTCTTACCTGCTCGCGATTCGATCCCCGTACGAAGAATGGAAATTCGACAATAGAGTCACTCTTTAGTTTAATCCACGTATTCTTTCGCGTGTTTCTCAGGAAGAAAATCGGGGAGAGCATCATACGATCGATGCGGTACGAGCCTTGCACCAGCATTACGGATACGCAACAAGTACTGGAGCAAAGGTTAACCAACGTGGACTTCGAGACGAATCCGCCCGCGGAAATTATCCCGCACCGAGCTGCGTATTTTCGGAGTTTTCCTTTACTGGACAGTGTCGTGTTGAACAAAGAACCAGCTCAGAGGTGCGTCAGTTTCATGATATTCAAATTCCAATGGTCTTTAAATTTCTCGGAATATCACTCGAAAAGTAAACTGACCATCGTTCGAATTCTAATGATTGTTCACGCATTTAAAACGAATTCTCCATTTAGAATCGTTGAGTGAATATTTTTACTCGAAATTGAAGAGTGCATTTGATGTACTCCACCGTCACGGTAACCTATCCACTTGAATCGATTCGAAACGTTCATATGGAGTCAGAATTTATTCTAAGCTCGAGTGAAAAGTTTACTCCTGCGATTTCGAATGGCAGTATTTTCACTATCGCTTTGAATGAAAACCACTGCCACTTTTCATTTGTTTCGAGTGATATTTCACTCGAAGAAGTTCGAAGAGTAATCTCTCGTTTTTTAAATTAACTAATCTTTGCTCATCATCTGTTTAATGCCTCCTATGTAGTATACTCCGGTAAGGGACATCTTTCAATAACGATTAGAATAAAACGGAGGTCTCGGAATGAAAATGTGTCTAGTCCGATTTCACAAGGTCCACACGTGTATGGACAATTTCACGAGGAAAGAAAGTAGCTTGCATATTGCGCACTTGATCCACTTTCGCTCCGTGATCTCTAAATGTACACTGCATGCTTTTATGTCGTGCAGCGAATTATAATTAATAAATAATCGGCGGACTTAAGTGGATTAATAATCGGTCACTTCCATCCCGCAGCAGTAGGAGGGGGCAGACGCAGTGGAAGTATAAGATGAAATCCATCGACGCGAACGGGAAGCCTGCAACGCCTCAAGAATCTCAGTCGCCCCGACCTCAGACTAAACTCTCGGCGGACATGAGCCCGGCTCTGATAGCGCAGGCTAATTGGACGTTCGTCGAAAAATTGCTCAAAGTGTGTATCGTGTCGTACAATCGTAATATTTAACATTGGGTATTTAGCGACTGTTCCCAGACGGGACGTTTAAAAAACTTTAATATAACATAATATATAATACAATATAATCGCTTTTCCTTCGTGTAGGATTGTAAATCTAAAACGAAGAGGATGTTGGTGGAGAAAATGGGGTCGGAAGCCGTCGCGCTGGGCCACGGCGGCGAATCTCTGTCCGACGTCGAGGAGAACACTCTAGTCGCTAGTCTCTGTGACCTGCTGGAACGGGTGTGGAGTCACGGGCTGCAAAACAAGCAGGGCAAAAGTGCGCTCTGGTCGCACCTGACCATGTATCAGGAATCGGAAGAATGTAACGACGCGACCAAGTCTATAGATCCTAACTTTCTGTCCCCTGGTAAGACACACACACATATATATATGCATGCGTCTTAAAATTCACCGGATTGAACTATGGATTCGATATATTCGTGAATCGTGTCTTGCTGAGAATCATTGTACAAAGTGTATTATAAAATGTTCGCGTCTCGAAAAATCGCCCGAAGTGCGTGTGGTGCCACGTGCGAGATCTTTGTAATTTCACTATCAACTATTCCCAGACAGCATATAAATGTTTAAAAGACGTCATGGAGACGTCCGAGTCTAAGTATTATGGAGAATTATACACTGAATGTTCCTATTTTTGCGGAAATGCAGCGCTAGCGTGGTCCGTGCTGCGGAAGCGACTCGATTGTACGTTCCACCCGTTTTACGATAAGATAAACAGTGTTATAAAAGTAGAGATTAGTCCTTCGTACGTAGATATCCTGCACTATTAGTTTTGTAAGTGATACATCAGACACACTAGTCTATGTGTAATAGGTGTTCACGCTTCCTCGCACGCGTTATTCTTTCGAACACTCAACGTGCGCGCAGACGCAAGCGAAATCGATATCTACGCAGAGTTTCGAGTTGAAAATGCAAATTATCGTTTTGAGTTCAAACGCAAATTATCTTATTTCGCTTGCCGTTATATAACCGTTTTAGCCGTTTTGTTCTTCTGTTTTTCTTTCCTTTATTTTTTGTATTTTTATGTTGTAACTAGCTAAGAAATCGCCGAGTAGGTTTTTCGGAATACCGGATCGTTTGGTTTCATCCTTGAAGGGCAAAAGTATGTTCGAAATTGCCTCTTACATCAGGAACAATTTGAACGGTAAGCCACGAGATTGGCTTGCCCGTAAGAAGAAGCTTAGTTTGGTCGACGAACTGCACGAAAGCGGTATCTGTTTCTACGTTTCTATCGCGTGCCTTTCAGTTCCGTCGCGGAGCTCGTGTGAATGCTTGATTGTGCAAAGATGTAATAAATGATTTTGCAACGGCATCTGTTATCTCAACGTAACGACTTAAAGGAACCTATCTATTACAACTATTAATAACTTTCACAGAAAGAGAACTGCATGATAAATTGCGCCATGACGCTATTACATATTTCATACGTATAATACATCAGTCAAAACGTTCTTCACTTGGTTTCTGCCTTATTCAACGGTCAATCCACGCCACGTTCTACGACAGTATGCGAACATAGACGAAGAATCGTAGACAATGATGGCGATTACTTGGTCGATGAATAATTTTGTTCCACTGAGTGCGATAAGGTCAAATTTGACATAAAATTCGAGCCAAACTTTTTGACTGAGTCAACTTTTGAAACGTTATTGAGAGCGTATGCATAGGTGTTTCTGAGTGCTTGTACGAAGCATGATATCGCATTTGCATGTATATTTAGTGTGAAAAAAAAATATATATATATATCTCGAATATAACGAGACGAGAATGATTATGTTTGTTGAGAAGAGTATTGTTTTTGCTCGTTTTCTGCTCGTGAGCATCCTTAGCCGGAAACGAAAAAAACGTGCACGCTTAAAATGTGTATCTTATATCGCGACAGATCTATCGAATTTACAATTGGAGACAGACGTTTCGCCCACAAGAGGCACGGACAAGCATAAGTCGCCCGGCGAGAGAAAAACCGTAGGCCCGGAACATCTTAGACCCTTGCCGGACTCTCTGATCTTTGACATTCGTAACGTCCAAGCGATGACCGACATCAAGACGCATATCGGATACGCGAGAGCGTGGGTGCGATTGGCACTTGAGAAAAAACTGCTGTCGCGTCACTTGAAGACGTTATTGTCAGACAGCGCTCTATTGAGGTAAGTTTTGATGGCTTTCATAATATGAAACTTTTGGTACGATAACGTACGGGACGCTTCATATAAAAAGATTAACTCGCGACAATATCATGCTGCCGTTTCTCCGAATATCAAACTAATTATTTCGTTATTATCACGACCTATTAGGAGTCAATACAAGCGATCGGCGTTTTTGCGATGCGAAGAAGAGAAGGAGCAATTTCTCTACCACCTCCTGACGCTCAACGCTGTCGACTATTTCTGCTTTACCAATAATTACCCGACGACGAAGCTACCGTACCGGGTCGTGATATTCCCCAGTCGGAAGGCGAGCGCTGCCACGACCTCGGCCAACAGCTGGATCGCTATTTCCGGCACACTCTGCGAGACGAATCCGGTGCCTATACCGAAGGGAGCGCTAGAATTCGTTTTTCAGGTGAGCGCTTCGCGCGCCATCGCTACTTTTAATTGTACGAAATTGCGAATATCGTTTTAAGCCGATTGATCTCGTGCATTCAATGTTACAATCTCTCAATGAGCACCCTAGATCCGTACACCCATCGATTGTATCTAACAATGTTTAAAATTAAATATTTAAAGTATTATTATTAAAGTATTTTAGTATTAATATTTTAGTATTAGTACTTTAGTATAGTAAAGTACTTTAGTAAGTACTAAATATTTCAAATAATTTAACATTTAAAATTGTATTATTTTTCCATATATTTTGCATTTTTCCTTCCTCCTCAGCATAAAAACTTAGGCGTGCTGTCAACGTTACGGATCGGGCACGACAACACGGGGATGTCGCCGAAGTGGATGGTGGAGCACGTGGTGGTGAGGAACGAGGTGACAGGGCATACGTTCAAGTTCCCCTGCGGTCGTTGGCTGGGTCGAGGAATAGACGACGGGTCCACCGAGCGACTGTTAGTGGGCGCCTTGGTACCCCGAAGCATCGACAGCGAGGAGCTGGTGGAATCGTGTTCCACGCCTCCGAGATGTAGATCACCTAGCATACCAAGACGTCCCATACTGTCACAAGTCGAGCTACAGCATATGCTCGGTATACGCTTGCGTAATACTAATTAATAATACTAACCAATAGCGAATTAACATACGTGCACACGTTAACTAAACGCGTTGATTAAATGCAATAAAGTCGAATTTCACTTAATAATCGAGCCGAATTTTGTTACATCAGGCTAATAATTACGAAACTAAATAACATCGAATATTTACGTTGCTTAGGTGAAGCCGTGAATGCCATAGTCAAGTATCACTACAGAAGAGAGTGTCAGGATGGTTCCTTGACAGCGCTGTTGTGCGGAGAGGGCGGTCTGGTGCCGTCCTTGGAGCAGATCTTTCTATTCGGCTTTAAGAATCAGAGAATTTTCGGAAGAAACTTCTACGTGTGGGACTATTTCCGTGAGTACAATTACGATTATTATCCTCAAGAGGTGAATTAAAATAAAGTAAGCGACAAAAATCGTTGCAGTGCGCGTGAAGGAAAATTTCGAGATATCTTTGCTGGAAGAGATGGACGAGTACTCGCAGAGGCTCAGTCGGGACAGAAGAGTGCACGCGGAGAGCAGCCAAAGATTCACGATCTTGAGATGTTACTGCCATCTCATTGATCAAATTAATATGTTCAGTCAGACATTGGGGAAGGACGGCAAGTTCCAGTTGTTCATCTGCTTGGCAGCGAGGTGAGCTCAAAATCGGTCGCGTCTTCGTTCGGTAGCGAGATATATTCATGAAAGCAATCCGATATCCGTCGGACGAAAATCGATACGTTATTCACGCTAATTCGACGAAATACGACGATGTTTCAGAGAGCAGCTACTCCATCCGATGTTACGGCCGATGAGCGACGCGCGTTCTACGACGGATATGTACGAAGAGAGTTCGTTCCTGAGGAATCCTACGTTATTGACCTTCCTCATTCACATTCTCGAACCGTTGAGCGAGTTTCATATTGTTCTCGAGAAAAGCTTGACTCACGGGATCTCTAGTATATGTTAGTATTTGCCGAAACGTACAGGTGTACGTTGAAAATTCATCGCGGATATTTCTGTGTTCTCTCGGTGGGATGTGTCTTTAAGAAAGAGGCAAATTCGTAAAAACTCCACGCGAATCTGTCCGACGTGGTCAAGAGCGTGTCATCCGTCGCTTTATCGCGTTCGTTTTCCATCGCCGACGGGCCGTAAAACGATCAAGATTTTCCTAATCAGGAACACACAAGTCGGCGTCTCTCTCGACCGCACGATAGGATCTCGTCGTCGCGCTCGAACGACGACAAACGACGGGCTCGATTGTTATATTACATAGAACAATAGAGGGAGCTCGGCGAATTTTATCATTGAGGTACAAGAAGAAANAAACGTCTATTATACAGCTACATTCCCGGGGTAACAGTCTTCAGTTTTAATTTATATATATATATATATATATATATATATATAAATTAAAACTGAAGACTGTTACCCCGGGAATGTAGCTGTATAATAGACGTTTTTAGATGACAAATTAACGACGGGAGATTAAACTCGAGATTTACGAGATAATATAACGTTAAACAAAGAGAGCATAGATCTTGTCCTGTTGCAGAAGCTTGCGATATTATGACCGGTGATAAAATATGAGGGGAAGAGAAATGAGATATAGTTGATATAAACTTGAGAGTGGAATACGTTCAGGCCGTCTTGCCGTAAACTATATTAATTAACTGGATAAGAATGATGTAGTTCGTTGAAGTGTTGATACTAATGATGACTCGTGTACCAAAGATGTGATCCTACTTAACCGGTAACCGTTTTATATTATCGTTATTATCATTAGGTCGTTTAGTTCTCTCATTATTGTACACTCCTCGTATATCTCGGTCAGACACACGTGCGCGCAATCTTTCCGAATCCTGACAGGTTTTTACTCGCTCGCGGGGAAACTGTTTTCCGAAATATTAACGAGGTATCCGTGTATACATACGAGATACCTGTATACGTACATACTCACTCACCCATTCACTCGCACACATACATACACACGTTACATTACATTTTTTTAATGGCTGTGCTTCAATACTTGCGTGCTATGAGATTGAATATAACTGTCCTGAGCGTGAGTGTTGTACTAACATGACAATTTTATATTGTAACGCGTATATTACTGTCGTCGTATATCGAACCTTGGCGAAGTGTATATTTTCCAAAAGTCCTTAGTAACGAAACGAGAAGAACCTCGTGATATTTTATTCAAGTGATCGCTTCGATTCCGTTTCGTTTCCTGTTTTCACGTCGGTTCTCCGACGACTCCGCGATTTTATACTACTCGATCGATTATTTGTACCATACACTTGTCGGTGTAAATATATGTTAATTATAACTGCGATACGCAAAAGATGGATAAAGAGAGAGAGAGAGAGAGAGAGAGAGGGAGGGAGGGAGGGAGGGAGGAGCGACAAGATGAAACGTTGTCTAATTGCACTGCGAACGGACCAAACGACGTGTTCGTGTTTAGATCGCTGCATATATATATATTTCTCTCTCTGTCCTCTACTTTTCAAAAAAGAGGAAGATCCGAGTGTTATGTCGAAAAATCTCGTGTTCGTTTTCCTCTTGTCTAATTTATATAATACGAGGAAACGAAGCTCATATAATTGGCTCGACACTTCCTCGATCAGAAGTTACACGGAAAAAAATATTTTGCTGTTGCAGCAAGACTGTTGTAATGACAGCGGTGAAGTTTAATTGACATAACCAAGTTATTTCGCTGTCTATATATCCAGCGAATAGCAATTAATGTTCTTAACAAGTCTTGTTATTGCCCGAACAAATTTTTTTGCTGTCCAAAGAAATTTCTTTGCTGTTCCTATAGTAACAATTTGCTGCGCCAGCAAAATATTCTTCTCCATGTGTCGATATCGTTACCGACTTCGAATGTCCGTTACCGTTCTTTGTAAGCAATGTGGAGATAATAATATTTAATCTAAAAAAAAGGGGGGAAAGGAAAAAAAGAAATAATTCCCAAAGTACAATCTTACGTGCGTTCCGCGTAAACTCGCAGCTACATTCGATAGCTAAGACACTGGAAAATAAGATTGATTGAATTAAGCGCGCTTCGGTGAAGAGAAACAGAATTTCTCCGGTTTCTGTGAATTAAATTCACTATTTTGAGAACCGAGAAATTCTGTTTCCTTCCTCCAAAACGCGCTTGGTTGTGTCACGTCTTGTTAATTCAACCAATCTTTTTTTCTTTCCCGTGGAGAACCGTTCGATATATTTCTCGACCGTTAACATGCTCGTCACGGTCCCACGCGATATCGCTCGCCGGACTGACTTCGACGCGAGTATCTCGCGATTGCGGCCAAATGTGAGATTGTCGATGTTCAAATACGTTTTCGCATCCGGCGAATTCGCAATCTGATAATGCAACGTGTGCGATTCTCCGCGGTTCTAATTTATCCTCACTGCGCGTCGAGGCCGAATTGTAGCGAGGTTTCGTTCTCATCGCGAATCGCCAAACTAACGACGCGCGCTACGCGTCGGTGTGTATCATCGTCGTTTCAATTAAATAACGTAGATCATTTTGTGTCACTCCCATGGAGGAGAAGAAAAGCAAGGGCGGAGACGATTTTCCTCCTTGGGCCCGCAGTAACGCCAGTGAACGAGTTGTCTGACGGGAATGCCCGTAGCCTGATGTTATGTATATTGTGATCGTTTTTAGACTGAGGAAATAATATCCGTAATGTACCTTCGTAAGTGTACACCGTGTCTCCTTTATTGTCGCCGGATATATTTCACGGCTCGCGTTTACGCCGCGGCGGTCGAAGCGAATCGCTGCGATCGGGTGATACTTTACGGCGGACGTTTTATACGAAAAATACACCTCTCGAATTACGTGTCTCTATTTCTATCCCTCTTTCTCGTCATTAGCATCATTGTATACGCGCTCTTTGTAACATATACCTATAGCAACTCGTCGAACGAGTACAAAATTGTACAAAAGAGAAAAACGAAGAGAAGCGCACTTCGACCACAGCGACCGCTTCGGCCACGTGATCGCGCGAGTCAATCGTGCCGATTTAATACTCATTGCTAGCCTATACGTAAAATCGTGATTAGTTCGAAACCCGTTCCTTATCCGCGTGAGGTCGTTGCTCTGTACATATATACGTATGTGGATTATAAGACAAGCTTCTTGTAATGTATAAGGACTTTTACAAAGCATATATTACGTAAGGTGTATATATACATATTGCAAGACACATTATTGTACAGTAGAATAAATCATTATCATGAGGGATCTGGTGGAATTCGTTCAATTTGGTTTCGGACCCCCGGCAAGTATATATTTCATGTGTGTGTTTCCTCCTTCTTCCGGAGGACTTTTGACACATTAATAAGGACTATTGAATTATAAAGACGAAAATCGAATTATATAGAAATGCACTTTTTCTCTGAATAAATTTGTGAAGAAATATAATAAATTTATTCTGACATACAGATAAACATATGTTTATAAAATGCGCGCGCAGAACAATTTCTTAACACAGACTCACACTTTTATCATTTATCGCAATATATTTCTTCAAATATAATCTCATAATTTTAAGATGTTATACATGTATATATATATATATTTATGATTATATAATACCCTACCTCTAAGCATTTCTCCATAATTATGAAAAAAATCGTCAGAATAAAATTTATTAGAAGAAAATATATCAGAAGAAAATAAATAATTTACTGATTAAAAGTAACATTATTATGGAGTACAGTACATAACAGCAAAATATAACTAATAACTAGAAAATACATTTCATACAAAATTCCACCAAATTTTACACACATTTTGCATATTACAATAAAAAATAAAACATTTAAAAGCCATTGTTTCTCAATTTAGTATAACTATTATTGCCTGAGTTTAATTATTTCACTCACATTCTTTCTATTCTTCTTAAACCTCCTGTATACACACACATGTATTGATATATATATTCTATGACTATAAAAATATATTATTCTGAGACTAAATATAATCTTTATCATTTGCAAAATTAACTAATTGATCATTAATATCTACATTTTACTTTCAATCTATTTGAGATGGAATTGTTCTTTATATAAAAATATACGCAATCATTGTTCTTAGTCAGCCAAAATATGCACCACAATTCGAACAGCGTTTTGTCTTCAACAGCATACAGCAAACAATCCCGATGGGAAAGAAGAGAATTGCGCAAAGCAGGCCAAGAAATGTGTAATCATCTTCCATCACACCTACCTGTTTTGTGCAGAAATAAAATTTCACTGAATTATGAACTTCTAATCTTTAAACAAGAGAAGACAGAAGTAATAATCAAATAATGTTGATGTGCATACTCTGCAAGCCGGACAGCCTCCAACCAAAATAATTTCTGGAACAATTACTGTTGTAGAATGTGTAGCACCATATGATGGAATATAACTTCCTTGATGATTAGTTTCAGTATTGTTGATGTAATATCCAGGAGGCGGTTGCCATGATGAATTTACTACTAAAAATGACTTACTAAAATATTTTTGTAACATATTATATTGGTAGAAATTATAGAAAGAGCTTATAATAAATAGATTTGGAGTTAGATCTATATATAAGATCGATTCATTCATGTGCACAAAGAATTATAATCATTTTATTTTTTCAATCTTTGAAAAAAATTGTTTAAACAATTTATTTAAGACGTATATTCCTGACAACACAATTAATTAACTTAATCTACTTACAAACTATTTATAAAGGAACTTGCCAGTCCTGTATTCATGTATCACACTATAATAATATTTTTAATTTGCACTTTACAAAGAAGTTAAAAAATATATATATATCTGATCGATGATAATTGCGCGTTATACGTTACATATCTCGAAGACGTTATTTTAAAAAAATAATGCAAACAAACGTTCTTGACGCGAAACAATATAATCTTAATTTAACCTAAAAATCGTAAATCATCACATACATGCTGGAGCCGTCGCGGCAGAATATGGTGGTGGTTTTTCCGGTATATTCAACGGCTGAGCCTCCATGACACCGGTTCGTTTATTCTGTTTGACAGATGACTAAATTAAAACTCGGCAAGAGCAAATCCAAATTTGACTTTAGAGACCTCGTGCGACGAAAGCGCGAAATATCATATCATATCTCTGTATGTGTGTAGGTGTGTTGGTATGTATGTATGTGTGTGTAAGTGATATCATATTCATGATGTTTTCGATTTGTTGACTCGACCCCACTCGGGCAGCATTCCGATATTCGCGAAATATTGTAAACTATAGTATATGTAACATAAGCTATAGATTGCAGTACTGCAAAGATTATCGGAACGCTCGAGTCGGATCGAGTCAGCAAATCGAAAACGCCCAGCTTCTATGGCTTTCTACGTTTCACTTAATATTCTTCTGTAAGAGCGATCGATCCTTTTTACACCACGTTATATTTTTGTGCACTTACATATTTATTATTTACATTTCCCGGGGCTACCCAGCTGCGACGTGAAAAATGCACGAATCAGCGCGGAAGCACTCGGCTCGACTGGCTTCTCTGCTTTTTTCCACCTGCAGAGGTCGCCTGCATTACCGATTTACCATGTTCAGAGAGCGTTAATTCGGTCGGTAATTTTTCATGAGCCGTCATCGTTACGGCAGCGAGCGTCCTTACCGCCGCGCATCGCGCACTATGTGCTTCCCGCTTGACGTTGACAGATGTCACTACTTCTGTATAATTAATGAAGGATCGGAAATTCAAAAATTCGCATTCCGATCGGTGGAGCACTCCGCTACAAGAGATTGGATGCGTCCATTTTGCAATCTCTTTCACTTGGTGTGAATACTCGGACGATCGATTTGAGGAACTCGAATACGAATTCGAACGGACTTCCCTTGGAGCTTGGGGAAGCAGAGGTGAATTCCTCGCATGGTTTCTCGTGTGAACAGAGGTAAGTTTCTCGTAGATCTGATTGACTTTCGTCAGGTTCTCTCAACTTTTGCGTTTACCCTCCTCGGATGACGCACGTCGCGACGAAGTGCATGTTGCAATTTTACGAAAAAATGTGCAATCCCGGTTTAGCAAAACCGTGGTCTGTTTTTCCGCTGCGGATGACGAATGTCGCGATGAAGTGCGCGCGTATGCAGTTCCGTGAGGAAGCCGTGTGATCCTAGCTAAGCTGACAATTAAGTCGGTGGTCTATCTCGCGAGGATATGACGTCAGGTTTCCTGCCGGCGGTCTAATTGTAAGTCCTGACCGCATTAGCTGACAACGTCAGATAAGCTAAAACGCTAAATATGTCGCGACTTTTGCAGTGGTTCGTGCAAAAATGAGATAATTGAAGGAAACTACCAAGAGTCGCTCGCTGAAAATAAACGCGCAAGCGAATGGGATCACAGAATCGAATCAATGTAAGCTTTGAAACAGTTTTTTTTTTTTTCAAACGAACTGTTCTTTTCACACCAGTTATCCAGATAGAAATGCATGATAATCACGTTTTATCACAATGTGCTGTCATATTTCACAATATGACTTCAGCTTAACATCTTTTAAAAGATCATTACGTGATTAACATCACATGAGCACAAGATGTACACAAATGATGTGTGCACGCTCGTGACATGATTATGATTAATACCATTAGATGAGAAATTTTTCTGACATAATGACATGAACGACATCTGAGCAGCATATGCGCATGCATCTGTATACATTCTTGTTTTCACGTTGTGACTATTGTATTATTGGACAGATTGTAAAATAAGAATAGAATGTCGTTTTAGCGTTGATAGTATTCTTCCCAAAAGCATCCAAAGTTATTAAGTTTAATGTCTAATTAATTTTGAAGGCAGACATGGTTTGGGAATCTAGATATAGCATAAAATGTCCTAAAATCTTTCTGAATTTGTTTCGTTCCTTTTCTTGTTTTCCTATTATTCCTTTTGTTGTCTCTGTCAGATAGCTGATCTATCCTTGTCGCAGGAAAATAAGAAATCAATGCTCTCTGATGCGGATTAGCAAATGGCTGAAGACCTAAGATATAAAGTCTCGGAAGCAGATAATATGTGGCTGATAAGAGAGAACCCACATCTATATATGTAATAGGAAGTCGTCATGTATTCGAATCAGCTTAAGTAGTAGAGGGAGAGGCACATAAATACGAACAGTCGGCTTAAGGCTCTTAAGCTTAGCAGCAACCGTATCGATTCCTTGTAGGGTTTTGTTCGTTTCCTCATTTCGTTCCCTTACTCAACCCATTTGTGTAGTTCACTTCGTTCGCCTTTCTCTACACCGTGTGTTACTTCGTGTGTGAATGACAGGAAGAAGAAACAACTGTGACAATGGCATTATCTATGGCAGTCTTGATGGAAATCTTCGTCCTTTTACCGGTGTGTGCCAACCGATGTTTCGATAAATATTTAGAAAAAGTTATACCTCTCCTACTCGGGGAAAAAAGATCATATATGAAATTTACCCTTTTATGACTATATATAATCATATATGTCCACAATGAAAAAATACTGTTGTTTACAAATTATATGCAAATACAATCGAAGTAAATGCTCCTGAGTACTTATGCTTCTGACAGCACATGATATTGACATTTAATTAAATGACATAACGTCATTTTTTTTGTACAGACATAAATGGGCAAAATTTATACATGACTTTATATAATTATATATAATCATATATAATCATTTTTTTCTGGGAAATTATAACATTGTTATAATGTTACTGTTAATTGATATTTACTGGGTGATAACTCCACATAACATACTTTATCTTGAAGATATCTCAAATTATTTCCGACTTCCCAATGCGATCTCATCCCTCAACACTGGACTAAGGTTACAGGGAGGTTACAACCTTACATTTTTAGTTTACAAGAATGTTACAATATTGTTGGAAGATTAATAGAAATTAATTTCAATACTTCAACAACCTTATATCTTAATTTTTATGACTTATGTTCTACTTCGATTAGCATAGGACTTGCACAAAGAAAAAATTTCTATAAATTTATTATTCCTGTTTGTTTGATTTTAATTTCCTTGGATTTGTTTCCAACTAATTTATTGTTTTGATTAAACATTGTTTGGTTGAAAATCCAAAAGCAGTTATAGCCTCTGATACAATAATATATATTATATCAATATTCGTTACGTATCATCTATTATTGAGTTGCTTTTAATGTTTGCCAATAAATATGTTATTAGAATGTTTTTTTATGAACACTATAAAGATACATTACATAAGTATATGTCACAAGGATATCGTCAGAGCCAGTGGAGTCAGTGCTAGACATCCGATCATCGAAGTCGGGTAACAACGAGCGCGGTTAGTAGGTGGGAATGGGTGGTGATATTCCAATAAGATATTGTGAGATATATATGATACCTTACAATATTTCTTGAGCTTCTTTGGATATCTTTTGGGCGTCGTTTAAGATATCCATAAGATATCATATATCTGTGCATCTGCTGGAAATCCAACAGATATAATATATATAAACAAGAGTTGACGCATAAGCAATTAAGTGTTGAAGAGTCAGCTTCATGATAATATGTAAATCTGCCTGTATAAATCGTTCGAGGCAAATAATTTGTGACCGAAAGTTCGGTTTAATAGACAAAGAAGAAGTGTAATTTCGACAGGAAATTGGTCAAGATATTGTTAAACTACAGTAAGAAGATATTTTATTAATAAAGGAAGTAAATGCGAATGTAGTCTCAATGACGTTTTAGAAAAATGAATAAGCAGTGAACGGGAGGAGGAATAAAGAAGCGCGTTTTATATTTGCGTTTTATTCCAGGCTATTTTAGAAGCAGGACATAATCTCGAGCGCTATCCACCCAAATGGTTCCATTATGATTCTGTCAATGGTAAACGTCTAAAAAGTCCCAGAGCAACCATCATGGAATCATATTACGATCCTAGCAATGTGGAAAACGAAAAAGTGATGTCGCCTTTTCGACAGCGAGGTAGCGTGTAAAGATTGCAAAACGAGCGAGACTCACAAAAAATATATAATTATATATAATATTATATATTAATGTATATATATATATAATCATATATAAATCTTTATCACCACTTCATACATAATTATATGTTTTTATATATGGACAAATTTCATACATGACACTTTATATTTAATTATATATAATTGTATATGAAAAATGTTTTAACGGGGGAGAGCTGCGTTCGCAGTTAAAACTCATCTCTCTGTTTGCAAAATGATAATATGACATTTATTTAAACGTTACGCTCGTATGTGTACAGCTGCGGGCGAAAGTCGTAAGCGCGAAGAATCCGCGGAAAGCAATATTATATTTCCGGACTCAAGTATCTTCCAAGCGCGTAACAATGCAGAAGCCTTGATACCGATTTGTAACGGGAAAAATTTCTGTGAAAACGTGCCGAATTATCCTACGGACCTGGTAAACCATATACTCAGCAGCAATCCCAGCCTGATGAATTTAGCAACCGAAGACGCCGTCAGTAAAACAACTTCTTTTTCTATATCAGGGTTGCCATAAATCTGAAAAATCTGAAAAACCTGGGAAAAGTCATGGAAATTTAAAATATCAGAGGAAACCTGAAAAAATCAAGAAAAATATAAAAAACCTGGAATTTTGAACTTTGTTCATAAAATTTTTTTATATGCTCTCAACTCTATTCTTTTTTCTAATATTTACTTATTTTTTGTTGGCCTGAATTTACATTCAGTATCATATTACGTTATTAAACTTTTAAATTTGTATTGCTTCTAAACGTTAAAGTTCAAGATTAAATATTGTTCATGGAAAATTCCTCACTGTCGTCTGGGAATCTTGGAAAAGTCAGGGAATTTCAAGATTCATTTTCTGTGGCAATTTTATATATACTTGTTATGCTGTGTCATTTTTAATTTTTTCTTCTCATGTTAATAGGTGGAGATTATCTCGCATCGGATAGACTCGGGCGACAGCGAGCTTTGTAATTTTTCGGTATGCAAAAACCTTTTAATATCGATATATCGCGGATATTGATAATAAAAGTGAGGTAATTTCAGGTAGGATTGATAAATCCGAGATCGGCGAAAAACATCAATGACGATTGGTTGTTTATCGTACAATCACCGGAGTCGAATTTCACTCAAGCTATACGGGTCGAAATTTGCGAGTGAGTGTTGCGTAATAAAATATTTACAAGTACAAGGAATTGGCAATCTTTTAATATTTATGTATGATACAAGTCAGAGAAGAAGACATATGAGTACATATAATTGTAAATATATGAAAAAAATTAATTTCAAATCAAGAATAGATAAGAAGATTATATTCTTGCATATATATGAGAATATCTATTTTTGATTTAAAACGAACTTTCTTCCCGTGTAAAATCAGATTAAAATGGAACGTTAGAAATCATCGTAATGTACGTTCTGTTTTCAGAGACGAGAAACCTTGCCTAAAAGTCAACGGTTTCGCCTTGGGATTTCAGACAAAGTGCCGGCAGAAATATATTTATCGTCAATTGACGGCCCTCTCCCACGAAAGCAACCTCATACGCGACTTGTTCCCGATCCCCGCGAGTTGTTGCTGCCACGCCATTGAGGACCCAACGTATCAATCCAGGAGAGTCAGGACTATCGGTGAAAAAAACAGAGCGTAATTCTCGAATTACACTCGAAAAACATACGGGGATATCTAAGAGATTTAAGAAAAAAATATTTAGAATTTAAACATCAAGTTCCATTCCCAATAATGAGAATAATTCTTTGGCCACGGAGTTTTTCGCGACGCAAGGTCAAACAAGTATACGCCGCAAGTATACGCCGTTCGTACTAAGAGTCTTTAAGGACGTTGTACGCCGAGTAAGATATCTTGATGATCTGAAAGGACGGATATTAAAATATTATGCGAATCGGCAAACCAAAGAAAAATGTGTGTTTCCAAGTCATTTCTCATCTCTTCGCTAACAATATTGTAACGTGTACGACTAACTGCATTTTCGTTAACCTTCATGAACGAGTCGTTGGATAAGGCGATAATGTTACCGCTGGTTATCCTGATGGCTTTCTTGGACCGCGCGGCAACCAATAGAAGAGACTTCATCAAGTCGACCGGGAACGACGTCCAGTCCATCTCGTAAACGGCGGTGCCGACTTCGGCGCTCTGCGCACGTAAGAAGCAAGGTCAAAGCTTACGAAGCGAGCTTGAATCCTGAACTCGAGGTGTAAGCGCGAAGGATACACCTCGAGAAGTACAACTCGGGCTTGGAATGAGTGGTTTGAATGAAGGTCCGACCTTGAGTGTCACTTCGTTGCCGAACCAGCAGTACAAGTAGATCTGCATAAGCATGCAGCCCAGGTAAGACAAACTCCAGACGAACTCGAAGCTCAACAGACTCTTCGTCGACATCTTGTAGATACTCAGGCAGAGCACCGTCGAGCTCACGGTGAACTGCACGAAGATCATCAGCGCAAACACCGAATTGATGCGTTCAGCGAGTCTACACGGAGGAAAAGGTTTCTTTAAATTTAATATACGTGTTTGTTTCGCTTAGGTTCGATCAATATAAACAACATAATTTAATATCAAGTATCATTTTGTTTGAATGACAATGTTTCACTATAGTAAACCATGTTGTTTGATAGAAAAAAAAAACAATATTATTTAGAGGAAATAATATTTCCTTTCTAATAAAAAAAGTTTCTCAGTGCACATTTTCCAAATTGTAACAGGGAAAATTTGCATCCGCTGTTCGTTCCTTGTTCGCTCGCTCGGTATATCCAGATTAAACGATTATTCGTTCGACGAGCTTCACGCGCGAAGTTTCACCACCTTCTCATCACCCTCACCTGTACACGTAGCGATGATGATGGACGAACTCGCGAATCACTCGGCGTTCATGAGCCTTCAGATCCTCCTTCGAGACGTTGCCACGCCATTTTTCGGCCTCTTTCCTCAACGAGTCCGGCAACATGCGAGCACGATGACAGAGTATGTCGAGCTGAGCACAGGTCTGTATCATGAAACCGGAGATCAGTGTCTCATGGGCGACACTGGCGTTCGCGCAGACCATCAGACCGATGGTCTGGTGCAGCACGGTGGCCCAGTAAACAGCGGTCGATGTGGTGTCATAGGGTACCCAGTCGGACAATGGCAGGGTATGGGTATTCGCGAAGTGCCCGAACTGGGCGACTGTAGCGAAAAAGACCGCCGACTCGTTCAGTATCTCGCAGTAGATAGTGATCGTCCTGAAGAGATATTCTTGGTTCTATGAACTGCTGACGGGATATTTAGAGATTATTATCTACACTCAGAGAGGGAGGTGTGTAGAAAAATATAGAAAAAAATATATATACATATAGTTAAATATACGAGGGCGAGTCAAATAAACCTTAACTATATGTATTTTTTTTTCATAATTTATATTGTACAACGGTACATAAATGTATCATTTCTCTACGTAGCCTCCATTGCGTTCAAGACAAGTCCTCCGACGCTTACAATGGTATAAATTGAATAATATTAGATTCCCGTGATACATAATCAAATGAAAACATGGAAAGGTCTATCAGCGCCGAACACTGGATGTTGCGAAAGATAATATAGTGTGTATAACTTTTATTCAATAAATTATGATAAAAAATAATTTAAGGTTTTTATTTGACTTACCCTTGTATATATATATATAATTATATATAATTAATTATACATTTATAATATGAATATATAAATATAAGTCATAGAAAAATATATGTAGAATTATACAATGCATATGCAGTTTAATGAACTATTTTACAATTATTGAAACTAATTCTGAATGACTACGATAATTATAGCAATCGTGAACTATGCTAGCAAAATGTATTCAATCTGACTTCATCTTGTATTCAGAAATAGCTAAAACATGAGGAACAGATGCGCATCTGCTATCCAGATGTTGTTCATGTCATGATGTCACAAAAATATCTTATCCAATAGCATTAATCATAATTAAGTCAAGAACATACACACATCATTTGTGCACACCGTGTGCTCTCTCATGTGATGTTAATCACGTAATAACCTTTAAAAAAATATTAAGTTGAAATTGATATCAGATTGTGATCATCGCGCATTTCCATTTTGATATTTATGTTATATCATTCATTATTAGTCGCAATGACTATAAAATAATTGATTAAACTATATGCATTAATTCCACAAAACTCGTATAGTTGTCACTTTTATAGTTGCCACGACTATGCATATTTCTCTGAATGAGGAGATTTGATTCTTTTAACGCTCATACGAAGGAAACTCCAGAATTTAAATTTTAATTTACGAACTCTCTTGGAGCTCTCTTTCTTTTTTCTTTCTTTATGATCAAGCCTGAAGATTACGCACTTTGCGGTACGATCGAATCGTTGCTGGATGTCCACTTCGTGATTGTCCCTGGGCAAACAGATATCCTTCAGCAGCATTTCGATCAGACCGACGATTTCGTTCCGACGTATCACCAGGTTCATCACTTTGCAGCAAACGCCGAGCACCGACAGGAACAACGAGAACTTCTCGATGAAGGTCTCGAGGTCCTCGATCAGGAAGCAGTCAACCAGACCGCAAAACGTGAACGAGTGGAGTAGAAAGATCATGACAACGGAGTAGACGTTGTACGCCCTATACTTGATGGAAGTCAAGGGCCAGCCGACAGGCCGCCAATAGCCTGTGTACGTCAGCAACGCGAACGACAAAGGCAGAGTGTGCATCATTCTCGAAGTAATTCAGATACCACGATAAATTCTTCAAGTGTTCCTAAAATTTTTTCCTTCCTTAAATTGTAATTATCTAGGAATTCATAGAAAAAAATATATGAGATAATTATCTTATAAGAATGATCTAGGAAATTGCATAGGAGTTGCACCATGATTGGAATTCCTGAGAATTTCTTGGAGTATTCATATAGATTTATTTTACATCAACATGTGTACTTTATGAATTCAAGAGGAATAGTGTTTATGAACAGAAAGAGGAATATATCAATGATGTTTTTCTTTTTATTGTACCGAGATATCATTTATTTGTTAAGAAAGTTCCAATTACGATAATGCACACAAAACACTGCAAGTAACACAAGCATCTGCTGAACGCAGCCATGGGAAGCAATTATAACAAATGGAACACTCGTAATTTCTCACGAATTTTCATAATATTCGAAATCGATCGAGTCGCAAAGTATTCGTTATAATGAACCTCTGAGAAACACTTCAAGACAACTGATTGTGGTTAATTCTTCAAGAATTCTTCAGATATTCATTTTTCTAATCCCACACGTATTCTTTAAAGTGAATTCTCTATGAGCTTCTATTCACCTTTGTGCTATTTTGGAATAGCCGGACAAAAGATTTCGATAGTTCTTTCACAATGAAGTATCAGCGACAGAATATGTCGCGCAGCGCGGTTTTCTGAGAGCGTTATCGCGATCTCTGGCTTCTTGTCACCGTATCGTATACCACATAGCTTTCCCGCTTCCAACGTACAAGGAAAAATTACCTCGACTTCCGCTATGATAGATAATTCATACATGAAAATTTTGCTAATCGTACTACGGGAAGTTCGCCGTTGTACGCTATTAAAGTTACGTCGCCTTATGACGGCAATTCCGCCTCATTACAGTTAAAAATTAACGTCAGCGTAAATGTACTCCATTATTGCGATCAATACACAGGGGTCGTCGCAGCCTCGTAGTCGAGCAGTCCTATTAAATTATATCATAATGAGGCAAACTGTAATTTCGATGCCCGACGTGAACATCTTACTCGGTCTTAAAATTTAACAGTTTTAAGTGTTAACTCGCGCAAGTAAAAGTCTTATCAAGTTCTACGGGAAAAGTAGAATTAATTTTCTCTTCGTCTGAAATGATTTTGTCGCAAGTTACCGACCAGCCGTCACATCCGGCAAATTTACGTTCGGATCACAAGAATACACCAGAGATGGACAAATGTAGAATTGCGATGACGGTATCGGGTCGGCGATAAGATGGAGTCTTGGAGGAAATTGAATTCCTGGAGACAATGCTGTCGCGTGAGGCGGAAGATCGAATCGACATGCAGAATAGTACAGTGACGATTACCTGATGGCCATTATTATAGTAAGTAAACTAAGAGGCTACACCGATCGTTCATTAATATACAATGAATACAGCCTGACGGAATATACGCGACGTTGAGGTCGGTGCACTCGTGGTTTCTTTTATACTTTTATATACTGGTAGAGTTTGCCTGTCGTTAGATCTCACGTTATATTCTTCTCTAGGAGCAGCGCGATACAGTCGTCGGTCGTTGTACTACACGGCAACAACTTGCGCTCCTTTCTCCCGCAGCCCGAAAGGATTCTGCGCAGCCGTCATCAGATAAATGCTGCCATTCCTTCAAAACGGAGCAAGAGGAGGATGAAAAAGGCGTGCTTCAGAATGTTGTGAACATTTTAACTCCGCACAGAGAAAAAAGGTTTCTTTGGATTTTTTATATGTTATTATTTGACTCGAGTTTGTTTAATATAAACAGTATAATTTAATATCAAATATTATCTTGTTTGAATGTTGTTTCACTAGAATAAACAACCATGTTATTTAATAGAAAAAACAGTATTATTATTAGTATTATTTTACATATATTTCTTGTTTAAAGAATTAAATAATCCTGTTTGTTGAATCAAACGTTCGTTTGTTTGTTCTATGCCAAGAGACAAATTTCAATTGGAATCTTAATTTAAAGAAATTTATGAAATTCAAAAAAATCTTTCTCTGTATGCTTACGCTCTTCTCGATGCGCCGTAACCCATGACGACTCGGGTGTGATTGTTGCACTCGCCGGACAAGAAGCGAGACCACGAGGAACACTGCACGCCTAGGAAGGACAGCTCGTTGGTCACGGACTCGGCGTAGAATCTCCAGGAATATTTGTGACTGCAGAAATCTGAAACGGCGGGTAAACGATCAAGATGGAGTGCCATTTATCCGCTACGATGTTTCGAGGATGCATCATGCATACCTTCTGTGCTGTAGAACGTGAAATTCTTCGGGCAGCCGGGTTGTACACGGGTACCGCCGTTCGGGAAAAAGTCCACTGTGCCTGTGTTCCTGCCAATGCCGTAGAATCCGTAGTCCGTGTGTATGATATCCACGAAACGCGCATCGGAGGACGAGAGATGCGGCACGAGGATATTAAAGAGAGGACCGGCGGGATCCAGACCTGTGCGCAATTTTTTTAAACGCTGCTCTTTGTAATACGGAGTGTCTAATAATACACAGGCACGGGAGCGAATCACTTTTCTCGCTGAATAAATATATTGATTTCTCAGATATTTTTTTCCTTAGTACATCGTATAACACAAACAGCAAGAGCAAAGAGAAAATTCTGATTAAAATTTCCAAGAACCCCGCGTCATATCGTTGAATTTGTCTCGGCCTTCAAGAAACATCCATACAATGCTGTGTGGAAAAGATAAAAGTAATTTCGCGTGACTATTTGCACTTCATCGGTAACTTATATTATCTCAAATTGCTTTTTCAAAATTCAACTGTATTGCACTTCTTTTATTCATGTATCGGTAGCCGCAAGGTCACTGCAGACTACAAAAGCTTGAAAAGAACTAGTATAAAAAAAAAGAGATTCCGCGATTCGCAATTATTTTATTTTTTCGCTTTGTCGCTTCGATTGTGTTGCAAATTGACTGACAAGAAATTAATATCTACCTGTGATTCTAGAGAGCTGAAAGCTGACTTTTCTCCCGACATAGCCGGCGATTTGACCGCCCATTGAATGGCCGACGATATACAGCTTCTCCGGGTCGAAGCCTGTCTGCACCATATTGTCGAGAACCAACGCAAGAGCGGCTCCGATGGGAGCGGTGCTCATTACTACCTTCGTATAGGACTCGTTCGCCAGTTCAGCGTAACTCACTGCGATGATGTTGTGATCGTTTCGCTTCAGATAAGCTGAAAGGGCGCGACGTAATTTAGTTGGTTTCTAATGAGTAATCGTTCGTCACGTCGAACGAGATGTCCCCACACAGCAAAATATATCAGATATCTTTATGCCTGCAATTTTAAGTTTTATATAGATATCTTATTTTCAGATATTCACGGAATATCTGCAGGACATCAAATTCTCGATATCATTGAATTTTTTCTTTGAAACTACGGCCGATACTAAAATCTGCATCTTTCAAATATTTCCATGATATCTTGACAATTAGATATTTAGACATTCAGATATTTTCTAGATATCTCTGTGATATATTTTGCTATGTGTGGTACCTTGCACTATCGTTTGCACGCTTTCTTTCTCCAGATGTTCCGAGAAACCGTGAATATACAGCACCGTCCGTCTGTCATCGATCAGTTTGGTTTGCAGCGCTCTGGCGTTGTCCAATGAGTAATCGACGTACTTGTCTATTGTCGTCCTAAATGAGGTAAATATTGATGTTCAAAAGACAGATTTAAAGAGGAGATACTATTTTATCTTGTTTAAAAAGTAAATATTAATATTGTGAAAGAAATGCAATTGTGCAGAAGATTTCCTTTATCTTGTTTTCGAAACAATCAGTCGTGAATGATAATAGCCTAAAAATACCCGGTGTAAAAACGTAGGAAGACACTCTCGAGATTTTCCACAACCTCCATTCTTTCTGTGAACAAATATCATATTTATATTTACCACATTATTTTATTGGATCGTTCGATAAGTTCGAATTTTTACGAGAAAATCAAGGCCGATATTTTTTCATAGTTAAACACAACTTTATTTTTTTCTTCTTTCCTGCTATCGAAAGAAATAGTCAGTATATTGTTAAATAAAGTTATGCCTAACAATAAACTGTAAAATTATAAAAATATCTTCGAATTTTTCGTAAGAATTCCTACGAACTTATCGAACTATATGAAAACTATATGAACTATATAAATTATATGAAAAATTTTTCCCCTCGGATATGTGATTGCATATTTGCTCTTTTATTTGTGAAACATTTTTCATTTTTTAATGTCAAATATTTCAACGATACGCGCATGTACATTAATGCTTACCGTCTGCAGTCGCGAATATTACAATAAAGGCGAGAACGAATTGCCGAGAAGCGCGAATCATCGTGAATTCGAAGCTCCGTGGAATGTGAGAAACGACCCCCGGACGACCTGAGCTCTGCATGACCGCGCACACGAACATATATCTAAGGGGCTGTTGCTAATGTATGCGGTCTTTATTTTATGCGACGTCCTGTTATCCGATATCGACCAATTGCACCGCTTTTTTATGTGCATACGAAAAAAAGAATGTTACGTGTATGTCGCATATTGCGCATACGGAGATATGTTCATCCTTCCTGTGCAGAGAGTTTAACGCGGAGAGTTTAATGCGCTAAACACGCGGTTATAGAGTCGCGAAATTGTTCGAGGGAACGGATGAGGCTATATGAGGCCTCGATTGCTCATCGGCAGTTCAATTATCGAATTTGTAACGTATTGCGAATGTTTTAATTATTTATAGATTTTAACAATTATTATTTTTAAGCTCTTTTTACATTTTCTCTTCAAAACTTTTTTTAATCATTTTGATGTCATTTTTATGTCACCTTCATTTTCTGTCTTACCTGAATATTATGTTATATCGTTGTATCGTTTGTTGTCGTAAACAACCACGCGAAGAATTAAGAATTACACTCACGATCATCGCATCACAGACTCGATAATTTTTCAATAACGGATTGTTCAAAATTACTTGGCAATGTATGTAATACGTGCGGGAGAGATCGGGAATCTAAATGAAATGCAGACACACGATTTTACCGGCGAGATATGGTAACGTTGACGAGTATGAACGTTATCAGTTTTAACTAATCGTTGTTATAACAACCGCTTATGCAATATTTAACGTTCTTCATTATAGGTTTTTTACATGTTCATAAAGATAAAAAACTGAACAATGTTAAAAAATACAGGTCAATGTTAATGAAAAACTGTACAGTTTTGGCGCATGAATTCTCTCGGCAAAATCTATCTGATTGTCCTGTCAAAATAATAGCGACAACACGCGTTACATGCAATCCTATAATTTTACCAACGGCTGTCCACGTTAATTTATGCGGCGATAAACTCATGAAAATGCCGCAGACTATCGGCGGAACACGGCAAATAATTATGTGTATCACTGATACGCGAGGAAATAAATCAGTCTGGGAGACAGTCAGCCAGAAGGAGTTGTTTAGCCGCCTATCGTCGCGTTGTTATTTTAAGCCACGCGTAATTTCGCGTCGTTATTTTAAGCCACGCGTAATTTCGCGTGAATAAATTAGACACCAATGTTGTTCGTAATAGTCACTTTATTTTTAGCGATCGACTATAATCGACTCCGACGAATATTCAAGCTTTTCCTTCCTTCCTTTTTATTTTCTTTTTCTTTTCATCTTTTCCTTCTTTTCCTTTTTCGATAAATGATACGCTGGAGCGAATGGATTTGCTTACATAATTATTAATATATAAAAGAAACCGCTTTCATATAATTCTCTCTGAGTTTCTCTTTCCGTTGCTGGATTCTTCGTTGCTTTCACCGTAGCCTTCATTCTTCCACATTATTGTCTAACGGTTGTCACGTCAAATAATATGTGCTCAGCTGTGTTTCGCGAGTGTAAAAATCATCTGGTGCCGGTGCACGTCTACATCGAACTCAATCGAGTATAACGAACGGATCTTTAACGACATTGGTCAACGTCGAGATCCGATTTAAAATCTTTAGTCTCGCGATTGCGCAAATGGGAATGAACGGTTCACATCGTTGGTACATTCTTCAAGCTCAAGACACATGTTAATAATCGCACAGTCCTCGCATTCTTGCGACCTCGAATATCATTTGCTCGACGACGAGAAGCGTGGTAAAACATCGATACATAAATATCTCGCGCGTATCCGCTATGAATGTGCTTCGTAAGCGATTTATATCAATCACAACGCACTAGAGCGATACATTTAACCGGACGCGTTTAACATGAAATTCTGCGTGTAGTCGTACTCGATGGTGGGTATGACGGACTGCACGAACTTCAGGAATATTATTAGGTACATGTGCACTCCTAGTTCCCCGCCGCCCTCCATCACCGTCTCGATGATCTTCTTCATCACTTCCGCGTGTCTGCGGACAAACCATGAACAATAACGTTCAATCGATTAAGACTAGGAATTTAGACACAGCAACTGTCATATATTTGTAGATTAGACCACTTTGAACCAAAAATGATATTATCATTTTGCAGATAACACGCAAATTTTCGAGTTATTAATTAAAGGAACCTCTATACATGGACTTTCAATCTTTAGTAACGCGAAATTTTGCGTAGTTGTTCGCAAAATGATAAAGAACTTTTATATAAGGAAGTTCAGATCTGTGTGATCACAGATTCGCTTTTTCTGTTTCTCTCTTCTTCACCTGCACGGGTGAACAGAAGCCATGGGAGGGCCAGGTATATGCGGGTGAATCTCCATCGTGACAGTCTTCTTGGCATGATCCTGACTAACGTCCTCGTACATCTCCTCCACATTGAGCGGTTTCCGGTTCTGCGAGACGGTATAAGAGCATAATTAGCACAGTGGACTTAGGAACCAATTGATTCGAAGACTTAAAAACTCGGGGATCAAAGAGCACGTGTCTTACCTCGTTGTACCCGAACAGCCACAGCCTAGGCGTTTGGTAATATTTATCGTATGTGATGTACAAGTCGTAGGTGCGGGTGCGGATAATCTCCCCCTCCGAGAACGAGTCCCGTTTCTCCTGACCGGTCTTCTTCGTGTTCTCCGGCGCTACGTGCTGCGACAAAGGAAATCGTTCTCCGTAAACTCGCCAATTTAAACGAACGTTCCTCTCGACAGTTTATCCCTTTACCTTATCCTGCTCGTCCAACATTCCGCTAACTTCGAAAGCCTCCATGTCAGCGGCATCCTCGTCGTCCTCATCGTCGTCCACATTGTCCGTTTGAGACGGCTGTGTCTCCTCCAATGTCATTTCCGTCACCCTCTCATCCAGGCCGGCAAGACTGATGTCATAGTGATGGGTGTCCACCCAACCTCCCTCGGTATCGTCTGCTTCTATAATACATTCCTGTTCGTTGCTATACTCTATCTACAAACATGGCAAATGATCTTAGTATGTGTAAACACAGGGGAAAAAAGACAGAAGTATATATCATTTCAGCTGCTCTTACCTGCTTACACCGACGTGAGCAGGGGACATTACGGGTCAACAAAAACTGTTTGTCCTTCGGTAGATAAGACTTAGCTCTGTCCTCATCACCGGTAGCCCATTGCCATGTAGGGCAATGATGTACTAAATGATCTCCGGCTGCTACAAACTCTTCCGGTGTCAAAACACCTGTCTCTCGAAATTTGCTCTCCTGAAGATCAATTTAGATGTAGGAATTATAGGAAAAATAGCTTATATTATTAGAAACTACACAAATTTAAAAGTTTAGTAACATAACATGATTCTGAATGCAAATTCAGGCCAACAAAAAATAAATGAGTATTGGAGAAAAGAATACGGTTAAGAGCAATTAAGGGAATTGTGAGCAAAGTTCAAAATTCCAGATTTCTTTATTTTTTCTCTTCCTTTTTCCAGGTTTTTTTCCTGAACTTCTTAAATTTCCGTGACTTTTCCCGATTGTCCAGGTCTGTGGCAACCCTGTGATTACAGTGAGTGTAAAAATAAACAATTCCGGGACATCCCCACGTCTCCCCACTACGTTGCTCGCCCTGCTATCTCAAGCCAAAGAATCTAATCTACCCTGATAAATTAAGGATGTCCGTTTGGCTGAAATACAAAGGTTAAGGAAGCGTATTGCGACGATTACCTTCAACACCGGCGTTAGGTATTCAGCGACACCCAAAGCGGTGCCTTTCACGGAGTTTATGACACTTTGCATTATTGACGGGCTCGTTGCACGCTGCTCGCGAGAGAGATAATGCTGCCGCTTGGGATTGCGAGAGGGAACGACACAGCTAGACTAGAGAAGATCGACCGCTGTCATATCGGTGCGCGTTAACGTTTCTCACGGCGTAGGTCTACCAATACACCCGCTCGCTAACCGTTCTTTCGCTTCGCCGGATCGATTCGTGCCGATTCGCACGCAGCTTCGTCTGACAGGTGATTCCACACAGCACCGAGCCACAAATTACGAAGACCACGTAGACGGGTGGTTCTAAAGAAATCGTGAAGAAATAATGAACTTTGTTCCCGCAAGCAAGTAATGTCGCCAACAGCGACACGCACTTTTTCCCCGTAAGGAGAAGTTAATTTCTAACTATGGGCGTAAAAATATTTGAGCGAAATAAATAAAAAGTTTAAAGTTTTCTCTTTAAAACGCTTGTATCACATTTTCAATCAAATAATTTCTCGCTCTTCAATCAAATAAATTTTCGCTCGTCACAGAAATAACGGGTTTACGGAATTATTAGACCTGTTATTTCTGTAATTTAGTTCCAGAATCTCCGCTACGAGCCGCCACTATACTTAACGAGAAACTGAGGTTGTGATATGACTAAACGATGGAGTCAGGCGTACTTTCTATTTCTCAAGTAGTATAACTCAAGGGCTGGTCAGACGTACTTTCCAAGTTTCGTCAGTGTTGTTTTCCCAACAATCGCAGTTATATTGTACGAATGTCAAAATACGCGTGATTGAAAATTTCTAACGACTATATAAAATTGTACGATGTCGTGTCAATTGCACAAGGCACTTCAGCGTTATTACAAACGGTTACATAGTTTCTACGACGAATGGTTGATTATTGGCAAGAAAATCGAGATATCACTCACTGCGTTGAATGATCAAAGTGAAACACTTCAACTTATTAGGTGAGCGAAATCAAGTATTATAATAATCGATTTACCTCATACTCAATGATCGTTTATCATATGTTGTCGTATGATTATTCCAGTGATGATGCAGACTACAACGATGCCGAGATCAGTGAGGAACTGCAGCATAGAATAAGATTTAACATTCTTATGGTTCTTGACGAAGAGCAGGATCATCTCTTTAAGATTATGGTACAATTCAACCGTGTTATTCAGGTATCCTTCTTTAACTGCATTCTTTAATTTACGATCGTAAGAAATATGATATTTAAACTTGTGTGTGATGTATGATTTCAGGAATTGGCCAATCTTTTGCAAAACGTGATACGAGCTAGGAGCAAGGTATTTGTGAGAGATAATGATGAAGAAATGAAACTACTGATCAACGGATCATATTGTCGACCGAAACTTGATTTACTGATGGAGTGGGCCATCAAATCCTTCGAATATTTTAACAATCTGTACCTATCGTTTCAAAAAGAACTGGTATTTCTTTAATTACTTCGGTGCAACTTATCACAATTTTTTTCTTGCATTAGATACTATTGTATAAATAATGAGATAAAATTACTCGGTTACGACAAGATGAAGAATACAGATAAGGTGCTTGCTGCTATTAAGAAGGCCAATGAAGGGAGAATAGCTATAAACAGTAAGTATAATCTACCCTTTTTGCCTCTGCTATATCGAATGTTCAGAAATATATGAGATAATTCAGAATATATAAGTGGTACAGTACTTATTATAATGTTTCACAGTACAGAACTCCAATTATCAGTTCAATATTTGTTAAAATACCGAGTTCACGGGTGTCTCATGAAAGCTTTATATGTTACAGAAATACTAGCTCATACCCAATACATGATTGACGAGCAATTCCCTAATGTAAAACATAAAAATACAGGATTACAAAAGATCCCAGATCCAACATTATCGCAGAGTGGCACAGAACGGCGGAGCTAGACGTGGATTTCTCTATCGTTGTGCGTTTTTTATATTATTGCTTTTGAATCATAACATCTCTCGTGTGTGCGGGAGATACGACTGTTTCTGTAATAAATGTTATTTATTATATTTAATATTCATCACATCCAAGGACAGCGTGATCAGTCGGTTAGATAATACGGAAGGTACTCGGGCCTTTCGATTTCTTCCGATTTCTGCTGAATCAACACGCGACACAGTTACCCGTGATCGCGCGCAGACTTACACTTCTCGTACACACCGAACGATTTCACATCCGTTTCGTGTCGGGTCGTCGAGAACGATAAATCATGTCGCGGCATTTCCCTTTTACACGCCCTACCGGCCTTCCTCTCGAAGAACTCCGTCGCGCGCGCTTTCCTTCGGGCGGGAGAAAGAGAGAGAGAGCGCGTCGGAGCGCCGGCGCCGGCTATTGATCCTCCTCTCGGGGGGTACCGTGATTTCAAAAGTTACCATCACCAGCGCACAAGGTGCCACCAGTGGCGAATTGCTCCTCGGCCGCGGACAAGCTCCTCCCGCGTTTCCTCCTTTGGTCCCGGCAGGTCGGTAAGGATTCCGCTTTCCTCTCGAAGCGTCTCATGACTAACAACGGCGCGCGTTCTTCTCATCGCTGCGTTGCGATGCACCGCGCGTACACCAATTCGTTCCCCCGTCAATCCCGCGGATATGCGAATGAAACGAAGAATACTCGTGCGCGCGGGGGCGTATATATTTGCCTGGAAATTTCGCACGTACGCCGAGGACGACACGCACATCTCGGCTCGAACGGGGCTCCTCGGGACGTCCTCCTCGTGGATCGTGTCGCAAAACTGTCGAGTGAAAAATAGCGAGAGCTTTTAGTACCGAACGCTCGCACGTTCCTTCGGAAAAATCGTCTCCTACTGGAATTTCCCATCGATTTTTTGTCGCACATACACGCGGAACGTACGTACGTAAGTTTTGCGTAAGGAGGACACGTGTGTCCCTTCCCGCTTCCTCGTACGCTATCGATAGCTGCGAGGATCGGGAACGCACCGATATCGCGAGTCAAACCCACCGGGGGAAGATCACCGCGCGTCGAGAGAGCGTCTTTCAAATTTAACGATATTAGAATCCGACCGACCGTAGGCGCGCTGGACACGTGTTGCGACGACCGATTGCAAACGTTAACGCGCCTATTTTACATATCAATTCTGTAATAAGTGTCATTTATTATTATATCTGAGAATAACGTAATCAATCAGTAGTTATAGGGAGGGTGATATGAAAAGTGTTCGACTTTTCGAATAACGCGATATCCCATCATGTTGCCGGCGGCTCCTTCGTACTGGTCATTCCAATGATTTCGATCCTTCTTCCGACAGGATGGAGCGTCTAGGCCTTTTCGTTTGATCAAAAGAGTCGTCGGATCTGAGAGGGATTAAAGAGAAAAGGGAGGAGATATGGCGAACACGGCTCATCTCGTCCGCCGGCAAAGTTCCCGCGACCTCAAGCCCCAGAAGAGCATCGATAAGCTCGAAATGAAAGAGATGCGTGGTAGATTAGTGGTGGATAATCGAAAGAGCGTCACCACTGCCAATTCCGGGGCCACCAACGCGGCCTTCGAGGACAGCAGTCCTAACAAAGTACTCTTTTTCCGCTTCCAAAGCTTCCAAAAAAGCTCCCGGTGTCTCTTCCCGCCGAGCCGGGCTTCACTCAGCAATTCATTCCGTGCGTAGAGCAAATCGGGAAACAACGGCGGCGCCATCAACAACGACGGCAAGGCGACTTTCCGGCCGGAAGCGGGCGAGGATGAGCGTGAAAATTGGGATAGCAAGCTCACTTTCCTCCTGGCGACCGTGGGATACGCAGTGGGACTTGGAAATGTCTGGCGGTTCCCGTACCTGGCTCAGAAGAACGGCGGAGGTGCGTTTCCGCTTCTTCACGGATTGCGCGGCAATTCGTCGTTTCAGCAAAACTTGTTTTCTCCGAACGCTGCTTTTCAACGCTTTTGTGTTTTCCGCAGGCGCCTTTCTAATCCCTTACTTCGTGATGCTGGCCATCGAAGGTATTCCTATATTTTACTTGGAACTGGCAATCGGTCAAAGATTAAGAAAAGGCGCCATCGGTGTGTGGAACCAGGTGAATGAAAGAAAAGCAAAGAAACAATTAATGAGCGACAATTATTGATTGTAAATAGAGAAAAATATCAAAAGCTCCGGAGGTAAACAATCAAGTAAGAAAGAGAGAAAAAGATTTTTTATTATTGATTAATATGAATCGAACGTCTTGACTGCCGAGAACGAGAATTCTCGTCACGAAGTATTTTGTTATATTAAAGACGTATGTTGAAAGTCTGGAAGATGAATCTAATGCGTACGTGACACTATCAAATACCTTTTCCCAGTATACTTAATTAATTTACCGAATGCATTCTTTCCCGAAAGGTATCTCCGTACATGGGCGGCATCGGAGTCAGCAGCGCCGTAGTTTCCTTCAACGTGGCCCTCTATTACAACACTATTATCGCCTGGTGCCTCTTCTACTTTGTTCAGGTAAGAGACTCGTCTATTTCGTCCTAGTCTGTGCGTATCGCTCGCCGTTCGACAAATTATTCTGAAAATCTGTCCTTACAGAGTTTCCAATCGCAGCTACCTTGGGCGGAGTGTCCCAATAGGTACTTTCAAAATGGATCTTACGCGCCTGAACCTGAGTGTTTGGTAACGCTAAAGTTTACGTTCACGTATATCACAAATTAATTTCCGCACACTGTGTGTGCGCGCGTGTGTGGGTATACGCGCGCGCGTGTGCCGATATCATGTATAATTTGTGCGAATCGATTCGCAGGTCAGCAGCCCGACGCAATATTTCTGGTATCGAACCACCCTGATGATATCTAAAGACATCAACACGCCGGAGCTGTTCAACTGGAAGATAGCCTTGGCGCTAATCATCGCCTGGATCTTGGTTTACATGTGCATGATTAAGGGAATCGCTTCCTCAGGCAAGGTACGACTCCTCGCTAGAGATGTTGTGATACCACGAAAGTATCGATATTAATATTGAAAGCAATCAATAAATAACCGTAAAGTTAACGTGATGGGAGTCATAAGAAAAGATAGGTTTAAAACGTGAGTTGTGTGTTATATTAATTTTCATGAAGCGAAAATGATACCTTGAAGATCGATTCGAAAAAGTATCGATACAAAGTAGCACTGATATGGGTATAAATATCCAAAGAAAATATCGATAGAAAAATACCCGGTATTGAAAACAAAAAATATCGACACCGATATTATATCAGTAGTATCACAACATCTCTATTTGTCGCAACAAATGAGAGTCTCCGATACTAACTACCGTTCTTCGTCTTCTTCAGGTCGTGTACGTGACTGCTACGTTCCCGTACATCGTCCTGATTATCTTCTTCTTCCGGGGCGTCACCTTGCCGGGTATGTCGGACGGTCTGCGGCATCTCTTCACGCCAAAGGTACGCCGCAACTTACCTTCTACCCCATGCTTATCGGCGCACTGACGAGCGATCAGTAAATCGCGAATGATCGTTGACTCTTTCAGTGGTATACGTTGACCGATCCGGTAGTCTGGCTGGAGGCTGGGACGCAGATCTTCTTCTCCCTGGGCCTAGCTTTCGGCGGTTTGATCGCGTTCTCCTCGTACAACCCGGTGAACAACAATTGCTACCGCGACGCTATTATGGTCAGTCTGACGAACTGCTTCACGTCCATGTTCGCCGGGATCGTCGTCTTCTCGATCATAGGTTCGTGCGATTGCTACCTCGTTGGGAACTCTTATTGTTAAATCTGCGTTCCAACTTGGGCAGGATTCAAGGCCACCATGGTTTACGAGCAATGCCTGTCGGAAAGGAACAGCACGTTGATGAACATCTTCGGCCAACCTGACAAGATACCCGACGAGATTCCGATTGCCGGCGTTCTGTTGAACATCACGAGCGGCAACGGATCGTTGGACAACTTGATAATGCCGGAACTGCCTGAATGCGATCTGGAGAAAGAGCTGGATAACGTGAGTACCTCTTTCACTCTTCGAAGTATCTCTTCTATATTTCTCATCTCGACAACGAATAACGACGATGACGATGGTCGCGCGCAGTCGGCGTCGGGCACTGGTTTGGCGTTCATCATCTTCACCGAGGCGATCAATCAATTTCCCGGCGCGCAGTTCTGGTCGGTGCTGTTTTTCCTGATGCTGTTCACGCTGGGGATCGATTCCCAGTTCGGCACTCTGGAAGGCGTCGTCACCAGCATCGTCGACATGAAGCTCTTTCCGAATCTGAGAAAGGAGATTCTCACAGGTTATTTTTGCAGTGACAAGAGAAATATTCTTCGAGTAAGTTATACGAATAAGATCAATGAATTCGATCTTCCGGTAGGTGCGATTTGCCTGGTGTGCTGCGTGATCTCAATGGCCTTTGCTCACGGAGCTGGTAGTTACGTCTTTGTCCTGTTCGACAACTTCAGTGGCAATTTCCCGTTGCTTATAATCGCGTTCTTCGAGTGCATAGGTGTGTCCTATGTCTACGGTTTGAAGAGGTAAGGAACAAAGGACGCATGGATCTATGAGGTTTTCGGCGAAAGACGCATCTCTCCGTGACGCTTTTAGATTCGCCGACGACATCGAACTGATGACTGGTAACCGGCCTGGCCTCTATTGGCTCGTGTGTTGGAAGTACCTGAGTCCATTGGCGATGCTGAGCATCCTGATCGCATCCTTCGTGGAGATATTCTTCGAAGGTAGCGGATATCCGGCCTGGGTGGTGAGCAAGGGCATCACCGAGAGACACGAGTGGCCGGTCTGGGCGCTCATTCTCATCGCCATCCTCATTCTCACCTCCGTTCTATGGATACCCGCAGTCGCTATTTGCAGGTTCGCATCGACGTTAAAGCTGCACGACTTCACAAATGCCAACGATTGCATTGTAGATCTACGACACCTCCAACAAGAAATGTTGTGATACTACTGATATAATACTAGTATCGATATATTTTTTTCAATGCCGGATATTTTCTTTTGACATTCGTATCCATATCAGTATTACTTAGTTTCGATATTTTTTTCGATACTTTTTTTTTCTTTTTACTCAGTCGATCTTCAAAATATCATGTAATTTTGCTTTATGAAAATGAGTATAACATGCAACTTATGTTTTTAAATCTATCTTTCCTCATTATTTCTATTACGTTAATTTTAACTGTTATTCATTGATTGCTGAAGTAAAAAGAAAGCGTTTGGACAGTTTTACAAGTGCGTGGAGTCATTTTGTGCGTGAACGTATGTGTAGATACTTCGGAATCCTCATCATCGACGACAACGAAAAGGCCTGGTTCCCCGCGGCGGACCTGAAGGAATTCCACGGGATCGTGCCGCACGAGGTGACGGCGGCCGAGACGTTGTTGTTTTGCATCAGGAGCGACGGTTCCGAAGGCCTGTGCTGCCCTACGGGCGGTACCAGCGACGACGAGGACGAGGACCTCACCTAGGATCGATCTCTGTGGCGACGCGCGTTCCGCTGGTTCTCGGCTCGGGACACGCTCCACTTCACCCTGTGACGTGTCCATATTCGGTCGCCGCTTGGCCGAGAGCGGCAGCCGTACATCTCGACGGACCTGTTCGGTCGAATCGTAGTAAGCGCATCCGCGTGGTAGGATCTTGTCTATTGTGTCAATTAAGAGCTTCACGGCGCGGTAGGAGTCTACTATCGTTTTTGTTGTTCTTTTTTTTCTTCATGGCGCAAAGACGGAGATACATTCATATTAGGAGGCTCATTTCACTCTCAGTTTCGATCGACTCCAGTAGTTAGAACAGCCGTCGAAGATCCAGCTTTCTCCTCGGAGTTTGACAAGTTCTCCAGTTTCAAGGAACGAAGCAGACGCGCATGTCATGATCCGGAACGCACACACTCGAGTGTATCTCCGCCCGAAAGATATATGATCTCTCGTTTTTGAGTTTCCTAAGTGACGTTAACCGTGTGCGAAATGGATGCTTCTGAAGCTTCGGGGAATAATGAGGAATTTTAGGCACCATCAACGCGGACGCACACACACATACACACACGTACACAAACGAATATATCTGCACAAACATATCTACACGCACAGATACACGCAGGATTCTCAAGCGAATCGACACAATCGCGCGTCGCGTCGGCAGAGAAAGTTGAGTGGGGCTGATTTTTCGATTGCGGGCTATAACGAGATGTTAACGAGATGAAACATTTACTCCTTAGCGATTGTGATTAACGTCAGATTTAACATAAGATTAGCGGTAGGAGCCGTCCTTGGGTGGATGTACCCGAAACCGTTGTTTTAGATAGATAGCCTTGGATCAGCAGAACGGTGGTTGGCTCCTTAGATCTATGGATATATTTGTAAATCCGAGCTTTGGATGATTCTCTATCGATGGTTCTCTACAGATCCAATGAATGTGACTAATTTAAGTGTCCAGGAGCTCGCGAGTTCTCGCTGAGCGTTCAAGCAGGTGAATGCCGGAGGACCCAAAGATCTAAGGATCCGGGGGGGATCTACGAATCCACCGATTGATCACGTGGGTCGATAACGTGACAATAACGAATTTAGCGTAAAGAAGGTAAAATTGATGACAATAATAATAATCGGACTATAAATCATGCTTGACAATAATACTAATCAAAGGAGCTGCGCAACATGTGATGCGCTTTCGGGCAGAGCCCGGAAGGCCGGGTCACTCGATTGATTCGCCCCGTAAAACCCTGGCCTCTCCGGGCGAAGGGGAATTATCATTATCCGGGCCTCGTAGGTTAATTAAATTGTTTAGCCGGTCAATTATTGTCCTCGTTTCCACGCTGTTGCTCGTGTTTAAATTCGACCTGACGACGAAGACACACATCTTTTTCCTTCCAGAAAGCTAGATGACACACACACACACACATATATATATATATATATATATATATATATATATATACATGCATACATATATATATAATCAAAGAGAACGCTTTAGATTTGAGATCCAGGTCGAAACTGAACACGAATTGTTGTTTCCGAAAGTTTTACGAGATCTTCGCATTTCCTCGCGAACGACGTTCGCGACGGCCTGATATATCTTCCGGTGACACTTTTAAAAACTTAACTCTTTGCACTCTGAATAACTATATTCCATGTTGAAAGAGACTAATACACGTTGCATTATTTTATATAGGATAACTTTATCTATCATCTCTAGTTGGCATTTTATCTCCTGCAACAGTTGCATAGTAAATACGAGTCTCTCATTCTAGCTGATTAACGAGATTTTATAGCTTCATGTTGAAACGAGAAAAATATTCTAGTGCAGAGAGTTAACGGATTCATATGACTAATCGGTTGTGGAGTATTCGCCTAAAACGTACAAATGTCAACATGGACAATAAGTAGACTTTCGTTTCCTCGGGTTATCTATTAGTCAGAGTAAGCAGAAACATAAAAAAACTGCATTAGCGACTTGTTAAGTGACTAATTATTAAACGATAACAATATGAGTCATCGATTAAGATGACGGAGGTCGTCATCGGTTAATTAATGACGAGATACAAACCATATCTTGATATCATATCATTTGTTACACTATACGTAATAGTTTTTTATCTCGTATACTCGCTCAATCTCCCTTTGTAAAAGAAAAAAAAAGAAAAAATTTCTTCAATGTCAAAGAATTTCTCTTAAGAGTTTGAACTTGATTGAAGATTATCATGTTTTCGTCATTTTATTTAGCACATTTTCATGGCTGAAAGAGCTAATTTTCCACAGAATGTTGTGATACGATCAACAAATGCGAAATTAATTCGATTAAGGGGGCATGAGAGAGCAGAAGAATAAAACTAGAAGGGGGACGTTATAATTGTTGATTATCGCGACAACTGCAGTTATCATTGGGGTTATAAAATGATCTACCTGTCAGTACTTTAGTTAATCGTCAATATAGCTTGCGCAATAATTCAGGAAATACACACCGACGACGGACGGTAATGACAAATAATTATTATGTACGATTGCGATGATTGCGATATATATACACAATATTGCGTATACGTAAAACTGTAAATATATATATATATACATATATATATATACATATATGAATATATTGTTGTCAGTTGAATGTTGAAATAAATACCTTGAGTGGATCTAGTCTTTTCTTTTGTCATTATTAATATACTAAAATGAAAATGAAATATTTCGTTTTAGCGCATGGTAATAACACGAGCGATTTCGGCTAGAAAATAAATAATTTATTGTTAATAATAAAACAAAAATTACATGCTACATATAAGCACTTCATAGATATATTATCCTATATTTCTCTTCTAACCAGTGAACTAGAACTTTGCATTAACTTTTGAGCTTTCATCCAATCCTTCGACACCTCAATTTCAAACCTCTCTCAAATATAACTACATATTATGAGAATCGACCGAATTTTAGCGGGCTTGAGATTACTGATAAAGAGAAGCTAAGTGAAAATATGAAACTAATTGTTATATTATATAATTGTTAAATGTAGTATTTAGAGAATTAATATATCCTCTCCGAGGGTTTATTCATGATCCTTACATTAATTAATTACTCGCTAACGCGCATACTTATCTGAGGATAAGTGCTTCTGCTTCTTGCACAGCTTCCTTCGGGAAAGTATTTAACGGTAACAAAATATTGAATCCTTTACACGTATATTCTACTATTATACATCCTTGAGATTTCTCTCTTTATCATGATCTCTATATTATACTCGTCAGAAAGTCCCTATTCAACGTTGAATTATCTTTCTCCATTGTCAAGGATTGCGATCTTAATTTAAACCACGCAATAGTAAACTACATATTGATATCAGTAATATAATGCCCATTCGTTCTCTTGCAAGAAAGTATCGACTACTTCCTTCATCGCCAAGTTTGGAATCAGCTGGTCTTGCGTCAAGTGCACACGAGTAACCGGGTCGAACTGACCGATCCGTTGAAGATGCTCCTCGATATCCTTCCGCTCGTATGTGATCCCGCTGGGAGTGATCACCGGTTCCTGAAGAATCTCGAAGCTGATCTTGCCGCACAGGTAATCGGGCACTTCCCTTTTCTGTGTATACAATTTATTTGAAAATGTTTTACGGGATCACAGGATGCGACATTCGTTCCAAAGAGATTTGCTAAGATGTTTTTTCCCTATTTTTTCTCCTTTATAAAAAAGTACTACTAACTGCGAAAAATGGGCCAGTGATAAATTATTGTTTCTCAGTAGTTTTATTACTCATATGAGAAGAAATCAGTCACTCATCCTAAATACTACCCTTGGTGAGTATTTTAATCTGATACCAGAATTGGATACAAAATGGAGTGAGAAAAAATTGGAAAATATTGTATATGATTATTTGGCCACATTCTTGTTCTGAAAAGTAAAAGTAGAGAGAAGACAAAAAGAAACGAACCCTTCTCCTGTCGTCGACCTTGGCAAAGAGATCGTTGAGCCGCGTTATGCAAGTGTCTCTCTTTTCTTCGATCTCCTCCTTTCTCATAGCGAATTCAGTTGAGCTTGCCTCTGCATCGGAATCCTTCTCTGATTCCTGTTCTTGCAGAGTTGTTAAGTTGCGCTTCGCATCGTCTATAATTAGCTGATTCAAGTAAGTTTGTAGCTCGATGTCTTGTGCGATCCTTTGCTCCTCCCTTATTTGGAAGCGACGTTTACGGGCTTGTCGGAGTACACTGGTGATGTCATCGCCGTAGTTTAGTTTCTGTTCCTTTGCCAAGTCCACAGCTGCGTTGTGTGACACACATTTGATATTTATAGTAAAATTTATGTGACACGTCATTATAAGAGGCATTCAATAGAATGGCGAGATTACGCGAAAGCTCACTACGCTGTCCCAGTACCTCTTTGTAAATGCTTGACAGCTTCGTCGTAAAGTTCCAATTCCAGCAAAGCTAGCCCTAGGAAGAAGTGACCCTTCATCAGGCAGGGATCTATGTCTAAGGCTCGTCTGCAGTCCTGACACACGGATTCCCATCGTTTCAGCTTCAAGTGACACAGCGCCCGATTTGTGAAGTACAACGCTTGATCTGGATTCTTTATCTGGATAAGATAATTGAGACAGAAATGAAGGATCGCTCGTCGATCGTTTTACACGCAATTCTGACCGTCGTATCACCGCGTATTCGAGTCACACAACGAGATCCGTACAGCTGGACGCGGCGGATTTAAATCTCCCACTCGTCGTTATTTTTTAGTTCGTACTACGGGCGCCAGGGGCATCGTCGAATCGTCGACGCTCAGCCGACCGCGTAATTCATGACTCAAAACAAAAAATATCTTTCTGCGTAACGAGCAACATTCGTGCGCCCAAATTCGGATCTCGAATCGAGATACGTCACATGCATGTATCGACGCCACTCACGATCGCCTTCGTGTAGCAATTGGCCGCGTCCTCGTACTTGTGGAGGCTGAAGAGACGGTTCCCCTGCTCTTTCAGCTCCTTGTCGGACAGGTTCGCCGTCGAATACATCTTACTCATGATAACGGCCGATGTCGCGTTGCACTACATACACGATGAATTGTTCACGACAGGAGCCGCAGGAATGCTGTGGACAATAACCGCGATATTCTTTGTCTAACCTCAAACACCGGACGCCCGATGTTTCAGTTTGCATCCGTTTATCATAGACTTTGATTGGCCCGATGCGCATCTAAATCGGCCAACGCATACAAATTCGCGATGCGCCATCTCGAGGCGATTGAACGTTACCTTCCTACGTCTGCTCTATCGTTTCTCGCCATTTCTTTTTTAGTTTTTTTTTTCTCTACAGGATTGTTGATTTCGGAGGAGAATCAACTTATACTTGTGTTCGGCGAATTCGGGGCTTGATACACAGTATGAGCATCGATTGCGAAACAAATCTTATTATCTTCGATAAATAAAAATGATAATTATACATGATTTTCTTAACAAATAATGTAAACGCTCTAATTGCAAATCGTCGCAGTCAGTCTCGCGTGTCATCGCTATGGCTTATTCCCTCAAGGATCCTCTTCTCCAAGAAATTGGCCGCGATTGATATTAGTCTAGAAGCCGAAAGGTCCGTCGACCATCACTGACTATTATTGGTTTCTATAGGATAGTGACGATTACTGGCTGTTCGCTTCCAAGTCCATGTCCGACCAAATGGCTTCAGTCTCGCTCTCCTCGGGCGCTTCGTCGTTGTCAGTGTCCGGCAAGCCGTCGCCGACATCGTAGCTCGTATCGGCTTGCTCTTCACCAACGGACATGTAGTAAGCGGAGTCCAATTTGCTAGAGGAATTGTCGAGCCTGTGCATCCCCTCCAGAGCCCTTCTGTTGCTCGGATCCAAGCTGAGAACGCAAAGTACGAAAGTCGTATCTCTTACAACCCGGGAAAATATGTTTATATATAATCATATAAAATTATATATATATATGTGACACACACGAACTTTGTCTCTATATGGTTACATATATATAATTAAATATCTACGCGAAATAAAAATATTATCGAATGAAAAATGGAAAAAATGGATTCAATTAGGTAGTTGAGTACTTGAGATTGCAAAAATCGGTAATATACTTCAAAGCTATGGCGTAATGGTCCAAAGCCTTCTCCTCGTTGTGTACCCTCGCCCACAGATCTCCCAAGGTTTGGTGAAGCCTGCAGGTGGACTGGATCTCCACCTGCCTCTCGAGCAACTCGATAGCGGCTTCCAAGTTCATCTCTTGCTCGTATATTTCCGCGAGGTGGAACACCGCGGTTAAGTAGACCTCATCCTGAGACAGCGCCTTTTCAAGCAAATTCTTGGCCTTGCTCACAGACACAGGGTCCTTCATGAGCACGGACGCGTACAACTGCAAAGAGAAAGCGATGTACCGCGTCTTCAGAATCACGTATCGGATTTCGCCTTACCGTCAGGACTCTGGCGGTATGTCCCAGCTGCTTGCAAGAGGTGCTGGCGATATTCAGGGCCTCCCGTAGCCTGTGCATCCCGACCAGGCAGTCCACGAGGCCCTTGTGCGGCTCGAATCTGTAAGGCTTCTGTTGCGCCGCGTGCCTGAAGAAGAATAACGCGTCCTGGTACTTCTTCTGCTCGATGAGGATGTTGCCGCGCAGTATGGTGGCCTCTATATCGTTCGGATTCAGATTCAACGCCTGGGCGGTGAGAGTGTAAGCCCTGCTGAATTTCCTAGCCGCGTACAGGGAGTACGCCATGGCCACGTAGATCTCGCCGGTGCATTCGTTGTCCACATTTATCGCCGGTATCAGCCGTTCCAGCTCTTTGTAATGCTGCATATTGTACAGCACAGCAGCGTACACGTCCACTCTGCGGAGAGGTAACGAGTATTGTTCCTTGTTGAGATTTGCAAGCTCGAATAACTCGGAGATCTCAATGATTATGTTGTGAAAGTTATATCTCAACGATTCGACACAGAAAATCCGCACATCTCTAAATCGTGCTCAACACTTACCCCTTGGTTATGTCCGGTTCGATAACCCGAGCACGTCTCAAGCACAGGAGGGCATTTTTGTCGTCGCCAGCGTAATAGTAACATTCACCCATAATCGTCAGTAGATTGAAATTGTCTCTGAGCAGAACTACGTTGTCTAATGAACGCAATGTCGACACGGCGTGTGTATACTCCCTATTGTGAATATGAGCGTGTGCCTTGATCCATGAGTTCAGCCACTCCAAGTTTATCGAGCCAGAGCTAACGATCAGTGAGTTAACTTCTGTACCTTTCACCCCTAAGGAAAGAAGCCCCTCGGCTGCCTCCAGAGCCATCGGACACTCCTTCAGAACTTCTTTATACGTGGTAATAGCGGACCGCTCCATTCCTTGCTCGTGGAACATCTTGGCCAACGCCATGTTTACCTTGGCAGTTCGCTGTTTGCCAGGTATACTTTGCAGCACTTGCAGCGCTTCCTGCAGGTTCTTAGACTTCACCAGGCACAGATGAATCTGGTATTTGATATTGACATCCGTTGGCAGATCTTTCTGTCCGTCCAACAGGGGCTTCCCCGTGCCCTTCGACTTGAGCAGGCACTTGCGGAACTGTAGGGCTTTTTTGTATAGAGTCTCTGCCCTGCGGTATTTGCCCAAGTGAAAATGAGCATCTGCATAATAGACGTACACGTGGAACTTGCTGTAGCCGGGAAGCAAGTCGGCATTATGCTCGCTGAGGGAGAGCACCAGGTTTGTCAGGGAAATCACATTGGAGTATAATGTCTGATCGTACAGCAGTTTGATCTGCTCAAATAACCCCGACATGGTTGGTCTTCCTCTGACAGACTTTACTGTGAGTTGTTAGTACACTGTAATAATAACACCGAGAGAAAATATATAAGAATCTTGAGAACCTTTGGAGAGTTATAAAATGTGACAGGAAGGCTGAAAAGGTTAACGAAAGTTTCATTAGATTTGTAACTCCTAAGTGTGTTAACTAATTATCCGCATTCGTTTCTGAATTCTAATATCCTGAATTCACGATAGACTAAGGATACGGATACTACGTTAACGTGCACGTTCTTTGAAAAATATTCACTTGGAAAGGTTTTAATAAAGCACTACGCAGCTGACATAACCTAAAAGATCGTTGTGATACGTGAAAATGTTTGCACGATAGGCCGATAGAGAGCGTCGCAATATGTTGGTACGGTGCGCCAACTACAATATGAAATCACTTGTTACGCATATTTTATTATCTTACACGCATTTTATACAATACTGTAGCGGAACAATTGTAAGATTTTACGCTGCTCCTGTAAACGTAACATTCCGATTAGGCATTTTCGACTTAAGCAGAAAATTACTCGCGCGAAAATCGAATCGGCTTGAAATTGTCTGCCAATCGATCTCTCCATTGTTGCGACAACTGCGTTCTATTGCGTTTCGCAGAACAAAGTAGAATCCAACGACGACGGTAACAGTTCACCTATTGAAGGAATAGAAAAAAAGAAGAAAAATGCAAGAAGGTAAGTTCTATCTACTTTCATCAGCTCTCAGTTGTGCTGTTATAATGTTCATGGAGAATCTTCAGATGCTGAGAAAACTCGACCAAGCACGCCGAGTGGCGGCCAGTTTATCGACACATTGATCGGACAATGGATGAAGCGAACGGGAATAGATATCGTAGTGCCCCAAGCGAAAGAGGTATCTTCTATATTCATGAACTACCGCGAAACATCTTCTCCCTCTTCAGTTCTCTCACGCAATATACGCTTGTAAAAAGCAGCAAGTGACTGAAAATGCGAGCTCGCAGGAGAGGAAGCAGGTTTCGCAAAACTATGAACGCAACATCCATTTTTTACAACGGAAGCTGAAGCAGAGCCAGCGGGCGGAGATCTTCTTGACCTCGTCCTTGGAAGCAGAGATGCGCAACAAGGAAGACATTCAGACGAAGTAATATTATGAAATATAAAGAAAGAAAATTATTATAGGAAAGTAATATTAACAAAATTATATTATATACAAAATTTAATTAATGAAATTATACTGTTAAAAAGTAATAATACATTTTTTGAAATGCTAGATATCGCGAAATTTATTACATTTAACTGAAAATAGAATTTTTATTGAAATACTGATGGAATAATAATGAAGTAGGGTCAATTGAAGGAGAATTTCAAATACATTTCAGTAAAGTTTCATTATATATTTTCAGTAAAATATTTCTATCAGGATATCCAGATAACACAAGAACAACTTATGAATGTTCTGTGAATATTTGTTACAAATATTTATATATATTCATAGAAAATACTAAAAAAACATATATTGATAGTAGGTTTCTAATATATTTAAATGGCGCTATTATAAATATTCTATCAATGTATATAGAATATTTTATCGAATGCCGTCGGTAAGACGTGTGAGAAAGTCCTGCGACTAAAAGAAACACAAAACCAGTCCCACGCGTGCACGCGCCGATCTCAGTTTCCAATTAAATACGTGTGTCATAGACCGGTATTCATAGTCAGATCTTGTATTTAAAGTCATTTTAAATTCCTCTTCAGATATATTATATGCAGATGTATGTCAATAAAACAACTCGTACAGCATTTGAAGATGAACTTAAGGTAGTTGTATACCGGAATCGCGGAATATCGGATTTTCAGTGGTGATATTAAGGGGCTTCTATATAAGTCTATCATTTACTGGAAGAAAAATACTTTCCCATAACTTTCACTATCTAAGTAATAAACGTTAATTTTGAGCGAAGTCTATATATAGATTCTAACGAAGCCTTAACAAATTCATTTTATGCTACAACTGCTTTAAATAAATAAGATCTAACTTTGAATACCGTCTAGTGTATGTATGCTTATACAGAATTGTCTACTTTTTTCAGTTACATTAATGTTCTCTCTCTCTCTCTCTCGCTCTACGATATTATACGTATATTCATAGAATATTCGATTTCGATTCGAGTATCCTGGAATTAAGAACATGCGTATTTTATATGAATATTAATAGAATATTCTATTTTATCCCGATGAGAACATCCACGTGTAGTCAACGTGGAATCCATGTAAGAAAGTCAATTCCACGTCAATTCCACGTCGATTCCACGGATGTTCTCACGGAGATCTGGGTAAACTTATGTGTTTTCTTGCTGAAAAGCAACCAATATGACCTGATTTTTTCTCTGACACGGACTGACAGACTAAACGCCACTTGGGAATCCATCGAAACCATCAGGGCATACTTCAATTTCATCAGCGAAAGTTTAGAGAGCTTCCAGCAGCACCGTGTTAATCTGTCCAATTTGTATGACAATGTGATCCTAAAACAACAAGAAAGCATTCAGATGCTGCAGTCGAGCAACGCGAAGTTGACAGGTACGCATTCCGAACTTCCAGGTCGTTTAATCTTTTCAACTCCAAGTCTCCTCTCGTGATAATTATTTCTGCGATCGCAGATCTGGAGAGCCATATCGCGCGATTGGAAAACGAGTCCCTGCTGCAAGAGAAAAGGTAAAACTGTAGCACGCACGACAATGATTCAATACGTAAAGAGAGACATAACGATATTATCAGAATCGTTTCGCGGATCAGATTGCAGGAAGCAACGACGGAAGAGAATAAATTGAGGAAGCAATTGGAGGACTCCGTTTACGAACTGCAGTCGCAGAAGAATGCATTAACGCAAACGCACGAAGAGAAGTTGAAGCTCATCAAAGTTCGTTACATCCGGCATTTTGTCTTTCATATGCCGTAAACTTATTATATTTAGATAGATTTATTCTGTCTTGACCGGCGGCTCTTTTCTAATTCAGGAACAGCAGCGACTGTCATTCGAATATGAAAATTTGCAGTTGCGACTGCAGACGGTCGAGAATGAAAAATGCGACATCGCGAAATCGGCGACACAACTGCAAAATAAATTGCTGCTCCAAGAAGAGAAGTGAGTCTTCGTGCCAAACGCAATAAATCGCACTAACTATGCCACATAGTGTCAGCTGAATAATTCTTTCTTTTTTTAGGACGCAAGCGGCGTTGGCGGAGCAAAATAAACTGCAAAGACAATTAGAGAATGCCAATAATGAATTTTTTGTGCAGCAAAATAGTTTGGCCAGCGCGCACGCCGAAGAGAAGAAAAAGATTGTCGAGGTACATCGAGGGAGGGGAGCTCCAGGATCTCTTAATTCTACAATCCACTCATGACGTTTCATTTTTTTTTACAGGAGCAACAACGATTTCTGACTGAATGCGAGGTTTTACAATCGCAGTTAAATACTCTGGAACAAGACAAGAGCAATATTGTGGATACTGTCGCGCAGAAGGACGAGCTTATTTTGAAGCTCCGGGACGAAAATTCCGAGTTTAAGTGAGTATTCGAAGCGATTAAAAGTTGATGGAATTTGTTGAATTTTCAATTTGATGAATTGGTTTGATTTTTGTCTTTGTCATATAGAAATCAAATTGAAGCAATAACGGCGAGTAATGAAGAGGCATTTAGCAAATACAAAGCTTTGAAGGAGAAGCAAGACATGGGGGAGAAAGAATTGAAAACAAAGACAGAAAGAGTGAATGTTTTTTTTTTATTAATTTTATTAACAAGAATTTTTTTATTAATTTTTATACATTTCGTTTATTTTAATCTCAACAGACAAATATTTCTAAAATGAATCACCCTGTATAATCCTTTATCCTTATTCTTGTATACAACGCTATTATTTCTTAGATTCAAAACTTGGAAGTGGTATTAAGCGCAATGAAACAAAGGGAGACAAGTCTGGTTAACGACATAAATAGAATGGAAAAAAAATTAACTAACGAGATGGGTTGCATCAAGAATCTCGAAAGCAAGCTCGCGGACACGAGGAAGGACTTGCACATTGCAGAGATGCAAAACGCCGAGATGCAAGAAGCTCTGAAAAGCGCCAAGATTGGCGACGATCTCGCTAACGTTGAACTTCAGAAGACATTGAAGATTTTTGAGAGGGAGAAGGAGGAAGCTGCGAAGCGCGAGAGCACGTGGACTAAGGTAACGAGTGTGAATCACACATATTAACATAAAATTCAAACGATTGATATCTTGATATTTCCTGAATCCTCCCAGAATGCGGAGATTATGTACGAGAAGACCCGAGTCAAACACGCAGAAGAAGTCTCGGCCTTGACGAGCGGCTACGAAACGCGTTTGTTGGAGTTAAGGAAGACCATAGATCATCTGAATGAGACGAGTAATAATATCATAAAAGAGAATAGCGTGTTAAAAACGTCTCTGACAGAAATAAGAGGAGAGAACATTACCCTAAGGAGCGATTATCAATTCGCCACGGAACGGAATAACGATCTCCAAGACAAGCTGAAGGAAGCCACGGAGAAGTTGCAAACCAAATCGACGATGGACAATCAGGAATCCAAGAAGAGCGTCATGAAGGACAAGAAGCGGTCGAAGGCGAAGGGCGACTACACGGTGCGTTTCGATCCTGATATCGTTGCGGAAATCCCCGATCAATGCAACGTAAGTGAATGGCGAGGATGACAGCGATTGTCGATTATCGGCCGCCGTTTCGCGGAATGTGAAATTAACGTTGCAGGATCTCTCTCTCTCTCTCTCTTTCTCTCTTTCTGGGGCTGCGCTTATGAATTATCGAGGTTCCGCGAATCTCCTTTTAGGTTTCCACGTCCACGGATCTTGGATCACGGATCTCGAATCTCGGCGATAACGAGCGCGATATCGCCGATATGTCGTTATTGAGACAGCTGAGTCGCGCGTACTCGACGGAGAGGGAAAGTCCAAAAGAGGTACGTACGTTCACGTACTATTAGCAATAATAAGACGACTCGTAAATTAAACGGACTTAAAGAGAGCACGGCAAAAGTGGAATATAAATAAAAGAGGGTAATAGCGCAACGAAGTTCCTCGCGCGCGAGAGCCGGCGGAGTATTGAAATAGTGAAAGTGAGAGCGAGAGAATGCACGAGTTTTTAATATATAATCTCATTCGTCCTCTCATTTGCTTGCCATTAGTGGGTAGATCGTGCTCGGGCCAACTATAATAAACGTTTTATGGGCTATCTTTTTTGTTTTCTGTCAATTTCAGCAAGAGGAGGAAGTTACGTCAGCGGGAAGGAAGTTCTTCAAGTCGCGTCCTGCTCAGCCGCGTACTTACTCCCGGCGACGACTCATTTCGTGAAGAAATGAAAAATACGTTCGAACGAACACCGACATACAAATCTTATTATCAATCTTTATATATAATTTTATTGTAAACCGTTATATAATCTCTCGAAACATTTTCCCGTTCTTCCCTTCGTTCAAGGAGTATCCGTTCGAACATTATCTGTCAGATAATTATTAATAAATTAGTAATTAAAATTATTTCAACTTTAAATAGACACTGATTTACTCGCAACTGTGTTTCTTATTAATTATTAATTATATTACCTCGCAAATATCTAAATCTTTCGACGATATTTATGAGATAAGATTATTCGCAATTATTAATACACGCGAGAAAGTTCCGATGTGATCCAGCGTAAACACAAGATCGATACCGGGACAAGTGGATGGCTGCATTTAGAATATAACGCGAGCACGGGGCCGAAGTCATCAGCGCTCTCGAAAAAACGCCCACGCATCTTCGACACGATGAAGACAAGATTGTGCGCAGCCGGGTGGAAGCGCGCAGAACGCTTAAATTTAAACGTGATTCACCGGCCCACCATCCAGCCAATAAATGATCCCCTTTGAATCGACACGAAACTGAAATTACGCAACGAGGCAATGGAATCGCGAATTTCGTCATCGTTGCGGCTGGAACGTTTCGCACGCGTTACTCGTTTCTTTCTTTTTGCAAACGTTACGAAGCAGAGAACCAGAACTCTCTCGCTCTTAAAAATACATCTCTCCTATATGTTGTACGGTGCGAGTCTTTCTTTCTTTCAAGTCGCGGGAGACGATCACTCTCTGGCAGACCTCTCTGTTCCCTTTAAACCCACAAATCCTCGCATCTCCCGCAAATCAGCGACGATGTATATCTATGACGACACGTATACATCCACAGGTTATCGTCCTTGGAGGAGATGTCCGAAAAAATGATTTTCCCCGCTTTTCGGTCTATCTCGTGCGAGAAATCATCCACGAAATCTGGATCGCGCAATAATAACCCGAGCCGTACGACAGAGAACTATTTAAAAGTAGCACGTCCTACTTTCCACGAGGGCGGCCGTTTTTTCCATTTTTTCCTTCTGACTCAGGACCTCGACACGTTGCCGACGCCCTACACCGATACGTCCTTCGTCGTGTGTTGGCGCTCGCATCTCTCTAATCAGACTGGGTCAAAGTGAATTGTCTCGTTTGAACGAGCCGGGTGACCCTTGACTTGAAATTTCTGTTTTCGAGCGCGCACTTAGATAATCCAGCATTTCAGCCTCGCACATTCGCGAGGGCACGAATGATCAAAGGAAACGTATGCCTCTTTCACATCAGACGTTTGTGCTTTGGAAGAAGAAAAATCCACGTTCACGTCTTTGGAATTCCATTATAGAAACCCGAAGAATTGCAAATATTTCGCAGCGGCGTGTAATTCATGTTAATTGCGTTAACTATGATCTCGGTGATTAAAGAGCAACATTTATGGTTGAGATCACGGACTTTCTAAATTTTCAGATACCTAGAGACCAAAACTCCCGCAATTGCAAACCGTGGAGTAACAAATGGACACTTGCCTTCCTTCGTATCGGGGAGGATTTCGCGATCGTCGCATCTTGCGTGAGATCAAGGTTGCAAGGAAGCAAGAAGTTCCGGGCGATTAACCGCTGTTAATCGCCACGCACTGCGCGGAACGAATCGCGGCGCGCGATCGTATATTAGTGGAAGGACGGAAGAATCCATCACGATGTCAAAAACGCGCGATCCAGCGTTCAAGTCCTTAATTGTCGCTTTTCCGCACCGGCTCGCTATAATAAGAGGCGGCTACGACACAACACACTGACGCGAATCTTGTCCCGGCTTACTCACCAGATGCTACAAAATCATTACTAAGCTGTCCAATTTTCACAGCAGCTGCGCGTCTTGCCGCGAATTACGGAAAACCTATTTCTCGTTTAACTGAATAAGCCGCTAATATTAGAATCCCGAAACGCGTGGAATCACGTCGCCTCATACAGGGTGTCCCGCGTGGAGAGTGGAGAAATAATAATTCGGCCATTTTTGCCCATGAGTAAACGTTAAACGGGGAAGAATCCGGGATACCGAGGAGGTTTCGAGACTCTGGACGTCGCAGGTGAAACGACTGGAAATCGTCCCTCACATCCTCGTCCCGAGCGAGAATTCCATCCGGTCGGGCTGCTTCTCGGAACACCCTGTACCCTCTTACGTTGTTGGACGGATCTCTCCCCCGACTTGGCCACGGTGGTTGCGTGGTCCGCGTGGAGCGTATAAAAAGCTGCGACCAGAAGCCGCAGCACTTCAGTCTTTTCAAAAATATCATAAGGATGGCTCTGGAACGTCAAGTGCGCGCTAAGGTATATATTTCGGCAGTGTAACCGCGCGTCTCGGTGCGACCGTTCCGAACCGTTTACGGTCACGCGCGTCGAACATTGTGATTTTCCGAGTTCCACGCGTTGCCTGGATCCTCCCGCCGAGAAAAGAAATCTCCTCGCTTTTGACATAGAAATGCGCACTTCGAGAAAGAGAGAACGTTGTCGTTAGAGAAACTCCCCGGGCGTTTCGGGATACTCCGCGAGTCGCACCGGACGACCCCCTCCGCCCCGAGACTCGGCATCCACGAGATCACCCCGTGGCCCTCCGATTCTCGTCTCCGAACTCGAAATTCGATCGCGACGATTAGAATCCTAGCGGGAATTTTAAAGCGGCGTTTCTCTTCGCAGATCGCGGGCAAGCGCAACCCGGAGCAAGAGAAGGAGGCGCAGGAATGGATCGAATCGATCATCGGCAAGAAGTTCCCGCCCGGCGAGACCTTCGAAGATGTGATTAAGGACGGCCAGGTGCTGTGTCATCTCATGAACAAGATCTCGCCCGGATCGGTGCCGAAAATCAACACCAGCGGAGGACAGTTCAAGATGATGGAGAATATCAATATGTGAGTAGCGGCCCGCGATGAAGTTCATGTAGTATTGAAGTGGTACCTCGGCTACATTGGACGGCATGCTGCAGGTTCCAAAAAGCTCTAAAGGACTACGGGGTGGACGACGTCGATGTCTTCCAGACGGTGGACTTGTGGGAGAAGAAAGACATCGCACAAGTAGTGACGACGCTGTTCGCCCTCGGCAGAACGGTACGTGCTCTTATTTTATCTCCCGCCTGTAATTATTAAATGATGGATAAGTAAAAACTTGCTCTCGGAGAAAAGGACCAATAAGGGCTCGGAACGTTCAGTCGCGTCGGAAGATCCGAAATGGATCGAAAGGTTCACGTTTTGCATACTAAAAAATTTGATGTAAATAACCGTCCGCTGAAATTTTTGTTACTTTAACAGGGGAACATGTTAAAAAGTATATGCTAAATGAACATATTCACCTTGTTAATATATTACTTTTTAATGTATTCACCTAGATAAAATAACGCGAAAATCCAGTGGATCGTTATGTACATTTAATATTTTACCGGTATGTGATCGTTGGATCTTGTTGTTGGTAGACGCGCGCTGACACCCGCGATTCTTGCTCTCATTGTCCCTTTTACTTCGTTATTATTGGCTTCTGCAACAGTTTCACTCTCTCGTTTTTATTCGTTCGTTTCTTTTTTGTTGCACAACTTTGTAGAAAAAAGCGACGATAATAATGTCAGGAAAGTTAATTGTCATCGTCTTTGTTCGTTCAGACCTACAAGCATGCCGAATGGCCTGGCCCTTACCTGGGACCTAAACCGTCAGAAGAATGCAAACGTGAATTCACTGAGGAACAATTGCGAGCTGGCGAGTCGGTGATCGGTCTGCAGGCGGGCTCCAACAAGGGTGCGACTCAAGCCGGTCAAAGTCTCGGCGCGACCCGTAAAATCCTGCTTGGAAAGTAAATCCGAAGTTCAACGCGTACTCTCTCTCTCTCCCCCTCTTTTTCTCCCTTTACTCCACCTCACCCCTTTCCTCCTCTCCATCCCTTAGAGCTAAATCGCGTACTTTTTTTTATGTACACAAATGCACATGTATACTTTACTTTTGTAATTAAACGATAAATAGTTTGCTATTTATTGATCCGCCCCGTCTCATTCAATGTTTCTCGAAGGATATCTCTCTCGTGAACGAATGAAACGTTATCCTTCTGGAAAAATTAGGAAAGATACATCTGTCGTTAGTTCAATGTACTCGGTGACATTGATCGTTGCTGATTGAGTGATAAATTGATTTTTATAATCGAGAGCGAAACGCGTTATCATTGTTTATCTCTATCTTTGCACAATTGTGTCAAGCTGTTTCTGAAGATAGAGGTATGTGTCTAAAAAATAACTGTTGCTCGTATAATTCTAAATAAAGTTCTATCCATCCGAAAAATAACGGCGTTAATATCTCTTTCTTTCTCTCTCTCTTTCTCCTCGTCCAATGGTAAAATTTCCGCCGAGAACGACCCGGCGATTTCTTTCCATTCTTCAGCAATCGCCATTTATGGGTACGAAAGCGATCTCGCTTTGGCTTCACGCTGGAGAGGTCGAAAATAAAACCCGCGGCACGATGCAAAATTGCGTGCAACGCGTTGAGACGGTGCCAAGTCAAACCGTGTCATGCGTGGGATCCGCGGGTGTTCTATTGATACCCAGAACATGTTTCATATCGCTCACCCGAAATTCGCGGGGGCGTCGCTTCGCAACATTCGCATTGACGTGTACAATGTATTAAATCTTAAACGGCGCGACCAGCTCAACGAAATTCGTCATGCTGCGCTCCGTTTATAACGGCACGGTCATCTGGCGTATTTACGCGCTAATAGAAAAAAAAAAGAAACATGCTGACACACACACACCGAAACGCAAACACTATCGACGGAGATACGGACTATCTGATAGACAACGTCTGTGTCAAGTTACCGAAACGAAAAAACTTGACAAACACATCCCTCTCTGTATTTATATTAATCGAGGGCACTTCGTAAGTTAAGTATATAAAGCGTTAGTACGGAGAGCTCACAACATACTCGTACGGGATTCATCTGGCAGAAAAGCAAGGTACGTATGTCATTATTTCTTTCGTTTTTTTCGACACTACGCACAGGGATTGATCGCATTAATTGTTCAACAGTGCGTGAGGTCTATTATCCGCACGCGCGGCGCGCACATTGTTTAATCCACACATACAGTTTCTATTGTCTACGATAAAAAGAAACAAAAAAGAAGATCGAGTGCGGTTTCCAGCATCCATCCAAGCGATTTCTGACCTATCCTCGAAATCCCTTCTTGATCTTTTGAGGAACCCGGAAGATTTCGAAAAATTAGAAAACATAATAATTGAGAGGAAAATATTTGGTATTTGTAATTATAAATATTGTAGTGAAAAAATTAGTCAGAAGAATCATTTTTCTAGTAAAACAAAAGCTTTCACCTTAAATTACTACAATATGTCAGAATGATAATAACCTTATATGCATATTGCGGCTGTTATTTTTATAGTTAAAACCATAAAAAGAATATAGTTGAGGCCGAAGGATAATTTCTTTCAATATACACCAAAAAAAATTTGGTCGAATTTATTGGACGAATCAGACAAGTTTTGAATGAAGGAAACGGAATTTCTGGTTATAACCGAATTTGGGTCACAACAGCCAGAAATTCCGTTATCTCCGGCCAAAACGCGCTTTGGTTTTTGTGTTCACCGTCTAACAAATTCCATCAAATTTTTTTTCCCCGTGCGCCGCTGACAGAGCTCGTTGACGACGAGGAACGAGTCGTTCGAGTCGATTCACTACCTGTATTTTATCGGTCGATTTCTCCTGCGGAAACGCGCGTATAAACGATATCGGATGCAAATCGCGAGCGAGCGTGCGAAGTTAGCGAGCGATATCGTGCGGTTACTAGTCGCCAATTCCGCGAGACGAATGGAGCGTGGATGTGGATCATGCCAGGGTTACGATACTTTAGAATGCAAACCGATGGAATTATTTCATATCGACCTCGACCCAGCGCGACTCCGACCACACGCGCGCGCGCTCTTTCTAATACGCTCTCGCGATTAGGACGCGGCTAATTCGGTGTCATTACGGCTGATCGTGTCCTTTTTTCCTATTTTTCTCGAATTTTTTTCCCTTCTGAAATAGAGAGTAGAACCGAGACGACCGGGAGAGAGAGAGAGATGCAAACGTGTAAGAAATCAGACTCTCCATTCTAAGCGAGCGATGCGAGAGGGGGAAATTAGAAGGCGAGAAGTTGATCGCTCCCGCTTGTCTTTCTTCGCGAAGAAATGCGAGGGAGAGACAAGATTAGCGCGTGTATTTTTTTTCTTTTCGTACAGGTTATTTTTACCAAAGATAATTGATTGCCGATGAAACTGATGAACGTTAATTTAATTTAGCACGATTGATAAGATACACACGCCATTTGCGTCTATCATGTTTATTTGTGAGGTAACAAATAAGCTTTCGGCTTGTGATTACGTTTGTTTTGAAGATACATAAAGAGAGAATGCTTCTACATATTATCGTCGACACGCGATATCGGTATCGGTATACAACAATTATCGGAGATGAGTGTAAATAAACATCGATATCGTCAGATTTGTTGTTTTTCTCCCGTTTGATACGCGGCGAAAAAGTTCCGAGATACAAGGGCTTCGAGCTACATTGTGCCCAAATGCGCCGACAATTTCCAGGTATAGCAGCCGAATATTAGTTCACCGCTAATAATATGCAATTCACTCGACGAGTTGTGGCGGGCTTACAATTAAATCTACGTATTCGTGACTCCCAACCCTCGTTCGCGTGATTCCACGTTCGCGCGAAGCGTAAGCGGCGTTCAACGATCAAGTACGCGCAGATACGATCGATCGATCTTCTCTCCCGGTGAGATTTCTTCCGCGATAGGGAGACGGTTACGTAAATAAAAGAATGCCCCGCCAGTGGCTGTTTTCATGTCAATGTGAAACGCCGTCGACGACGTATCACGGTGCCCACGGCGCAGTTGGCCTTCTTTTTCAGCAAAGGTACCGACACATTCTGTTCTTTCTCTTCTGCGCTTCTCTCTCTTTCTTCTCCCTTCTCTACTCCTCCCCTCATGTTCCTCCTCTTTTCTTGATTTACGGTGTAGCGACCTGCAAGAAGAAACATGCGAACCGGTTCGCATCTATTTGGCTACTTTCTCGACTAGCGCAACACGGTGTGTCGCCCGCGCTATGCGGAAACAATTTATATTGTAGTAACTGTCGTGGTGGTGGTAATAATAATAATTTAGCAACATCGCGCTCGGGTAAAAGTAGTGGTGATATAGCAATGTTAAGAATAATATGGATATACCAGGACTCTCGAATCCTCTGATGATTTAAATGCACAGAGAAAAGCTAGCGACTTTTGAGGCGCCCTGTGCAATAGCTCGCTCGCGAATTCACGATGTTCGTGTGTCTCCCACCCACGAGATTTCCAACCGTCTCCTTTCCTCTCTCCAAATCGCTCCTCTGCGATCTCTCGCCGTCTCGATCGTCTCTTCTCGCTCTCTCAACGTACGTCACGTCTCCGCCCTTCCACCACTTATTCCTCCTGGGATGCTTTCGTTTTTATTAGCAGCGATCCGAGAGTCGGCGTCAATCAAACCAGTAGAGTATAGATTCAAGCGGTGACGAGAGATCGAACACATGGGGACAAAAAGAGGAAAGGTTAATGTTCATGCGTCCCCGTGCGAAATTTGTTTTCACACGATAGATCTGAAATCTCGACTTCGATCTCAACGTTTATTACTTACCTATTTATCTACGTTTTATACCTTACCTGTTTATCTACGTTCAAACGACGAACCTTGGAGTATTCTTTTAAAATGCGAAGGACGGCCAATAATCTTTGTTAAATATCTTCCAACGACCTTCAGAAAAAATACAATTTGCATCTACTTTAATAGCACGGTATATACGATAGAGAGACTTCCTCGATTGCCTGGTCGAGACGGAGCGCGCAAGCGCGATATGACGAAGCTCGTAGTACGTTAACGCCCTCTGATCTTGCCTCTTACTTTCTCTCTCTTTCTCTCTCTCTCTCTCTCTCATATACGCTTACCGATTTAAAAATATTATTCTTTAAATATTATTATTATAATGACCACGTTCAGCAGAATATTTATTTTGAAACAGTTGGAAATTCCTTGAGCTGAGATTGGACTATTCTCTCAGATCTATAGGAATAATCCAATCTCAGTACACAAAAAATTTCCAAATTGTAAAATAAACGCGTTCTGCCGAACGCAACCGATGCTTTGCTCAGTGTTTCAAAATGTTACATACACACGCACATAATACAAATTTTATTATCAAGTTCTAATTCTAAATTATATATCAAGAAATTATCATGACAGACACGGACACCTAGTAAGTTCGTATGGATTGAGTTCATTGCCGAATTCATGATCGTCGAATGCATATTCTTCGAAGTCATAGGCCATCGAGATCATCAATGTCAAAAAACATCCAAGTCGAACTCACCGAAGTATGAACAGCAAATATAAGTAAGCATAAGATCGGACGGGGTACGGAAATGTAAACGTAACTCGAAACATAAACGTGTTTTGAAATATAAAAGTGATTCGAAAGATGACCGTGGATATTATGATGTGCAAAGTATGATTTACATAAGAGATGGAAGCTCTTGCGCTCGCGTGAATGGTGTGGTCATAACATGTGCTACAAGGAAAAAAAAAGAGTCTTCACCCGCAATAAATTCTCATCTTTTACTCTTGCCGACTTCTGTTGAAATGGATTCGAATAAATATGTAAGTTGGAGATAAGAACTCATAGTAACATAGGAACTCATAAGTATACTCATAATAAATATAAATATAAAGGCTGCGTTCCAATATTCACTGCCAATATTGAAAATTTATTTAGTACACGTAATACAAACTATAGATTTTCAGCGCTGGCAGCTAAATTTTGGAACATAGCCAAAGTGACGTATGGCCAGTTGCAAAAAGGTTGCAACACTTATCCTATAAGTTTCTAATCTTGTCCCGTGTCCAACAGGAGAATCTGTTTCTTAATTATTCTCAGGAGATACACTCTTTTTATCGGACACGAGATGCGTTGCGAAACTCGCCAGAAAAAAGTATTACAATTTTTTCGTGGCTAATATCATACGTAAATAAAAAAAAATTCACGATCACGATCACGAGATCCCGCGAAATTTTCGAAAAAGAGAGAGAGGCACAGAGTAAGTGAGAAAAGAGATCAGAGGGCGCTGCTGAGCGAATTTTCCATTTTGCGCTTGCGCGCTCCATTTTGGCTGTGTATGTTTACATGACAGCCTAAATTGGTTTATCAGCCAGCCGTATCGCGGAATTACCCTATGTCTACGTGACTAGCGCAAAGCCGATTTGATAATTCCGGATGTTATAACTGCTCGTTGCACACGGTTATGTTACGAGCGTGTGCGCCAGTAGTTACAATATCGGATGTTGTCAAATCGGTTTTACGCTGCTCTCATGCGAAAGTGGACTACGTGGTGTCTGTCAAGGTGCGTTGCCGAATAAGCTGCCGTGTAAACTGAGCCGACTCGCTCGTCGAGGGAGTCCCACGTGAGGGACCCACGTCACGACGTCGTTGTCCGCGCGCGCGGCGTGCTACGTCGCGAGTCAGCGACGGTGATCGCGCGTAAAAATGAAATGGGGCATTGAGTGAAAGTACTCGGCGCGGCGGCGAGCGGGCGAGCGAACGCGGCTGCCTCTTATATCAGATCAGTACGTTAGGCGCGCCTCGTCATTACGCGTCCACGTTCGCGTCACTCCTCCTGATATCGCTCTCCTGATGACCTCCTCCCCCTCGGCCGTCCTGTCACGGGGAATATCTCGCTCCGCTCCGCACGCTCCGGACTATGCTGCCGGCCTGGTAGCCTCGTCGCGTCCGACTCATTGACAGTCCTAAACCCGCAGAATGCCGCGCAACCTGTGGACCTTTTGTGCCCTCCTGTCTCTCGCCAGCTTGACCTCGACGTTGGAGAATGGCCTGGCCAGGACACCCCCTATGGGCTGGTTGGCGTGGGAACGATTCAGGTGTAACACCGACTGCAAGAATGACCCGGACAACTGCATAAGGTGAGAGCAGTCTGGATACTGCGTGTGGATTATAGGCTGTCAAGTGTGAGTGTTACACCTGAGAGTTTACACAGTGCTTGGTTTTTCTGTGCCCTGTTGTAGCGATCAGCTCTTCAGGACCATGGCCGACATAGTGGTGGCTGAGGGATACGCGGCAGTGGGATATGAGTATATTAATGTGGACGACTGTTGGTTGGAGAAGGACAGAGACTTTAATGGACAGCTTGTGCCAGACAGACAGCGATTCCCATATGGCATGAAAAGCCTGGCGGATTATGTAATTCAGTGTTATTTGCCCCCGAAATACCCGTTTTCACCGGTCCTTTCTTTTGGAAAGTGCTGAGTGCTCGAGTTCATTGTGTTCTATACTCAATCTGTTTGCCAGACTCTGTTATTATCTATGTTTTCCCTAAAATTGCGTAACACTTCATAAGAGAAACTTCTATCCAGGTGCACTCAAAAGGCCTAAAGTTTGGCATCTATGAGGATTATGGTAATTACACTTGCGCCGGCTACCCAGGTGTACTGGGTTACTTAGAGACTGATGCCGCTACATTTGCATCTTGGGACGTGGACTATGTGAAATTAGACGGTTGCTATTCACATCCTAGCGATATGGACAGAGGTACAGTTATGTGTATAATCAATGAGTTTTACTCTCTCTTTGACCGATTGATCCGCCGGCATCTGAAAGTATGGCATTCTTGTTTCAAAGGATATCCCGAGTTTGGCTTCCACCTGAATCGAACTGGAAAGTCAATGGTGTATTCCTGCAGTTGGCCGGTCTATCAAATTTACGCCGGTATGCAGGTGAGTGTCCATGTAATTTCCTCGCATGCGTATCCCTCTGGTAGCAATTCTCACGTTCCTTTAATCTTGCAGCCGAATTACACCGCGATAATAGAACACTGCAATCTCTGGCGAAACTTCGATGACATCCAGGACTCCTGGTCCAGCGTGGAGAGCATCATTGACTACTACGGTAACAATCAGGATGGAATCGTGCCGAACGCCGGACCCGGACACTGGAACGATCCGGACATGTTGATCATCGGTAACTTCGGGCTGAGTTATGAGCAGAGCAAGACGCAAATGGCACTCTGGGCCATACTAGCTGCGCCGTTGCTCATGTCCGTCGATCTCAGGACGATCAGGCCGGAGTACAAGGCCATCCTGCAGAACAAGAAGATCATCGCCGTGGACCAAGATCCGCTGGGTATTCAGGGTCGACGGATATACAAAGTGAGTGATGCGCAATCACGATTGCTCGGCCCATCGGGGCCGTAATATCAACGATGCGACACGCTTGCCGGGACGCGATATTATTGATACGGGCGCGGGTTCTGACATGTTGTATTATATGGTAATCGTGCGCTTGAGGTCATCGCATCTCGCGCTGTGTGTAATCCGTCGGTGATTCGCAATTGTAGCACAAGGGTATCGAGATCTGGGCGAGGCCCATCACTCCCGTTTACCAAAACTACTACTCGTACGCGATCGCGTTCGTCAACAGGCGAACGGACGGCACGCCGTCGGACGTGTCGGTCACGCTGAAGGAACTGGGTCTGCAATATCCTGGTGGATACCGCGTGGAGGTTCGTATTAGCGCGTGAACTGTCCCGCCGAGAAAGCTGGGAGAAATATATTATTAGTCTTGGCGGGCCCGGTAAGAACGTCACGGTCTATCGCAATCTATCGTCATGCTTTTCAGGATTTGTACGAGGACGTGGATTACGGCGTACTGACGCCGCAGACCAAGATCAAGGTCAAGGTGAACCCGTCCGGCGTGGTGATACTGCGGTGCAACCTGACGGTGGACGACGTGTTCCGCTATTCGTCGTACGCGCCCTTAAATCAGGTTCTAAAAGTTAGGCAAAATTTGTTTTAACGATTAGGTATTACCGATATTCTCTATCGGCATCTTCTAATTGTGTTATATGCCTTTTAACGTATTATTATAAGGAAGGACACATAGGAAATAAAGAATTTTATAAACTTTACGTAGAACCGTCCATTCGCAATTTTCACACACACCGTGCTATGGAAATGTCACGACAGACGTCAGATCGTACGTTTCGCGTAGTGAAACTTTGTATCAGTACATATATATATGTGTGTGTGTAGATAGATACGCTTATTTTACATGCACTCTTCCAGATATTTTTGCTCTTGAAAACGCGTCACACGAGACGCGTTACGAGAATACTGCGGACACATTGTGAACGTAAAGCTATCAGCTCATGTACACTTTCTACGTATACATACAGGGTGTCCGATAACAAACTCGTTCGTCGACGCAACAATGCCACGTTCCCCGCCGAGTCAGATTAATTAGTCCGCTCAATCGAAGCGCGACTTGACAATCACTGGATATTTCCGGCCTCTCATCGAGGAGGAAGTCCCTTCAGTTCCCGACGAAGGTGGTAGCTTCCCCCCCCGTCGTCTACGCAGCCGCACACCCTGTATACACACACGCACGCACCTGCCGCACGTGTCAACGCGAGAGACATATTCCTTCCACATTCACTCCTTCCAACTCCTCCTGACGTTTGTAACGCGTCACGAGGACGCGCAAGGATACTACCAGGCGTGTGTATGTCTCGCCGAGACAGAGAGGAAGGAAGAGAGAGAGAGGGAGGGAGAAATGCCGCGCGCGCGACGGCTATTATAAATTCACTATAGCCGTCAAACCACACATGTTTTCCAGCACACCCACACACCCGCTATCTCTCTCTCTCTCTCTCTCTCGGTCTATCTATCCGTCTTTTCCGCTCTCCCCTCCCTCTTACGCTCGTAATGCGTCACGGCGACGCCCGCGTCGCGTCGCGTCGCGTCGCCTCGCGCGTGCTCCCTTCAACCCCGGAGCCGCAGCTATTGTCGGAGGGTCGGTCGGTCGGTCGGCTCGATTCCTTCGGAACGCGCGTCCATCGCGCGCGTAACACACCCTTTCGTCGCGCGAATACCGAGCGAAAAGGAGCGCGAGCGAGCGAGAGAGATAGAAGAGGAGGAACCAGAAGACGCGCACGCGAGGGAGGATCGGCAACGCGAGGCGATGTGAGAGAGAGGAAGAATCCGCTCCCCGGTCGGCGCGATGAGACACCAGCATCCGCGCGACGCTGACTCCGCGCGACCCGCAACACCAGCCGACGTCGTCGTCGCCGCCGCCACCACTACCGCAGTCGCAGCTGTCGCCGCCGTCGTCGCCGCCGCCGTCGTCGTCGTCGTCGTCGCTACCACCGCCGCTTCTCCGTTGCTGCACCCTCTCGCCGCCACGGTCGCGTGTCACACCGCGAGCATGAAGATTCCGCCTCTCTCATGACCCAGGTGAGTCCCGGTGATTTCCACGAGCAGCGTCGTCCGGCTGGTCGCCGTATCTCGCTCTCTTTCTCGGTTTCCTCGCGGAAAACCGAGCGGCGATCTCGCGCGACCAACGCGACATGGCGGCCGCCGGCCGATCCGCGTAGGCGACGCTTCTCCTCGCTCCGAGGAATTGATTTTGCTTATTTGGGGAATGCTGGACGAGACGCGCAGTCTGTTTCGCGAGGTGGGCTCGATATCGCGCGTCGTTTTCGTGGACGCTCCGACCTTACGCTCGTCATCGTCGGAGCCGCTTCCGATCGCCGGACGCCCGGTCCCGCTTCCGGGCGTACCCGGGTCCTAGTCGCGATTTCCGTCACACTGGCGGAATCGGCGTGACGGTCTCGACGACAGCAGTCATTGACGTAGAGGCAGCTCGCATGAATGAATAATGGCGCCACATCGAATCGTTTTGAACGATGACGCGTTCGCGCTGCCGTTACGCTCGGGAGTCGATAATCCGCGCTTATTCGCGATTACACGTGTTGACTGCGACACCCCTCCGTCCGATATCTTCCGCCCTGAAGCTCGTAACTTTTTTGAAAAAAAAAAAACAAAGTTGCGGACTATCGTTTCTCCCCTGAAAGCTCAGCTTGAATTCGGAGACCTAGAAAGCGGTCCAGTTGTAGGTGAAGTCGACTAATTTTATAGTTAGACATCAGAGAGAGAAAGAGAGAGAAGGCGGGGATAAGAATGGTGTCAGATTTCGAATACAATGTCGCCAGAATGCGCGTCGATGTAATGTTTATATGGGTTGCTCATTTATGCGGACACATGTTTTGTTTCAGCTGTTTTGCGAGCCGCGTCAATTCTCTCACAATTAATCCTCGGCGTCTTCGCGAAACCTTTCCGTCTCTTCTCACCATTGTGTTCTCGTTGAAGTAACACCCGGTGATCTAATCTCATTATATCTATCGCATTACCGCATATCAGATAACGCGGGCTAATAATTGCCACGGCTCGCTCGCTTAATTACGACGTAAGCGGACTTAATTAAGATCGAAGCGGAGGAGAAGGTGGAGTACATTGTAAGACCTCGGGGGGCGGAGGGGGGACGGATTGGAATCAGTGGCACTGCAAATCGTTCAGAAACCGCGGGGAGGCACACTCGTCTCTATTTATCATATTTCGTATGTAGGGCGGCGCAGATAAATCGATATGCGGCACTTTCATTCATGGCTGCCTCTCTCACGGTTGGCACATTGCCGTTGCTCTACGTACCACCCACGCCGTCCGAACCCATCACACTTGCAATCCACCCGTTACGTAGTACGTAGAATCTAACCGCGGTGGGCACAGTGGTTCTCTCCCGTGCCGAAGGGTGATGAACGGCTCGCGAATTCTCGCACCACCGAGGTCATGGAAATTCGATTACCTGTAAGAACCGAGGCAGATACCGAGCGTCGAGCGTTTCGAATCGCCGCGTGTACCGGCGCGCGTATATCCGGTAACGAGGAGGAGGAAACCGGCAAAAATTCGTCAATAACGGAGATATCTCTCTCTCTCTCTCTCTCTCGTACAGCTGAATTAGAAAAATTCAGTCACGTAGGTGTTTAGCCACGGACTGACACACGGCCGGCCCTTAGTCCTTGAAGAGGCGCGCGACGGTTTCGTGACGTAAGCACTCGCGTAGGATGCATTTCACGTTCTATTTATAACGCGGTTGTCATTAGTAACATATGGACGCGCGGGCTGTCCCTTTCTCTTCGTGATATGTGTGACACAGGCGCATAATGGCTCAGCGATAATTCAGTCAGCTCAGAATCAATTGACAAGCGCCGAGAAGCGCGAGAGAGATAGCCTCCGGTCTATGCGCGCGTTACACCCCGTGTGTAACCGTTCTTCGTCCGGAGGATCCGGGTGATTCGAAGTTTTTGAAATTCAAAAAGGTCAAAGATGTACCACCCCATCGCGCGAGTGTATTCCGGGGAGGGGGCACCGGAACCGATCGGTACCGATCTCGCAGAGATCCGCCACTCTCTGGTTCCGCTTTCTCGAGAAAAGGAAAAAGGGCACTCGCACAGTATTTCGCTTGATAATCGTATCTCATGAATCAGCACTGCACTATTGCATCCCTCAGAAGCAAGCAACAGCGCGCGTCGATATTACGTCGGCGTATGTCAGCTCGTCCGTCCGTTCGTTCGCGGGGAGTGACGACGGTTGACATTAGCCGTCGCGCTGGCACGAGGTATCTGGTGGCATCCTTAAATTAGTTAAACTAGTGCACCGAGGCTAACCCAGTTATGCGAAAGGGGATATCGAATAAATTCACCGCGCAGTCGCGTATCGGCAAACGCGCACACAACATTGCATTCACCCGTTTCGCTCGCGAGGCTCGCTCGCGCGACGGAGACAGGGAGTCTCTCTCTCTCTCTCGTGCGGGAGGCTGGCGGAAGGGGGAGGGAGCTGATGCTCTTTGAAGTCGGTCCACCTGCCTCCGTCAGCGTCCGCCAACAGCACACAATGCGGGGGTGGCGGCGGCGGCGGCAGCCGCGAGCCGAGAGCAGCCCTCGCGCCAGGCGGATTTTCCGCTCGGTGACGTTCGCCAAAGGATCTATTTAAGGATCGCCTGCCCGCCATCGCCCGCGATTTTTAATTCCCGACCGACCCTTTGCGAGACAGCGCCGCCGCTTCCCCGAATTCACCCTCGAGAACGCTGTCCGCTGTCGACGAGGAGCGCGCTTTCCCCCCATGGAAAGGAGCGTGGTCGATCTCCTGACATTTCTCGACGTCTGCCAGCTCTACCTGCACACCCGCAAAAAGTCACGAAACCTCTGCACGCTCTGGGCGATCGTCACGTTCATCCGCACCGAAGATACCGGGGAGTTCCTGCGATGGTGCCGCGCTTACACGGTACCCCGGCTGCGGTACCGTTGCGACCGCGCGAACGCGAACAACGCGGAGAAGCTGCGGGTCGACAAGCTGATACTCAGGCTGCTGCAGGAGATCTTCTACTGCGGCTGCCTGCCACCTTGCGAGATCGGCCTGTGAGCGGCGACACGGCGCGACTACCGTGATCGAGAGCAGCAGTGGGACACGTGGGGGGCTCCTGACGTTGCTCCGGGGAGTCGCTCCCGTTGCCGGCGCAACAGGCTACCGCTGTCCTGAAAAATCAAACGATCAAGTGTCCCAGTAAGCGAGAAATCATTAACAGAACGTCGTTACGGTGATATTTTACAATCCTTTCATATATAGTGTGCTCAAAACTAATCTCGGTTCCCGTGATGTGCAAGTAGAACGGGTGAAACTGAGCAGAAAAGTCATGTACCATTTTGCAAAATTCGCAATAGTTAGTGAGGAATTTATTATTTTGTCGGAACTAATGAGCGTACGTAATGTTTCAAAAGATTTATTTAATGTTTCTTGCTTACTCAGATTACTTTGTCTCTCTCTCTCTCTCTCTCTCTCTCTCTCTCTCTCTCTCTCTCTCTCTCTCTCGTTTTCACGAAGTGCGCAGCGGAAGGATAGCGCTGTATCTGCAAAAAAGGAATTAGCTATTCATATAATGCGACTATAATTTAGTTACCAGATTTAGTTTTTAGCTGTGAGAGCTAAAAACCAAAGCACAGGGACAAAAAGAATTAGATTAATCAAATTAATTAAATTTCAACTATACTATATATAGATAGTTAACTTCTACCTGTGAGAGCTAATTTTTAACTGTGAGAACTAGTGTTTAATTGTGGGAACTATTTCTTTTTTCCCTGTTTACTTACACGGCATAAATGTTCAGAATATGTCTTGGAAACATCCTGAAGACATACAAGACAAAAAGAATATCTTTCGGTCGTCTCTAGAACGTCATTAATGTTGCGTGGGTAAATCGTCGAAATTTCCCCAGGTCTTCCACGCTCGATTCGCCCGATCGCTCGATCTTCGGGCTTGTGAAATCGTGTCTGAGCAAATCTGAACGCTTCACCTCCGACCTTGCGATTTACGAGGACGAAACACGTTTTCTGTGCAGCATCGTGAGCGCACATGTGGACGAGGATAAATCACCTTAGCGAGAGGGATGTCTGAGAGCGACGGAGAGCATGCAGCTCGCTCGGTGGCCTTAGAGCAAGCCTACGTTCACGAAGTATACGAGCAATGCGCCGAGAAGACCACGCAAAGTAAACATTGGCCACGAGTTTATCAGTTCCTGCAAGAGCTCGAGCCGGGTGCCCTCGTCTGCGACATCGGTCAGTGGAAGATATTGCTCCTATTCGCAGAACGTCACTTTGAACATGTCCTCTATTAGGTCAAGTTTTTTATTTATCGGTTAATTTGTAGTTTAGACTTAACCCGATGCAAATTGAATTATATTTTTTTATTCGTGGTATTCGTGGTTGATCATTAAACGGATGGTGTTGTAATGATGACTTTTAAGGTTTAATAACTAACCATGAATAAAAAAACATAATTTTTACATTATCATTAGGTTAAGTCAAAACTACAAGTTGACCAATGAAAAATTGGGCCTTAGGACCGGTTATTCTACTTTTGGATAAATCTGTCTAATGGATAAGTGTCTGAAGAGTCTTCCCGCACAGAAATAAATGACGAGAATGCGAAAAAATTACTGGCATATTATCCAAGCAAGCACCAACTAACAATAATAATATCAGTATTATAATTTCCCATCCAATAATATGACTTTTTAATTAACACACGCGTTATATTGCATATTGAGCGGGAAATTATAACATTGATGTGAAAGTTGATATTTGCTGGGATTGTTCTTCAATAGTGCTTTTCAATAGTATACCAGTAATTTTTTCCGTATTCTCGCAGTTTACTTTCGTATGACCGAAACGTTCTTCAAATATTTATCCATTGGGTAAACTTCTCCGAAGGCGAAACAACCGGGATTTAATCATATCTCGCGCGAATGCCCGTCGACGCGCAACCCGCGCGAGGAATTCGTCACGTGGGTTGCATAGTTCGCGGAGTTCGCGCCCCGCATGCTCTGCGTCGCGTTACATCCACGCCTGTAACACTGTGTGTGTGTGTGTGTGTCTGTATCGTTCAGGTTGCGGCAACGGAAAATATCTCAGCGTGAATCACAGCATCTTCAAGGTAGGGGTGGACCGATGCAAGCGTTTCACGGACATCGCGCGCGAGAAGGAAAACGAGGTACGTATCAATTGGAAAGTGTCTTATCGCCGAATCGATTTGGAACCTCCAGCTATACTCACGGGATCCGATTTGCGATAAGGTCCTGATATGCGATAACTTGGCACTACCGTTCCGAGAAGAGAGCTTCGATGCGGTGCTGTCGATCGCCGTGGTGCACCATTTCGCCACGACGGAGAGGAGGGTACACGCGTTGAAGGAGCTGGCGCGAGTCCTCAGGATCGGAGGTCGACTCGTCATATCGGTCTGGGCAATGGAACAGAAGCATAGGAAGGTGAGCAAAACACTGTATCTTTGCAATTCGTTAAATAATTATTTTAACAAGTTCTTTAAACAATAATAATAATAATAATAACATTATGCAACTCTTTAATTAAGTCTCCTGTGTCCTTGCCATCTTGTTTTATGACATCATCATATTTCATCCTTTTTTTTTTTTAATCGTGTTCTTGAGATATTGTCAATGGTTATGCCTGAAATCTTTTTAATTGTGTGCCATTTAGTTAATTCAATTCGGCAGACCAGCAGCCTCAATAATTGTAAAAAATTTCCAAAGGCTCTAAGAAAGTTCGAAATTTACACGGTTACCTGCGTACGCGAATTATCTAATTAATAGATCGACGATTAAATTATATTATTGCTTATTTGCAGTTTGAATCGCAAGACGTTTTAGTACCATGGCCCAAGTCATACTGCATGAGCGCAGCATCGGACGGAACAAGGCACTCGAGCGCATCGAACAGTAACGAGAAGCGAGATGACGACGCCGCTCAGAAATATCCATCATCCTCCAAAAGGTGCGGTATCTCTTTCCGATATAGCGAGCGGTAATAAAATATGACCCGTTCTCCTCATTGATTGTCATAAAACACACTCGTAGCGTTGTTGCGGCGAGAGATTTATTGTAATGGGTTTATTCTCGCACGCGCAATTACTGCCATTTCCCCCGGACCGCGTGTGCCGCGTATGTAGGTCAGCTGTCATGGTTTCTCTCGTTCCAGAAATAGCCAACGAAAATGTAAAAGCAAGAGTTATTGGATCGATCCGATATTCAGCCTGTCACCATCCACCAGCAGTCTCTCCAGCCCGAACGAGACCTGTTACAGCTGCTTCCGGCGGGCGTTGCAGGTAAGAGAGACAAGACGGAGAAATCGTCCATTTCCGTTGCACAGAGGCAACATTTTGTAGTCAAACAATCGCGAGAAACCGACGGGAGAAATTCCTTTTCGCGAAGCGTTCGCCGACGTTCTTCTCTTCTCGACGCTGGTTACCGAAAGAGTCATTCGGTGAAATGTCGAGGGTTATTCGTTTAAATTTTTCTCGCCGATGAATGTTGCGCTTGATTTCACCGCTGTCGTTTTTGTCTCGGGGAGAAAATCGAATTTCCTCGCTCTGATTACATTTTGAAACTGCGTCGGCGGGAATGTCCTACTATTATTATTATCTGCCGCTTACCTTCGGTGATTTTCTTTTCCTAAGAAATTAGCGAGAAGCAGACGCGGAGGCGGCGGCCGCGCATGGTTCCCCGGAAGCTGGCAGAGCGGCGCCAAGAGCCGGCGGCATTACGATCCCGAGGACGTGACCGACGTGGACGAGCTACCGATCGAGCTGCGTCGCGTGGAGACCACCCACACGCTGATGGCCAACAAGCACACCGACACCTTGAGCATCAAGTCCAAGAGCCTGGGCGACATACTGGAGATCGAACGGCTGGACCTGGTGCGTTCCCGGTCGAGCATCCCGGGCTTCTGCTCCACCTCCGAGCTGATCCTGGACGAACGGTCCGTCTCGTCGTCCTCGAGCGGCTCGAAGCCGCGGCTGGTGAAGCAGAAATCGTGCGTGGAGGAGACCGGTTTGGAAAATCCTGAAGACACTGCCATTGAACACCTGATCAAGGACCTTCCAGACTTTCCTTGCCAGCAGACGCGCGGCTGCAAGCGCAACGTGCTGAAGCAGAGCTCGATGAACGAGGAGCTGATGTCGGCGGAACGGCTGGAGGAGAAGGAGCGGGTGCGCCGGAACATCATGAAGCAGGCGTCCTTGAACGAGGAGCTCATCTGCAAGTGGCGCACGTTCGAGGCGTTCAAGGACACCATCAGCCCGGTGAACGCCAGCCGACGCTTCCAGCTGCTGAAGAACGGACTCACCAGCAAGATCAAGCGGTCCACCACGAACATCGAGAAGGTCTCCAGCATGTCGATCAAGAACGGCTTCGTGCGGATGCTGCAGGGCTGGAAGTCCGGCGAGAACGAGACGGAAGCGGCGCAGCCGAAGCCGGCGGACAAGGCGCAAGCGCCTACCGTGACCGTGGTGAAGCGCAGCATCGAAGGCGTCGAACGTCGCCTCTCACGGGAGGACGGCTCGGATTCTTCCAAGGACAGCAGCCTGCAGAGCGACACCAGCGTCGACTCCGAGGACAGCTTCGCGTCGGTGATCTTCGTGCCGAAGCAGGACGCCCCCGCGTCTTCGGTCGAGGTGCCGCCTTCGCCGCGACCGGCAGCCTTACAACTCGGCACGACGTCCGCGCCGCCGTCACCGCGCGTCAAGCAACCTCCGGACAGCCAGTCCTCCAGGTTCAAGCTGATCAGTGTGTCACCATTGTTGAAGCAGCAACAGCAACAACCCGTCTCTACTAGTACAGCCCGCCTCGGCGACGCGGTAAAGCACGTAAATGACAAAGCGTCCGTCGGCAACTCGCAGACGTCGACGGGCTCGCGCGGGCTCCATCTGATAGCGGAGCCGACGGAGGAGCCGGACACCGCGCCGTTGATTCGTGCCTTCAACGACGTCAGCAAGGTGATGGGACGCGAGCCGATCAGCGAGGACGAGAACCGGAAGGCCCGGCTGAACCAGATCAAAGAGCTGCTCACCCAGAAGCCGGGCTTCGCGACGCGCGCCAGACCCTCCTTTCCGCTCGTCAGGCGCGCCTCCACCGCAGCCTCGGGCCGCCTAGAGACCGTAACGAGGATCTTGCCGCGGCTGTTGTCGCTGGAGCTGTTCAACCCGGAGACCGACGACCTGGACAGCGACTCGAGCGGCGTCTCGTCGCCGGAGTCCGTCGGCTCGGTGATCAGCGTCACGTCGGACGAGAGGTATATCGCGAGGAGAGAGGCCGAGAGGAACAACGCGCAGGCGGACAAGGAGAGCGGCAGTGTGCGCGACGACGAGTCGCCGGCGACGCTCGCCGACTCCTCGAAGACGCCACCGAATCCTTCGTACGAGACCTCGTCGGCGATCCCGGAGGACGAGGCGGCGTGCGACACATCGTCGACGGCTTCGAGGTTCAGCGGCACGGAGGAGGAGGACGACGCCGCGTCGTCAGTCGCCGAGGTGGAGGTACGCGACGCGTTCCGTTCTTCGGCGTCGCCTGTTCTTCCGGAAGGCGGCGGCAGGTCCATCTCTTCGCAGTCGATGAGGCTCTTGGAAGCCGCCGCCAACGTAGCGAGCTCGCTGGAGGACGCCGTGGGGACGGCGATGCAGCACAACACGCAGATCGAGTCGCAGCTGCTGCAGGTGGCGCAACGGCGCGACAAAGACGGCGAGTTTTGGTCGAGCGTGCGAACGCGAGCCTATCTGAAGCAGGATCGCAAGTCGGCCTCGGTGGACCTGGGCGGCTTCACTGAGGAGGCCAGCAGCGAGCTCATGCGGGACATCAGCCGGTACTGCCAAAACTCGTCGTTTGACTTCCTCAACGTCTGCCAGACCTCGAGGACCGCGTCGTCGTCGGCGCTCGACGTCGAGGACAATAACCTGACGTGCTGGGAGGAGTGCAACGGATTGCCCAAAGAGACCAGGTGGATCGTCAACGAGGCGTACGAGAAGAGCGGCCGCGCGGCGCAGCAGCCGGAGCTGAAGTCGTTCAGGCCTGAAAGCAAAGTCGATGATAGTTTCCGGCGTAAACCCGGCTCCCATCGCGACCAACAGTCCGAGCCCGAGCTCGGCAACGAGTCCAAGTACGAGGTGAAGCTCGAGGCCGAGCTCGGCTCCAAGTACGACGAGATGTTCAACTCGGAGGACAAGCCAAAGCCCGACCACCTCGCATCCAGACTCAATCCCAACAGCGGTGTCACGGGCGAGCAGCGCAAGCTCGATCCTCGCGGAGCGGAAGCTAAGCCCGTCTCGCCGTTGTTGCGCAGCAACTCGGACGACGTGCTGGACTTCGTGATGGTGTCGAAGACGGGCGAGTTTCAGTACGTCGACGCGGGCAAGTGGCGCTCCCAAGGTGGCCTGTCGATGGATTCCAGCGAGGTGGGAGACTCGATGGAGAACACGACGACGAGCCTGAGCGACGGCAGCCAGGCGGAGTCGACGGCCAGATTGTTCACCGGCAGCACGGTGTCACTGGTGTCGAACGTGGAGAACGCGCCGAGGGGTTGCGCCGCGACGGAGGCGCGACGCAGGCTGCAAGAACGCGGCCGCTCGTTGGACGAGATCTCGAGCGAGACGAAGAGGAGCACAGCCGCCGCGGCGGACTGCTTGGTCACGACCACCGACACCCTGAGCAACGCCTCGTCCCAGGAGTCCTTGCCGTCCGACCGCGGCGGCGGAGCCATCACCTACCACCAATACTACCACGTCTTTCGGGAGGGCGAGCTCGACCAGCTGATCAACAAGTACGTCGAGAACCTGCATATCATCTCGTCGTACTACGACCACGCCAGCTGGTGCGTCGTCGCGGAGAAAGTGCAGGTTTGGACTATATGACTTCGGATCGAGTGCAGGACGAGCCGCGTAAAAATCAGGCGATATTAAGCCAGCTCGCCGTCTCGCCGCGGTTGTACCGGGGGTGTCTCGACAGGAGTTGTCGGCGAAGGGATCAATTAGGTTCAACTTTGTTGAAGTGAAAAATTTGCATTCCGCTTATTGTTACTTTCGTCCCGAGGGAGGTATATATATGATAGGGCCCTGGATCCACCGAGATCGCCGAATCTGACGTAGCAGAGCGGCCGGTGCGTGAAACTAAGCAACTAAACACTACGTATAATTCCAGGATTTTAAGCTTTCATAGATCACCGTATTTAGGTTTTGGAATTGCGGAAGGCGGTTGGTAATCACACACTCTTACTTTCATGATCAAAGTACTGATCCCCCTTTTTGGGACACACCGTACACTCTGGTAGATGAGCTAAGTGATGCGCGAAGAAATGGGTCGCTTCGAGTTTTACGACTCTAAATCCGTGGATCCGAAACAGAGAGAAAGCGAGGGTTATCGGAAATCGGGGGTCCAAGAATCCAAGGATTTAAAGGCTCAAGGATTTCGTACAATCCGAGTATGTGCAAGATCTAAAATAATTCACGAGTTGACTTTCCAACGATCCGTTCTCGAATTCTGCGACGATCTATAATCGCTATTGAAATATCGCTTTGCGCTCGTTGAGAGAGAGAGAGAGAGAGAGAGAGAGAGAGAGAGAGAGAAAAGAACATTCCTTTCTTGCGTTTGCCACATCATGAGATGAAGACTTCTTCGCCCATAACGCCACTGAAGTGATGATCCAGAGATACGATTTCGGCACGGAACGAAAGGACGAATCGCGCGAACGAGCGATAATTGAACTTAATATATCGTGACATATCCAACAATAAATTAGGGAACAGTTTAGTAGTAAATTGATAAAACTTTTTCATTAATTAATTCTTATTAATCACGGCAACGATCCCTTGATTTTACGAACTCGTCTCTTCCAGCTCTATCCTCACTTCAGTGATACTTAGGGCTGTTCATTTCGCTTTTAAATCGGACATCTCGGAACAACGATTGCGGGAAGCACGATGCTTCGAGAGCGCAGCGACAAGAAAGGCAGACGGGAAACGGAAGAAAAAGTCGCTCGGAACGTGCGTCCTCTCGAAGGATGATGCGATCTGGACGTACGTGCGTTAAAGACGTAAAACTTCAGAGACAGCAACTGGCTCCAGCTTTGGGGCGTATTTTTTAGCTTCTCGAGGAACTGACAATATCCGAACGTGCTTGAACGTAGATATACCTCGATAATGCGAACATTCCATTTCCAGAATGTATACATGCATACGCGTTCACACAACCGCCGGCACACAAACACATAGATACTACATAACACACACGTACATACAACACATATATTAGGATGTCTCTTATCTATAATAACTTTCGCTCAGTAATTATTCGATATTCGATTGTCATTGCCTGGAAGGTCGTATCGGTATTACGCATAATTATTATGCGTAATATTAACTTAATATGATATTAACTTAATTGGATTCGCGTGCTCGGAAAATTATTGGCGCATAAAATTGGCGATAAATGAGGACAGTCGAAACGCGTTCTCGACGCGTCCGGCGAAATCGTAGATGCGAGAAAGCGAAAATTGTAGCAGAAGATATTTTATATTTCTAAACGACTAGTGTGTTAATACGGAAAAATCGAATAAGGTATATACAATACGTAAATGAAGACAAATATAGAGAAAATACAATTATATATCTGACCATTGATACGTAAAGGACATCCTAACGTACACATACACGCACACACGTACACATACGAGCAGACCCACGTACACGCAAACATGATACATATATATTAGGATATAAGGATTCAAGAATCCCATGATCTGAAGGTTGAATGCTTATATCCTTGGATTCTTTGCCCTAAGATCTTTAATTCCTCAAATCCTTCGAGTTGTCACGTTGCAGAAAACCTGGATTATCCGCTGCTTTCGAGTGTTCACGTCTTTTGAAAATTTTCATTTTTCCCGCAGCAGTACTTGATTCTCTTCAAATCTCCGGGCATACATTTAGTCCTTCCGCCACTTCTCTTTTTAGATATACGAGATTCCTTTAATCCCGAAAGAAACACCGAATCCTAGGGAGCGTTGTTCTCTCCGAATCTACAAATTCGTACAATAAAGAATTCAGTGACTGAGGATCCAAGGATCCAAGCATCCGTTTACAATACGTATACTCACACCTCATATAGAAAAGAAAAAAAAGAGGACATAAGTGTAATCTAAGCTTCGTTATTTTTATGATCTCAATTAATTGTTCGCGATCGTAGTTGGACGAAGTTTTTATCGCCACCCTTTAACCGGTAAATCGGATGCGATTCTTCAGAGCCAAGAATCACGGATATATTTAGCGAGATTAACAACAGAACGACAAAAAATTGATCGATCGGTGATCATGATAGTACTATAGGGTATCCTCAAAGCGCAGCGCAAGCATTCGAAAGAATTCAGAGACATCCTGCACATGAAAAGCAGCAATAGGTAGATCCGATCGTCTCTAAATCAAAGTCAAGATCACACAGAAACGTCTACGATGACGGACGAATCGTTATAAATTAAGGATTCCGGCAGGACGAGTGCTGCTCGTTCTTTCTGGCCATCGGCGCACAATGCGTGATACAACACCAGGGGGGAAAAACAAAGAATACAAAATGGGACTACTGGTTAAAGGGTAATTCGGTCGGTCGATCAAGAGGAACAAACTATTGTTACGTTTCCGGAAAATTGTTGAGTTGATAAATGATGTGTTTAATAGGTAGTCGACGATATTCTTTTCAAATTTATGAAACTTTCATTCGTATATCCGATTCCGAGGAGGAAATACGTGCGAAGAAAAGCGTGTATGCGTGCATGTGTGCGTGATGCGTGACAGGTAGAGAGAGCGAGAGAGAGCGAAAGAAAGATAGACCAACGCGAACGATGCGATCACGAAAAACAGGTGTAAATATGTAAAATAAAGTGTTCCTGACGTAAACGCACAGAAAAATCGTCAGAAGATAGTTGACAAGCGGCAATTTCGGCATCAGAATTTTCTAACGAATTTCTCCCTCCTCTCCATTTCCAGTCTATGTCCCCCTTGCTCAGAAAAAATAAATTGAAAGGAGTTGCGCTTATTGTTGCAGTGTTTGTTTATCGGTAAATGATTTCATTTGGAATTCATCTAACGAGTGCATAAACACATTGATCAAACGGTAATCGTTATGCTTTCCCTTTAATCACGGTCAATCGTCGAAAGCCACTGCAGTTCTGGCTACTGTGAAAAATAGTAAATTATTTTAAAGAACGTGAAAACCGGCTTAGCAAGTCTGATCGTATATCTAACGAGTTTTTAAACGAAATAATAGCCGCTAACATTCGCCACGATACACGATATTCGTCAGTATAACATTTCGTAACGACCGATAATGAGGGAAGTGCGATATTTACGTGGGGATAGCCAGGTGCTCGCGGAGATAAGATCGATACTCCGCAAGGTCGGTGCGAATAACGATAGCACCATATAATTATCGTAAATGTTGTTTTAATGATAAAAAAACTTTGCATATTTTACAATAACGGCCATTATTACTTATTGTTAATTGAAGAACATCCGTTGTATTGGTATCGCGTAAAGCCGATGAAACAGTTTTGCTTAATTACGAGGGTTAAAATTAAACCGTATCTATAAAATTATAAAATAGAAAAAAAACTACAAGAGTGGAAAAAATAGAAAGAAATTACTGGTATATTATTGTAAATAGGATAATAGGATAATATACCATATAATTTTTCTATTTTTGTCGTTTTGTTTGTACGAATAACCTCATGTGCGCACATACAATTAGCGAAAAGAAGAGCTCAATCCTTAGTAGTTGATTGAAAGTTAGTTTTCAAAATGTCTAATGATCATTAATGTACAAATGAAAATCAGTTTGAATTAATCAATTTCTTTTATTATATTTTAAACTATAACTTATTCCTGACTCATACAGCACACTTTATCTGAAGACGTCCTACAGACATCGTTTTAAGATGTCGTAATAAACATAAGATATTCTAAAATGGTTTCAAATATCTATTGCAACAGATGCACAAATGATATCTACCACCTATGTGATATCTTAAACGATGTCCAAAAGACACCTGATGAAGCTTAAGAATAAGTAATATATATTATCATTATATACTCAGGTAGCAAACACACGTCATACGTCAATCATTTTTACTGGACGTCATTCGTACTAACGTGTCTAGTATTCGAATGGTAGTATTAGTATTCCCCAGTGAGAAATGACTCACCTAATTGACGTCAATTCGATTGTACATTTCTCTGAGTCGAAATAATGTCAAAATTACATTATTACTAACGACACGATATTATGTAAAGCTAAGGGGTATGGCAGGATATTTGGATATTGTAATATTTCAATAGGATATAGTAAGGCATCCTATTGGAATATCTCGGACATTACGATGCTAGGTTAGGGATATCTGTGAGATCGCGTTTGGAAATCTGGGACAATTTGAAGTATCCTCAGGATAAAGTGTGCTGCTGCGTGGGTAATATCTTCATCTTAATTACCTGCATTTAATTCCTTGTTCCTTATTCTTTTCATCGTATCTGAGTCGTTACATTTTCCGACAATGGACGTTGTAAAAACGCGGGAAGCAGGATCCGGTAACAATGGAGGTCAGCGGAGGGGAGGAGGAATAAAGAAACGACAAGGGGTGCAGAGAGTGTAGCAGACGAGGGACAATCCGCCGTTAGTCGAAGACGCGGTCGAGGGCTCTCGGTGTTTCGATAGATCGCAGCATCGGGTACCGCTCGGTCTCCGTCGACGGAAACGCCCGATTCGCCCTCGGACAGAATCGGAGAGAACCGGCGGCGCGCCGTTGCGGCGCTTCGGCGGGATTCGGCGTGTAGTCGGCGCGGTGGCGCGTGTTAAGCGAACGCAGTGTTTCGCGGACCGTCAACCCTTGCGCACGCGGAACGAGAGGGTGCGAGCAACAGTGGCGCCCCGGCAGTCGCTTCGATTTTCGTCGGTGTGTTTTCGCGAATCCGGCGTAACGGTTACACGTATGTACAGTATACATATATACACGTACAAGTATACCCACACACACCGTTTATAATCCGATCCGTCGATCAGGTGCGTGTGTTCTCGCGTGTGCAGTGTCGCGATTTCTCTCTAGAGGAAAGGAAGAGAAAGACGACGACCGTGCTCGAGCCAAACGCGACTTGCCAGCCGCGATCTCGGGCGCGAGTGTCAGGGTTTCGTCGGGTGCATTCGCGATGAACGGGAACGCGAGAAGCGACGGCGGCGACACCGACGCGACGTCGTTGGGCGCGGACATCCTCAACCCCTTCGTGCATCGGCTGGAGCTCGGGTCGACCTACGAGAAGCTCAAGGTCAGTCATCTTTCTGTCACGGTGTCTCGAAAGCGCCTTTCGAACGGGATTGATGCTCGTCTGGGCGCTTTTTTCGGGGATGCCACCCCGTCGTAGTTGTCGCCGCCTCCTCAGCGAGGCGGGCGCTGCTTCGATCGCGTTGCCGAGAAAATGCGCCGCGAGTGCTCGTTCTGGGCAACAACGGGGGCGGAGATTTAATCGCGAAATCTAGACGATTGCACGATCGAACGGTTGGCAAGACACGCGAGAAGATGATGGCACGGCGATTCGTGCAACATGTGCCACGAGTCGCCAGGTAAGAATTTTCCCCGGCCAAAAAACGGCCATATTGAAAAACTTTGAAATCGATAATGGCGATCGATCCGCGTGTGACCGAGGGCAGCGAGCTGGACGCTTCCGTCCCAAAAGTATTGAGACGTGATGTGATCATAATAACGGTATCGTCGGACGTACGATCTGTAATAGCACGATAATAGTTACCACCGTTAGATAAGATTGCGTTAGAATTCAGGACGTCGAAGAATAAGAACGCAGGAGTAATCGTAAAAACGCCTCGACGGTCGAGGAGATATCGCTCGCGGTCGGTCATGGGTAGGCCGGTTTTTCCTGAAGTTCGCCGTACCGTGCCGGCGTACTTTCACGCTGCAGGAATCACGATGACGACGACGCTCGTGCGAAATCGCACGCGTGTGGTTACGATCGCGGACATCGTCTTGTATCATCTTTCCGACCGAAATTTACGGCCGCGTATTTCTTCCTCTCATTCATGGTCCACGGTCGAGGTGGTCGTGACGACCCGGGCTTGTGTGCAGCTCGTATAGTTTCCGCCCCACTTTCTTCGGCGCGTTCTCGAGGGCTTCCATGCGAGTGCGACGTAAATGCAACGGCATGTTAGCCGTGAACAAGGTCACGTGAGTGATCGCGATACGCACCCAGGTAAATGCACTTATCTTTGGACTCGAGGACTAATAAATCGCGGATATAAAGATGCGGTCTGCGTTCCGGAATTCATTGCCAGTGTTAGAAATCTATATTTCGTGTCACGTAGAGACCCGTACCCTGAGTTCCTTTATTGATAAAAGTGCCACTGAAACGGCTTAAAAATCGCCTGATTATCTGAGAAATCATATTTAAAGTATTTTTTTTTTTATCGATAAGGGCCAGTTTTACAATTTCGTGGTAAATGTCAACTGGTCATTTCTGGTCGTTTTTGCTTATTGACAAATTATTTGGTTGGCGATTGTTCAATTCTAACGAGATAATGAGCCAATCCAGTTGACCGGAGGTTGTGAAAGTAGTCTTGAAAGAGGGTTCAAAATACCGACAGTGAATATCGGAACACAGCCAAATTCGGCGATTTTTCGCATTTGCTACGCGGACGCGTTGAATTTCGGCGAGCGCGGTGGGATAATTTGCGGCTTTATGGTTGATCGATCGCGATCAGCTGTTCACCTCGATACACGGTGACACGGTTAATCCCGTTCGCTCCAGAAGAAATCTCACGATTCAGATTTTGATTGCTGTCTATTAAGCTACGAGCTCTTTCTTTCTAATCTAACTAGGCCGCACTTTTTGTCTTCAGAGTGGAACAAATATATGACCTAGCGTTTAAAAGAAAATAAACTAAATTTTCCAATGCCGCACCAATCCGGTTAAAAAGAGCAGATCTATTGGTCTGTTTTCTTTTATTTTTTTCTTCTTTTATATTTTTCCATGGATTTCTTCGATTTCTGTCATAAGGGTCGACAAATTCGTTTAGAAAAATTCATGTGTGTTCAGTTAAAACTTTCTATATTTACTTTTTGCCGTAAAGAACATGAGAAACTGAACAAAAATTCGCGAAAAATTGAAAAAAATCTGTTTTCTCCGAGTTTTTAAAACTCGAATAATTTCATCAGTATTATAATTTCCTGATCGACAATATAGGTGCCTCATAATATGTATTGTATGCAATACTTACCTCGTTGAATGAGAATTTATAACATTGATGTAACACGTTAACGTTAGTTGGTGTGTTTATTGGGAAACATACAACCTTCAGTAGTGTTCCAGTTTTGGAAAGTGTCGAACTAACCGATAACGCACCTGATAATTGCAGTAGGAATTTGGCCACGAATGTGTACAGCTATTGTTAAGAGAAAATGTTAGTATCTTGAATCTGTCTAAATTGCTGAGAATGTTGAGACCTGAAACTGTCCGATTTTCGTGTGTGCTTCCGAAATTTCATCAAGACACTTTTGAAAGAAAGAAAAAAGATTTTGATGTCTAAGAATAAAGAACAAATGCAAAAACTGAAACACTTGGAAGTAAATGGAGGATTCCTAACGAGATTGTGTAAACATTTGACTAACTGTAACTCGGCTGAGAAGACCGCAAACAAAAAAAAATAAAAAACCTGATTCGTGCATACCAGGTGATTTCTAAATACACTCACATTCCTGAAGAATAACGAGATCATCGGTACTTCGTCGCTAACGGTGAACTACCTCGTATTTTCGAGGCATTAAAATTGAGGCCTACACTTTTCTAACCGTTAAAGCGACGCAAGTAGCACTCCTTCGTGGACCGGTGCTTTCTCTTGTTAAAACATCGGTGAGGGTCTGAACGCGTAGAAAGCCTGCGTTCGTTATAAGTATTGCAAGTGTGCGAAGTTACGAGACGCGCGGGATTGAACGAAATGAAGTAACGTTCGAAGAAATAGGTCAGGTCGTATTCTATGTTCTTTCTAAACACTTTACTACTTACCTTTCCTTGCCATGTACATTTTGTGTTTGATACATTATACCTTACAGGTAGAAAATATATAGGGTGTAACATGATATATTTAATAATATATTTTTTACTATGTAAATATAGTGTAATGTTAATTTGCAATTGTCCGCTGTCGACACAGCTCATAGTTACACTCGCCAAACAACTTTCTACGCACAAATTAGCGAGTGAGGAAAGTGCGAAGCTTCTTCGGCATTATATTTGTATTGTGTTAACGATTAAAGTAAGGGCCTTAACACACTGAGAAAAAGATTTCCTCAAATTTAATAAATTTTATTGCATCCAAACAAATTTCATTATTGGTATGTTTCGAAGAAACTAACGGTTTGATTAATAAGTTAGATTATTAGACTTTTCAACGAATATGTATCTTTATTTTAAATACAAAATTTGTGTGTGTGAAACGAAAGATAATTTTCTTATAAAGAAATTATTTGTTTCATTTTACATATTATAACCAAATGATATTTTATTTTGTTAAAAGATATTATTTCAAATCACGTTTTTTCTGTTAAATAATACAATTTTCTTGGATGAGAACATTTTTAAGATTGGCCTTCTTGATGCGCCACTGAAAATACGACACTAAACTTTACTCCAATCTCTTTAAATACCTCATTCATATTTATGCGAATAATCTTTCTCCAATGTCTGTCGTGAATTTTCTTTGAACTTCACATCGATTCTCGCTCTACATTCACTGTTGTTCCCACGAAGTGTTTACGTCATAGTCACCGTCCGGAGTCTATGAGTCTAAGTCGGAAAGCATTCGTTTTACCATGAGAATAAATATCACCGACGGAAGGGTATCCTTCACTCGTGTGCACTTGACCAGCTCTAACATATCGGACACACTTGGCGCGAATTACCTGTATGAGTCCTCAGCGAGATGAAACGAGATGTGGCGAGATGCTCACGACTAACGGAACTGCGAAACGAACGGTACTTCATATTCCATCTCCCTTGCTTTTAATTCTTTCTTTCTCCTTCTTAGTACATCTCGAGAGGTGGAAGCCACCGGTGGGCGTTTTGTAACCTTGACCGCGTGACGGGCACGAGCGAGTTACACATTTGCTTAACCGCGTAATTTTTCATCGCCCATACTTTCTGCAACAATCAGTGAAGCCATTTGCCGTTCCGACGGAATTTGCATCCGAAAGAGTTCCTTTGACGTATACCAAGCCTTAACTGTCCACTGTTCCATGAATTCGCCGATCAAACGATTCATGGCGGATGGCTTTCTTCATTGAGATTATGCTAAATTATTAAAATAAGATACTGGCGAAAGTTTACGTTTAGCTGATTTACGCGAAGGGCCACGGCGCTACGAAACTTCCGGGAAAACTAAAACGTAGACGTTTCTTGTTTCAGACGGTATTCCTGACAATTGCTCTCCTACCGTTCAGGCTAGCCGCCATCACAACTTTGATGATCTTAGCGTGGCTGTTGGCCTGTCTGGGTCTTCATGGATTATCCGAGGAGGATCTCAGACGAGCTCCTCTCAAAGGATGGAGGCGGTATGTGTGAGCGAAAGCAAGCGGTGCGATCATTTCACCGAGAACGTAGATGGCCCCCTTCGTCGCCCCCTCGTCCCGAGTCTATCCTCTCGTACTATTCGTGTTAACATTAACCCTTTCTCGAGGTTGCTTCCAATCCTTTCTATTCATTCTAAGCGGTATTACATCGTCTCGCTTTTGCTAACAGACTAAACCCGCATAGAACCTTAGATGTATCGAGGCCACTTGGAAATCCTTAGATCTGAAGTTGAACGACGAGGAAAGAAATCCTCGGGAAATTATTTGAAAGCTCTCTCTCGGAAAGATGTTTTACGTTCTCCGGAACTATACATAGATGCCGGAGTTGAATGTATGATTTAGGATACGCGATTAATGGAGCTTCAGCTAAATATAGTCGAGCGAAAGGCCATCGAAAGTACACGTTGTCCGATTTAACACAAGGTTAAATTTTCATTTTTAATAAATCACACTTAGAAAGGATCAGACATTTTATCGTGAAAAAAATTATTTACGTCTTTAACTAATCAATATAATCGTATTATAATAATGAGGTAAAATATAATTGAAGGATCAGTCTCCGATTGTGCAGCTTGGCAAGTGGTGCTCTCGCAAGTTATTGATGTTATCGAATACTAACATAAAATATAATGAAAATATGTATAAATTATATGAAATTATATGATTATACTTACATTGATCTTCAAATTATTGCGGGAATAGACGCATTAGTGTATACAATCAGAACTAAACATTCGTATCATTCTTTAAAAATTCGTATACATTTTGCATTTCTCTGTAATAAAACTGTGACCGCACGTTTCGAGAGATAAGATAACACTAAGGAAATACCTTTGAGTGTAGCGACTAATAGACAGAAGTTTTACGTGCTCTCTTTTCATAAAGCCCATGCGTGTACATTTATGCCCGCCGGAAGATTAACTGAATTAACATATATTTTAAAATTGAAATTTGATTTTCGACATAAATTAGTATACCGGTATGTCAAATTCCCAATTCGAATTATTCGAAATAAGTCCGAATTAAATTTCGTAATTTAACGTATGGACAACGCAACCAGAGTATTAACTATCTAAAGAAAGCTGGAAAGCCTTGAATTTTCAGGAAATTTGTTTATGCCTGGAAAAATCAGGGAATTCTCAGAGAATCTCTTTTAAGATGTCCAAATAAACGGTGCGAATTTTCATTTTATCTTTTATCTGTTATACGAGTATGTGCTCTTTATAGTTTAATCTTAAGCCTTGCTAAGGCCTTCGGGTAAAGAAAACTCAATAAGGTAGCCTTGCGCCTCAACGGAAGGTTACAGTAAGGTGGCTCGATTGGAAGTAATGTTCGCGAAGTATCTGCGACTAGTAACACCCGGCGGAATAGATTTACAAGTCCTTAAAATATTCACAAAGCAGAATCGCTTGTTTTGAGTCGCACGATTAGTACTATTATAGATGGTATCTCGTCTAAATAAAGACAGAAATCAATGCCTTCGCGTGAGCACCCAAAGTGCAAAGAACGTCGAGGCGGCTTATTCGAAGGATCTAAAGATTTCCAAGTGCTTTCCGCGAAGAATCGTAGAATTATCCTATCCAAGGATACCTGGGAGATGGAAATACGTTTAGTTAATATACTCTCACATTTTCCGCGTAGAACGTCTTATCCCGAGAGAGACGGACTTCCCTCAAAGATCGCTTTACGATACACAACTCCCCCCTCGCTGATCCTCTTTCCCAATCGCTTACGAAGAAGTAGAAAATTGCATCGGACGATGGTGCATGCGCACTGCAAGTAAAACCACCTTAAAAACAGAGACATGCGCATCGTGATCTGCTGGATGATGCGGGCGTTATTTCTCTGCGGTGGATTCCATCATCTGAAGGTCAAGGGCCGCAAGGCGGAAACTAAGGATGCGCCGGTGCTGGCTCTCGCTCCGCATTCCAGCTTCTTCGATGCACTTCCGGTCGTGTACCTCGGCGGGCCGAGCATCGTTGCCAAGGGGGAGAGTAGACGCCTCCCTTTCTTCGGAAGTAGGTCGCCCATCATCGAGTTGTCGTCCATCGACGATGACGAATCAAGTTGGTCGATAAAGGAGAGGTCGTCGTGTCTTTAGCCGATTTTTGGAACCTAGTAAATCGCAAGAGTGCAGCGTCAGCAAAAGCACGAGATGTGAATCTCGAGCGAGAAATCGTGATGATAGTATGATTATAATAGATAGGTACGTTTGTTTGCGACCTCTCCTTATGGTAACCAATGATTTAATTTTGGCACTGCTAGACTGTAATGTTCTGTTCGTTTAGTTTGTTGTATATGTGATATTGTTACATGACACACACACACACACAACTGGTGGATGGGATTTAATCGTTAGTGACTAACACAAAGCAATGTTGCTGTATTTCACAATTGTCGCTAACGTGGCTTGTATAAATAATACGTTTCGTCTTATTTGATCCCTTGACCAGTAAATTCGATTGCAATTGAACTCTAAAATCAAGGGGTTAAATAAGGCACCGCCCGTTAACTCTGATGCAATGTTCACGTCGTGCGAAAATGATAGATTTACGTCAGTCGCGCGTAAAGCGTGTAATCTGAAGAACCGAAGCATAAGGGAAAAGCTGATATTCGCAGCGGCTGTATTGGAGAAAGCCAAGTAGATAGATGCTCGTCGACGCACATTCAAGACATCCTGTTTGCATCAGAGGATCAAAGAGGGATGTGCAAATGCGTCTCGGCACGTGTGTGGTGCAACTCCGAATTCCGCAACTAACTGCTCCCGGCCGTTAACGAAAATTGAATTACTAATCGGGACGCTTTCACCGTACTTTTGTCCGCCCTTTTTCTGTCAATTAGATTGTATAGAAAGCGCATCTCGAACAAACCTGCGTAGAGTTCGTCTCTTACGTTCACTTCGTCGGTCGCGATACCGTCGTATCGATATCTCTCCGTCACTTTAAGAGAGTTTGAGAGTATATTCAGCGTCCGACTTCGGGCTTTACTGTATGTGTACACTTTCTCGCTTGAAACCTACAGCAAAATAGTGCCGTGGCTATGTTACTTGGGCCGACTTACTTACCAAGCCGGCGGGATGAAAATCGTGGTTCGAGGGAGGCAAGTTTCCAGATCGGAAGCACCGATTCTGGTCCTCGCTCCGCACTCGACTTTCATAGACGGCGGCATCGTTTACGTCACCGGATTTCCCTCGATCATCGTCAGGCGAGAGTCAGGATTAAATCCGTTTATCGGAAGTAGGTGGTATAGTTTTTCTTGTTGCTTTCATTTCTCTCTCTCTCTTTCTCTCTCTCCTTTCATACATCTTATGAGTTTTTGCTATCAATTGTTTTTTTTTTTTTTTTTTTTTTTTTTTTTTTTTTTTTTTTTTTTTTTTTTTTTTTTTTTTTTTTTTTTTTTTTTTTTTTTTTTTTTTTTTTTTTTTTTTTTTTTTTTTTTTTTTTTTTTTTTTTTTTTTTTTTTTTTTTTTTTTTTTTTTTTTTTTTTTTTTTTTTTTTTTTTTTTTTTTTTTTTTTTTTTTTTTTTTTTTTTTTTTTTTTTTTTTTTTTTTTTTTTTTTTTTTTTTTTTTTTTTTTTTTTTTTTTTTTTTTTTTTTTTTTTTTTTTTTTTTTTTTTTTTTTTTTTTTTTTTTTTTTTTTTTTTTTTTTTTTTTTTTTTTTTTTTTTTTTTTTTTTTTTTTTTTTTTTTTTTTTTTTTTTTTTTTTTTTTTTTTTTTTTTTTTTTTTTTTTTTTTTTTTTTTTTTTTTTTTTTTTTTTTTTTTTTTTTTTTTTTTTTTTTTTTTTTTTTTTTTTTTTTTTTTTTTTTTTTTTTTTTTTTTTTTTTTTTTTTTTTTTTTTTTTTTTTTTTTTTTTTTTTTTTTTTTTTTTTTTTTTTTTTTTTTTTTTTTTTTTTTTTTTTTTTTTTTTTTTTTTTTTTTTTTTTTTTTTTTTTTTTTTTTTTTTTTTTTTTTTTTTTTTTTTTTTTTTTTTTTTTTTTTTTTTTTTTTTTTTTTTTTTTTTTTTTTTTTTTTTTTTTTTTTTTTTTTTTTTTTTTTTTTTTTTTTTTTTTTTTTTTTTTTTTTTTTTTTTTTTTTTTTTTTTTTTTTTTTTTTTTTTTTTTTTTTTTTTTTTTTTTTTTTTTTTTTTTTTTTTTTTTTTTTTTTTTTTTTTTTTTTTTTTTTTTTTTTTTTTTTTTTTTTTTTTTTTTTTTATTATATTTGAAACGAGTTTGATACATTATTTATTGTTACGCTCCGATTGGGGCCAAATGGAAAAAATATTAAATAGCTTTAAGTTGCGGACTGTAGAGAAATTGTGTGCAAGTGCGTGTGAAGTAAAAATGTTCTCGTGCAGAGTCGGCGAAGTCGATGAAAAATTGACTGCAATTAGCGATTAATGTAAGGTCACACGTTGAAAACAACTTACCATTACTTTCCCTATATATGGCACATGTGTCGTTATCGTTCAATCATAGAGGATCAGCAACGACAATCTAAAAGCAAATCGATTTGGCTGGCAACCTCCCGCTCCCGGTAGTATCAATACTTGAGTATTTATGTTGTTTGTAATAAGTGTTCTTGTACAGCATTAGGAGACGTATCGATGTTAGTGGAGATATTAGGAATCGGGCATGAGAATGGCTCGAATGAGAAGCGAAAGACCAATCGACAAATCCCATTCACCAATACGTACGACGGATAACTTCGGGAAGAGCAGGCGCACACTTGCGAGAGTTCTGTTAATATCCCGATTGACGATCCCTGTGAGGCAACGATTAGCGGCGACTTGCCATTTGCAAAATATAATCGACTTTAATTTGCTGCGCAAGAACGTCGCATTTAATTTCCGGTCCCGAACGGATCTATCCACCGAACGACTGTCAATGGCAGATCGCGAACTCGTTCGCAAGACTGTCGCAAGCTCTCCTCGGTGTAAGTGCATCCGCTCCGAAATCATGAGCAAGTTACTTGCGCAATTAGGCCAACAATAATTAACTTATGCCCGTTTCCGTTAACGTCGATTAAACCTAACCCGAGCTTATGTCTCTGCGTCTGTGAAGAGAGTTTAAACTCGGGTTACGGCTTAATCTACGTCGCTAAAAACGAGCGTTAGACGATTCGAACGAACAGCCTGTAAATTGTAATCATCCGATTGATACTTGAACATCGACTACACTCGTATATCTTCCATGTTCGATGTATGTAGAGCTAATCAACTATACGCAACCGGTGTACGTGTGGAGAGAGGACCCGAATTCCCGGCAGAACACCATCAAGGAGATCATCGAGAGAACCACTTCTAAGGAAGATTGGCCGCAGGTGGGCAGAGCACAAATTTATTTGTTACGTATGTGTGGAAACGCACACTTTATAGGCATCTGTAAGATGCGTAAGGAAGCCTATTAAGTGCTAGTGGTTTACAGTAGATGCAGAGATATTAAAGAGAAAAGGGTGAAATCGAAAGAGCGAGAGGGAAGGAAGGGAAAAAGAAATGAATAGCGCAATTTACGGAGGCTCTGTACTCTTCTTTATGACTCTCGAAATAATCCACGGTTTGCGGGACTGCATGTTAGCTCGCAAGCAAGGTTGACGACGTGCACTACCCGCAAATCGCTACCTTCGCGTCTGCGGTGTAATTGACCGATTCTTCCTGCAGGTTATGATATTTCCCGAGGGAACCTGCACAAACCGGTCATGCTTGATCACGTTCAAATCGGGCGCGTTCTATCCAGGCGTGCCTGTGCAACCGGTGTGCATCAGATATCCCAACAAGCTGGACACAGTAACGTGGACCTGGGAAGGTCCTGGCGCGTAAGTATAGAGAGAGAGAGAGATCTCTGCGTTCTTTATTCTCTTGGTCCCAAATGCGACTTTCATCTGGTCATATCAAATTGCAGGTTGAAACTGTTATGGCTGACATTGACGCAATTGAATAGCAGCTGCGAGATCGAATTCCTTCCTGTGTATAATCCGAGCGAGGCGGAGAAGATGGATCCCAAACTGTACGCGAACAATGTGCGACGTCTCATGGCTGAGTAAGTGTGTTACGTCTCCGTGCGGAAGGAGAGCGTTTCTTGAGAATTTTCTTTCTCTCTTGCGTTGTCGCGTTAACGTGATCCTTCGTGCAGGGCTTTGAAAATTCCCGTGTCGGATTACACGTACGACGACTGTCGGATAATTCAGAAGGCTCATCAGCTGCATCTCCCGCATGCGTCTAGTATTGTGAAGACTCATAAACTTCGGTGCAAGCTGGGGTAAGTGACGGGATACGTAACAGTCGGCGTCATGTATGCTGTACTATTCCTTACATCGAAAGTTGTATGGATTTTTCAATCTTACAGATATATACGTAAGGTCAAAACCGTGATAATTAGAGCCCTCGTAATTCTATCGTTGTAATTAGAATTATTTATTTGAATTACAATTTTGATCCTTATGGGTTATGCGTATAAGGCCGAAAATCGCGTAATTTTCCGTCTAGAGACTGATGCCCGCCTACATTACGCCGACTGCACACAAACATATAAATATTATAAAATATATGACTTTTCTCGATTATATATTTCAATCTGTGTTATAGTCTAGTGGCGTCGAAAACGGAGGAAGAGCTCGTTCAGAAGAAAACTAGTAACTTCGGCGATGTGAACTTGCAGGAATTCGCGCAGATTCTAAGACTGGACGAGAAGGATCCGACCACTCAGCAATTGTTTCGCATTCATGACAGGGTTTGTATATGTATCATGAAACTCATGCAATATATGCGTACTTTAACGCGTTTTAACGCATTTACATAACACGTATTGTTATTTATTATCAAAATTGAATGTTCAAAATATAAAATTCACGATAGAACGAGACGAATAATTTATTGTAAAACTGAAAAATAACAAATAAGATATTGCAGAATACAACACAAACACATTAGAGAAACTAGAACTTATAATGAGATAAATTAAATATAATTTTCTTGAATATTTTGCGTTCATAATGGAATGATACGATGTATTTGATTGAAACAGTTTATGTCAATCTTTTGGCGTGGAGATCGTGGAGTTTATGTATATCGAAAATTGTATATATATGAGTTAAATTTTATTTTTTTCTCTTTTACAGTTCGGACAAGGAAAAATCGATCTTCAGGAATACATCTTTACCGTGTTGGCCACCGCAAATGCGTCTTCGGAATTAGACAAGGTCGAAATTGCGTTCGACGTAAGTACCGGCTGTTTATATATAGCTGCGTCGTGTACATAGCGTATGAACTTTTATTTTTACACGATCACATTTTGTCACAGGTTTGCGGCTCGAAGACTGCGTTGTGCCTGGCCCAATCGGAACTCAGAAAAGCTCTGAGGTTATCGCTATATATACAATCAGAAGAATCCGATAGAATCTTTCAACAGGCTAGACACGATGAGGATGATGACGTCACAGTGAGCTTCGGTAAATGCTTATTTCTGTCCTTTCTCGTCTCGTTGCATTTTCCATTCTCTTTCAGTGTTAATGTCAGGGAAAGATTTTTTCAAACCGGTTTATCTCTTGCAGACGATGTCCTGACGCAATTGTCGAACCGTGCGGAGTACGCGCATTTGTTCAACGCGAACAACGAAAATTCGAAGAAGGCCATTTGAAAGTGTCTTTTGGAGCCCGATGTTCCATCTGGAGAACATCGAGGCAGGCCCTTTCACAATCCCATCTGCTCCATCCCCGTATGAGGAACGCATCCGATGCTTCGAGGATCTAATGCGAAACTATTTTGTCGTTGACGGAAGTTGCAGTCGCGAGACTTAGACAACTAGCTTGTCTTTCCTGTGTAAACCTGTAAATTAGAGAAAGCCAAGAAACTTAGTGATAGGAACTTAAATGCCGCGATTCTAAATCATCCTAGATTTGATAAATTCCTGAATATTTAGTTACGAGGATTCTATAGAATCGGGCGATACACGAAGATCCAAAGATATATACAGATCTTAGATATCCGAGGATTTGAAGGTTCGTTAACTCCCGAGGGACGACAACGCCCTGGGATTTGAGGGGTTGGTCATTCCGTCTGAGAGGGATTTTGAAAGCCTAAGGACTTGAGGGAAGAGACTATATTAAAATGTTTTGGGAAAGAAGGATAGTTTAAAAATATTCAAAACAAAAATATTTGCATGAGGATTCCGTGACACATTTTCAATTGAAGATCTACTAACGTAGAATCCTAAGAAAAAGAAAAAATTTTTGCCTGTTGCTTTGCCGCATATGACGAACTAGTTGAGCGAACTTCAGAATTCAGTCACGAGACTTCCCGTAGCTCGAGAGGATTTCAGTATCCGTGACTGTAGGGCTTGGATATGTATATTTAGAGAAGCAAAAAAGCACAGAAAGAAGATGAACAGGCAATTGTATAATTTATTTTTTCTGGCTCGATTATTTGACGAGACTCCGCGAAATTCGATACACATGTACAGACATGCAGGCATGCACGCACGGAGATACACATGTACGATAAGTTGCATGTTACTTGTGCACACCATAAACCGGCACGTATGTAGGCAACGTAATGTACACACAAACACACACACACACACACACACACGCATATATGAGAGAGACGCAGCAAGATGTACGAATCGATCGACGTGTATACCGTCTGTGTATGCGCGCGTAAGTACACTCATGTGTGTACGTATGTATGTAAGCATGTATGTATGTATATACGAAGAAAAATATGCGGGTGCAGTTAGAGAGCATCCTTTGTAATATCTGTATATGAACGCGAAATGACCAAGCTCCAACAGCGCATTGTACTGGTCATTGTGAGCTTGAAAGCGGATATGTTCAATTATAGAACATTTTACTACGAATGAGTATGTTGAGAAAAAAAATAACAATATTTATTGAACCGAGACTTCTTCTCAACTTTCAACTAATGTTCAAGCGACACGATCAATTCAGCTCGATAGATCACACTCCGTTGAAGTAAAACCCGCTGTTACGCGGAGTGACTAACGATTGTGTTTGCAGTGATCTCGCAAATGTAATCGGTGGTAGGTAACGCGGGAAACGCGATGATAGCACGAAGAAGGAACAGAGATGGCGGTGTGAGGCATTTGTTAAAGTAATATATAAGAAGATCGTCATCCTTTGTTCCTAACACTGGCCATAATGCGTTGCAAATGGCGCGCGAACTTCTTTAATTAATAATTCAATTGGAATTTTGAACATTGTTCGCAATTCCCTGATATGCTCTCAACTGTATTCTTCTTTCCAATACTCATTTATTTTTGGTTGGCCTGAATTTGCATTCAGGATTGTATCATGTTACTAAATTTTTGTGTTCTAATAACATAAGCTACCTGTCCTGTTTCTAAATGTGAACATTTAAGATTACTCATGAAAAATTCTCCACTGTCGTCTGAAAAACATGGAAAAATCAGAGAATTAGAAAATTCTCCGTCAGGCCATTCTGAACAAAAAAGTCCTATATTACCGTTTCGCAAATAACGCGCAAAAATATTCGATTTATTAATTAAAGAAATTCGACCAGCATTTGAAGTTCGCGCGCCGTCTCGCAATGCATCATAGATAATGACGATCCCATCGATCGCCACGACCCCTCATCCCTCGGTGTTAAGCCAAATAAAACGCAAGCAGCAGCATTACGTCGACGCTTTATTAGCATTGTATGTGTTAGGCTCGATTGGTTAAAGGGTAAGATCATTACAATCGTGTTACTTCGGAAGTATTGATAGCCCGTAGTTTCCCGTCGGAATGACTAGACCGTCGATGCCTGATCTGCGCGTGTGTCGGCGGTATGTAGCCCGTCGCCGCCGCCTCGTCAGCTCGCTTGTGCTTGTCCAGTTGAACAACAGGCGCGAATCGCGAGCCGGGCCCGCCGTCCAGGCACTCGCAGCTCAGACTAGCCGCGTCCAAGTCGCTCTGGTACGGCGCCGGTATCAGCAGGCTCTCCGTCGACTTTGTAGGCTGGAAGCCGTGTCGGCTGACGGTGCTCGCCGCCGAGTAGGCGGTACTGCTGCCGGTGCTGGTCTTCCTCTGCACGGTGCCGATGGGCGTCTTCGCCCGACCATGTGACCCTTTGCCGGGTCGTTCGGCACTGTGAGTTTTGACGGTCGCGGTGTCTAGATAACCGTAACCGAAACCGTATCCCCCGAAGGCCTTTGTCGTCAGGTTGTCCCAGGACTTCGGCTTGGCGTATTGAAGGCACGGCGGTGGTCGCTGGTGCACGCTGGGGTCCCAGTAGAGAGTGTCGGTGCTGAGGCTGGTGGAGCAGGAAGCGACGCTGTCGGCCGTCGTCGAGACGTCGCTGCTGGTGACCGAGTGAAGACTGTGGCCGGACGTGCGAGGACAGTTGTGAGTATTGGGAGGCTGTTGCTGTTGGTCTCGCGGTCCTTGAACGTGGTGGTGCTGAAGATTGGCTTGTTGCTGCTGCTGTTGCTGCTGATGGAAAGCCTGTTCGTTGCGGGCGCGTCGTTGTTTCTCGCGGCGTCGGCGACTAGGCACGCAGTTCGGATCGCAGCAAGGACTGGCGAGGTCGTAGGCGTCCAGGCTGCCGCTGTCGGACTGCTCACGGCGACGATTCGCACTGGAGATGCAAGCGACGCAGAGACTGTTCTGCGGAGCCGTGTGCAACGACGGCCCTTCGCCGGTGATGGACGACTGTTGCTGTTGGCAGGATTTGTGAGACTTGCCCTTCGCGGGTGTCCCGGTCATGCCGTTCGCCTGGTGGTAACTATGGCGCGACGACGTGGTCACGGCGGACTCGCTGGACATCTTGGACAGGAAATGATGGTGGTCGCTGCGAGAACGGGGCGGCCCGACTGTCACCAGGCAAGCGGCGCTGCGGGGGATGAGGCAGGGTCGTCCGTCCGCGAACTGGAAGGCGAAAATTCGCCGCTTAGATGTTACGTTGAGCGATGCGACGCTCTTGCGACGTCTCGGTTATTGGCAGAGATATATGAAAAGAATTCTGTTGAGTCAGTAAATATAATCTTGATTCAAAGGCAAATATCATCAAGATTCCGGAGCAGTCGCTGCGACTGCCCTTGTTTAATGTCAGAAAAAGCATTCGAAGATTTTTTCGATCAATAAATAATCGCAAAATTAACTTAACATGGAACCTTCTTTTCTAACTTTTTTTCTCATGATTTTGTCAATTTTAACTTTACAACTGCTTATTGGTTGTTCGAGTAAAAGTGTTCGCTCAGTTTTACGAGTTTGCTGAATTGATCACAAATGTCATTTTATAAATACGTCTTTTTACTTGAAAGTATAACGCAAAAAATCCTGGTATGCATTTTCTCGCTTTTGACGTAATTAAACAAGGACAGTGGAGCCTTAAGGCTGCTGTATTTATTATCTATTGTTTCAATAATGAAATTTTGATTTAATATTCAATGATGTCGCCATTGAATCAAGACGGTTCACTCCAATCACGCGTTCCGTTGGTTCAATAGTATTTTTTCCGCGTACGAAATGGTAGCTACCACGTTGTAGAGTAGAAGATGTTCGGTGGAGGTCGCAGGTCGGCAGCATTGAATCGTGGAGGAGTTGAAGCTGGAGGAAGGCGACGGCTGATTGGGGTTGCTGCCGACGATACTGTTGGGCGTTCTTTTGCGCGCTGGCAGTGAATGGGTTTTCCACCGGCCCATCATGATGGACCGCTCCCGTTCGCACAGTCTCTCCAGCTCGCTCAGGCGAGACTGGAGGGCACGTTGCAGCTCGATGTAACGCATGTGCAATTCCACCTGGAACCGTGAGACGGTTCGTCGCGTTCAATTCGCGTTAAATTCTTTTCAACGCTGCGAGAGCCCGTCTCTCCATGTCGTAGAATAAAATCTAAGCTAAGTTTATTTTGCGCGGAAAGCGTCGTTCTATCTTTATTTCTCATTACATGTTGAAGGAAGATAAAACGGTGCTTCCAGCACGAATCAACTGACCAACCAACAGTAACATAACATCAATGTTATAATTTCTCGTTCAGCAATGTAAACGCAATACGTGTGTTACAGTTACATCGTTGAATGAGAAATTCTAACATCGACGTAATGTTACCGTTAGTTGATGCTTGCTGAGTAGGCGGTATAAAATGCAGCGGTGGTGAGAATCTCAGGCTTACTTTTCTCACGCAGTCTTCGAAGGACACGACCATTCGCATTCTCGTATCGCAGTTCTGGATGAAGGTCACCAGAGTCTTGTGATCGGCCCTGTCCAACTCGTGGCCGTTTATCGAGAGTATCACATCACCCTCCCGCATGCCGGCTTTGAACGCCGGCCCGTCGTACTCCACGTAGTCCACATATGTCACCATCTCTATCTCCTGCTCCCTCTTGTAATGTATCCCGTAGCTCTGTTGGGGTCAGTATCGATCAAGTTATTATTCTCGGCGAGCTGTTTCTAGGATTTTTTTCTTCTGACGACAAAACCAGTTCTCGATTAATCCCTGTTGAAATTTCTAGATTCGCGAGAGAGTTCACGCAACGCGACGGATAGGTTTCTCGCAGAGACGCGGTAACACGAAAGCGTTACCTGCAACGTGAAACCGTACGTGCCGTTCTTCTTCTCGACGATGATCGTACGGCGACGTCTGTCCTCGTCCGCGCGTACGGCTCTGTCGGACTTCGTTCTCTCAAGGACAGCCTGAAAAGAGAAACAGAGAGACACCCCCCGCCCGCTGTCGTGAATATCACTCATGGTCTTACAACGATTACATAATAAAGCGCTTTATCAAGAGAAAGAATGCCGGGAGAATTTGTGGACAATCGGTCGAAGGGGAACGTTCGATCGACGGCGGAGGAACGCGCGCGAGAGAAACGGGTAGTAATTACACATTCGACGACGCCGCTCCATTCCTCCTCGTCGCTGTTGTCGACGCCGGCTCGCCGCTGCGTCCCACCCGCGCTGCTCGTGTTCTGCGGCGAGTTGCTGTTCATGATCGCGCCGACGTCCGTGTGCGGCCGGCAGCTGGTAGTCGCGTCGCCGGGCTGCCATCCGTCGAGACGTCTTTCCTCACGAGGGGTTAACGCGCGTCCCGCACGCACGTCTCTGTCGCGTTGGAGGCCGTCCACCACCAGTCCGGCTGTTGTCTCCTCCGCGTCTCATCGCGCAGACGCGACAATATCGGCCTAGCACCCCGTGCTGGGCGGGGACGGGGGCGCCGACGGCGGTGTCGTCGACCGGGCCTCCCTCCCGCCTCGGGTTGCATCCCCCTGGCTCCGCCGCGGCGGACAGGAATAAACGGAGATCTAAATACGCGCAGGAGCGCGCGCGCGGAGGACGACTCGATTGATGAACGAGCCAAGGCCGTGGCCGACCTTTCCGCGTCTTGTATTTCCAGCGACAATGAGACCTGTTGATTTCCACGCTCGCGATTTGTGTTGGGCGATTGCATCGAATGCTTGCTTCCCAAATCTGTGAAAGCCGATTTTGCCACGGAGATTCCGTAAGCAGCTTGTTCACTGGATTATGAACGTTTGACGCAAGTGCACGTCCGATCTTCCTTGGCGACGCAGCCGCACTTCTTCGGCACCTGCTTCTTCTCGTCCTGTCTTACGATACAACACGGCGGACACTTGGCCTTGGAGTCTTCTCTCCGCCGGCGTTCATCCGTCGCAAGGGAACAACACACCCTGGCCGCTTCCCCGCTGCCGTCACTGGTCTTCTTCGTGGTGCACACGCACTCAACGCGCCGCCTGTCCGAGGCGGAGGTGATCCTCTTGCATTGGAACACGGGGCCGTCGTCGACGCCTTTGAAGAGGTACGGCTTGTCATCGTCGGGCGATTGAAACTGCGTGACGATCTTCTCGCCGAAATACGAGGCGCGGATGAAGACCGTGACCTCGCCCACGCATTGCCCCGTCGTCGTGGCGATCTTGAAGGTGTTCTTCATCGTCTCACTGTCGTCGCCGGTCTTTTGATCCCGCCTGCTCAGCAGCGAGTTCATCAGGCTGCAAGCTTGCAGCTGATGGCTGCCTGTTTCCCGACGAGAATTCCTTTTATTATTTATTCTTTTAGAGAGCTCTCTGCTTCCGCAATAACCATGTTAAAAAATAGTTAATCCTCCGTTAGTCGCAAGTATGTCCTTTCAGGCTACAACTGTGTGTCATCTTGACTGGATGAAAAATATTGCGATTAACGAAGGATTAAATGTTAAGGTGTTTTCAGAAATGAAGGAAGAGACCGATTAGCATGACGTCTGGCAAAACTCCAGGCGGGAATTCCTTGTAGACACTTATTCTCACGGGAAAACTACACAGCGGCTTTTCAGTGATAAATTTTGGTAACGCGAACAGGCAAGATTTTCCCTTTTTGAAGACCTGTTGCCCGCTGTCGCTGCAGGCGCACTTTTCCGCCGGTGATTCTTGATAGATATTCAACGGCGGCAGATCCAGTATCTACGATAATAATTGTGATGTTGACGAACTTTAACAAATAGTTCGACAAACACAGGAATTTACTTGAAACGAGACGCATGTCGTGGCGGGCAATACTTCCTCGTGGATCGCCCGTATAGCGGGGACGTTGACATTGTCAACCAGGAATTCCATCAAAAACAACTGTCCACTCATTGTTCTACACGGTTTGTTCACGTGTATATACCGTATTTGGTTGATCAATGTGCTGAGGTTAGTATCTTGTAATTTATTTATTTATTTATTCGATCGAACTTTGTGTTTTATATTTATGTCTTATATCTGATTCAAGCTTGATGTTGGTAGTTTTAGTGATCGATTATTTTGACTTTAGGAATTTATATTTAATATTACGTGTTATTTGTCACTGCGATTAATTTAGGTTGTCATCACTAATATAAGAATTTTGAGGTTGACAATTATACAAGGTGGGGCAATAACTTTGTTCATCTGGACTATCTCCGCTATTTTCGGAAATGTGAAAATATTTTAATCACGAAAGTTGTATGGTATCATAGCATGCTATTTGAAAAAATGGAAGTGATCTAAAATCTCCGAAACGCTTCCACCCACAGAAAAATTATTATTAATATATTATAATCCCGTCAATACCATATAATTTTCGTAATTTAATATTTTTACTTTACAAAAAATAATAGGAATATTCCAGATGGACAAAGTTATCGCCCTACTTTGTATACAGAAACGGTATTGGTTGACTCTTTAATCATTTGAATTAGGGATTTTTCAGTAAGAAGGCTTATTTATGATTATTTAATCTAGAATAAATTATTCACGTTGCACTTTGCAAAGGAATCAGGAATGAAGTTTATTGACAATGTAATTTTTCACAGTAGAGAGAATTTAATCACGATCCATATAAATGACCTGTATAAACGCAAAAAAGTGATATACAGTTATATCAAAATGCAAAATTGGCGAATACAAAAATCATGGAAAGAATAAAATCTTCAGAATTCACTCTATCAGAACTCAGCTTCCAAATTTGAGTACTTCTGTCATTTCTTCTTCTTTTTCCTCTCTTTCTTCTTCTTCTGATCTTTCACCTCTTCTTCTTTGACATCCGTTTGCATCTCTCTGGTCTCATACCTAATTGGCGGCCCTCTTTCAGGTCCTTTCGGGGTTTTCATCTCCAGCTGTATGTCGGATTTCTCGTTGATACCGACAAGGCCCTTCTTGCCGATCCTCAGAATGAAGACATCGTGATCGGGATCGGACGGATCGTCCGGTTTCGTAGCGGCATTCTCATCGGCAACCGTCACGGTAGGCTTCTCGTCATCGCCGTTGTCGAACAGACCGGACACTTTGAGAACGACCGGCTTACCACAAGGCTGGGATGAGTCCCGACTAGATTGCAGTATACTCTTTGATGTCTGAAGATAAATTTTAGATTTAGACCCTTTAATTTATATCTTCCTTCAATCACGTACCGTGTACTTAGACTTCTTTTCTATCGCCGTATCTGTTCGCGCGCCTTTCACTTTTTCGTCTCTCTCTTCCACAGCCGCCATCTTTCCGCACGGTATGCAAAGATACCTCTCAGGTAGGCACACGGGGCATGTTACCGAACTTTGGAGATCCTTGCTGGAGTCACGGGAGAGGTCAACGGTACGAGAGTCCACTTTGCGAAATTTGTACGCCAAATTCGGGTCGGCCTCTTCAGCGCCGAAGACGAACGTCCTGGAGTCCTGCGGCATTGGCGCGTTAAAATCCGTAACGATCGTCTGGCCGAAACTGGAAATCCTCACGAAGACATCCAGCTTGCCCGTCTCGTCCATGCTGTGAATCAGCGGTAGTTGGCCATCGAATGTCTTGGACGTCGCGACGTTTTGTGTCCAACACTGCAGCGTCTCCAGTCGCAAAGCGGCGTACTGATTGGTCAGATCTAGCTCGGCGGTACCCACCAGGATATCCGGCTTGATATCGTCGGGCATCCGCTTCCACACGACGATCTTCAGGATCATTTTCACGCTGCAATCTATCACCGTATTGAAATCGATGGCGAAGAGCACCGATTTCCCGGCATTGAAAACCTCGACGTCATTGGCGATGCCCGCCTGCGGCTGGAAAAGAGGGTCTACAGGGGTCACCTGCAGGTCATCCTCCTTCACGAAGCCGAGGAATTCGAAGCAGATGCTTGTAGGTACGAAGAACATCTCGTTTAACTTCGCCAGGCGCTTGCTCGACGCCTCTTTCACGTAAAACTCTAGCAAAAACAGATAGTATTCCTTGTAGCCCTCCGGTGGGCCTTCCTCGCGACTTCCGTACGCCGGCTGGGTGTGATTAGTCAGCATGATTGGGAGCTTGGAAGATATTCGACAATTTTTCAAGACGATCTTGATCGGGATTAATTACAGTTATCGCTAAACATTTTTCAGACAATGCTTTCGTGTTCGGATCAATTGTCGCATGACGATTGATTGATTAGTTGGTTGATTGATTGATTGTGGCCTGAGAAAACGCAGGCGAGAATAATTTTCGAGTTGTTAAAAACGGTTGCTTAGCCAGACGGAGAAGTTACGCGATGCAGTGGAAACGTACAGTTTACTGTAGGAGAATTTTCGATATTGTGGATTTCAATGGAAAAATGTATCGATAGGTTATCGGCAGTTGACAGCCGCGTTTGATCCGATATATATATCGTACTGTTTTGTCTATCAGAGTTCAAATTTCAAGTCTATATTTTTCCGCGTCAGACAGTCGATAAAACGCGCATGAGAGGAAAGGGGTATCGATTTGTTAACACATATACCGTTCTACTTAATGATTTATGATTGCACGATTGTGGGTCGCGTGGGACGGTGCATGCGCGGACGTAAAAAGACAACGCGCTTTAATCAGATAGAGATGTATATCGTCTTTATATCTTTTTTTTTCGGAGCTCTCGTTATATTTCACATTCTCTTTTACGACGCGACCGCAAAAACGCCTGAATAGCGAGCGCGCGTGTTATCGTAACAACTAGTGTAATGTTCCGGATATTTAATTCCAGATAGTTCCCGTTCTCACATGGAACGCTAATTAATGGGTCATTTGGCAGTCTCGTGCGCGCGGTCCGCGTTACGCGCACGCACAACATCATCGTCTTTTATAGGTGACCGCCGTCTACGATCCGGCCCGGCCGATTACTTATGCGATCAATGTTCGATTGGACGAAATTGCTGCCCCGCCATCGCGCTAAATGAGGACCAATTAATACTCTAGACGGCTATTAAGTCCAGCAGAACCGTCCAGTTAACCAAGATGTCCATCTACCGAACTCAAAGACGTAATGAGGACTTATCGGTTGGTCACGAGTTCCTTATCTGACATTTTAGTGAATATCTCGTTAACTAACGTTCTACTCAGTCATTTCTCATTTCTGACCTCGGGAAAAGACTTATCGGCCGGTGACTAAGTTCTTTAACTGTCTTCCGAATGAATTTATTACGTGCTTTCCATTTAATGACGCGGGTAGATACAAGCATTATTTCATCTCTGTTCCATATTCAATTATCAAAAATAGGATATCGCACGTGTCGATTCACGAAATAGTAAACACCTTTCGTCAACTACAATCTCTCATTCACATCGTCTAATATGCCAAACCGATGTCAATAAGCTCGTTTGTCGTTTGCGAGAATACGTATATATGCGAGAGAGAGAGAGAGAGAGAGAGAGAGAGAGAGAGAGAGAGAAAGAAAGACTCGTCGATTGATTAAAACATAATTTTTCCAGGTTCCACTCTCGCGAGCGTTCACGGAGCTTCGTCTATGCAAACACGGAATTCTTTCCTGCTTCCATCGACCACCTACATAACACACATACACCCACACACATATATATATATATATATATGCACCTGGATCGATCACGCTGCAAGATACGGGAATTGCATGTCCGCACGTTTGTGCAGTGCGCGTGTCGCGCACGCGATAATGAATAACGGAAAGCGCGCGCAGTCGGTGGTGATATCAGCCCGCCTAATTTCATCATGCCGTCGCGCCTTACCCACGTGCTGCTGTTAGCCAGACTTTATTGTTAGACGCGCGGCCGCCATTTCTGGCTCGTCACCGACGTGTCACACGATACGTATTTAAGTGAGGATATGCAATGCGCGAAAAGCTCATTACCAAGTTCATATATTCCGAGTATTTCGCGACTCGTTCGATTCCAGGCTGCCGTTAGGCGAGAGATAACAGCGCGTCGCCGTGCCTTTCGCGGAGGGGGGAGACGGTGTTTCGAGAAAACCGCAAAATTAGCACGATTCGTTAAACCGCGAATACTCGGGGTGAGTACGCGCGAAATCCCGAGATTGTCGTAGGTCTTCGGGCATCGTAACTTCGTCGTCGAGTTGATTTTTCGCGCTTCCGAAGTTCGGAGAGCATTTCGAAGAGCGAGAGGCGGGAATCGGCCGAGCGACGACCTCCGCTATAAAGCCGCGCGGAAGAGACCGCGGCGGCGGTGGCAGCGGTGGCGACGGCGTGGCGGAAAGCCACGAAGTTCTCGTTGAAACTCGAGGCGCTAGTCAACGGCGGTCTCTCGTGCGGTACGTACGCTTACGTGGACACGAGGGAACGGCGTGCTCCGACGCTGCTCGCCGAGAGACCTGAACTCAGGAATGAGATATCACCGGCCACTGGATTCGGTTTTTTGCGGCGTTCGAACTACCTAGAGCTGCTGTATTGCGATTACCCAGTATTACACCCGACATAGGTGAGCGCTACTTTCTCTCTCTTTTTCTTTGTGCCTCTGATCGATCTCTGCTTCTGGTTCTCACCTGTTCCCGCGGCGTTGTTCCGCAGCCCGTGGGCTTCCTGCCCACGCAGCGGTATATTTCGGGATCTTCATTCACGCGTTCAAAACCATAGCATGCCGTGTAGTCACTACGGGAAAACGGGAAATTCTTGGAAACCGTCCAGAAGAAGATCCGTCCGTCATGGTATCGCGTGAAAAGGAAATATGCGATCGAGTCGATAGGATAGTCGCGGGAACGTTCAAGATAATTCAGGAGCGAGTGAAAATCCCGCCAACGGCAATCGACCGGATCGGTTTTCGCTAAAATCGACTCTTTGGACGTTGAACGTACGTTTAAGTCCGGAGTACGTAGAAACACTTAAACAGTAAGATTTAAATTTGTCGCTTATATAATGTAGAATATTGTGAGAGACGGAAGGTAAGACTGATAGCACATAGAAAGAAACTCAAACAGCAAGACTGAAGCATTAAAAAAATTGATCGACTACAATCGATTATTCTTCAACCGTAAGGTGAATAATCGTCTGTAATTGGTAAATTTCCTTGTTGCTTAAAAATCTTACTACTTAAGTTTTTCTATTCCTATAAAGCCCATGTTACACTACGGATCGGGATTGAAATTGGATTGAAGTTTGACCAATCAGAGCAAGTTTAACTAAAAGTTTGGCGAACTTTGTTCTGATTCACCAAATTTCAATCCAATTTCAATCCCTAATCCGTGACACGGGCTTATTTCCGGCCTTAGTTTCCGCCACGGTGTTCTAGGTCGTGAGGTGATCCTATGACGAAATGGAAGAGTGTGCATCATCTCACCCGATGATATCGCGCATTTTGTCGTCATTATTATTATATTGCGCGCATATGCATAATTGTTACCGCACCGTTAATATTATCATTCTTACATAATATTACGCGCGATAGATATCGGTGGATTTTACATCGACTGGCTTATCTGCGATTGTCCGCCGGCACATTACGCATACGGCGGCTTTCTCGGACGCGTGCGGCTATCGCGAATCGAAACCACGTGGAGTAAGCGCGACTTGTATGGCAATGGCGCTTTTATCGCGCGTCAGCACACACGCATCGTATGATGTAACTGCCCGCCGATATTTCGGACGCGCGTCGCGGACGAACGTTCCTCCGCGCTTCCACACATGCGGTGGAGAAAAAACGCGTCTGAACGGAAGGGAAGAATACTCGCTTCTTTTTTTTTTCCTTTGTCGACACAAGTGTGCGATGCGTCGATAGAAACGCCGGACGAGGGAAAAAGATCATTCGCGGCTCCTCTTCGCAGCAGGTAGTAACCGGTTTCGGGACCGTCCTGTCTAAAAACGCGCGACGGTTCTCCGGAGAATCGTCTCAGGATAGATCAGATTGTTGGTTTTTTCATCAAAATACTCACCGTTTGATTATACAAGTGGTGTCTGCGCTCCGTGTATTATCAAACTTGCGCCAAATCGTACACAATTTATTCAGAATTCGCGTTCTTCCTTATTTCTATGGATTCGTATTCTGAACGCGCTCATAATGATGTTAGCGCGTTAACAAGACAAAAGGCGTGAAAATTCTCAGAATCACCTGTATTCTAAACTCGGTAATAGCAGTGCTATTCTAGAAAAAAATCGATAATTACGCGTGTTTATAGCAAAATTCCTATTGAACTGCTAGTAAGTTAATTGTTAGCGCGCTAACATCGTTGTAAGCGCATTCAGAATACGGACTATAGTCTCAGAAAATGTGGCCATATGTCTACCCTCTTTCATCGATCTGCTTGGCTTAGTATCCAGCAACGTTTTGTCTTACACTTGTGTTACCTGCACTGAAAGGAAGGATTTAGTATTAAGATTTGGTGAATATTCGCTGATTATGTTTAATTACTGCAACTAAAGAATTTAGTTCCATATACTGAATATACGATATACATAATTATAGTATCATATATACAGCATACGAAACTAAATTACTTGGTTGCAGTAATCAAATATTTGGTTGGCAAAAATTCGCTACAAAAGATACAAACTGCTTTTTACGAATTACAAGCATCCGAATGAACAATGAAATTATTTCCTCCGATTTATTTCAAACGGACTTTAATAGAATTTTAATTTGAGACCTAACCAAAATGATATGTTGAAGACATAAAAATTGTCATATAATGACCTCCCTCGATATTTTCATTAAAGAAACATTAACTCTAAATTGCTCCGGGAATCTTTCGGTAAAATTAAAAATCACGAGAATTTTGACTCTCTCTCTCTCTCTCTCTATATATATATATATATATATATATCACTTTACTATTTTCGTAATATAATTAAATAATTGTGCAATGTACTCAATAAAAGACCAAGATAAAACGTGTACGTGTGCGAGCTTGGAATTTTCGGATTTGGCTTGAATGGTCATACGATATCTTACGGTCGTCAGCGACACGTTAACGCATTCGCGAGGTGTATAATGTCACGCCGCTGGCGTTGCATGCATACTCCCAGATGCATCCGTGTCCTGAGATATAGCGGAAGAACTGAAAGATGTCGCAATTTGAACGACGCCGACCTGATACTGCGTCATAAGGCTAAATTCTTCGTCGTATAATTACCTCTATCTCGGCGATGTAACGAAGTCAACATTCGTCGAATGTCGGATTATATTTAGCTGCTCGTGTAGATATCTTTAGCATGTTCTCAAGCATCCCATGTGGTCCCAAGACTTCTAAATCTTCTTATATGTCCTAGAAACGCGTATCTCGCCATTCCTTCGAGGTGATCTTCACTGATAGAAAATTATTGTTGATTTCGGCGCCAAACGTACCCCTCAACCACAAAAATAGGAAAACCATTTTTCCAGTAAGTGTTGCTACAGGCCCATATTCTGAACTCCTGTTTATTGATAACAGTGCTTCTAAAAGTGGCTTAGAAACCATCTGGTCGCTTAGGAAGCCCCAAGCAGAATAGATAGTCACGATGACGTCAAAATGACGAAATAATGATCGAATCGTGACCGAGAAAAGTGAGTTTTTACAGTCATTTTCTCATTATTTTGATGTCATCTTGACACCATCGTGATTTTTTGTTCTGTCTAGGGCCACATTTAAAGCACATTTAAAACACTTTTATCGATAAAAGAGGGTTCAGAATACGGACCATGGCGTCAGTGATAACAACGTTACATGTGTTGCTACTGCTGTAAGACATGTTTAGTACTAAAACTAATTATAATTTCCTATCAGTGTTGCGATTTGGAAATCTCATGGACCGCGGGGTAAGCGCGAAAGCGATGAAAGATGAGATCCTGAAATTTCGTTAAATCAGCGTACGCACGCGATAAGAACCGGTTTCATTCATGAGGTACTTGCCGGTATGTTCAGCTCTTGTTTTTACAAGTACTTTGAATATTATAATCCTTCTGTCAATGCACAGGCACCCGCATACCCACCCGGGTACTCGTTTCAAATTGCGCGCGACTCGTTAAATATTGAAAACATCAAAATATGTTTAAGCCCGTATCAGACTACGAGTGAAAGTTCTTGCACAATGCCAGGCAATAGATTTCCAACCTATCGGAAATCGTGTATAAATGCACAATTGATACACGGTTTCCGATAAGTTGGGAACCTTTTATCTGTGTTATTCTCTGTTCCTGGCATTGTGCAAGGACCTTTAAGGTTGAAGCTGAACTGAAATTCCACCAATCAGAGCAAAGTTCACTAAACTCAAGTTCAGTAAGTTTGTTATAATGAGTGAAATTTCAACCCAACTTTCATTCTAACCCATAGTGTAATTGTGCCTTTAGTCGAAGAAAGTCTCTCGAATTATCTGGAAACCTTGTAGAGTACTATAAAAAAGAGAAGGTACGAGGCTTAACACAGTCGCTACATTGTTCTCACAGTACAACGTACTGAAATATATCCAGTTACCCGGGGCATCGACGGAAAGGTAAGAGAAATTGCGCGCGTTAACAGAGGAATTTAATCGAATTATCGGCGCGCTTTCAACGCCTAATTATCCCGTGCATCTGTTTTCTTTCCGCGTCTTTTTTTGCAATCCATCAGCCGCGTTTGTCGTCATCGGTCCGTAGAATGAAATCGAAAGTATTGCTCTCGGTCGCGCATTCAATTCCGATACGAAATAACGGAGCATGATAAGGCAAAACTAGTGGTGATAGTTACCACATCGAATGGCATTTACTCAACGATACCACTCATACATAAAACATCGCGGTTCCGCCGAGCATCAATCAGTCCCTTGTACGAAAACCACATCCACGTACGTTTCGCTCTGCGTAATCGTACGAAAGCCGACCTTTTGCACGTGTTAAATTCTGTGTTAAATTTTTAACACAGCTGTGTGTTAATTTAACATATTTATGTTATTTCAACATTTTATGTTGTGTCGATATTCGACACGTGTAAATGTTAAAATAACATATTTTATTTCGATGTCGATTGATGTATTAATTTTGTGTTAATTTTGGACATAATATTTGCATTCAACATATTCACTTTGCGTTAAATTAGCCCAAAAATGTGACCTTTTAGACATGTGAAATGTGTTAAATTTAACACACATTTTTTTACTATGTAATTTTTCTATTTTGCGGTTACTCGTTTGAAAGTACTCAAATATATGTGACCGCCGATTTAATTTAATTTTATGTAACTAGCTCCATGCGCGACCTGGTAAGGCGCGCACATGTAGTATACGCGAAGCATATGACGACAACACGGGATGATAAGCAAACGACCTTAACTTTTTCTGTCTTGTTTTGAATAATGCATATCATACTTCTCGAAGGAAGAACGTGATGCGTAAGAGAGATACAGAAAAGATACAGAAATATCACCGTTCTATCGCTTCGCGAAGTTATCGCCTCACTAGGACGAAGAAAGCCTCGGATCCCGTTGCTCTAGCGTTAGAGTCGTAAAATTAACTGCAATTAACCGACGGTTTAAGTACTGTGACTCGAAAGGTCGACCTCGCGTAATTGTCGTGATGACGATGGTGAAAGTACGACGAGCGACCGTTGCGCTAATTGGACAAATCCATTACGACGATACCGTTATCCGATTTACGCCACCTCCGTGACGCAGCTTCCTCAGATACGGCTTTATTGGGAATATTCGTTGTGTGTAATATCGATATTGCGTTGAGAGAGCCGCTATGCCACCTAATTATTCACGGCCGCGCGTACTCGCGCGATTAGATCGGCGCGGAACCTGGCGTTCCACGACCAAAGCCGAAGCTTTCCACTCTAATGCACGCGTCCTGTTAACGAGGCTGTTAGAGGAGGAGTCGTTGACTTCTCCTGTGGAAAAATGCCGTTTTTCAGTTATCTGCAATGCCCGATGATCTTATGAGTCCGAATCTGTAGTAAATCTTTCGCTCTAAGCAATTAAATGTAATGTCATTTCTGACAAAAGGTGTTTCCTACGTTGCCAAAAGTCGCAATAATGCTTGAGGTAGCTGATACGTAGAGCACCGGATTTTCGATGACGATAATTAAAGGGTCCCTACGTAAATTTATTATTTACGGAAAAAAAATACTTTTCCTATAATTTCATTTAATTATATAAATAATAAATGTTAATTTTAAGCGAAAAAGTAAAACAAATATACATATGCACACAATATTACAAATGCGGACATAATATTAATTATTTTACGTTCCTCATTGATGTTTTATTTACACGTCAGTTGAACTAATAGAGACGCATATATAATAGAAAGTATTCTATAAATATTTAAATATTTAAATATGTGTACATATGTACATATATATCGCAGGTATTATTATAAACTATAAATTTCCTATGGCTATATTTTCAAAACAAAATGGTCAGTAATCCCGAAATTTTGGTATAATGTCTTTATTATCACATTTGGTATAATGTCTTTGATATCACATTAGTTTTTCATAAAAATCCTAAATGAGATTTAGAAGAAATTAAAAATAGAAATTAAAAATAGGACATGTGTTTAATAAGGAATGTAGGAGAGAAGGCGATTATGGTCCTTGCAGGCTATTATGGCCCTCTTTAATATATCCGATATTAGTAACGCTATAAGTAACGAATTCTAACTTATGTAATCATTTGTTTAGTAATCCGCCGTTATGCACGATAATGTAAACTGGCAAACATTAAACATTGTATTTCTACATTATGACTTGAACATTTAAGAATATTCCGGGAAAAATTATTATATATGAATTTTGTCTCTCTACATACCTGTATATAATCAGTTGAAAAAACGTTTATAAAATATTATGTCAAAAGTTTATAAAACCCTTATCAAAATCAATGTTTCAAAAGATGGATTGAATGTTTCTTGTTTACTGGGGTCAATTGGACTTTTCATTTTTGGCTGGGAGGCGATAATGAAGTAAAACGCGCTCTTACGTCAGCTCACACGTGATACGCGTGTATTAAACATCCGATAATCACGCGCGCATGTGCCGCGGCGGAAAGTGCCCACACCTGACATTCCGAAATAGCGTCCGAGTAAACAGACCTTCTGCGTCGACTACTATACCTCGTTTACCCATTAGACGGTCGCACGCGCTCGTGCGGAAGGAGTCAACGTCTTCGGCCGTTTTTGGCTCATGCGGACTTTTAAAATAGAGCCATTCGAGGGAGCTGCGTCACCGTCACGTCTAATGAGCCGTTCAACCCCGTCACTAATTTTACCCTCGCCGGTACAGTCATGTTTGGCATTTGCCCCCAATCGGTTGTTATCGGCAATAGTCGCGTAGATCATCGACGCTGTAGTCACGAATTCAAATTACAAGCGTACACACACGTACGCGTGCGGATGAGCTAATGTATTATTGCAAAAATATAATCACACAATTAACTCATTCTTCCACGTCGCAGTAACACTTTGCATTCGCCGCATCGTCTTTTCCTAGATTGTTTCTGCCGTTGCTCCGTCCTTATATGTGGAAGTCTTTTGTTCGCGTCTCTTTTCGCGGTTCACGCTCGAGCGACGGAATTTCGAAGATACGTATTAGATTTTCCCGTCCAGTTAAAAATATTTTTTTTTTAATAAATACTGATCTTCTCAATGTTATGAATTTTATACTTGCCACAATTGTTTTAACACATCTAAATAAATATCTACTTGTATGAAGGAAATGTCATATTGCATGTAGTCAATTTCTACTTCTATGCAGTGAAAAATTTTGTATTAAATTCAACACATTTCACATGTTCCCAAACATTTACACACATGTTGAATATCGACTCAATGTAAAATATGGTGTTTATTGACATAAACACCATATGTTAAATTAACACACGAGTATGTTAAAAATGTAATATAAAAATATTAACAAGGACCGACTTTAACACAAGTACAAAATATTTTTTAAATAATTATTTGCCAAGTAGTATTGGAGTTAATTATTTTGCTTGAATCGAATAAATATTACTTATAAGCGACAACACTTTTTTTTTTTAGTGCACCGGTGTTCACACCGATATCACCCACATACTTGCATTTGTAGTAATCGCGATATCCCTGTACGACTCGCCGTAGAACCTCGTAAAGATACGAGGTTGACGAATATGCCGAGGACACCGTCTGCGGTCTCTTGTCATCTCTATTGTTTACCTTCTCGTCTAATTGGAATGCTCTTGTCATCTCTATTGTTTACCTTCTCGTCTAATTGGAATGCCGGATTATCATGTGTCCTTCGTTACGTTTCATATTCATGCAAAGACGCGATTGTTTGTTTGTCCAAGGTTAAGTTCGTGAACTCGGAAATGTTTTAAGTGTTAACGTTCTTTCGCTCGCTCACAGAGCCGTATATATGAAGCTGAATATACACTGAAAGAATGTATGAGAAATGAACGGCGAATGCAAATTTTTGTTGTTACAATTTGTTATAAATCGGAAAATATGTACGCTACAACGAATCCGAACAGAACGTTACTCATAATGTTGTTTATCGAAGAAAGTTCGTGCGTATTTAAACACGAATAATATAGTCAGTTACAGAAAGGTTGCAATGCTTTCTTTTCGGTGAATTTCGCAACGCATCTCGTATCCGATAGGAAAATATATCTCCTAAGAATTACTATAAAAAAATTCTCTTATTATTATATGGACGCAGAATGAATTCCGAAACTTATCATCACAGCATAAAACATTACAGTAAAATTATAAGGAGAAGTTACAACTTTATATATTTTAATGAGAATGTTACTGAATATATCATTAACTTTACAGTAAAACCTTACGTTATAATATTATCAGGAAGTTTAATGGAATCTTATTTCAATATTTCAGCAACCTTATATCTTGACTTTTATATGACTTGTTCTGCTTGGATTAGCATAGAAAAATTTATTATTCCTCTTTGTTTGATTTTAACTTCCTTGGATTTGTCTCCAACTAATTTGTTGTTTGAATTAAGCATTGTAATATTTGGTTAAAAGTCCAAAAATTGTTACGGCGTCTCTGGTACTATATATTATACCATTATTCGTTGCATATCATCTGTTGTTAAGTTGCTTTTAATGTTTGTCAATAAATATGTCGTTATGATGTTTTGTGAACATTATAAAGTACATTATATAAGCATAAGTCACAAGGATATCGTTAGAGCCAGTGAAGTTAGTGTCAATCGTCCGACTATCGAAGCAACAACGTTGTTTAGGAAATGGATAAGTGACTGGTCGTTGATCGGAATTGAAACGACGGAAGGTGATAAAGTGACAATATTTGTTTTTTCTCTGTGCATGCTAAAAGGCCTCAGTAAATCTTTCTTTAAATCTCAATGTAGAAGAAATGGCCAAAAGTTTTTTATAACATCATAAAAACAATAGTAATCAGATAATTAGATAAGGATTTTACATATTCGTTTGTAGTTCATTCGTTCAATATATACCTTAATAATAATCTTCAAGCGCGATTGAGCCGCGATGTACGTAGACTTACGTTCATATTCGACAGCATGTCGACAATGCAAGCTGGTGACCACCGATAGTGTCGTGTTAGATAAAGAATTTTCTCACTAACAATCCAGATGAACAGTAATGTTAAATATAACGTGCAAATATTTAATGTATACTTTATGACGTCATTGCAACAGCACAATATGTTGAAAATAAGCTTGTTTCAAGAAATACTCATTTAATTATGCCATAATTTTAATCCAAATATAGACTTTTTATTACAATAATCCCGGATTAACTGCGTTCTCTTTTGAGTAAAATAAGCAGCAGTATTTATGGCATCGCTGCAATTTTTACAGCATCGGATAATCTTTTTTCATATACTGATAAAATATTTGACAAGACGCATCTTAACGTACTTATACTAATTATGATACAGACAATATATTGAAACTTATCTATCTGGGAGAGATTATTGTATACATCGAAGAACGGCGAGTAAAAACCCAAAGATTATCTTGGAAAAAAAACGTATAAATAATAAATATTGTAATCTAAAAATATATAACTTACGGACGTAATTTCACGGGCCGTCATATCACCAGGCTAGTAAAAATAAGACTCGCGTAACCTCCGCTTGCGTTGTCATATTTTTAGATTTCAAATCGTCGAGGTTTTTTCTACTTTGCAAATGTTATTATCTGAATTTGCTCCTCCGTCTATATCTTTACGTCGACATTAACGGAGCTGTACAAATTGGAACGTTATACTTGGAAATAATTCTTCTATCTTACGATCACAAAAACACAGCGACATGCAATAACACTGACAATGGCGATAATTATTCAAGAATGATATACTAACCCGGCAATATATATATATATATATATATATGTCGTAGTCGATACAGAGAGAGAGAGAAAGAGTGAGACGCCTCCAAGCGATCTATCGGTCAAGAAAACTCAAGCGAATCGTTGCACTTTGCATAACAAGTTTTTGCAATTCAGTCACACTTGTTAAAAGTGACAAACAAGGTAACCGCATCGGTCACGGGCCGGGAATTATCTTGTTTTATTTTTGTCGCTTCTCGGCTTTTCATCGTGTGAGCGTGGCATCGGGAAGGTCCCAAAGTCGAAGGTTATTCCCCGGAAGATAAAGATTTCGCATAAAAAAAGGAATGACGTGTGTGCATTTGTATACCAACGTTCAGCTGCATATCAACTCGTCCGATCTGCAAGTGTAACAGTAGAACAAAACATAAAAAATGAACTACAATCACAGGAAGTGTAAACACTAGGTATAGTACTATTCAACATATTCGAAGCTTCGAAACTTCGATATAATTCGATATTTGCCCGGAAAAAATTTCTCATATATAATTATATACAGAATATATCTGTATAAAAATATTATATATAATTATATATTTCCAAATATAGATATTATATATAATTTGCATCTTCGAATAAGGTTCGAAACATCGAATAATTCAAATAGATATATATATATAAAATTATTTACGAGAAATTTTTTTCCCCGAGTTTAAATATTCGGGTACTTGAATGTTTGACCTTTCACATTTCAAAATGTCATTATTTAAATACAATGTATTGAAAGTTCATATAATATGTCGAATATATTGCTTCGAAGAGCTTCGAATATAATTTCTAGCTCTAGTAAACACCGTTCTCTTTCGCAACCCTCGCTCTATCGCAATCTCCCCTGTCTGTTCTAAATTCACATGTACTTTCCACCGAGTGTACAATAGCTCGATTTAACATATTCTTTTTTTTTCTTACACTTTGTTTCAGTAATCGTGCAAATAAGATATCAACGAACAAGGCAATATGGCAATTGTAAGTTTTGCAGCGCAATGCGCGTGATTTATTCTGTGTTTACGCACGCTTATATTACACATCTATCCGCGTCACAGTTATCTTGCGCGCAGTTCGCGTCGCATCGTGAATTTTAAAGAACGCATTATTATGCGCATTATCTCATTTTCTGATTCTCAATCTGTGCCTCGCTTGCCGCAGACCGACGAAAGCAACAAAGCGCCGACGGAGTTGGACACCTTCCTCCCTCTGGACGGATCCAATCTCAAGGACGGCGTCTTATCGGCCAAGTGAGATTCCGATTGATTTCGCTATTTGAGAGCACTACTGATTGAAACGATGAACCGCCGATAACGACGCTTGCTATTTACGTTTCAGATACAAAGTGCAAGTCGCGCCACGCGATGTCGAAGCCGGACAAGTCGACGGGAACGGCTTCGATCCCTTTGCGGAGCGCAAAGTGGACAATCCGACGACGTAAGGGTTGATGTTACTCGCTCTCCAATTAATTACCGGTCGTAACCATTCGATTATTTGAACGCTTCGTCGCGCTCTCTGAATATGCGCGAACTCCACTTTAAATATAGAGCACATGTTGAGTACAGAATATGGAACTTCATCTTTGCATATTCGAATTAATGATTATATAATAATCGACTTATATATGTGACGAGAACAATAATGTGTTAATAGTTCGTTATTTATCGCCGGCTGCAATTAAGGACGATAAGAAATAGTTTCATCGCGCGGCTTAATTTTCCTTGTTTCGGTTCGACATTTCCGAGAAATGTTAACGACCGGTAAAATGACGATGCTTCCAGGGATTGCGATACGTTGACGCATTTACTGAAGGCTTCCCTCGGCACTGGCATATTGGCCATGCCCATCGCGTTCAAGAATGCCGGACTACTCGTGGGTATCTTCGCCACGATACTCGTCGCGTTCATATGTACACACTGTGCCTACATACTGGTGAGTTCGCGAAAATAAACACGCCGATCGTCGTCGAAAGAGCGATAGCCTACTTCCGATGAAGGACTTTTTCGCCTCCCTATCCGCGAGAGCGATAATGCTTGAGCAACGTTTCAATTCCTTTCTCAGGTCAAATGCGCGCACATGCTTTACCACAAGACCCGAACGACGGAGATGAGCTTTGCGGACGTCGCTGAGACGGCCTTCAGCACCGGACCTCAGTGGGCGAAGAAGTTCGCGAAACCCTCCAGGTACCTCCAGCTCTCTTCCAGATAGCACGAAATATTCTATGCGTAGAATATATATAATAGATCATTCGAATGTATTAAGAACATATGAAATAAATATACAACAGGTTTTTTAGTACATTCTATGAATGTACAAATATTCATAACGAATATTCATAATATTTATAGAATATTCCTGTGGTATCTGGGCTCTTTTTCAGACGCCTCGTCTAGTTCTAGATGTTCGTTCCCAGATGATACAAGAAATATTCCATTAACGAAATTAAATTATAATAATATTCTATTAATAGAAGAAAAGAGTGAGAGAGATAATATTATGGCCCTCTTTAATATCTCCACTATTAAATGACGAATTATATCAACTACTTATAGAATCATTTGTTTAGTAATCAGCTATGTTATACAGTGACACTAATATATTAATGTATAATAGCCGGCATTTGTGATAATATATTCTTCTTTTCGAGCATTTCGAAACGTTTTCAAGGTTCGTTTTAGCATTTAATTATACATGTTTCCTCGTTCTTCTTAAACTTGGGCATATTATCACACGAATATATGTAAACTTGAATATACAAGTATTCGAAGAACAAACATTCGTAGAACTTGCATAGAATATTCCCGCGCTATTTGGGTTTAAAAGGTAATTTACATTTGAAAACTATTTCATGACTATGATGATTCCTTCTCTTCATTCGTAGATACCTCATTCAAATCAGCCTGTTTGCAACTTACTTCGGCACCTGCAGCGTATATACGGTGATCGTTGCGGCGAACTTCAAGCAGATCATCGAGCATTATCAGGGTCTCGATGGTGGCGAATACAGCATCCGGCTGATCACCGTTTATTTACTGATACCGTTGATCCTGCTCAGCTGGATACCCGACTTGAAGTACCTCGCGCCAGTCTCGATGGTGGCGAATATTTTTATGGGCACGGGACTCGGCATAACGTTTTACTATTTGGTCTGGGATTTGCCACCGTTGAACTCAGTGCCTCTAGTAGCGTCCGTCGAAAATTTCCCGCAGTTCTTCAGCATCACCGTCTTCGCCATGGAGGCGATCGGCGTGGTGATGCCGTTGGAGAACAGCATGAAGACGCCACAGCACTTCGTGGGGATCTGCGGGGTCCTCAACAAGGGTATGTCCGCAGTTACGTTAGTGTACATTTTCCTGGGATTCCTCGGCTACGCGAAGTACCAGGACCAGACGATGGGCAGTATCACTTTGAATCTACCGACGGAAGAGATGTAAGTTTTTCATTCGGAACGGAATTAGAAAGGGAATTACAACGCTACACTTCTTCTCACACCTTTCTTATGTCTTCTTACAGTCCGGCGCAGGTTGTAAAAATATTGATCGCGTTAGCTGTGTTCTGCACATTCGGCCTGCAATTTTACGTGTGCCTTGACATCGGCTGGAATACGATAAAGAGTCGCTTCGTTAAGAGGCCGCGATTATCTAATTACATTATGAGGACTGTGCTTGTGATCGGTGCAGGTACGTATTGTAGTCATCCGGCAGATATTCTTATCTATCCGAATCTCGTTACACACGCAGATTTGTAAATGTAACTTTTTCATTCTTCTTGCAGTTCTCCTTGCTGTGGCGGTGCCGACGATAGAACCGTTTATCGGCTTGATCGGAGCATTTTGCTTTTCCATCTTAGGCCTCTTGATCCCGGTCTTCATCGAGACCGTGACTTATTGGGACGTAGGCTTCGGGCCGGGCAACTGGGTGGCCTTGAAAAATGTAATCATAACCGTGATGGGCCTGATAGCACTGATATTTGGATCGCGCAGTGCCATAATAGATATAGTATCATTGTACACTTGATAGAGAAAAAGTACCTCTTGTTGAGGAAATCTTGAGAAAAAGTACCTCTTTTTTTCCATTTAGCGCAAATGATTTGACGGGCATACAACGAGTTTTCTTGTTACATCTAGGCTCTGCTCTCGATATGGCTAACGGTATTTTAGAATGAATCGAATGCGATCGCGCTCGCATCGAACGCATTAGATACGATCGATTTATTTAAGCTATTAGTATAAGATTCAATGCATCGAATTATAGAACTAATCGGAATCGTTTAATTATTTCCTATAAAATATAAAAGGAAATTTGGAGAATAACCGATTCCGATCGGAGTTAATTTCGAACTGGTCCATAATGCTTGCCCAGGTTTCTTCTAATATTTCCTGGATTCTAAAATTCTGATCGGATCCTCTGGCTCGTTCATATATCTCGATTTAACGTTTTAACACGTTCGACCAACATCACACACATGTGCGATGCAACGATCTCTCACGAAAGACTAGCGTCGCACATGTGTGTGTGACAGCAAAAAAATTTTTCTTACGTCCACATTATCAAACTAAGTTTATATATAAATTATATAAAAAGGGAATAAAAGCGAAAAATACGAAATTGCCTGTGGAGAGAATTCTCCAAATAAACCGTGGCAGCGAACGTGTTAACATTTAGGATTTATTTCCCTAGGTGAAACTATTAGCGTGTATTTCTCTCTTGTTCCTATACTGCATGTTGTAACAAAGTGTAGAAAATTAGCGAACTTCCAAGTACCCAAAGAACACGTATGTCTAAGAGCTCGAACAGACGTCATAAAAATGTCATTTGGACGTCTCATTGTCTAAAAGACGTCTTACGACATCTTAGAATGTCTTAATGTTATCTGGGAACATTATACGATCGTGTGTAAAGATCAGAAATCGAAAGGGAACATAGATTTAGGAATAATGACAGTATTCATTCTTCGAGAGTAAGAGAAAGAGAGAGAGAATCCGTTATTCTGCAACGGGTTATCGCGATCGTGAATATTCCCCAGTAAGTAAGAAACGTTAAATCAATCTTTCGAAACATTTTATGTGAATTTTATAAACATTTTCATGTAATATTTTATAAATTTTTTTTAACTATTGATAATATTATGTTCTTAAATATTAAAAGCATAGTGTAGAAACATTATTTTTAATGTTTCGATTAAATATTGTTAACAATGACGTTGTACGCAACTTTGAGAACATATTTGAAAACGCTATATATTATAAAATATCATTGTAATAACGTTGTGTTAATGATTTCTTGCTTATTGGGTCGAATACACAAATATTCGAAAAAGCACTGAGTTTCCGTACGAAATAATTTCCATACTGTCGGAACGTCCCACTGTCCGATTCCACGAGATATAGCAATTATAGAATTATAATTGACGGAGCGCCAAGTTAACTTGCTGGTCTGCGAAAGCAATTTTTGTAATCTCGCTTTGCAGAAAGGTATCTTGAAAAACGCATGCTGAGTAGATATTTATATTAAATCCCCGAACATGGTATATCGATTGATGCGATTACATCGTGTTACAGTCTCGATCAAGCATTAAAGTTTAATGTTGTAATATAGCATATATTATTACATTATATATAATGTAACGTATATATGTTACATACAAAAATATTTATAATTCACCTATTATAAATTTTTTTTTTCACAAAATCGTTGCTATGGAGAGATTGAATAACGACAACATTCGAACAAAAACGACAGATTTGTGCACGAGAATGTGAATGTGCACTATTTACATGAAGGAAATATTGCTCAAGCAAGATGGGTCTTCCTGCATTGCATTTAAAATTAACATTACAATATGCCTTTGTGTACTGATGTGCACGCGAGCCACGTATACCACGCGTCTTTTCCATCTTTTTTACGAACGGACAAGCGTTTGTACTGACACACAAGTGGAACATCTATTTAAGATACAATTTGTAACACAATGCACTAGCTGCAATTTTGAAATACGAGCAATTTTACATTTTACAAAGGAAGTCTTACTCTTTAACTCATTTCTCATTTTCCACTTTATATAATATGCTCAATTCGCCTCTATGTTGTGGTTATACGTAAGTTCTACAAACTACAAAGAATTCCTGGAAGGAAAATTGTTGAATTTATACGTACAGGTATCTTTTTGTCATTTTTATTACAAAGCTAGACTAATATATTAAAAAATACATTGTCAATAGAGAATTATTACTTGAGCGAAATAAATTCAACAACCACATGTCACCGCAAGACTTCAACTTACAATGTTATATTACTTTTCTAAGGGAGCGTAGTTGAGTAATTTCTCAATCAAATCCACATGTCCGAGCAACATTCTGCGGCAGCAGTACCTTTTCAAACCCAATGCATCTAAAGCATCCCTACAATACAAAAGCTCTTGGTTATCTCCTATGATTTTTGTTCTCGCATTTATTAACGTTTATACTAGCTGCATTCAGCAGAAAGACATCTTGAAAAACACATGTTAAAATTTTTTAACTACAATGTGCATTGTATCCATTGAAATGATTGCATCATATTATAATCTCAATCATACTTTAACATTTAATGTTTTAATATACATTATAGTATATATATTTAATGTTGACATATATTATATCTGTTATACATATTATATAAAAGTAGCTTACAAGCGTTTCTCGCTGTGTTGCTAATAGCTTTACAACTGTTGTAAGATATTCTGAACAACACCAGCGGTTTGCGCTCTTTTTCAACATTTTTACTAAGTGGTCGCCATTTTTTCCATTACTTTAATACGCTAGACAAATTAATAAAGATATTGAAACAGCGTAAATTGCTAAGTGTCGTTCAGCAGAAAATCTTATAACAGTTGTAAAGCTGCTGGCAGCGCAGCGAAAAGCCCTTATTAGCTGTTTTTTTTTCTGCTGAATGCAGCTATTAATTCTAAAGAGAAGAAAGAAACCAATAATCATAAGAAAATAACGCGGTTAGTAGTCTGATTTTGAGGTTAAGCATCGAAACAGAGCATGAAAAGATTACCCTTCGGTGTATTCGGCTTGAAGAAGCCCCAGATACGCCTCCCATTTATTGCCAATCACTTTCCCGCAAGTGAAACACCGCACAGGAATGATCATATTGATATTTACTAATTTGTAACTTTCTCAAGCTTGATTCAAACTTACATGCGAACTTCGCGTAAACAGCGCGAAAACTCCAGAAAATACGGAACGATTTTTTGTAGCACCAAGTGCACCACACAGTTGCACTGTTTGCACCTAATAGCGTTTCTAACTAGTTTTTTCGTATTAGTTATATCCAGGATATCAGCTCTGTGATTGGCCAATGTAGGTGACGTCATAATTCGGAGTTTAACGAAGATGGACTTAAGCCCGTATCAGACTATGGATTGGGGATAGAGATTACATTGAATTTGGCCAATCAGTGCAAAAATAACTGAACTCAAGTTTATTTAGTAAACTTCACAGTGATTGGTCAAATTTCAATTTGGCGCTGTAATCAACATCAACGACAATTTTTGGACGCAGTCGCCGTCTCATTATACTACATAATCCTTTACGATTCTTCTTTTCCACTCGCAGCTTGCCTATTTCTTCGTACGTTTATGTTGTGTTAAGCGTGATCCACGTTTCGTGTCGTGAGACTTAAAGGTACGTATATATTTCCAATTTTATCACATGGAAAATAATATTCCGCACTTTTAGTAACTCACATATCAAGGAGTTGATATATTCGACGTACTTGTCCGATTGTATTTTATCAATTGTTGTATCGCTGGATTCCTCTGAGTGTGTCACGTTTGAGCAAAAAGTGCAAATAGACATATATCGAGTATATATATTTTATTTCCTACTTTTCTTGTAGCACTTATGTTCATAGTTCTAAATTTTATGTTTTACATATAAATTTTTTCTAAAATTATAAATGTATGCGTATGGCACTCGATGTCTCTCGAGTACGAGCGTAGTATAGTAGACAGCGCACCGGTCTACTATGCTAAGGGTCCCGGTAGAGTCAGAAAATTTTTAATACGCCCGTAGTCTCTCTTCGGTGATCTGGCAAACCCCAAGAGTATTCATGCCAAGAAAACCTTTCTCCAAAATTTGCCGTTTGGAACCGATGTTTAAACTGTAGGTTCCATATGCATGTGTTATAATCTGTGTACGCACCACATGCATATGTGTGAGAGAGAGAGAGGTAGGCCTAGGCCCGACATGGGGCTGTGGAATGGCAATTAATACTATGTTTTACCAAATAATGGGTTTTATAGTAATAGGAAACTTTACATATAGAAGTTCAGCACCATTTCATAATGTTTCATATTAAATTATCTTTCGCCTGAATGATTGAGAAGACGTATTCATAATATTCACAATCATTCAGGCAAAAGATGGTTTAATATGAAACATTATGAAACGGTGCTGAACTTCTATGTGTAAAGTTTCCTATAAGTAATATACTGATGATATTGTTATTAAAATAATTGCATGTGCATATTGCGTCAATACTTGAAATATATTATGTCTTATAGAATGCGTTACGTGGCCGCTTATGTACTGGCTGTTCTGGGAGGCAAAGCCTCGCCAAGCCAAAATGATATTGAGAAAATCTTATCGTCCGTCGGAATTGAGACTGATACTGAGAAACTGAAAAAAGTAATTTCGGAATTAAATGGAAAGTCTATTGACGAGTTGATCACCAAAGGTATATAATGATGTATCTTTTAAAACTCATCTATTTAAAAGGAATAACGTTACCTTCCATGAGAACTAATTCATTTTTTTTTACTAAATTGTGTTAGGCAGGGAAAAATTATCATCCATGCCAGTTGGTGGAGCTGCTGCTGCCGGTACTGCAGCTGCTGCTCCTGCCAGTGGTGCGGCAGCTCCAGTAGAGGAGAAGAAAGGTAAATTCATATGCTTTTCTACTATAATTAACATCGACGATCCGTGATTGTTGTACCAAAATAATATGCTAAATGCCGTGAAAGTGACAAATACCTGTCACATATATATTAATGTTAACTATATAAACAATCTTGTTTCAACAGAGGAGAAGAAGCCTGCCAAGGAAGAATCCGAGTCGGAAGACGATGACATGGGCTTTGGTCTATTTGACTAAAGGATTCTTTTATCTTGTGATCGAACAATGTGATCTCAGGATAAAATTTGCTATATTCTGCAGCAGTAGTGTGAGTGAAGTTCAATAAATTTTTATATTATACAAATTGTATAAAATTTATGCCACTGCTGAGGAATAAAGCAGATCTTTTAACTAAATTTAACCCGATGTTTCTCAATATATCTCGTCTCTACATGCACGCGTCTTCCCCCACATCCTATCCTCCCTCTTGTGCAAGTATCGTACAAGTGATAACTAACGAGTTTCGAATGTATCGACGGAGGCGTAAATTGGTAATTTAATTTAGCGTAATGGAGATAACCTTTAACACATGTCCGACGTACACGCGGCAGAACGAGGACGGAAAAGTGAGATAACCGGGCAGAAAGGGATTTTTCCGCTATTTTTTCTGTCTCTCTCCTTTTACTTCTTTCGCACTCGAGCATGCGAAGCGTCACGCATTTGTGCGCCGTTGCGGTTTCATTCGCAGCGACGTAGCGACGCGACGAAGAGAGGGAGGGAGAGAGAAAGAGGGAGCGACAGTTGGCGGAAGGGAAAGGGGCGATGCGCGAGATTCGCCACAGAATCCAATCGTGTCAAATCGTGGCTGTATTCTTCCGCTAGCGCCAAGATCCCTCGCGTTCAACGTCAACGTCGCCGGGATCGTCGGGACAGGAAATACGGGCGAATCAACGGTTAATTGCCGATGCCCGAGGCGGTCGAGCGCGCGAGGTGACGCTCGAACGTCGACGAACAACGCCGGGACATTTTCATACGCGGGAACTATTTCGAGATAGAGGGGCGGCGTTGGCGGCCATGATGGGTGTCAGCGGCGAGTAGCGACGGTGTTCGGTCTCCGTCAGTTGGTTTTGCGCTTTGATGATTGATGCCGAGCGTTCGGCGGATAAAAAGGCGTTCGATAAGCGGGAATAGCTCGTAAGTGGACACAGTTGGGCTCACGAGCGCACGGCTATCCCGCAGGAGAATCAACGGCTGGAATCGCACCGGTGATATACTTTGAATATTTCGGCAAAATGACGCAGCTACTGCCCATAAGGTTCCAAGAACATCTTCAGGTACGTCATCTATTTCCCCTCGCGGTATTTCTTTCGAACGTGTAGGCGCCCGTCACGCTAATGCAGCCGGAATTACGTTGACCTTTCTTTCTCGCTCGGCACTGGACGAGATCGCATTTCCAACGAATGCGTTCTCTCGCGTCCACCGTGCTTGCGTGGAGGCTCGCCGATGCGCTCGCGGTTTATCCGTCTCTCTCTCTCTCTCTCTCTCTCTCTCTCTCTCTGTCTCTCTTCATGACACGTACATGCGGGACGGAAGTGGAGCTTTTTTTGCGGGCGATTGACATCACTTTGACAGCTGCAACGTCCTTCGCGGACGGAGCATCGCCGTGAAGTTCAGCGACGGTGCTCGACGCGTCGAACATAGAGGTCGACTCGTCGATCGAGTCGCAAAACTTCCTTCACGACAAATGTTTCACAGCGCAGGTTAATCGACCCGATGATACGCCCGAATTCATTCGTTTATCGATAACGTTGAACGTTATTAAGCGCGACGAACGAATTGATTTTTTTCGCCAATGAGCGAGGTGCGAGGTCCACGACTATCGTGGACGTATACGCCCCTCGTTTCCGCTTTTACCGAAACTAAATTCGTTATCGAATATTCGAGGCTTCCTTCGATATTCCCGTGACATCCACGATACATGTGAGATATGGGAAAATTTCCTCGCTTGTCTTTGTCGTCGACACGAACCTGTCAAGAACGAGAAATAACCTACATCTCTTTAGGATGAGAATGTTAATGCTTATTTGTAATGAATATTATGTAAAAATACAAGTTCACTTTAGCAACATATGGCTGTTGTAATAATTTTACATTGTTAAATTTCTCACTCTTTTTTTTTATGAAATCTAACCTACAAGTCTTTTCTTCTATAATTTTGTAATTATATTGGCAATGGCATATCACACTCATGTGTGTAAAGAATATATTATTAATAATTGGGTTTTTATAAAAGTAAAATTTTTCTTAAGGAATGATTGATATAAAGTTGGCTGTACATTACCCAGTCGATATAATATATTCTTAATCAACGAGTAATTGCGCAAGCAACATAGATGTAGAATTATGTCCTGCCTTTTATCTTTGCAGCTTACAGCTGTAGGAATCAATGCCAGCAATGTTAGCTTTAATACGCTTACTATGGAATCTGATAAATTCATCTGTGTGAGAGAAAAGGTCGGCGATACTGCTCAGGTGGTTATTATCGACATGAACGATTCTGCCAACCCTATCAGAAGACCGATATCTGCCGATTCTGCGATCATGAATCCAGCTAGTAAAGTCATAGCTCTAAAAGGTATGTATGTGCACTCTATCTTTCATCTCCAAGATGAAGCAACACCTTCTTTGTGACTCAAGATTGTAATTGCATGAGAATGAGAATAAAAGAAAGAACCTAAATAATACCAACTATATGTCTAAAAGATGTCTCAGGATGTCTTAAAGTTATCTTAATTAAGATAATTTTTGTAATGATTTAACAATTAAGTAGAAGTGCGCACATGCTGTATATTTCTGAGACGGAGCTCTGTTTTTGTTCGGTCAGCCATGAAAACGCTTCAGATCTTTAACATTGAGATGAAGTCGAAGATGAAGGCCCATACGATGACGGAGGACGTGGTGTTTTGGAAGTGGATATCGCTGAACACGCTGGCGCTGGTGACAGAGACCGCGGTGTACCATTGGTCCATGGAAGGTGACTCGACGCCGAACAAGATGTTCGAGCGGCACTCGTCGTTAAACGGCTGTCAGATCATCAATTATAGAACAGACCCGAAACAGACGTGGCTATTATTAATCGGCATTTCGGCGCAGCATAACCGAGTGGTGGGCGCTATGCAGCTCTATTCTGTGGAGCGAAAGTGCTCGCAGCCGATCGAAGGCCACGCCGCTTCCTTCGCTCAGTTCAAGATGGAAGGGAACGCGGAGGCGAGCAACCTCTTCTGCTTCGCCGTGAGAACGGTCCAGGGAGCGAAGCTTCATATCATCGAAGTGGGCCAACCGCCGGCGGGCAACCATCCGTTCCCGAAGAAGGCGGTAGACGTGTTCTTCCCGCCCGAGGCCGGCAACGACTTCCCCGTCGCCATGCAAGTTAGCTCGAAATACGACGTCATATATTTAATCACGAAATACGGCTACATCCACATGTACGACATCGAGTCGGCGACCTGCATATTTATGAACCGTATCTCGGGCGAGACCATCTTCGTGACCGCGCCGCACGAGGCTTCCGGCGGCATAATCGGCGTGAATCGCAAGGGCCAGGTACTGTCCGTTTCCGTCGACGAGGAGAACATCATACCGTACATCAACGGGGTGCTGCAGAACTCGGAATTAGCCCTGAGAATGGCGGTGAGGAACAACCTGTCCGGCGCCGAGGATCTGTTCGTGAGGAAATTCAACATGCTCTTCCAGAACGGGCAGTACGCCGAGGCGGCGAAGGTCGCGGCCAACGCGCCCAAGGGAATACTCCGTACGCCCGCGACCATACAACGATTCCAGCAGGTGCCGGCCACCCAGGGACAGACCTCGCCTCTCCTCCAGTACTTCGGCATTCTCTTGGATCAGGGACAGCTGAACAAGTACGAGTCGCTGGAGCTGTGCCGGCCGGTGTTGGTCCAGGGCCGTAAGCAGCTGCTGGAGAAGTGGCTGAAGGAGGACAAGCTCGAGTGCAGCGAGGAGCTGGGCGACCTGGTGAAGCAGGCGGATCCCACGCTGGCGTTGAGCGTTTATCTGCGAGCGAACGTTCCCAACAAGGTGATACAATGCTTCGCGGAGACCGGACAATTTCAGAAGATCGTGCTCTATGCCAAGAAGGTCTCCTACACGCCCGACTATATATTCCTCTTGCGAAACGTCATGAGGATCAACCCCGACCAAGGCGTGGCGTTCGCGCAGATGCTGGTGCAAGACGACGAGCCGTTGGCCGACATCAATCAGATCGTCGACATATTCATGGAGCAGAACATGGTGCAACAGTGCACGGCCTTCCTCCTGGACGCGCTCAAGAACAATCGGCCGAGCGAGGGCGCCTTGCAGACTCGCCTCTTGGAGATGAACCTGATGTCCGCCCCGCAGGTAGCCGACGCTATATTGGGCAATCAGATGTTCACCCACTACGACCGAGCTCACGTCGCCCAGCTGTGTGAGAAGGCTGGCCTGCTGCAACGCGCCCTGGAACACTACACGGACTTGTACGACATCAAGAGAGCGGTGGTGCACACCCACTTGCTCTCGCCTGACTGGCTCGTCGGATTCTTCGGGACCCTGTCCGTGGAGGACTCCCTCGAATGCTTGAAGGCCATGTTAACGGCCAACATACGTCAGAACCTGCAGATCTGTATACAAATCGCGACCAAGTATCACGAGCAGCTGACGACGAAGGCACTGATAGACCTGTTCGAGAGCTTCAAGTCCTACGAGGGCCTCTTCTACTTCCTGGGTTCGATCGTGAACTTCAGCCAGGATCAGGAGGTACATTTCAAGTACATACAGGCGGCCTGCAAGACTGGCCAGATAAAGGAAGTGGAGCGTATATGTCGGGAGAGCAACTGTTACAACCCGGAGCGCGTGAAGAACTTCCTGAAGGAGGCCAAGCTGTCCGACCAGCTGCCGCTGATAATCGTCTGCGACCGGTTCGACTTCGTTCACGACCTCGTTCTCTACCTTTACCGCAACAACCTGCAGAAGTACATCGAGATCTACGTGCAGAAGGTGAACCCGTCGCGTTTGCCGGTGGTCGTCGGCGGTCTGCTGGACGTCGACTGCTCGGAGGACATCATCAAGAACCTGATACTCGTGGTGCGCGGCCAGTTCTCCACCGACGAGCTGGTCGAGGAGGTCGAAAAGAGGAACCGGCTGAAACTGCTGCTGCCGTGGCTGGAGTCTCGCGTGCACGAATGCTGCGTGGAGCCCGCCACGCACAACGCGCTGGCCAAGATCTACATCGACAGCAACAACAATCCTGAGAGGTTCCTCAAGGAGAATCAGTTCTACGACAGCAGAGTCGTCGGCAAGTACTGCGAGAAGCGCGACCCGCATCTGGCCTGCATCGCGTACGAGCGCGGCCAGTGCGACCGCGAGCTGATAAGCGTGTGCAACGAAAACAGCCTCTTCAAGAGCGAGGCGAGATACCTGGTGAGACGTAGAGACCCCGATCTCTGGGCGGAGGTGCTCCTGGAGAGCAACCCGTACAAGCGACCGTTGATCGATCAGGTGGTTCAGACGGCGTTATCCGAGACCCAAGACCCCGAGGACATATCGGTCACGGTGAAGGCGTTCATGACGGCCGACCTGCCTAACGAGCTGATCGAGCTTCTCGAGAAGATAGTGCTGGATAGCAGCGTGTTCAGCGATCACCGCAATCTGCAGAATCTCCTTATACTGACGGCGATTAAAGCTGACCGCACGCGCGTCATGGAGTACATCAATCGCTTGGACAATTACGACGCGCCGGACATCGCGAACATAGCGATCAACAACGAACTCTACGAGGAGGCCTTCGCCATCTTCAAGAAGTTCGACGTCAACACGTCGGCCATCCAGGTGTTGATCGAGCAGGTCAACAACTTGGACAGAGCCTACGAATTTGCGGAAAGGTTAAGACTTATTACTATACACAATCTGGTTGAAGGAAACGGAATTCTTACGACCCAAATGTGCTTCTTCTGAGAAATCTGTTCCTTTCTGCTTACAACCAAACTTTTTTTCCCGTATAACATTGTTGATAATCAATTTTTTTTTTTATTTCTCTTCGATGCAAACTGATTTTGTAAAGTAGAGGGCTTACCCTGGAATGATTTTTCATTTATTTATCTTTCGGCCATGTGGAACTCACTCGAATTCACCGTGTCCCACGTGTAGGTGCAACGAGCCGCCGGTGTGGTCGCAACTCGCCAGGGCACAGTTGCAGCAGGGTCTGGTGAAGGAAGCGATCGACAGTTTCATCAAAGCGGACGACCCGTCGGCGTACATGGACGTGGTGGAGACGGCGCACCGGACCTCGCACTGGGAGGACCTGGTCCGTTATCTGCAGATGGCTCGCAAGAAAGCGCGCGAATCCTTCATCGAGAGCGAGCTGATATACGCGTACGCGCGGACCAACCGGCTCGCCGACCTCGAGGAGTTTATATCGGGCCCTAATCACGCCGACATACAGAAGGTACGTTCGTTCATTCCCGAGAAAGAGAGCGCCTACCCGTTCGTTCCCCATTGCAGATCGGCGACAGGTGTTTCGACGACAAGATGTACGACGCCGCCAAGCTCCTCTACAATAACGTATCCAACTTCGCGCGTCTAGCCATCACCCTGGTGCATCTGAAGGAATTCCAAGGTGCTGTGGACAGCGCGCGCAAGGCCAATTCGACCCGCACTTGGAAGGAGGTCTGTTTCGCCTGCGTGGACAGCGGCGAGTTCCGTTTGGCTCAGATGTGCGGCCTGCACATAGTCGTGCACGCGGACGAGCTCGAGGACCTGATCAACTACTATCAAGATCGCGGCCACTTCGAGGAGCTCATCAACCTCCTGGAGGCGGCTCTGGGACTCGAACGCGCTCATATGGGCATGTTCACCGAGCTGGCTATTCTTTACAGTAAATACAAGCCTCAACGAATGAGGGAGCATTTGGAACTGTTTTGGTCGCGCGTCAACATACCGAAGGTAGGTTCAGGGAAGGTTCAGGAAAGGTCGATGATGACTCGAGGGAGCGAAAATTATCGAGCGAATGGCTTCGGCAGGTGCTACGCGCGGCGGAGCAGGCTCATTTGTGGGCCGAACTGGTGTTCCTATACGACAAGTACGAGGAGTACGACAACGCGGTTCTCGCGATGATGCAGCATCCCACCGAGGCTTGGCGGGAGGGTCACTTCAAGGACGTGATCACCAAGGTCGCCAATGTCGAGCTCTACTACAAGGCTATACAGTTTTACGTGGAGTACAAACCCCTACTGCTGAACGACATACTGCTCGTGCTGGCCCCGCGCATGGATCACACCAGATCGGTCGCGTACTTCACGAGGACCGGTCATCTGCAACTGGTGAAGCCGTACCTGCGATCGGTGCAGGCCCTCAACAACAAGGCCATCAACGAGGCGTTGAACGGTCTGCTGATCGACGAGGAGGATTACCAGGGTCTCCGCACGTCGATCGACGCGTTCGATAACTTCGACAACATCGCGTTGGCGCAGCAGCTCGAGAAGCACGAGCTGATCGAGTTCAGAAGAATCGCCGCGTACCTGTATAAGGGGAACAACAGATGGAAACAGTCGGTGGAGCTTTGCAAGAAGGACCGCTTGTTTAGGTAACGCTCCTCGCTATCGTCCGCGTAGAGAATGCTGTGAACAAACGTATCACAAACGAGTAACCTTTGCGACGCCCAGGGATGCTATGGAATACGCGGCGGAGTCGCGGAACGCGGAGGTCGCCGAAGAATTGCTGGAGTGGTTCTTGGAGAGAGGCTCGAAGGACTGCTTCGCCGCATGCCTGTTTCATTGTTACGACTTACTTCACCCGGACGTCATCCTGGAGCTTGCATGGAGACATCGCATCTTACACTTCGCTATGCCGTACCTCATACAGGTCGCGCGGGAATATATAACCAAGGTAAATGCATATCTGATGCGCGCTTTACCTCGTTTGGCGGGTCGTGCCGATGATTATTCACGACGTTGAATCTTCCCGGCAGGTCGATAAGTTAGAAGAAGCCGAGAGCCGACGTATCGAGGAAACCGATCATCAGGAACATAAGCCTATGATTATGCGTGAGTGATCTCGTTTGGACACTTTTTCTCTCATTAATGACGTTACCTCCGTTTTTTTATCCTTGTTGTTTTTACACAGCGGAGCCTCAGCTGATGCTGACCGCAGGACCGGGAATGATGGCACCCGGCTACGCTCCTCAAAACGTATACGGCACACCCGCGCAAAGCGTGTACGCGTCCACCGCCGCAGCCTATCAAGGTTACGGTATGTGAAATACATTTAACAGGACAGATCAACAGAATCTACTTTTCTATAAAGTTTAGGTAGAACTCGAGATTGTTTGGTTAGCTTGAAATATTATCGAAGCGAGCATACGAATACCGGAGTGGATATATCACACATTATCAGAGGCGTAAAAACTCACTTTTAGATCATTGATTATAACGAACGGTGAGAGAGATGTATTAGGAGGACGAGGAATCCTGTCACATCGCTATCTAAGTGTAAACTTGTAATTTATAGGAGACATTGCCGAGTAAAACAATATTATATATCGCATCGTTTAAGTAGTCTAATCCGGATCTTGTGAAACGGATAACGCTAATTACGTCAGGCGTAATGCATAATAACGCGATTGAAGCGAAGAAATTCCTGTTTTCTTTTTAATACCGCGGTGCTGAGATTTTTCTATTGAATTTAATTATCGTTGCTGCACAGAGACGGTGAAGAGATATATATATATATATGTACATGTACGTTGTAAGACAGATATAATTTCGCTGTATTTTGCTCGCACGTGTTTGTATGTGCGTCTACGTGCCTTTCTTTTGACTACTGAAAGAAGAAACAAATTGCTTCGTTTCGGCCAGATCAACCTTGTATCCTCGATTCGTCATTTCCATACGAGTTACACGGCGTTTTTTTGTTTGTTTTTTTTTTCCTTTTCAGATAGACCTCGATTTTGAATAATACTTTTATATCTTTTCACGATTTAGTTACAGCGGCAAATGAATTAAAAACCGACATAATGTCGACGAGTTCCTACGGCGTCCCGATGCGCAGAAAAGAATGACTGTTGTCGATTATTCGCGAACGAACCAGGTCACGCCGGTAAATCGGAACTCGAAATAAAATGTTATATCGGAATTGAAATCGCTGATTTATAATATCACGTATTTAAACGTGCTAGAAACGAGGAAGTGAACGTTCAATTCTGAAAGTTGATTCTTTCTTTCTACTTTCTAAAAAGAAATGGTGGCATTATAAAATATATATATAGATTTTAGCAACATCGTAGTGCGCGATAAATCACAGCGGAAATAAAGCGCCCTGGCAAATTTACATGTAATAAAAAAGAGCATCTTCTTAGGTCGGGTAGATCATGTATTGTTATAATATCGGTATGTAACGAGATCTTTAAAAAAAAAAAAAAACGGTGAAAATCTGTAGAAGTTTTAAAACAAAAAAAAAGGTATGTGTCGCGTGTCTATGATACATCGTTCTAGGTCTACCTGTGTGTACATTCGCTTGAACATGATACAGACGCGTGTTCGCAGCTAGCTTGATTTGCGTAAACCGATCGTTCGTAAAATAAATGATTACCAATATCGAAATTGATGGCAAGATCTTATTGTCTTACCAGTCTATATCGAAATATATACAATAGATTGAGCTTTTTGCCCGATCGTCATATGTCTCATGCTTTAAATACCCTTTCATTATCCATGGCAAAAGAAGACGGTTATAGTTAGTAGAGCTAGAGTATTATGTAAAGATATCGAGGATCTTGAATAAAGTGTAACACGATCGTGTATCTCGATCGCATCGTTCATGTCATATTAAATGTTCCGTTAACGTCCTCTGATTTGTTTTTTCGACTCCATGTAATGTGTGTGTGCATAGTATCTTCCTTGAAGTTATTGGTCGTTAATCATTATGATAGCTCATTACCAGCTATGCCTAAATTATTCATTAAGATAAAGTAGAGATCGCACTATCTATCTAGAAAATGACGAAGTCATGTTGTTGAACACTTGTGTTTTGTTAAAGTATTTATGTTGCGTGTATAAAGTGCTACATCGATGCATCAGGATCAGTATATGAGGTATAGCAAGAAGCACCGAGAGAAGGGAGATATTAATTTTTTTTTTTAATATCTTATCTTTTAACATTCCTAGATATGTGTGTGCCACCTTGCTGCGTAGTATACTTATTTCAAGTGATAATCTCACTTGGTTTGTGTCGCATCCTCGAGATATAATGGACATGTGACGGATTATAGTACATATGTAGTTCTTTTTTATTCCAAAGTACAAAACGAAAGTTCACATCGCAACGGGAACGCGTCGTGTTGTTACTATACTAGACCGAAATGATGATTCGTATTTCATGATAGCAAATTGAGCGGATGTGGCTTTCGTTTCTCTCACTCTGCATTGTTTTCTCTATTTGCGTGAAGCTTTCGTTTGGTACTTCACAGTTGATCTTGTAGAGATCCAGCTGTATATATTATTTGAAAATATTGCACCTAAGGGGAAAGAAAAGTCGGTAATACGTCCAGCTATTATTTCACTCCGATCTAAATCTAACTGATGAAATCATAGAGAGATTGATTAACAAATATAGTCGCTGTACTAATTGAGAATAATTATCGCTGTATCTCAGTGTCATGTTTAGCCATCTTGATTTAAATGGAGTATGGGTAAAGACACTTCTAAGATAAAATACATTCAATTATTGTTTAGTAGTTTATGCGCACACTCACCCACACACACATACATACACACACATATACACACATATATAAATATAATGATATGACTAAATACTGTAATATGTAAGTAGCAAATATACATTACCAATATTGTAATTGTAATATCCTATAATAATATAATCTATAAAAGAATAATGAAAAATACACAGAAATAAATAATTCTAACATCTACATGGAACTAAACTGATTTAAGTATAAAGGAATCACCATTGTTAGTTTCACATACACTGATATATTACACAAGTGTATCGTTACATTATGCAGTTATATTTTTCAAATTACATCCTGAGATAATATTAAAATCCAATATTAACATTATTATCAATGTATTGTATCACAGGTTTTTATAATATTATAATTGGACTATTCGTGTGTTTTTAAACTTTTTAACCATTCGCTCCACAGGTCTTACACAGAGCTGTCTTCCAAATGATTTCAATATTACACCGTTATCCAGATGAATGTGAATTGTAACTATATCTTTTGGTATTGCTGAAAACACAATATCGTATAATCTGTAAAAGCCTATACATTTTTAGGAGAAATTTGGCAACAATTGATGTGTGTGTGTGTGTGTATGCAGAATAAGCATTATTAAATTGTAAGAAACAATCATATCTACAAATAATTCATTTTTCAGATACGGTGCATTACTTACTTCGAATAACATTATCTGTCCCACAGATCCTAAAAGTGTTTTTGGTATCTTGTATAACAATTCCTTTAAGTCCTGTTAATGAAGGACATCTTGACCTGATAATCGATATTTTAGCACCATGAAAATCAGCTTTTACCAACTGTTGATTAATATTCTCCCAATTTGGGTCGGTGGAATTTTTTGGTATACTAGTAAATGGCTTGTTACCGAGCATTTCTTTCATATATTTTAACCATAACTGATTTAAGGGCAAAACGTCAGAATACTTCATATTGCTACCGTGGCCAACTTGGCTCAAGCCGAGACGCAGTCTCTTTTTGACAGACAAGAATTTGCCCCTATTGTTTATTTTTGGTTTGTGCTTTACTTTAAACTTGTCAAATATAAAAGTCTAAAAATTACCATAAAATAATATTTTAGTTAACCTTTTATATGTAGCAATTTCATTCTACTGCTATACTTGTCGCATACACACATACCTTTCGCATTTCTTCTGGAATAGATTTACAATCGGACGATGGTAATGTTTTTTGCAAGAAATTTACAATGTATTGGTCTTTGTTCTCGCAAATCGCAATAGCATTAGTCAAGTGTTCGGGAAGCGGTGAGCATAGTTCTGAAAATAGTTATTAATATTTAAATAATAAATATAGAAGAGAACGTTACATTCGTTTGATTAATACTTACTCGCGTAGCTTGACATGATTAGCACAATTCTGTGTTGTTCAATTAAAAATTAATCCTCTCCTGTTGAGCGTGCACGTGGAGATGTTTACGTGGTGTAATCGTAAATAAACGATGAAAGTTTGACTTGTATTGAATCGTACTACGTGCTCGTTTGTTGTGTAAGGACAGTGGCGACTCGTAGCGGAGATTCTGGAACTAAATTGCAGAAATAACAGGTTTAATAAATTCGTAAACTCGTTATTTCTGTAATTTAGTTCCAGAATCTCCGCTACGAGTCGCCACTATACTTAACGAGAAACTGAGGTCGTGATATGACTAAACGATGGAGTCAGGCGTACTTTCTATTTCTCAAATAGTATAACTCAAAGGCTGGTCAGATGTACTTTCTATTGTAATTGCGGAAGCACAGATGAGATGTTATCCGGAAAGCAACTATCTTTTTCTACTTTCTGATGTGTTGAAACAAAGGGAAATGACCGCGCGGTCTAGTTATTACACGTCTATGATCGTATATAGTTAAACTGTGTCATCGAGCTTACCTTTCTGTTGCTGTTTCATTGGTCTATGCTCTTCGTTGCAAAGATACGAAGATATTTCTGCTCGGATTGAGAACAATACGAGTGTGGACGAAATGGCCCTGCGTTTGACAAAAACACATTTTGAATTGGCTGGAAAGTGGTAAGAATCCTTTTCTTCTGTATTTTTAATATATTTGGACGTGTTTTGCATCATCTCGACATTTCTAATAAATAATGTCAGTAGTAAAATTTGTTCACTTGTTTGTAACTTTTCTAATATATAATACTTAATAATGACATAACAGGTTTGCTTGTACTTTCTACATGTGATTGTCTCTTTATGCTCTTTGTTTTTTTGTCAAGGTTTGAATGTATAATTGTTTTTAATGCAAAAAGTACAAGGGGAAATGCATCAGAAAATTTCATATAGATTTGTAAGCAAAGATCCTTTTATATTTTAGGCTTCCAACTGCAATGACCTATGGAACTGGTGCGTCGCTGACGTTTTTATACCTCACAGATTGGAAAGTGGTGTTGCAATATGTTCCTTTTTACGGCAGCAAGTTTGACGAACAATCCTAAGATACCAAGCCAGTACTCTGAGATGATTATGTAATAATTCCATTAAAGAATTCTACTGTACCATATTCTATTTATTTTTTGTTTATTCAAATAAAATTATTAGTAAGGAATATGCAAATTTTAATAACATGGTCTAAGATCTTTCAGTTTGAAGTTTTATCTGATTGCTGTAAAGTCTTCTTGTGTTGCTCGTAAACTATATTTGCGAATTCTTCTGATTGTGCCATTCTGCGATGTGTAAGCCATGGTTTCAAAGATATCCTGCAAAGAGGAAGAAAAAGCCGAATAGTTCAAATCTTGTTAAAAAAGTGTCCATCTTTAGTGCATATCATACAAAATTGAAGGGAGATTATCCTTACTTATAACCAACGAAAAGAAGGGTTCCACTGATTAATACGAGCCCCATATAAGTGAATTTTTGAACAAGATATTGCTTGACTTTCACCGGAACACTATAAAACGATATTAATTGCAGAGAACTAAATTGAATTTCCTCGCTTCAAATTATTCATTCAATTAATATACTATTGTAATTCATAATATAGTGTTGATATAATATGAATCTAATTATAAGTATTAAACAGTTTTAATATTTTATTATGTAACATTAGCGAGATAGTAAATTTGAATGTATTTGTCATCCGTAGAGGTTATGGTAAGAACGTGTACCTCATTTGTCTTCGTTTATTTCTCTTTCGACTTTTTTTAATTCTTCTTTAATCGCTGGAGTCCAATTATAATAACCAAAAATCAGCCCTAAACCAATTGCGACAAAAATCTGATCTTTCGTCAAACCTCTTGGCACTTTAAACATTCCGATATCCGGCGCGACGTGATTCTCGACTGAACGCTGTTTACCTTCAGAGCACATGATCGATTAGTTACACCTTACCACTTTATTGTCGAATTGTAGGAAAAATGTCAAAACAACTCAAATACGACAAAATATTTTATTCTTTTTACAAACGTTTATTATTTATTATATACATTTATTATTTATTATATTATGATTAAAAAAATTAAAACTTTTATGGAATATACGATATGCTATATCCATGTGAGTTCTATTTTATATTTAAAAAGAATATTTATTTTATATATTTGTGTTGTATTTAGAAAAATCGAATAAGACTTTTTAATCAAACAATTGATGTCTAGATCTTGCCGGAATATTTGTAAAATTTATTAAATGTATTTAATTGTACTTTGAAGACTTCCTGCAATGATGTTGACAGTGCACGAGACAATAGGGCGATTCCATGCTGATCACAAATGCTAATTAAGAAACACAGAGAATTTTGCAAAGCTACCTGGAACAACAAAGACAATTTTAAAAACAATCTATAATAAAAACAAATAAATGTCAGTGGAAAATAAAATAATTACTTTCATGTAAGACGGTACTCTACTCTCTAAAATTAATTGCAACAAATCGGCGATCAGATAGGGACTCAGTCGCATCATGTCCTTCTTTAGTTTTATCAGCAATCCCGTAAGTCTGTAGTGGAGAAAACGTTTATTATTTCCTCGTCGAATTATTTTCTAACGATGAATAAGTTACATTGAATGTCCTCGATAATAACATATTGCGTTAAAAACTTCTCGATCGACCGAACTTACTTCTCGATTTCGAGTGCTAAACATCTGAATCGGTGCTCCTCGAATTTATCAGATACGTTTACCGACGCATTGACAATGACATTGAGCACACTTCTATACAGTAGCAATAAAGCGGGTAAACTGTCGGTTATCAAATTCGTTCTGACTTTTATCAGAGCCGCACACAACGCGAGTACGTTCTCGCAGGATGATATCTTCTCCACCCTCTCGAACGATTTCAGGCCGGTTGTTATAATGAGATCGAAGGTGTCGTTGGGAATGAGCGAGTGTTTGGTACTGATTATATCGTGCGATAAACGCACGAGATCCGACCAACATCTGTCGGTGATGTGCAACGATTGCGCAGTTTCCAACAGACTGTTGATCGCGTCGAAACGTACTTTACTGCGTTTCGCCCGCATGTCCGTTTTTACAATATCGCTCCAGACGACCAACAGATTCATCCACGTTGCTTCATCTGCTCGCGACAAACTCTTGATCTGTACAAAAAAAATGAATATTACAAATATTACATAATATAATTAACAGGTTGTTAAAAATTAGCATACATGTGTATCGGTTAAAAAAATAGTACCGTCTGGTCGTGCAGCAGTCGTACAAATTTGCCAAATTCCTTCAGTTGAGCGGACGCCAATAACGACTTGCGTAAATTTTCTTGAGGATGCTTCAGCATTACACACCACAAGTTCTCGACAGTCGCGTCTTGGATCTCGAATTCCTTGCGATGTCGCAAAACAATAGTGGCCAGTTGTATGCCTTCTTGCAACAATACATCGTTAGTTGAGTCGCTCGGACTTACTTTTGTCTGTAAAAAGATTCAATTTTACCTTTGATGCAACAAAATCTGATTCGTAATTGTCTCCGTGCAATTTCATCGCTGGTGCTTACCATAAATATATTTTGAAGAGTAGATTTGATCAATTCCTTTAACGTGTCAGTAATTTTCTTGCTTGAAATCGTTACTTTCAATATAGCTGTCAAACACCTCACATCAGAGGCATCCTTTATTTCTCCAGGTAACACATTTAGAATAGCTTTAGCTAATTTTCTCTCTGCTTTCCTAAACATGATTTTTTGCTCGGGATTCAATTTTGATCTAACCATCTCCATGCGTTCCAGAACGGTGCACATAGCTTCCTTGCATTCGGCAGAACTTTTGATGAGATTCCTAAGAGTGGAATATGTGGTCACATTGCGAAGAGAGAACTCGCAGGCCTTTGAGAATGCTTTGTTCTGCGGCAATTGATTTACCAATATTGTCGGTTCAATGTGTTGAAATATGTCAATACCGGTCTTTTCTAATAAATCTGAAAAGATCAAAAATAATATATTAAAAACTACGTACATAAGACATGCTTTTAATTATTCGTTTCTTAAATCCTCTTGCATACAGATATCAATAAAAAAAAAATGAGAATAACAGAATAGTTTAAAAGGAATGAGATAAAATTACCTGAAAATATCAAATTGCATAACGTAGACACTTTTTCATTTGTCCCACATTCTTTGCTAATGGAATATACGACCAGGAATATTAGTGTCCTCGTATCAGGGCTGAGACACATGATTGGTACATGCAATAACATTTCCAAATACAATTCTATTTTAGAGGAAATTGCATTCGTCATTGATATCCACTGCTGTTGCAATATCTGTACCTTTACAACTTGCAAGACTTTCGTTAATTTCTCATTTTCATTATGCTTGTCCTCCATCAACAGTTTCTATAATTTCAATATTATTAAAATGAAATGCTATTATTTTTGTTTCATAATAATTCTAGTATTGAATCATACTTACAGTATTAATATGTTCCGTAATGGACTTTGTGCATCCTGACGATAAGCACTGTCCGATTTGAACAAGAGTGTGATTTAAAAGACACATTAGGAAACACTTATTTTCTTGAATGCATTCTTTATTTAATATACTGAGCCATTCATGAAAGTTCTTATCATTCGATGTCATATCTGCCAACATTAAACATGCTATTTTGGATATTTCTTTGTCACGTAACAAGGAAAGTATGTTTGGATCATGTTTCAGTATAATGCTCCAAGAATTTTCAAGGCCACCTATTAAATTGTGAAGCTTAATAGGCTCATCCGACAAATTGAGTTTTATTCGATGTAAAATAAGTTTATTCTGAAATTATTAGATATATAAGTACCTTGCAATAATTTTATTTAACATAGATGCATGTACACATACACAAACATTTTCTCAATAAATAATGTTTTCGAACGTACCATGATATTCTTGCAATTATCTTCACCAAAATTGCTGATTCTTTGGATCAACTGCTGCCAAGGGTCATCTTGAATTGGGAATGGTAGCGTTTTTGTAACGGCAATCTTTGGTGGTACATAGTATTTCAACATATTTTGCATTTCGCTCAACGACTGCACCGCAGTCAACAATATTATGATAACGTTTTTGTTGTGGCTTAAACAGAGTGCCTTGTTTATCAGCAGTGACAAAGAATTTCCCAATTCGTTAAGAGTGTTGACAAATTTCTCATGAGTGGAAGATGCTCTAGTATACTCGAAAATCTGCATACCTTCGAAAAGTGTGACAAGCAATTCTACTGTCGCCTTCAATATTAACACATTTTTACCTACAAATTACGAGGAATAAGAGGATATACATCACGTTATATGTGTGTTGAATTTCTAAATTTTATTGAATTATCATTATTCATATTTAATTCATACTGAATTATTAATCACTCAATAATGAATATAAGAGACTTACATGAATTATTACACTGCAAAAGTTCCACACAGTCTGTATTTAAATGATACGTTAGCGTCTTCAAGCTTGCAATCGCCTGTGAACTGGGAGTACTGTGAATTGATTTTACCAATTTTACTTTAAATTCCTGTGGAAAAAACGCAGACGTGTCAGTCTTGTGTTTTTTCTTTTTAATTGCAACGTGCTGCTTTAAAGATACTAATAACTGTGAAATAAACTTTTGTTCTCGTCTTAATTTCAAGCTGGCATCCAAGATTGCAGTTAATAAATTAGCACAGTCTGCATTTTGTTCCTCCAAGAGTATTTTATTCAAAATACTCGGAATATTCTTCTCTATTAAAAGTGGGTTGATATACGAAAGTTGCACAAGTGTTCCGCATTGAGCGCATGTCATATTGTCGTTTATTAAAATATCGTCTATTAATTTCTGGAAATACTCCGATAGTGTAACATCTCCTGCAGTATTTTCAAAATCAAGCGACACGTCGTTTAATAATTGAAGAGAAACGTTTAGTATTTCCCACTTGTATCTCCCAGAAGTATTAATTAAATTTCTGAAGAATGTATCCAATAAGGCAGCATCTGACTTATGAGTGCCCACTGCAGCACGAAGAATAAGCAAGTATGTTGCAAGATTACTCTGGAGACTTAATTTTTCCACATTCTCAGACAACACGGAGAATAAATCCAGACACATTGTGGAACTGGTTTCTGTCTGATCATTTTGAGCCTTTCTCTTCCCTAACAACAACTGCTGTATGCATTTGTATGCTACTACACCAAGCTTATTTGTACTACCTGTGTGTCTATGATCGATTAAATTGCACATAGGGTATAAAATATCACGTATAAAAATTATTCTCAGTTCTTCCTTTGTAGTTATTGATTGCCTGTGCATATGCATTATACTTTCAATAATACTGATTACAGCACAACTCTCTGCAGATGATAATTTACTACAGGACTCGAGTGGCTTTTCATCTTTCTCTTGTGTTTCACTCGGATAGCCAGAACGTTTTGATACAGTATTTAATAAGACTTTCACCAAGAGGCCCAAGTCTTTTGGTTTCTTTGTAAGGTACTGTCGCATGCTATTGTTAGCAAGGATTAAAGTACAGCATTCAAGAACCACTTCATAAGTTTCTTCCGCGAGATCACTTAACGCACATGTGAGCATGTCAACTAAACATTGCTTTACATTAGTCTTAATATCAATATGAGTAGACTTTAGACAATTATTTAAAGTCCTCCAAGCATGTTGATTTGTTGTACATATCTTGCACAGCCAGTCCAAGAGTACATCCTCCTTTTGGACAAGCGGCAAATCCGCCGCGGAAAATGCAGTTTCCGCTAATTTCAACCGTTTAGGCAAAGGCTCATCTTCCGAATTCAAGCGCTTTAATAATTCTGTAACGTTGAATCGTTATAAAAATGCATTGAAATTTTATCGAGATAAATTTTAGGTTAGCCGGTTACACGTTGAGATAATTCAGGTAAATTATTGCAAGCTATTTACTCACCTCTTGACAACGCCATAGTGATAATTTTTTAAATCTATTTTGCGATGTACGTATATAAATTATACATATAAAATAAAAATATTTAACGTATACACGAAATCCTCGTGGTGCAGATTTGAGGTTACGCACCCACGCTCGATGCTCGCAGCATGAAGTGAATCCTACCTGTGATTGGTCGCGAAATAGGGAATATCTGGGGATTTCAAATTCCCGAAAAATTCTCTTTAAAGTTGCCTAAAATTTGTAAATTTAGAATTATCGTAATTTCGAATATCACGATCGCGTAATCTCGCGAAAGAATTTGTAACGTGAGTACATGTTTGAGGGAGAATCTTCCGAATGATCCAGGGAGCGTTTCATCATCGGTTTACACATTGCCTTGTATTCTGTTTACATCTTCTGGATATATGTTCACAAACATTATATTACTTATACGCGTGTGTCGTTAATACAAAGTTATACGTTAGTGCAAGGCCTCCTCCTGCAAGGGTCCGCTCGTGTCGGCGACAATCTGGCTTTCCTCCATCGGCTGCGCTGTTACGTCGAACTGTTCGTTGTTAGCATACTGTTCCTCCTGATACTGCGAAGCGTCATAGCCACCGTACTGATTGTAATCCTGCTCGGCCACGTAGGTATCCATACTCGGATCGTTCGCAGTGTACTCTCGCTCGTGAACATCCCTCTGATACAACTCCGTGCTTGCGTTCGGCGCGGAGTCGGCGCGCTGTTCATCGTCCAACCGTGAGCCGTGCAAGTCCTGATCGTCCCTCTTCGAATAGGCTTCACCCGTCACGTCCCGTTGACCGGGCGAGGCGGCTTCGTACGCCTGATGATGAATCATTCGCGGAACATCGTCCTCACCGGCCGGTAATCCGTTCGACGACGGCGGGGCTACTGAATCCATCGCACGATTATATTGAAAAGCTGCGGGCGTGCCGTCGTTAATTTCCACGGAGGTCCCTCCTGAGGATTTAATCGTCGTTAGTTTGAAGCGTTCGAGCCCACTTTTAAGAATCAATATATCGAATCATAACACAATTACTGATCAGATATTGATCAGATATCATTGTAACAATGTTGCGTTAATAATTTCTCGCTTATTGGAAAATAACATAACGCGCGTGATATCTCGCAAGAGAATATCGTTACCTTCGTGACTCGCAAAGCTGCCTTGTATTTTATTCGATAAGTGTTCTATGTTGCTTTGTAGGCCGGCCATTTCTTCCCTGCGGTAAAACATAAAAAACAGAGGAGCGTTATCAGATACGGGGGGGATTGCGTTTAGCTTATCAGCGGGAGAACATCTCGGGAGCGTAGTTAGAGTGGTGCATGCGATTCGTTCGAGAACACGCCGCTATTACTGTGCTGATAGAGACGGTTTGGAGTCTGACTTCTTTTTCGGAATTACTTTTACTTTTAGATCGACCTTAACGGTACGTTTCTTGCTCGAAGGCGAAGCGGTTTGCCCAACAGTCGTCACATCTCTCTCAACGACCCCCTCTGTCAACACAGAATAGCCCGAGATATATACATTGTAAGTGGGTGCCCTTATCTAGTAATTGTGCATGCACGTAATATATACGTAAATAATAGCAGTACGTATTAACGCGCTATATATAATTCGACCTGAAACCCATAAGCTGATACTCGACAATGCAACAAAGAGTCAGCTGAGCCAACTGAACTAAAAAATGAAAGTATACACACGCGTGCACCGTTCGTTTGGGTATTCTCGGACGAAAGCAAAGCAAGAAAATATACTTGTGTTTAAGATTGTTAGCTTCCAAACGGTGTGTGAGAGATTGGCATTCGGCAGTCAGTCTCGAGACGAGCGTGGCCTGATTATTCAGGGCGTCTTCTAGGCCTGCCACCGTAGTAGCTGCGAAATTTGCTTGCATCAGCCTGTTGCGATGTTAATTGACTAATCTCACCTCCGCCTATGCTAGGCATAGTGTCGTCAGCATGCCGATTTCTCACACATAGAGATGTTTTACTTTTCAAATTAGAGAAAAAAAAATAGAAGTTATGCAACACTCTTCACGGACAATATACCTAACATAGGCATACCTAAGACGGGATATCTTACCATGCTTAGTCTCCATGTCCATTATCATGGAAGTCAGTTCCTTCTCGTTTTCCACCCTAGGCGTAACCTGACTATGACTGCCCTCGGGGTGCGTGATTTTGCTCATACTTATCTGAAAGCACGCTCCGTTTAAAAATACTAGGCCGATCAACGCGATCTGTAAACGGGACATGCACCTCTTTCTCCAAGGACGCTATCTGCTCCGACAGTCGGAGATTTTCTCGTCTGCAGTGCACCAGGTCGGCGTCCGCCCGTTCCAGACGCTGCTTGTACGAGTTGATCTCGGTCTGCAATCTGCTCTGCTCCTGGCGGGCCTGCCGTTCGCTACGCTCGGCCGCCAATTTGCCGGTCAGGACCTCCTGCTCCGCCGCGTCCTTCTCGCTCAAGACCTGATTCAGGTCGCTCTGCAGGGTAGCTGAAACGAACGAAGGTTAAAACGCGCTCGAGTCGCCGGCTGAATGTAAACTCACATATCTTGTTCTGCAATTCCTTCTTCAGGTTGTCGGTGGACGTTTGCTTCTGGGACAGCTCCCTCCTGAGCTCGTTGATCTCCCTTCGCTGCTTCTCGGACTCCAGCTGCGACTTGTTAGCGGTCTCCCAGTGGGAGGCGATGTCCGCGGAGAGCTGCTCAACCTGCTGATTGTACCGGCGTTCCAGCTGCTGCCTCTCCTCGGTCATACGTCTGTTCGCTTCTTGAGCCGCCTCGCGCAGCTTCTCATGTTGCCGCTCCAGCTCGTCCTTCAGTCTCCGTATCTCCATCTCGCTCTGACTACGCTCGAACTCGATCTGCTGCCGATCGTCCATGGATCGCTTCGCCCTCTGGGTCGCCTCGGTCTCCTTGTCCCTCGCGGCCGACAGCAGCTTCTGCGACTCCTCCAGCTTCATCTCGGCCTCGTACTTGGCGCGCAGAGCTCTGTCCAGCTCAGCCCGCATCTCGGGACCGCCCTCGTTCGAGCAGCTGTCGGCCAAACGCTTCAGGTTCGCTTGATTCTCCTCCTGCGCCTTCCGCAGCTCCAGCCTCGCCTGCGTCAGCTGCGCCTCCAGCTCGCTGATTCTCGACTCGAACACTATGCTGGGCCCTACCAGCGGCTGCTTCTCCTTCTTGCTCTCCGAGCTGTCGGCGTCGCGTCCGTCCCGCTCGACGTGACACTCGTGGTCCACCTGGACGCAGTGATCCTGCAGAGCGCATTTCGACAACGCGGCCCGATTCTTGCTGTGGAGCGCCTCGTTCTCGGCCACTACCTGCCAAGAGGATTCGATTTAGCAAGATAAAGTGTCGTTCGACGGGTCAAAAAATGATTTAGACCGCACCTCTCGTACTTTACTCAGCAGATTGATCAGCTCGTCTCGGCAATATTGCGATTCTCGCTCGAGCTGCTCGATGTAGTCCTCCTGTCGCTCGATGAAGGACGTCAACTCCGGCGGTATGGACTGCAGGTCGGCCCTCGAGAGCGCTATGTTGCTATACGCCTTCGTTGGTTGCATAGTCTTCGACAGCGGAGGGTACGAGGCCGCGTTCCCGGCGAGGTCCTTCTTCCGGAAGCTGCCGCTGATCACGCTCTGGTCATCCGTATCTTCCCCGGACTCGCTGATCCGCAGATTACTGTTCTTGTATACGTTTCGGATGCTCTGCGGCTTTCTGCACAGGAATATGTTCATGCATATTTCTCTCGCACACTATCTCAACATCTCCTCTCAATTTTATCTCTTTCTTATTCATTTAAATATTCACGCGGCAACTTTATTCTTCGTTCGATTAGCGTTTTTGTAAGTCGCTCGTCGTCGGTGAACTCACGTTCCGGGCGTCGCAGGATTCGGCGCGTAGGACTCGGCCAACAAGTACTTCAACTTCGATATAGCTTCCCTGTACGCCAACTCCGTGTAATCCGCCGGCTTCTTCTTGCTCAGATCCATCCTCGGCGCGCCATTAGCTTTCCTACGTGAAAATCGTTAATCTCGGGAATTCCGAAAGAGAAGCAACTTTTCACCTGTTCTTCAGTCGCTTCATCCGCGCGGCGCACGCCGGGTCCATGCAGTTAGTGACACCGGACGACGTCTTCAGCCTCGGGCCGCTCCTCGGCAGGAATTTCAGCCGCGTCGCCGCGAAATTGCCGGTGGTCGCGACGCTGGTCGGACTGCCGGCGAAGGGGTGAGCGCGGCAACCGTAAGCGCCGTTCGTCGCCAGCATTCCGCCAGCCGTCTTGCGCCGTCCACCCTCTACCGCCGACTCCTCGGAGAACGCGAACGGCCGGCCAATCGATGACACGGCTGGGAGAAGTCGGCGAAGAAAATCGAACGGCGCTTTTAACGGAACCGCGGAGCCTGGCGGTGGATCGCGTGCGGTGGTACTATCGCGCGACCTTCCACCGTACCACCACCGTACCACCCCCGATACCGTGACTTCCGTGACTTATTTATAGCCACTCCCAGCCGGTGAGGCGCATACCTTCGGCGGGCGAATAGGCGCTATCGCTCCCTGACACTTTTCAGCTCCCATCGTGGGATTCCTATGGTAACAGAATGATCAAACGACGGGGAGTGGAAAGGATACCTGTGGAAACCGTTTAGGGAGAACGAGACGGTAATTGATTAATTAACGACATGGGATTTACCTTCATATGTTTCCCGCTCGCGTGACGAGATGCAGTACGCGGGATAATGAATAAATAATGAGCGCGCTTACCTCCCAAGCGTGATACGAGAACATTGAAGATAACTGAGACTTGGAATATATATATATATATATATATTGTTGTTTTTTATTTTTTCGCATTGCAATTCCGAGATATATATTTATCTCACGATCGAGTGTGCAGGATATACGAGACGAATTGATCTACATTGGTTTCGCGTTAGAATAAACGACGCTGATAAGGGATAAAAGTATAAACTGCGCTTCATATTAATATCAACGTTAATATCAACATCCATATCAACAATAATAATATCAACAATAGAGATCTGTGAAGTATAAAAAAGATAGTACCTCGTTAATACCCATATGGCAACGTGTGTGCACGTTGCTTATTCTTTTTCTTATCAAATATCGATGTCTTTGTCGGTCCGCATTTTGTGCTAAAATTTTCACAAATTATACATTAATATGCATATTATGTAACGTGTGCGTGCCCCGTGAAGGACACTTCGGCGCCCTCGTTCGCCAGGTTCTCTATAGACGGGTCCCGATTCTCGTTCTCGTTGCCGCGGTGGTCTAACGTGCTGTAAGCTGAAACGACGATACTTCGTATTATTATTGTTATTATCGCCATGCGGCGCAGGTAGGTCCGACGAACCAAGTGACTGACGTACCCATGTTACGGGAGAACGGTTTCATATACAGAATTATCAGCAGACCGAATACCGCGGAACCGCCGCACACGTACGTGAGAATGTCCCTGTAATAATTATTGCAACTGGTCGAGCACCGTCTGAAAAGCAAACGCAGTCAGAATCAATTCCGCACAGGGGAGAATTCGCACAGTCCCGAATCGATTACTGACTTCACCAGGTACTGGATGAGCATAACTGCGAAGCCGTTGCTGAGCTTGTCCATGAAGCTCATAACTCCGTACACAAAAGCGCCGCTTTCGGTATTCTGTCCTATTAGGTCCGCGCACACACCGAGACTCGTGACCAACATGATCGAGCCTGCGGAACCTGCGGATTATCGCGATAAGAATGGTGACAGATTATTCGACGGAGATAGCGTCGCGAAAAATAAAAAAAGATGTGTCGCGATAAGAGAGGTTTACCTAACATCACAGCCACAGGATATATCTGGTATTTGACGTACACGTCGCCGTTGCCGAACTGTATCCACACGCTGGCGCACACCGCGAGCAAAGCACCGATAGAATACGCGACTTTCCGGCCCAATTTCGTATTGAGCCTCTCTATTATCAAAGATATCAGGAAGCTACTCAGGAACATCGCCAGAGGTATGTAAGCCAGGGAGGCTGCGGGCATATCCAGCGACACGTGTAAGTACATGGGAATATAAACTTGGCATAAGTTGATGTACAGTCGCGTAGGCATGTAGATACAAGCCACTTGGTACAGTTTCGTATCTTTCAATAATACTGATGCTGTCCTGGTGTCTCTACGAAGCACGTCTAGAAAGGGAAACGATCCGATATATATATTGCANATATATATATATATATATGCATTGATAGAAGTGAAAACGTTTACATAGTTGCGTTGCATTACCATTAGCATCGCCATTACCATTAGCTCCTTCTTTAAGAAAAACGTGAAATATAAGGGACGCTACAAGCCCAATTCCTAATCCAATTAGAACAACTTTTTGAAATTTGTGAACATCACCAGGTCCAATCTGAGCGTCCGCATCTTGATCACTCGTTATGTGCAACACGGCCCACATGATACAGTAAACAAGTACATTGGAGAAGACAGTAAACGTGTATCTATATAAGGTCACAACAGGAACAGAGACTTCATTTAATTTGAATATGCACTTACAACCTATCTCGGACGAGTGAATTCTGTATGATATCCCGGGGAAAAAAGGATCATATATGAAATATATTTGCCCATATATGACTATGTATAATCATACATGTCCATAACGAAAAAATTCTGTTGTTCACAAATTATATGCAAATACAATCGAAGTGAATGCTTCCGGCTACTTGTACTTCTGACAGTATATGATATTGACATTTAATTCAATGACACAACATCATTTGTTTTCATATATGACATATATGATTATATATATAATCACATATATGGGTAAAATTCATATATGATTTTATGTAAGTTATACATAATCATATAAAATCATTTTTTCCTGAGATTTTCTTCCGCCTGATCGAATATTCTACAAATTACCTTATAGCTATAAGTTGAGTCCTCTCATGATCAGTGGGTGTAAGTTCTGGAACCAAGGACAAGTGGGATATTTGTACCGCTGCCCAGCCAAACTGGAAAATTACTACAAAAGCTGCATAGTAGATCAATTGTGCCCATTGATGTGCGTTTTCACAGCCGACGCAAGGCGAGAATATAAATGGGAAGGCTAGTACTACGCAAACAGTACCTGCAAAGGTAAATTGTTGTGATATCAGAAAACAAATACAGAGAACGACAGGTAAGGATTATGTACGTATTACGATATACGTACCTACTAAATGCCAGGTTTTCCTTCTGCCGTACCTGCACAACCAGAAATCATCATTTCTGTCGGAATGTAAACCGACGAAGGGGGTGACCATGGCATCCGCTATCTGACCGATAAGCAATACAACGCCGCATAGAGTTGGATCGAATCCGAGCACAAGGTGGAAGAACACCAGCAGATACGTAAACCACATAGAAGCGCAGATGTCATTTAATACATGGCCAGTGCCATAGGCTAACCTCAGAGAAAGAGGAAGCCTCCGTATTATCTCTGTATAATCGTTTTCCATTCTTCTCGCATCCGACTCCGTTCTCGCGACGGATTATTCACGGGCATGAATAAGAAGTAATTCTTTCCGGTCTGCCGCGATCGGATCAATGACGAATGATGATTTATATACTCAGCTGAGAGGTATTTCGCTAATATACAGCCAGGTCATTCCGTCGAGTGTTGTGAGATAAAGAAGAATACGATATGACGCATTGTCGCATATTATTTACTTTCTAAGTAACACACGGCGACGAACCTCTTTGTTTACCACTAATCGCTCATCGTTGCGATCGAGGACGTCCGTAGAGAGAGCACTTAACTTTATCTCGCCGGACGTTCGTGCGAACCTCTCGCGGTGCGCGCCGTATTGTACACCTCTATATCTATTAATGACCTCGTTAAGTCCACGGATGCGGTCAGTCATGTGATTCATTTTGACACACGCCTCCTGGCTACCGATAAGTGCTACCGTTCCGAAGTTCGAACGAAAGGTCCGTTAGATGCGCTGAAAATTAATGGAGTTTCACAAAGGAGACAGGAGAGAAAAAAGAGGGTGCGACATACTAAAAACAGACTTCAGGGAAATTTCACCGCGCGTATTACACATGGTTCGAACAATGTCACCGGTGTTTGTAAAATGTTTTTGTTAATAATAGATTCCCGAGGAGATGAGAATTTTATATTGGAATTTATGGATCGTACTTATTCCGCTTAACTGAAAGATAGGTGGATATCGTTGTTCGTAATTATAATTTATTAAGCCATATTAACAATATGTAACAATATTTAAGAATTATATGATTCTATACGACCGAAATACACCATTCTTATATGATGAGTAAAAGAAATTACAACGTCGCAATGAAAGAAAAAAAAAAGCTTCCTCAAGCTATATAACTCGTATCTGTTTTACTATACTTCTCAGCCATGTCTGTGTGTGTGTGTGTATATATATATATATATGTAAGAATGTATACTGATACATGGAAATATGCCTAACATCTTAACAGCGTTCTCTTTAGGCACTTACATGCTATAAGCGTTATTCTATCTTCCTTTGGCATATAATAAACAATAAAGATAGAATGACTTACAGTATGTGAGTACCCAAAAAGAACGCAGCCCTTGTAATTACACACGCACATGGCAAAATATGTTTTCTATTGCGCTTGTGGAAACGCCTGGAGTCTAGGCATTGCAGGTCGCAGGCAAGTCGCGCTCAATATATAATTCATACGTAATTCAATTTGCAACTGTAATCATCGTATTATTCATTTCTGCTAAAGCTGTAATTACAGCCTTGATGCTTTCATCAGACATACGGTAAACGGACACATTTAACGTGCTTTTAAATGCTTATACGCTAAGAGACGATCTGGAATTGAGGTAGAACTGATGGCCCGAAAAGAGGAAGGTGAGGACATAGATACAAGCTGCGATCCAGCAGTTGTAAGCGTTCTGCATGTAGCCGCGATCTGCCATTTTATAGAAATGTTCCAGCGAGGTGATGTTTTCTGGCAGAGGGAGGTCCTCCACCAAGGCTACGCTCCGGAAGTAGAAAAATATTCCCATGAGGAGCTGCAGGTGAAAAACAAGCTATGGAAAATCCAGGTGACTGTAGACGGTAATAATAACGGTGATTTCTCTCTCACCAATTGAAATATGCCCCAAACGGACAGCACTAGGCCGCACAAGGCGTACTTGGGCCCGCAGATCTTCATCCTGTCCGAACGGGATCGTCTAAACGGAGTAACTAGGATTTAACCTAATCGCGACGTCGCCGCGTACACTGCTCGCGAAAACGTTCGGAAATTGGCCGCGATCCGTGGCGACTGTCAGCGCAAACAGGTGTCCCAGACTCACCGCGTTCGTTACACCCTCGGCGATCCACTCGTTCGCGACGATCGGTCACAGGGACAGTTTATAATCATGTGACAGAAGGTTCGCTCTTTAAACCTGCGCTAAGCTGCACTGTCTGCACTTAAAGTAAAGCAAATACGTTGTTTGATCACTTCGTGGAAGAGAGAAGGAGCAGAAAGATGACAAGAAGGTTCAGAAAGTGCAGGTACGAAAAACGAGTCTGAAGTCGGAACGATAGCAATATCGATGAGTCGCTTTCCGTACGTATCGAGTGAGAGATATCGATATGGGTCGTAGCACGCATAAATGCCGAAAATGGCTCAATTCATTCGATTGACGAGGAAAAAATGTTTACATATAATTATATATAAGCTTCTAGAGACAAAATTCATATGTAATCTTTTTTTTCGGGTATCCTATTCACACTCATCATCTTTATTTTCCTTTCCCTCGTTTTACGGCGCGATCTTTTCCTTCGAAGACGGAAAGTTGATCGAGTGAAAAGAGCAGAACATTATTCATTTGGTTGAAATATATTTCCCCAGCTTTTTGGCTGGTTTTCCTCTTTCCCCTCAGAATCTCAAATACTAATCTCACATTTTAAATACACGGGGAAATGAACGGGAGCGTAAATTTCTTCTTGCACGAATACCTGTTCTTATTTGGACACGGTGCAATCGCGCTTCCTCCACTTGTTTGCCCCCTTTTAGCCACACTTCTCCTTCTCCTCGATAAATCCTCTCGTCGAGCAGATGCTTCATCTCGCTGGGCGTTCCCGCCGTTGGTACTCGCTCCGATCAATTTTACGCGAGGTGGCGCCAGCTCACAAATCAACACGGTGCTGCGATAAATGCAAATCTCTCAGCGCGGATAAACTACGAAGCACTCACGAGCGTGATTCATGCTTCCTGCTGTTGTCAGCCCTGATTCATGGGATCATGGTCGACCGATTGGGTTAGTTGGTGCTTCGCTTATTAGCATTTAATTAATATCGTGTATTTTACAAAAAGACGAGACCGTCGGGCCGTCGAAGATGCGTGCCTGTCCCGTGATCGCCACGAGAAACTCGTATACCGGTCCATTTGTCACGTACAACCGTGTGATTGGCGCGCATACACGGGGGATAACGGTCCCCAGCTAAGTGGGCTGTGTGTTTTTGACAGCTAAAGTGCGAACGGTAGGTCCGCTTCGTTTAGCTGCACTCCCGTTTACACTTTCTAACGGAAATGAGACGAGCGGTACGTTTTCGAAAGGAGGAGAGGAAGAACGAAATTATGAGAAAGTGTAGAAAGTGCAGGTAAAGAGGACGGATCCGATTCCTCCTCGGTCGGGCGGTCGTCGTTGGCACAAATCGTCCCGTCTTCAGGATATGGGTGGGTTTCTGCCGATACTCGGGCACCTCTGCTGATCTTCGGGTTTCGATATGTTTCAGTGAACAGCGAGGCCAATGCCAGGCGTATCGCGATGGTCGAAAACTGCTTCGGCAGTTCTGGCCAGGTGAGAGATCTGCGCGACTAGTCGGCATGCAAATTTCTTCTGCGAATCGTCAGACTTCGTTTGCTTGTTAGCAAATCACTTGTAGCCAGTTATAGTAATATCGATGACTCACTAGCGAATATTCTTTTTCTCTTTATAGCCACTCGCGGTACCCGGCAGGGTTCTGGTGGGAGAAGGTGTCTTGACCAAAATGTGCAGGAAGAAGCCCAAACCGAGACAGTTCTTCTTGTTCAATGACATATTGGTTTATGGAAATATCGTGATAAATAAGAAAAAGGTGGGTGTTTTACAGAAATTTTTGTTCAATTTCATAGGATTAAAGTTGCCGTAGTAATAAATAGAATACACAGTATGATTACAATGAAGAGAATTCTACCAATGGTAATAATGTATAAATTCATTTGCAGTACAACAAGCAGCATATAATACCACTAGAAGAGGTAAAATTAGAGTCTCTAGCTGATGAGGGTCGTAAGTACAGTGTCATGTTACTCGGTGTATTTTTATATATATATATATGTTAGAAATTTTTACTCTTATCATATTAAATGTAATAATATATATGGAAAACTTCTGTAGAAGTATTCATTAATATTATTTAGTTTTAAAAAATTATTTTACTAGTTATTGAATATTAATGGTTGTAGGTTGTAGTTGAACTAGATATCTTAGAGATCTATTGTAAGGTGTATTATATGAATGACAGAGTATAGATAATATTTCGAATACATAGAATTTTTTTGTTTGTATAACCGTTCTCATGTATACAATTCTTTTCTTAGCTGTAGACCCTTGTGCATTCATTGCATTATAAATTTAATTAGTCCTTCAATTATATCGCACAGCGTATGGATCGACAATCAAATGAGGCCACACTTAGAAAATGTTAGTATAGTATTGGGTCATTATTTATAGAATATCGTAATGGATGGCTCATTAAGACAGTAACAAAGTCGTTTGCTGTTTATGCTGCTACCGCAACAGAGAAGCAAGAATGGATGGCACATATCACAAAATGCATTGAAGATTTATTAAGAAAAAGTGAGTGAAAGTTAAAATGTAACTTTAATACTATTGATGTGTGACCGATCCGTTATTTTTCTCGACTTGTCGCTTTTCATTCTACTTATTACAGGTGGCAAGAAACCCGTTGAAATTCACGCAGCAGTTTGGGTACCAGATAACGAAGCTACAATTTGCATGCACTGTAATAAAACGCAATTTACAGTATTAAACAGACGGGTAATTGTGAGATTATTTTATTAACTTGAGACAATAGCCACGATGAATATTTGCAAATTAAGATAATTGTTTACTTTTCAGCATCACTGTAGGCAATGCGGCGCAGTAGTATGCGGGCCCTGCAGTAATAAAAAGTTATTGCTACCTGGACAAGGGAATGGGAAAGCCGTCAGGGTCTGTTTACAATGCTATGATGCTGCTAGTAAAGTCAAAGCTTCACCTGCATCTACTGTGGATGGTCTAAATAACAAAGATCCACAACGTAATTCTGCCGACAGCTCAGGAGGAGACAGTTCCGGAGATGACGATGAGGGAAACAAGGAAGAGAATCATGATGAGGTAATTGATAACGTTTTTTCGTCAAAAAACATCCAATATACGCGCTGCCCATGCACCTGTATGTAACTGCCGGCAAATTGAATCTGTTGAAAATGCTAGCTAGCTAGCTCTCTCCCAAGTATTCAGACGTACTATGAAATTGGCTTGTATTGCGTAATCGAAATTTCTTCTTTCTCTTGCAGCCTAAATTCTATTCCACGCTCGGCCGATGAAGATGATTAAAACGTTGCACCAAACATGAAAGAGATACAAACATTTTACGACAAAACATGTCTTCTTTTTTTTTTTATGAGACCCCGTAATGTACCATCGAGAATGGAAAAGTTTGCAGGAGTTTCTTTAAAAGGAGGAGAATCTTTAGAAATACTACAAAATGATATGTGAAAAGAACTGAAGAACGATAACTATAAAAATTATGAGATATGATTTGTGCCTAACATCACAGCGTGTTCATCGCTAGATTCGTCTGATTTGCATTATGAACTTCTGCAACTTTTATTATTGACAGATACTGCAATTTACTAACAGAAACCAAACGAGAAAATGTTAAGTATGTACAGACAATCGCGGAGTTGTAAGGAGGTACTAATGTTTCTTCTCAAATATCATTAATGGATCGTTAGAGCATTGTGGTTATCAACAGAAGTTTGTAATTGCTAATATATGATTACATCGATCAAATTCATTAGCAAGTGTAATTAGATACATTTTCTCATCAATGTATGTATATGAAAAATATATATGCCACATTGTGCCTTTTTACATTATTGAGAGATCGATATCGGATATGTAAGCAGCTGATGAATCCAGTCTCAGTTTTTTAATGTATAGATTCCTATCGGTCGTTGCAAATACTAAGTTTGTTCAAAAACTTAAGGTGTATCGCTACAGTTACGTAAAGTACTGGTTGGTACACTTACGTAAAATAATGGTCAAATAACGTAATACTTGAACAAATAAAACGTTATATTATTACACAAATTTAAAGAATTGTTATTTGATGAAATATTAAGATGAGCAATTATTTTTTCATAGTACTAGTGTAATAAAAAAAAAATTTAATTTTTATCTTTTTAGATACATATCAAGAATCTCTACAAATACTGTTTGTACATTTAGCGTAGAAACAAGCAATAAGCGAAATCAGGAAAAAGGTTTTTAAACGTACAAATAAGAATGAAAATGCCATTCCTTATCTAGATTGCGCCGACTTACAAAATCAGATAAAGAATATGATATACTCGATAAAATGATAAAAGTACATTTATGTACAAGACTTTTTCAAGATTTTATACGGCGAAATTATCTTGTAACAATATGATATTAGTTTATAACACGATATAATTTTTAGTATCTATAACAGTTTATAAATATACATATATACAGGGTGATTATACAAAGTGACCAATGTAATTTGCAAAGACGAAAAAAATAATGCAAATAATTACATGTATCGCTTCATATGATTCATTCTGTATATAACATATGTTATAAAAAAATATACAGTAAATTCTACCACTTGAAACAGATGTTAATATTAGCTCGTGTTTAGTTGATTCTGCTTCGAAGGATTACATCTACGATATGCCCAATATTTGATTTTTCTTCACGCAATTTTCGAGTCTGTTGCAGACCTTAAGGACACTGTTAATAGTTAGCTTCTTATTCTAAAACTATGCAAACTATCTGTAGAAACAAACACAAGGCATAATATCATTTATTTTCACGCAAATGCACTGGATTATTTATTTATATGAAATATTGTATGCCAAAAAATGTTAAAATCTTCGCCTTTGTTATTCGTGAATTTTAATGAATAACTAATAAACAACGAACTCTCAACTAAATAACCTTGCACTATTTTTAATTTTTCCCATCAATGAACATAATTTGTGAATTTTGTTTCGATCGTTATCGCAGAAGATTTATTGATACGAGAAACTTATTCACTTTCGTATTGTCGCAATACCTTCATTTCTTATCTCCTCGTTATTCCGTTTCATACTTCAAGCACTCTTCTTGAAACTTCATTGCAGTACAGTTACTGATCTCCAGCACTTTTTTGTAGCGTTCGACCAGGTCACTAATGGAACGCCTTCTCGATGTATTTTCTTGCTTTACAACTGTGCCGTTGTCATCATTGACAAACCTTATTTCCGTTAATTCGTTCAGCTCGGGTTTGGTTATTTTGAACTCGTGATTGAATACGTCTTCTTCGATTGTATCTTGCAATGCGTTTTGTTTTATTGGAGTGTACTGTACGGTGAGAGGCTCTTCGCTCAAATTGAACAAACTCTTCGCCGTAATGTCCAAATTATGATTCCGCACATTAAACTCTCTCCCTGTTGTGTTTCCGATGGTGGGAGAATTTGCTTGCACGGTAGACGATAGAAACACCATGCTATTGTTGGCTGCGTAGAAACAAATGTTATATTTAATATCTTTAAATCTCTATATAAACCCTGTTAGAAAATCCCCATAAAGGTTACAATTCGATATTTAAGCGGGATCACTACGAACCTTTTGCATTTTTATTTGTACGCGCGGAGAAGAGTCGAGAATATGACCCGGTTGTCTTTTTGTGCAGTCTGTTTACGCTGGACATCCCAATACGCATACTCAAATTATGCTTTTCGTTATTACCTATTAACATTTTATCATTGATGTCGATGCGCGATACGAATAAATTCGTCCTTAAATCTGGAGTGTGATGCTCTTTTTGTCGTGTGTATCTTGAGAACAGTGATTTATGTGCAGCTGCGAATAACAAATAACATATTACAATGACAAATGTGGAAATTAAACAGCCACACGTGTTTCATAACAGAACTTACTTTCTCCCGGAGTAAACTGCAATAATGTATGCAAATCGTTTTTCTCGTCTGCGCAATTGGTATTAATTTTAATAAGAGGCGACGGCATAAGAAGCACACTCTTCACGAGCAGCAATGCGGTTTCCCCAGTTATGCGTGTCGTATTTTTTTCACATAAAACATCCGCTGTTTTCTCCGTATAATCTATTATACTAGTTAGCAAAGTTTTGAATATATTGTACATGGCTTTCATGTCTTCTGTACTTGCTTCCGCTTGCAAGAGACATTGCGATAAGTCTACCAAGTAGCCTTTCCTCAGAGATTGATATACTTGACACAGTATCAAAGTGAACAGGGACATAAAGTTGTTGAATATCAATTTGTTGCCATCGTACAACTTATAAAGGCAACACTGAAAAATAATGTAACTTTATTACATATTGTTTAATGGCTCAATAGTGGTTGTTTTTACCTAACATAACAAACTATAGTTTCAATTATGTTGAGATGCAAAAGCTGGAGTTTGTAATTATATATGCATATATATATATATATATATATATATATATATGGATAATGACAACTAATATGATCAATTGTACAATTTTACCTGAACAACAGGTGGAAATGGCAGTTCTGATATCGACGAATAATTAATTTCCTCCAACTGCTTGCCATCCAATGCTTTTGCATTGTTTAGCAAATTTGATATTATACCACTTATGTCTTCACACTTTTTTTCTAGGTCCTTCAAGATTCCTATTCGTTTTTGTATGTAACGTGTACTCTCGTTTAAACTATTTTTCCACCCTAAAACCCATGCAAATTTGTCAGTTTTACAAGCGCGACATAATAAATGCATTTTCTGCTAATAAAGTGTATGTTAAACAAGTATAGTACTAACTTTGAATGACTTCTGAATCTTCAACATCTGCTAGGCGTTGTTTTATGAATGCAGCAACAGGGGCTTCAGCTATATATTTTGCCATAGACTGTTTCTTATCAAACAGTTCTGTCTTGATTTTGGCTAGCTCTTCCTTCTCCTCTCTAAAAGGTAAAACAAAAAAAGCAAGCAAATTAGTCGTATTAAAGTTTGTAACAAATTAGTGAGAATTTATGTATTTATGAAGGATAAGAAAATATTACATTAGTGCAGAATTAGCAGTCCTTTCTATTTGTAAACAACTTCTGTGATGACTCGCTATATTACGATTAATATTTGCTTTGGACTGTTGCAGGTAAGTTTTCGTGAGTTCATCTATAGATCCTGGCCTTGGTGTGAATAAAACTTCATCATTACCTAAAACAATGCATTGTTACCAAATATTAAAGAAAAAATTAATTTATAGTTTTATATTTTATTAGAGATACAGAACATCTACTCTAGTAAAATTAATATACTTCCAGTAAAGAATATTACTTGCCATTACGCATAATATATCTCCTTAGTGTAAGTTGTGATAATTTCCACATTAAAATCATGAACTTGGTACCACTTGCATGATGCAAGTATGTGGTGAGTACAGGAGGGAATCCTATATCAGGATTCTCTAACGACATGATACTCAGATAGTCTTTAACATCATTACGATACTTTGCTTCTGTCTTTTTACAAACTACTGGCCATTCAACTAGTTTTTTAAAACGTTCAGCATCACATATCATGAATAAATAATAAGTAACGTGTATAAATCCTGCAGTATTCGGTTTATCAAACATTCCCTGTAATATGTAAATTATATATTTATTATTATTTATTCAATCAGTAACCACTAGTGAGCATAGCATAAAACTACGCATATGCATACATACATGTATAAAAATTGGTCTTTGTAAGGAAAACTTACCTCACGAAAATGTTTTTTGAAACTATCGTTCGGTGGGACTAATTGGTTTAGTAAAAAAACATTTCGATGGAAAGACGCGCTAATCGCCATTCTGTCACACGCATACACCACAAGCAACCACAATTAAATAATATTAATTAAGCCACACATACAACGTATCAAAGCACGTAACGTGCGTTTCTTCGAACGATATGGGAAATTCGAGAATAAGCAAGCAAAAAACGTAAAGTAAAATCTGTTAAAACCCGCGAGCATACAGTAATACACCGACATTTGAATTTTCAAAGGCTACGTTTATTTCATACGAGATAGGAAACTCGAGGTGTGTTCCAAAAGTCACTGCCAGCGTTGAAAAACTATGCGTGACATGAACTATAGATTTTCAGTACTGGCAGTAAATTTCGAAACACAGCCTTGATGGTAAAATCCACTATCAGTGTCACCAACCTTTTCTCGTCATTACGACACAATTTTTCAAGAAAAAATATTGCTAGCTAACCACACATACGTAATTTTTATAAAAGAAACAAATTATAACAAATCCCAAGATTTCAATTAAAATAGACATATTTTTTTCTGAAATCGATGTTTGTATAAATATTTCTATAATATATATCGTTGTAACAAATACATCAGAAATGGTAGCGATACAATAACACAGTAACGATAACACATATCAGAAATATCACGAATATAATGATAAGTTATATATGATAATTCTGCCAAAGAAATCGGTGCTCTGATTGAATACAAATTTCAAAGTCCTAGCTTTGATTTTATTAGCTAAGTTGAATCGCTGTAGGTTGTTCACATCCTCTGGATAAAACGCTTCTACAACTACTGTGTTTTTCTCATTGCAACCAGCTTCCAGATAGCATTCTTTGCCAGCAAATCCACCTTGAAATTCTATCTCAAAGCTGGAAAGACTACACTCTTCTTCGAAGTTAATAATAACCCATTGTGGAGTACCCTGCAACATGTGTGTTGTTAATCATACAGAGACTAATACCGAAGATGCAGAATTGATTCTTGAAAGGAGCTAGTTACTTACCGCATCGGAATTCCAACATGTCTCATTGGAATCGTCAAACATGTGTTTCTTTCCGTAAGATCGGACGTTTTTGTTTAGCACCGAGCTAACTCTGAAAAGAACATCAGTCATTCGTACGATGAAAACACTTGTTGTTTAAAGTATTTCACTTAAAGAAATTATGAATCGTGTTCACTGTAAATGTTATATCTATCTCTAACCGTTGTTATATTCATTATAAAGATAAAACTAACCGGCATTCGAATTTATTTTCTTTCATTAACGAAGGCATATCAACCTCGTCAAGATAACGCCGACATTTGTTTGGTGATTTTCTAAAAATTATCTAGAAACTTCTAACTTGGCACGACCGATGGAAAATGAATCAATAGCCAATCCCCTCTAGACTACACTTTAAACGACACTTTTACTCTCCTTATATTCGAATATGATTGGTCAATTTCTTATTCTTACTTCATATGAACATACTCCTACTGCTCATTGTAGACTATGCTTAAGCCTCGGTTTACAATAATTGTTTTAAGCCTTAAGGAATTAATCACCATCGAATATAAGCAGAATGATCGACTATGATTGGTCAATTCTTCTTAAGGCTTAAATTCTCATTGTAGATCCTGCTTAAGCGCCTAAATCAAACAGGGAGCGTTCCGATTAGTCATGTTGCAATTTACCACCACCAACCATAGTCAGCCGTGATTTAGTGTTTTTCTAGTGTCGGCCAATCAATGTAGCCCGTGATCAATCAGGTCCCACCCAATCGAACGTAGCCATAGTTCAATGCAAGTCTTGTGCGAGTCGCTGACGAGTACGGACGTATTCGGTTGTCCTTGCACGCGTCACGAGCCCTTTGCTCGTTTTGAACTCAACTATTTTCGGACACAGTCGTTGCTGCCTCGACAGAACGCCAATTTAGAACCCCATTTTATTTAATTCAACGCATTTTGGAACCCATCTTTTGATATTCTTTGGAACTTCATCTTACATATTACGCATTTCTTTATTTGTGAGTGAGATTGCGGCATAATCTCTCAAGGAATGCTTCACTCATTTGTGGTTGTGTTGGCCGCTGAATTGCAAGCCTCCTACACCATTTGCAGTATCTCTTTCAAGAAGTGCCTGAAGCCAAATATTTTGAGAGAGAGGTATAGTTCAACGACAGACTCTTACTTCTAGGGATTCTAGTGCGATCTAGTAATGGAAATAACCTCCGTATGCCGCAGGCTTTAGTTCGATCACATCCGAGTCCGAGAGTAGATGGTGCCGAGATATCCACTCTTTTGAAGCGAGTGATACTCTGTGCTCGAGACCTCAGTCTCGCAAGACCTCTGCTAAGTTAAGCTAAAACGGCACAATATGGCACAATATCTGGATTCTGAGGCGGATGTCAGCGAGGCAAGTATTTTTGCAAATTTTCGCACCTTTTCTTTCTTTTTACGTTTGCGAGTTTTGTATGGTGCGATGGCATGCCCGAACGATGCTCGCCGTGACGTCCTCCGTTGAGCGTTTGATGAACGTTTTAGGGCGAGGAGGAGTTGGACCAGAATGAGAAGAAGAGACTGAAGAAGATGAAGGCAATGGAAGTGAGCGACGACGAAGAGGATGAAGGTAAGAAACGCCACACAGTGCATGTTTGTATTTTTCTTACGCGTACGTATACAATAGATGCCCGATAGTCGCGTTCCGTCGATACTTCTTGTCGGCGTAAGACATACGTCTTTGTTCGTCGGCGTTAAGTGAACGATGGCTTTTTGATCGGTGTGGAATCGGTAAAATTTGTTAAGAAATAGGCCCTAGAAACGGTTACATATAGCTGAAAGAAGTATATCAGATATCGCATCATTTAGTTTTACAACTGTTCATTGAGCGCTTAGCAAACTCTTGGATTGGTGTATACTTTCAGATTTGATCAGGATCTAGAAATACAAACCAATCAGATCCAAAGAGATGATATAGTGCTTCATGAATATCCTATTGAATATATTGTATATGTTATATTCATAGATCAAAGGTCGCGACACTTCAATGAATTCCACAATGTCTTTATGTTCAATATATGAGTTTGTTTAACCCATTAACTGCCAAATTTTTTTTTTGAAATTTTTGGCCAGATAAGTTATATATATGCACAAAAAGTTGTGTAACAGTATAATTATATTCAAATTATGTTTTGTTTTGATCCCCAAATAGGGATCGTGGCAGCTAATGGGTTAATAAATACTCAGGTGATACATCAGATTCTTTTATGACTGGCAGCTAATGAGTTAATAAATACTCGGGTGATACATCAGATTCTTTTATGACTGGCAGCTAATGGGTTAATAGATACTCAGGTGATATATCAGATTTTTTTATGACTACACTTGGCGGAAGCCAGCGTAGCATCAATGCTACATTTCCTTTTGGAAACTATTTCCAATAGATGGAAATAGTTGCTACATACCACAGACATATAGATATCAGATGGAAAGTTCCATTGAAACTCTCTGATGGTTGCAAAAGATTAAACTTTTTAACACTTGGGCTTATTAAATATATTTTTAGAATGCTAGATGGCAATATGGAAATTATTAAATAAATACGTTGAAAAAGTAAAAACCGTTAAATTTTTTTAGTATTCAACATTATTTTTACTTTTAAATTTTATTATATCGACTGCTATGTTACAAAAATTGTAAAAATTCAGAGAGTTGATTGTATGTCTCAAGAAGTAGTGAGAATTACAAAAGTGAACAAATTTATTAGGCGTTGACCAATAAAATTATAAATATTTTAGTAAATTTGCTTACTTTTGTAATTCTCACTGAAATATAAGATTAATTTCAAGATATGCATACTATTTACAAAATGTATAATTTCCAAAGCCTGATAAGACACAACTTGCATAGTTGACATTGTGTTATTGTGGTTACAGATTTTCTAGATAAAACATTTTGTTTATGGAAGAGTTTTCTTTGTAATTAATTATATATATCAACGTTATACTTTATAGATGACGAGGATCAATTACGCGAAGAACTGAAGGATTTAATAGATGACAATCCTATAGACGAAAGTGAAGGTGAAGACAGCGATGGTTCTGATCATCATAAGAAACGCAAAAAAAGCGATGAAGATTTTGATGATCGCTTAGAAGATGAAGATTACGAGTTGCTGGAAGAAAACTTGGGTGTTAAACTTCAGAGGGTATATTTTAGATATTGAATTTTCTTTAAAGGGAAGAAAAATGTACGTGTATTAAGAGTTTAATTTCTTGTTACAGAAACGTTTTAAACGTCTTCGAAGGATCCAAGATGAGGAGTCAGAAGAAGAAGAACAAAAGGAAGCAGACGAGGAAAGAGATGCTATCGCCAATGAATTATTCGAAGGCTCTGGAGATGTAAGTGTTACAAAGATGTACAATGCAATATTATTTTGTCTAATGCTGTACAATTTGCATCGACTTGTGTCTTTCTTATTTATATTAGTCTGATAATTCTTTGAGATGTTGACAACCCATTAAAATGTGATTTAATTTCCTATTGTTCTGTGTATATAAGATGTATACATAATATAAAGATTATTTAAATGTTACAAATTGCTTTTTTCTGAAAGTATGTATCGCATAGCAAAAAATATTTTAAGTAAAAATTGTTTAGTGCGAAGGGGAAGAAGAGATAGCGACATTACTTTGACTTTAGATGGATATGCCTTGATATGACCTTAGCGCATCCATCTAAAATCAAACTAATGTTCCTATCTCTTTTCCCCCTTCGAACCAAATAACTTTTATCTAAAATATTTTTTGCTACTTTTTTTTTTTTACATTTCATGCGTACTTTTGAGAGAAAACAACTTGTAACGTTTTTAATCGTCCACTCTGCATAAATACGCAACTAAATGCATATGTGAACACATACATGTAAATATCACATTTGCATTTACTGTATACATGCGCACTCGTATCAGGAAAGGGAAATAACGGTATGTAAAGTGTGACATTTCTCTAACGCCTGTATTTATTTGTGCGTGAATGTTCAATATTTTCATGCCCACTTTTATACTGCTCACAGGAGGACGAAAGACGAAGCGAACGAAGCCACAGACCGGAAGTAGAGAATTTCGAGGAAGGCAGTGACGAAGGCGAATATACTGATGCGGATGACTTCATTGTCGATGACGATGGTAGACCTATCGCTGAAAAGAGAAAGAAGAAAAAACCGATATTTTCAGACGCGTATGTAGAATATTTAAATATCAAAAGTTTACAGTCTGTAATTACTATTAATATCTGTCATACCACATATATATATATATATATAGAAATGACATATTACTTAGATATAATTAGATTCGATGTTTCCTTTCCTTATAATCTGTAAGTGAAGAAATGAATTTATCGTGATACCATTATCTAGGGCATTGCAAGAAGCGCAAGACATCTTCGGCGTTGACTTCGACTACGATGAATTAGGCAAATATGGCGAGGAAGATTACGAGGAGGACGAAGAGGAGGAGGAGGACGAATACTTGGATGAGGAGGTCGACGCTGAGCGTCCGCGACGTCCTAAAAAACAGCAGAAGAAGAAAACCACGAGGAAGAGCATCTTTGAGATTTACGAACCCAGCGAGTTGAAACGCGGCCACTTCACCGATTTGGATATCGAGGTATGGACGATGCACGACATCGGTAATTACCCACGTTCGTTAAATCACCACTAATGGGATCTGACTTTTTGCCGTAGATACGCAATGCAGACATACCGGAAAGAATGCAACTTCGGTCGGTGCCGGTCGTGCCGGTTCAGGAAGGCTCCGACGAGCTGGATCAGGAAGCAGAGTGGATCTACAAGCAGGCGTTTTGCAAGCCCACGGTCTCGATTCAAGACGCCCATTTGAACGCAGAAGCTAAAGAGCGTGCCCGCAAAGGGCCACAGACTATCGCCAAGATCAAGAAGGCCCTGGACTTCATGCGGAACCAATACTTCGAGGTCCCCTTCATAGCTTTCTACCGGAAAGAATACGTGCTGCCCGAGCTGAACATAAACGACCTGTGGAAGGTGTACAGGTACGACGCCAAGTGGTGCCAGCTGCGCCAGCGGAAGGAGAATCTGCTGAAGCTGTTCGAGAAGATGCGCAACTACCAGCTGGACGAGATCATGAAAAACCCGGATGCGCCGTTGCCGGACAACGTTCGGGTGATCAAGGACGATGATATCGAGAGGCTGAAGAACGCGCAGACGAGCGAGGAGCTCAACGACGTCTATCATCACTTTATGCTCTACTACAATCACGAGATCCCGAAGATGCAGGAGACCGTGCGGAAGAAGGAAAAGGAGGCGCGCCGAGAAGCGAGGATTCAGAGGCGCAAGCAGCAGCTCGCCGAGGCCGAGGAAAACGGCGAGGATCCACCGGAGGAGGAGCCGGAGGTCGAGGAGGACGAGGAGATCGACGAGACGTTGAAACAGGCGGTGAGGAGCGGGCCGTACACGATCTGCAGGAAGGCCGGTTTGGACGGGCTGACGAAGAAATTCGGCCTGACGCCTGAGCACTACGCCGAGAATCTCCGTGACAATTACCAGCGTCACGAGGTGGACCAAGAGCCGACCGAGCCGACGTCCATCGCGACCGAGTACAGCAGTTTGCGTTTCAAGAGCCCCGAAGAGGTGCTGAAGGCCGCGCAACTGATGGTGGCGATCCAGTTGGCGCGCGAGCCGCTCGTGCGCAAGTGCGTGCGCGAGATGTACATGGAGCGCGCCAAGATCTCTATAACGCCGACGAAGAAAGGCGTGAAGGAGATCGACGAGAACCACCCGATCTACGCTATGAAGTACCTCAAGGATAAGCCGGTGCGCGACCTCGTAGGCGCGCAATTCCTGAATCTGGTGATCGCCGAGGAGGACAAGCTCATCACGATCACATTGAACGACAGCATCGAGGGCAACACCAGCGGCAATTACGTCGACGAGATGAAGCAGCTCTATTACCGGGACGAGTTCAGCAAGAACGTGCAGGATTGGAACGCGCTGCGCGTCGGCAGCGTCGAGATCGCGCTGAATCGCATGGTCATACCGAGCCTGAAGAAGGAGCTGCGGACGAACCTGATCGCCGAGGCGAAGGAGTGCGTGATGCGCGCCTGCTGTCGCAAGATGTACAATTGGATCAAGGTCGCGCCGTACAACTGCGAGTTCCCCGAGGAGGACGACGAGGAGTGGGACACCGGCAAGGGTCTGCGCGTGATGGGCCTGGCTTATGTGCCCGACTACTCTCAGGCCGCCTTCACCTGCCTGGTCGCGGCCGACGGCGAGTGCACGGATTACCTGCGGCTGCCGCACTTGATGAAGCGCAAGAACAGCTACCGCCAGGACGAGAAGACGATGAAGGAGGCGGATTTGCTGGCGCTGAAACACTTCATAGCGACGAAGAAGCCTCACGTCGTCGTGGTGTCCGGTGAATCCAGAGAAGCGATGATGATCGCGGCCGACGTCAAAGAGTGCATCACTCGCTTGACCGAGGAGGAGCAGTTCCCCGGCATCCAGGTGGAGATCTGCGACAACGAGCTCGCTAAGATTTACTCCAACAGCAACAAGGGCGTCTCGGAGTTCCGGGATTACCCGCAGCTGCTGCGCGAGGCTATCTCGCTGGCGAGGAGGATGCAGGATCCATTGGTGGAGTTCTCGCAACTGTGCACCGCCGACGAGGAGGTCCTCTGCCTCAAGTACCACAGTCTGCAGGATCAGTTGCCCAAGGAGGAGCTGCTGGAGAATCTTTACCTGGAATTCGTGAATCGCGTGAACGAGGTCGGCGTGGACGTGAACAAGGCGGTCCAACAGGCGTACTGCGGCAACCTGGTGCAGTTCGTGTGCGGTTTAGGTCCCCGTAAGGGTCAGGCCTTGATCAAGATGTTGAAACAAACGAATCAGAGATTGGAGAACCGGACGCAGCTGGTGACCGCTTGCCACATGGGGCCGAAGGTGTTCATCAATTGCGCCGGTTTCATCAAGATCGACACGAACAGTTTGGGCGACAGCACCGAAGCGTACGTGGAAGTGCTCGACGGCACGCGCGTCCATCCCGAGACTTACGAGTGGGCCCGGAAAATGGCGGTGGACGCGCTCGAGTACGACGACGAGGATGCCAATCCCGCCGGCGCTCTGGAGGAGATCCTCGAGTCGCCGGAGAGGTTGAAGGACTTGGACCTCGACGCTTTCGCCGAGGAACTCGAGAGGCAGGGCTTCGGCAACAAGTGCGTCACCCTGTACGATATCAGGGCCGAGCTGAACAGCCGATACAAGGATCTCCGCGTGCCGTACCAATCTCCAAGCCCGGAGAAGTTGTTCGACGTCTTGACCAAAGAGACTCCCGAGACCTTCTACGTCGGCAAGTTGGTGTTGGCCACTGTGGTAGGCATCAGCCACCGGAAACCGCAGGGCGAGCAGCTGGATCAGGCGAATCCGGTGAGAAACGAGGACACGGGTCTCTGGCAGTGTCCGTTCTGCTTGAAGAACGATTTCCCGGAGCTGTCGGAAGTGTGGAATCACTTTGACGCCGGCGGTTGCCCGGGTAAAGCAACCGGCGTGCGTCTGCGATTGGACAACGGCATATCCGGCTACATTCACATCAAGAATTTGTCCGACAGACACGTCGCGAATCCCGAAGAGAGAGTCAGCATTGCCCAGATTATTCATTGTCGTATCGTGAAGATTGAGGTGGATCGTTTCAGCGTCGAGTGCACCAGCAAGAGCAGCGATCTCATCGACAAGAATCACGATTGGAGGTAAGGTGGACGAACGACTGATCGATTACAAACAATCTCTCGATTTTTCTCTCTGTTTTTTAAGATGATAGGACTGCTATTTGATAGATGTTTGGAAGATACTAGAATGTTGGTAAATTTCTAGTAACTTTTATATCTGACCAACTATTCGAGATCCATCATCATGGATACTAATTTACATGAAACAGTTCGTCGTAAATCGGTCAGTATAAATTAATGTATACTTGCAGACCGCAACGAGATCCGTATTACGACACCGACGCCGAACAGAAGGACGTGAAAGTAGAGGAGGAGGCGAAGAAGGCGAAGCAGAGGCAGATCTACGTGAAGCGCGTGATCGTCCATCCGTCCTTCCATAACATCAGCTTCGTCGAGTCCGTGAAGCTGATGCAGACGATGAAGCAGGGCGAGGCGATAGTGAGACCGAGCAGCAAAGGTGCCGATCACTTGACAGTCACATGGAAGGTCACCGACGAGATCTACCAGCACATTGACGTACGAGAGGAAGGCAAGGAGAACGCCTTCTCGTTAGGACAGAGCCTGTTAATCGGTAACGAGGAATTCGAGGATCTGGACGAGATCATCGCGCGACATGTCAACCCCATGGCGGCTTACGCTTCCGAATTGTTGGACTTCAAATATTACAAGCCGACGGTGGAAGGAATCAAAGACAAAGCTGAAGAGATACTGAAGGAACAGAAGAAGGAAAACCCCGGCGGTATTCCTTACATCATTTCAGCGGCAAAGGTAAGCGTTTGATACTTTATATATAATAAATATTTAAAAAATATTTTCATCTTATAACATTCGTCACACTAATTTTATTATGTTATTTTATTAATACGATTGTATTTTTCAACGTTGCGTCATTAAAGCCTAGGTTGTGTTGCAATGAAATCACCTTCTTCTCGTTCTTCCCGCGTGTTTTCACAGAATTACCCCGGAAAGTTCCTTCTCTCTTACTTGCCACGCACCCGTTGCCGCCACGAATACATCACAGTGACGCCTGAGGGCTTCAGATTCAGAGCGCAGATGTTCGGCAGAGTGAACGACCTGTTCCGCTGGTTTAAGGAGCACTTCAGGGATCCGCTTCCTGGACAATCCACTCCTAGCACACCGCGTGGTGCGATGACTTCCAGAACGCCTTACACCACACCAGGAGCCGTCAGTAGTAAGTCTCCGCCAATGATACAACCGCTGTTATAATCAATATTCCTGAAGCTTCTTCGTTTGTCATTGGGAACGCCGACGTTTCTGTTTCAGGCATGAATCAAGAGGCGATACAGAGAGTGGCGCAGAATCTTCCGCATCACATGCTGCACTCGCTGACGCAAGTAGCGAATCAGACGCCGCATCATTATCCGCCGCATACCCCGGGAGCAGCCGGCGCCGCCGGTTACGGCGGGGTGCACACGTATCCGAACACACCGTACACGCCGTCCGGGCAGACTCCGTTCATGACACCGTACCAGACGCCGCACCATACTCCGCATCACGGTCAGCCGACGCCGAGATACGGTCAACAGACCCCGAGCCATCACCAGGGGCCCTTCGTGCATCCACCTCCGCCTTCGATGACACCCAACCATCACAGATCAGCTCAATCGCACAGACCTACGCCGCCCATGTCTACTCCTTCGGGTGACCCCACGGATTGGAGGAAAGCGGCCGAGGCGTGGGCGCGGCTAAAGGGCGGCCCCCGTGTATCGTGAGTTTCCTTTTCGCTATTTCAATTCAGGCATGGCAGCTTTTCCTCACTTATTTCGAAACGTTTTCTCTTACTCGAGCCTTGTCAAAACAGCTCGAGGAAGCATGTTGAATAACTAGGATTTTGGATAAAAGTATATCGAGAAAAATATATTGCAATAAACTTGATGCGAATATAATCTTTCGCGCGAACGTTCTTCTTTTTCCATAGAATAGCTATAAATATTGTCTGGCTTTCGCCTTCGCGAATCTGAGCGAGTACTATTGATTTGTAGCGGAAAACTGAATCTAAGCTCGCGTTCGGTTTAACGTCAACGTGGTTTGTACGTGCTTTCAGTGGTTCGACTCCGAGATATGAGGAGTCCAGGAAAACTCCGCGCAACTACGACGAATCGGCCGGCAGGACGACGCCCTCCGGTAGAAACAGGCCGTCCTCCACGCGCACACCGTCGTACAAGTCTCCGCGGGGTACTCCACACACGAATTCTAGTCCGCGAAGCATGTCCCTGAGCGGGGACGGTACTCCTCTATACGACGAGAGCTAACATAGTCGTCGTATCTGTGTATAAGTTCCCCTAGTCAAAAAGTTCCAGGCCATGGCCAATAAACAAAGTATTCATTTTAAACATTTCTTCGATATGTTGCCCTTCAATACAATCTCTTCCGAACCTAACAACCTGGTGTCTTTCCCACTCCTGGAAGCAGCGCTGACAAGCTGATTCCGGTCTTCAGTTTTATTGTCTTCGTTTTTCTCTCAGTAATTTTTGAGTTTCGAGAACAGGAACAGTTCTGCCGGTCTATCATATTAGACGAATACGCTGTCTACGGAACGACTGTGATGTTTCGGCTGAGAAACTCGATGACACACGTAGTCATGTGCGTTATCGTGGTGAAATATCCACGAGTTATTTTGCCACAATTCTTCGTTTCTTGCTGATTGCTTGACGGTTGGTCAGGTTTTTAATTTTCACAACGTCATCGATGGGCGTCGACGAGCGTTAGGCCATTCCTTTGTCCTGGATAATGATAGTGCTCTCTCACCAAAAGCATCGTTTGCAACATTTTGAAGGTTTCCGCAGCAGCTTTTCCACTTTTTTTGTCAAAATTTATGCAAATTCTTCATTCTTGTTTTTCGTCCATCGTAAAAATCGCCTAGGCAAAAAAACACAATTTCAGAAAAGTAAACAGAACTATTAAATGTACCGACAAAAATAGCTGAATTTCTTATGTGCCACGTTGAACTGTCACCAGTCAAAACCCTATGGAGAAATTCACAAAAATTGTTTGTTCACATTAAATGATGGCCTGGAACTTTTTGACTAAAGGGTACGCATAGTCCATCGTATCGTTACACTTACTCGCGCTCACGCCCGAGGATACAAATGAACACACGTGTTTAAGAAACCTTAATATTACACAAAAACTATTTACAGCGTTTCCGAATCAATCAACAGAATCTTTTAGTTTTGCGCCCGGCTCGTCTGCCTTCGTCCGAGACTCGTGTGCAACCCTCAACTCTTTTCTCGTCGTCTTGTCTCGACGGCTCATCGTCCGGGGAATCGCTCTTCAATTTTCAATCAACTTTAATTGACATCGCTACTTCACACCTTGCGGCCCGGACACACCGATACAACAATATTTATTAGTTGTGTCATATCAAATGTATACCGACGACGATGGATACTTGTTTCGCTCCCGCGGACGGGGTACGCTGATCGTGTTGTGTGCGTCGACGCGAATGTTTGTTGACATGAACCGCACGATCCGCGACACACGTAGACAAGTTTCCACATCTATGCGCACGAAATGTTCGTTCACGTCTTATTGGAAGGAGGGAAGAATAGTCGAGAGAGATTGATAGCGCTGCTACACGCCTACGATGTGACCGTAACGCGATCGCATTAATCGTGATATATTTATTTGGCGGATATATATATGATAAGATAGGATATATATATATATATATCCTATCTTCCTATAAACTATATGTTTATATTTGGTATAAGTAGGTACTCTATAAGCGCGTAATATTATTTGATATTAAGTAATATAAGGTGTATTCTTAGAATATCAGACGTAATATTCTAGTAACATTATTTCATATTAAATAATATTTCTAGAATATTAATAGATGGTTATATGTCAACGCCTGATAATGTTATATAAATATTTAAGAAATAATATTATTTAATGTTATTGTGATATTATATGAACATTAAAAATGTCTTATTATTTAATATAATACTGATATTCTATGAATATTAAAAAAAAGGTAATATTATTTCATAATTATTTTAAATTTAATAGTTAATTAATCAGTACGAAGGATATATAGGGAAATGGGAAGAAATTGTAAATTTGATTACTTTCATTAAATAAAATCTTTATAACTTTATATATTTTCTAGTTTGCTGAGTAACAATAATAATCTCTATAAAAGAAACGGCATCTTTCGATTAGACAAGTTATAAAAAGAAATTATAGTAAGTTATAAACATAGAAATCCCTAGATTAGACAAGTAAGTCATAAACAGAAATGATATAAAATACCAATGCATGATTTTCTTTTTCATTATTATTAAGTTTCAAATTAAATTTCATTTTAGGGAAATAATCATTCTTCTTTCCTGTTCAGTATGCACTGATACACATTTTTTACGTATCCTTGACTCGTAGAGAGCGGATGGTATTTCTTATCTATTTCATACAATTTTGTTAAATGGTAATATTAAGCCCGAAAATATAATATTGCTTGCGCTTCAATTATTCTGCTACTTTTTTGTATTCCTTATGTCTCGTAACTTTTTATTTTTATTCGATATTAGATTTATTACAAGGTAATGGCACTTTGGCAACACTCATACATTTCACAAGAAATAAATAGAAAAAATAGTATATATATATAGTTAAGGCAATTAACAGAAGGCATTACAATTAACAGAAAGATATATAGAAAAATATTCAGATATTATCATGTTATTTAGTATTGTATAATCGCATTATATAGAAGTCAGGTCCTCTGATAATAAGTCCTCTTGCGGAACGTTTCGAAAATAAGTGCACACCACGTTGTGTCCGAAGTTTGGTTTCTTTCCTGGTGAACGGCATGCTGCGTCGTTTCTGGATAAATAAAACATCACAAGGTCGAGTTATAGTTGTAAAATAATATTGAGAACGAGTATTCTTTAAATAAAAAAATGTAATATTTTACTTGGTTTTGCTAGCGTCGTCAGGCGAGGCTCTGTTCGAGGATACCTCAGTTTTTTGCCGCTTCCTCAGTGTCATGGAGTATCTTGACTGTATTTTTGCGTCTCCATTCGCCTTTGATCGAAAGTTACGAGAGCGCTGCGCAAGAAGATAAACTCGTTAAGTTTCTCTCGAAAAATACGAAGCTCGTCCTTTTTTTGTTTTCAAGTTCACTTTGGCGTTACCTTACGCGGAGACACTTGTTGCTCTTCTTCACAGTTGGAATCGGTCGATGAGAACGTCAACTGTTTTACTATTCTTAGTTCCTCATTGACTGCGGATTTCCGAGATCTCTTCATGTTATTCGCAGCTTGAGCCTTAGGTGATTCGGTGAGGGAAATCTTGTCGAGAACAACCGTCTAAATCGGAAGAAACTCGATAAGAATTCTGCGTGGTCGATTTTCAATTCTTTGGGAATATTATTAACTCACCAGACTCTTGCTCGTACTGGAAACCTCATTTGTTTCGGGAAGTGATTTCCGCTTGGTCGCACCGGTCTTCATTGATGTGCCCTCAAGATTCACCTCTTCTTTTGCTCCCGATCCTTTTTTAATGTTCTATACTCGGCAAGATAAAATATCTATATGTTCAAGAATACTACAATACCGTTATGAGATGCATGAGATCAGTTAGCGATACCTTTTTTTGATTCTCATTCGACATTAACGATAATTCTTGTAAACTTCCTGAATTATAAACTGGAGTGTTGTCTTTCAAAGTTACTCGTTCGCCTATATAGAAAATAACAGCGAGAAAATAGGTCATTCTGCTCTTCATTTTGTGACAAGAATTTATGTTTATTTATACTTTTTTTGTATTCTTTAAAATATATACTTGTTCTATTTTTTCTGTATCACACACCTGTCCAATAGCATAATGGCGGTAAGATTTTACGACCTCTCGAGCTCACGGGTACGCTAAGTAAATCCGTCGAGGTATCGTGAAAATTTTTTCCGACTTTGTCCAGTATGCCTGAAACACGGAAGGGTATTTCCCATAACAGAAAGATTACAAGATCGCAATCTCACAAGAAAATCATCACACATACTGAACTGCAACGATTTCCACGACATGCAAAATTGCTCGATCTTCGCGGGGCATCCGTGACGACATTGTTTCACGAGTTCCTTGTGTAAAACTGCGATAAGAAAAGCAAGGTTATTAGCTGGTAAACATTTAACGCGTCGTCTGTCATCGGATGATACTCTACCATGCTTATTGTCGTTCAGGGGGCCAAGAAGTTGGTAGAATTCGTGGTTCACCGTCTCGATCAATGTCGGCGACAAACGCCTGAGCACAATATCCGTTCTGAAGTTTCTACTTATAAAGTGACCAGCTTCACTAAAAAGGAAAGGTGAAGAACAAAGTAACATCATTTTGTGTGATGATATTAATATTATATAATACAGGATGTCCCAATTCTCGTATGCGGAGTATATAGAAAGATTTTTTGATGCCAAAAGAAGTAAGAACTTTCTCCTTTATTGAAATTCAAATAATAGTATCCGAGAAACAAGCGATTAAAAAAAAATTGGATGAATGAAACGAGCGAAAGCGGATCTTGAAAAGAAAAAGTCCTTAAACACGATAAAATTGTAGTAGCTCGTTACTTTTTTTTTTTTTAATAAGTAATGCCAACGAGTTACTTTTCAAAAGTAATTTCCCCAATCCCGATAATTTATAAAATAGAGAACGTTTACTTGAGTAGTTTCCCTTGAAAAGTCAAACCCAATGCATTCTTGGACGTGAAATCGTGCACTACTTTCGGCATCCATGCCGTCAGCATTTTCGTATCCACACCGTGGGTTTTCTTTCTGGACTGTCCGGCTGCACTCGTCGTCGGTTTCGTCGTACTATCCGACTCATGTTTCATATTGCTCGCGGAGCTCGATGTTGCACGGTTCTTACTGTCAGTCGTGGTCTTGGGGAGCGATTCGTTCGCGACGGGCGCAGGCTTCGACACAGCGACCGACGTTTCCGGTGCCGGCTTCTCACGAGTCCTCTTTTTCGGCCGGATACTGGCTCGTCGTTTGTCCTCGTTGACACCTACATCCGAATCGTGCGGCTCCGCGGATCTGTGCACATCCGCTTTGGTTAATTTCAAGTTCAGATGTACCGGTATCGAGGAGATTATCGTAGGCTTGGATCTGACAGCAGTCTCGTCTTTGGGCGGCTCGGCGAGCTCCTTGCGCGTCTCGGAGAAACTGCTGCTACTTTCGTTATTAACCACCACGTCCTTGCGCAAATCAACTTGACATCCCGCTTCGGCGGATTCCTTCTGCGCGTTCGTCGCGACGTTTTCCCAAGCGTCGGAATAATCGGTGTAATCGACGTCCGCACATCGCGTTCCATGCGAGCTCGGCTCCATTTTTTGTAAATTAAAAAAACTGAGCAATTGTTTGTGCGGGTTATGTTGCATACCCTCGTGAACCGAGTCCTTTCGCCTGTAGAAAGCAGCGTCCTGCGATAAAACGTCGTTCGCCGCTTTGTGACGCATTTTCGGGCTCGCCTGCGCTTCCGCTTCCTCCTCCGTGATACTAACGCAGGATTCGTTGACCATCGAAGTCGCAGGGCGAACGGTGAACTCGGCGATCGCATTATGGTGCCTATTCATCGCCTGCTGGTCCGGTTGAATCAGCCTCTTCCTCACCTTACGCTTCGGCAACCTTCTCAATGCTTCTCTGGATTGGAGAACCCGCTCGATCGAGATCTTCGGCACGCCCGCGTAAGTCTCGCTCTCGGAATCGTCCTTGTGTTCCGGCATCACGTCATTTCTCGCGTTCGTCCCCACCTGGCTAAATTCGTTCCTTATGCTCCCGTATCCCAGATCGGCGGAGTACGCGTGGCTCTTCGGTCCCGTCCACTCTTCCAGCTTACTTTTATTCGTATGATTATTCTCGTTGCACACGGATATCTGTTGCAGCGGAATCACTTCCGACATGGACGTGTTGCTACTCTCGGCGACGGAGTTACATTCTGTTGCTGATTTGTAAGAGATTATGTAGTCCAAGCAGTCGAACATCTCGATGATCTTGTCGATATATTTCGGGGAACAATTCCTGTCCGCCAGGTTGTTAATAATGATGTTCAGCTTGTCCTCCTGAAGGAAGTCTTTCAATCTGTTTATCTTTCTAGGACTGAATGATTGACCTACGGTTGTTTTAGCATTTTGTCTGCTTTTCTCGTTACTAGCGTCGTTCGCTTGCGTGCCGAGGCCTGTATCCTTCTCGAAACCGGAAACGCAAGACTTCACGAACGTGGGCTCCTCTTCCAAATTTTGCGTACTGCGCGTGCAATTCTGACACTTCTCCATTTTTCTCGGCAATCTATTACTCAAACTTTCAGGCTGTACCATTACTTGTCTGGCGTTTTCAGTCGTTTCATAAGATGTCATTAGGGTGTTATGCCTGTTTGTTATCTCGCATGTGTATGTCAGATCTGTCATTTCGCTTTTTAAGTCGTCATCGCTATCGGTGATGAATGTGGGCCAACGGAACGTCACTGGGCATCCTTGACTGACGAATGTACTCCATATCTGATGAACGTTCTGCCAGTCGTCGGGAAAGCCGTTGTAGAATTTCCCATGAATGTAGTCAGGCAATTCTGCGTTTTGAGATCACAAGCAATTTATAATTAAACCCAACAAGGACTTAAACACAAAAGAGGAAGGTAGAACAAATTCCACGTGTATACTTACCATTTCTCTCATCAGTGATATTTCCCCGAAGATAATATTTGTGTTTGAAAATTGATTCAACGCATGTAGTAGAATATCTTCTTACAACGGGTTTGCTGCGAGCAACTTTTCCACTGTCAACGATACAACAAATGTTACATATAACACTTAGAAAAGTACTACTGTCAATTTTACACCTACCATTAAGTTCTACTCACCATTCCAACGTTCCTTTGATTATCAACTGACACTGGTCATTTAATATAACTTTCCACTTTGAAAATATTCTCCCAAGCTTTGATATGTCGTTATGAGATGGTGTGATGTACGAGTGCAGGTATTCTTTGTCACCATATGTATTAACAGTTGTATATCTTGTAATATTGGAATTTTTACCAGAAAAATCACTTGGGAAAGACTGAATTGAACTGTTAAGTGGTGTCGACACAGATTTTCCATATTCCGATGACGTATGAACTCTATTCTGTAAAGTACTCCTCAAAGCACGATGAACTCTGTTCACTGTTGGAGGTGGCATAATATACTGATCAATATGGTTGTCCTTAGTATTACTCTGCTTAACACTAGAGGTAATTATCATTTTTTTCTTGTTGATATTGTAAGCTTCCCTTTTTGGAAATATGCTTTTTAAATTATTACTAGAGGCTAAAACCTCGCTCTCAATGTTTGCAAATTGGGATGGAGTTGCACAACTGGTATTTACAATACCAGTATTAATGCTAGAGATACTAGGCCATGTTCCTATAGATTGCTCCACTCTGTTATGTGCGTTATTACTGGATTTTGCTTTTAGCATGGCTAGCTTTAAATAGCGTTCCAGTTTATTATAACGTTCATCCGTTTCAAAGCTGCCAAACGTGGACTGTGATCAAATTTATTGTCAAGTAATAATTAAAAATATGATTTGACAAAATAATATAAAAGTTATAGTTGAAATATATATATATATATATATATAATTCAGTAATTCAAGTATATAGCAATAATACACAAATACAAACATTTACCTCAAGTTTGTTTGCCATGGTAAAGTATTAACACTGGGTAAGATTTTTTATAGCTATTCAGTAAGTGCTGGATATGTAACAAAAAGCACATATTCAAACATTACTTTTTGCCAAATTATTGCATGTTTATACAACCCTTTGTCCACAATCTTGCTTTAAGACATAAGTAGTAAGCAAATTGGCCATCTTCGATCAATTATTTTTCTAATAAACTACCGTGGTTGGTCAAGTTTGATTACTATTTACGTCTTAAAGTAAGATTGTGGATAAGGGTAACAGTAATGTATGTAGCATATTCCAAATTATTCGAAGTATATGCGCAGTATAATACATAACTTTGTGTAATGATTCTATTTGAAAGTTAGGAAGAAATGAGGAAGCATAACAATTATGATAAAACAATAATACTTACAAACATATGATCAAGTACTGTTTAGAAATTTTCCATTTCCCTCTTCGAATATTAACAGCGTCTGACTTGGGATGTAGCGGGTATATCGGACATTTTTGAATTATAAGTATAACCTTAATGTCTGTTTAACTGAATTTTTCATTTTGAAACTATAGGACGCACGATATCATATTAAAAGGAATTTTATTTCTTAATAAAACATGAAAATGAGAAAATCTTTCATCCGATGTTTGATTGTATAATTAAAAAATAAGTCGTTTTATCGGTTTTTGAGTATAATATTTGAAAATAAAATTAAAATAAAGTACGGCTGACTTGTTGTTGAGTCACACTATAACCAGGTTCTACTTAACGCTCGTAACGATAGCAAGCATCATTCTATCTTTGTTTTTCTGCATGTTAAACAAAGACAGAATGATGCTCGCGATCATCGCGAGCGTTAAGTGGAACGAACTCTTTGTGCTTGATTTCTCACTCAAGATAGTGGCGATTCGTAGCGGAGATTTTGGAACTAATAAAAATAACGGGTCTAAAAATGTATCATATTATCGATTGTCGATGCGTCGCGTCATTTATAATCTCTTGACCAATCAGAAAAGAGCTACTGGCTATTTGACTAGTCAAGAGACATTCGTAGACCCAACGCAGACGTAATCACCAATCGCTAGTGCCTTTAGACTCGTTATTTTTATTAGTTTCGAAATGTCCGCTACGAACCGCCACTGTCTATACTGAAAAATTGAGCACGTAATATGACTCAATTGTAGGTTAACCCCTTGCCTTACGATTTAAGATTTAACAGCGTGGTCCCAAAATGTAAACAGAACTGTCGAGCCTTCGAGCCATTCCCCGACTCGGCAAATCTGTCTTAAGTTGTACCAATCGCACACGATTTACGTGGGGTGTCGTACCTATTAGAAAAATAAATCACGAGCGTGACACGTGGTGTTTACATCTGACGCGGCCGACGTACCACGGACCAGGGCCTGTGATAGTCATTTTTGGCCCGACCGATGTACCACGGGCCAGGCTCGTGATAATCAGTTTTGGCTCGAAAACGCGATCACGAGCATCACACGAGGTTGTAGGCCAAAGGGTTAAAGGTATTTTACTTTTAATTGTTTTGTAATTTAATAATAAATTAGAACATCTTTTATTTCCAAAATGTACAATTTAACGACAGGTCGTGCTTTTATTTATACACATTTTTCGTCCTACGCACATTAAATTATTATTTATAATGACTAAATAAGAGATCATTTTTCTCGATCATGAGAAATAGACCAAATTTGACAGGTTATAACTTCATTAAAAATGCTAAAAATGAAGTAATTTAAGAAGTATTTTATAACTTAAGATTTATAGTTTTAAATATATAAAGATCATAAACGTTGCTGTTGTTTTTCATTAAAATATATAAAGTTGAATGAGACGTGTTAGTCAGTTAATTCTTAATCTTTTAATTGAATTTCTATATCATAAACTCATTTGCTTATAAAATGTGAGAAATGTATCTTAAAAAGAAAAGTTTGAATTTTCTATTCACATCTTAAGAAATTTTGAATATCAATCTAATCACCTTCTTTAAATAATTAAGGTGAAAAGAGCTTTCTTGCTTCAATTTTGAATAACTCCATGAAAAAGATTTGTATTGTAATTTGCGCATATATAAATTAAAAAGGAAAGTTTACACTTTTAAAAGATAAAGTGTTATTTGTATATGGTGTTTCGTTTAAACAGTATAATTTGACAAGCTTCATCAAATATTTTGATATGATGATCTTGTTAGATCTTGATTTATATTTGTGTAGCACTGTAAAAAATAGGTAAATGTTATCCAATATTTAATATCCAAAATTTTACTGAAAACTAGATACTTTAAGCTGTAAAATGTTTCTTGAAATATTATTGCTATTTTTATACAGAAGTTATACTATTAAATCTTGTCTATCTTTGTGAAGAAAAATATTCCTTTGACTATTAAGGCTTTATGCTTTGATAATTCCTTCTCTCCTTTATTCTTTTTTGTACTTATATCTTTTATTTTCCTTTTCCAATACAATCCCAGTAGAGCTGAAGAGAGCAAACCTGTTATTATTATGGCTAGCCCACCAAAAGAAAAATCATGCTCTCTTATAGAAGAGTTAGCAAGGAATGCTGTATTAGTTCACAGTGCTTCTTTAACACCTGGTACATCTACAGTAAAAGGTATTTTTTTGTCTTTTAGCAACAATGTTTATTATCAATAATTACTAAATAAAGTCTCATGTGCATATACAGGTTATGATTTTAACAATGGCCTCGATTATCATGAATTATTCAAAACCATGAGATATTCTGGTTTCCAAGCAACAAATTTTGGATTGGCAGTGGAAGAAATAAAGAAAATGCTGGACCAAAGAAATATACCTCTCGCGGAAGATCAAATTGACAATATGGAACAAGATGAATTTATAAAGAGAAAATACAGTTGTTCAATATTTCTAGGCTACACGTCGAATATGGTATCCTGTGGCATCAGGGATACTATAAGATATCTCGTGCAACATAAACTTGTAAATTATTCTTACACAATGTTTTTAAGTATCCTTTATTTATTAGAGATATCGTAAGTTTTTATGACTATAAAAAAATGTTTCTAGGTGGATTGTATTGTTACTACAGCAGGTGGAGTAGAGGAGGATCTGATAAAGTGTTTAGCACCTACATATCTTGGATGCTTTAGTTATGATGGTAGGATTCTCAGAGAAAAGGGATTCAACAGAATTGGAAATTTGATAGTACCAAATGATAATTATTGTCTGTTTGAAGACTGGGTGATGCCAAGGTTAGATACGATGCTAGATGAACAGGTGAAACAGGTGCACATAAATTTCAATAATGATAAAGAAATCATATGCAGTGTACATCGCTATTATTTTTTATTGAATTGAGTCATACATACAGGGTACTTTGTGGACGCCGTCTAAGATAATAACCAGACTCGGCGAAGAGATCAATAATGAAGAATCTATTTATTATTGGGCTGCAAAAAATAAGATTCCAGTATTTTGCCCAGCATTGACCGATGGTAGTCTCGGTGATATGATGTTTTTTCATTCTTTTAAGAAACCAGGATTGGTAATCGACATACTTGCAGGTGTGTCTGTCACGATATTTTATGAAATTAAAATATATGATCAGCTCTATTGATACCCAATTGGTAAAAAGACTAAGAATTTGTTAGTGCAGTAAAGAAAAATAATTTTTTGTGTTGATTCAAATTTAGTCCAAATTTAGATGTACAAATTTATTTGCCCGAACGTCCTTGAGCCAAATCTTCTTTATTGTAGAATAATAATAATATTAATTACAAACGGTTATACATCTACCAATAGTCGGAGGAAGTAAACTTCTCAAAGTCATCAAAGATCACGAGTCTATAATGTAAAACGAGATAACAAATCAGGTACCAAATCTTGAACACATTTCGTTTGTAAATAAACATGAAAGAAATGCAGGAAGCAAGAATATAATGTGTGTGGCTTTGCATTATCATTCCGTTAAAGAGAATCTGACTCAGGGCTAAAACATGTGGACAAATAAATGTTCACCTAAATTTGAACTAAATTTGGATCAATACGAAAGATAATATTTCATATAACGTTTATTTATTAACATGGTACGATCAGATAGTGAGAGATACAATTTCCGATTTTACAGATCTTAAGAAATTAAATACAATATCTCTAAAGGCTGTGACAAGCGGCATGATAATTATTGGAGGTGGTCTCATAAAGCATCATATCTGCAATGCTAATCTCATGGTAAAATGATTTTTTTTAATTTGAGATATCATTTTTGGATGCATATATATACATATATATCGATTAAATAATAATAAGCCGATACTTAATTATAGAGAAACGGTGCTGATTTTGCCGTATTCTTGAACACTTCCTCGGATTTCGACGGCAGCGATAGCGGTGCCCGGCCCGACGAAGCGATTTCTTGGGGAAAAATCCGAAAAGATGCCAACCCTGTCAAGGTAATGACATTATCTTGTTAATACTGAATTCACTAAGTACGATTGAGTTCGATCGAGTTCTCAGGTGCATGTTGCGCTCCTCTGTTTCAGGTGTACGCTGAGGCTTCTCTAATATTTCCATTGTTAGTAGGAGAAACATTCGTTAGGTATCACATGTCCCGTAAAGATAACAATTAAGTATCTAGAATATAAGAAAATTATAAAAAAAAAATAAAAAAAAAGAAATAACTAAAAGTGTAAGAAAAAATTCCTCTTTATTATTCTTCTGAATTATTCTTCTAAATTACATAGAATTAAATGAAAGATTAGTATTATTATGAAAGATTAATATTATCATGAAAGTATTATGATGATCAGTATTATTATGAAAGATTGATATTATTATGCAAATAAAAGAAATATGCAAATAAAAGAAATTATCATCCAAAATACAATGGTAAAAATTGTAAAACTTTTCAACACTTGTCTCCACGTCCAAGCTGATTACAATTTCGACAAAGCTGGGAAAATATCCGATCGCAACCGATCCTTCGTAATAACTTGCTCAATCATCGCGCTTCAACTCGAAGTGGTATTGTAAGCGGAATTCGAATTATGCGCGGAATCGAATCGCCATGTTTGTTTCGAGGTCTCCGCTGTGAAGTTGCTCGCGCCTTTCGCGTGAATTTCTCGTTCGATTTCGGACGATGGCGATCAACGCTTGCGCGACGCACCAAGTACCTGCGCAGCGTCAGGTGTCGGGGCAGGTAGAGCAGGCGTCGCGGCGCGCCGTAGGGGGCGGTGGGGGTGCTGTCGTTCGCCAGTTGTTACCCGCAAGCCCGCGCTCGCGGACGACGGGCGTGAAATTAACCCCCCACCCCCCTCGCGGCTCCCTCGATTCTATGGTTTCTGCCCCCCTCACACCGCGAGCGGGAACCGACTGCTCGTACGTCGGACGCCGGTGGTGGTTCCTCGTCGGTGGTGGACCTCGCGAATCGTCGTCGTGATCATCGCGTCGTTACCAGCCCTCCTGCCTTCGCGCGGTGGAGGAGGTGGTGCTGCTGCTGGTCGGCATGAACGATGATGGATGTGGAGGAGACCAACACGGCGTCTACCGCGAGTTCCTCGCCGAGACCCTCGAGCCCCGCCGCCGACTCCACTTTCATCAGGTGAGACCATCCTCCGGGCATTATTCTCTCTGACGAGACGACGAGAACGGAGTTGGTTTTCGGCCGCTTCCGAGGCACGCGAAAATCACCCTCGCGTAACGTAAGGTCCAGTTTGAATCCGCCGATTTCTATGTATCGTGACGCGCTCTCGGCACTCGGTTCACTCGGTTCGAATGACGTATGTTCGCTCCGCGATTCAAAGTTGCTTCGACTTCGCACCGGGAAATTCCGCGGGTCGTCCCCTTGGACGCGGCGACGGAAATACAGCTTTATTCGTAAGTACGTTATCCGTTTGGCGTGAACAGTCGCGATCAATCGTACAAATTTCGCACGGGGTAGTATCGCCATGTCTGAGAGCATTTGGCCCAAACATGGCCCGGCTTCCATTCGCGATTTTGTTTCCAAATTCCTACCTTGGTGGGTCCTTCCTGCCTTCGCGTTCAATTTCATACGTTACATTGTCTTACGATAACCTGTCGACCGAGAGTCTTGCTGTTGTTGCGCCTTTCGTGCACGTCCGGAGTTATTTTGTTCAGAACGATTTTATTTCACCGTCCGTACACACGGGTGAGTCATTATTGTTATTATTATTATCGACCACGCATTCAATAGATCTCTGCCAAGAGTAACTGAAGGAAAAGGATTTGGTAAGAATCTTGTTGGAAAGAATCAGATAAGAATTCATACAGGAAATTCATATGGAATCTTATGGTTGCTCCTGGAGATCTGGATCAAAAACCCGGGTCTTAGGTAACGATCCATGTGGATTCCTGCATGGACTTTCACACACCATGTGGGTTCTTATTTGGATTTGGAATATCCCGCATGAATTCTATATAGTATCCGGGATGGATTGAATATTCTATATGGATGAGTTCTCTTAGATTTTCATGAGAAATTTCCACCTAGAAATTTTCAACAGGGAATTATCAAGATTTGGTTAAATAGTCTCAACTAAATTATTTCATTACTGCCATCGAATTTAGTATTATCATTTAAGTAAATTTTCGCGTTACGATCCACTCAAATTTTTATTTTAACCAGGTGAATATGTTAAAAAGTAATATGTTAACGAGGTGAATACAAACCGATATTAACATATATTCATGTATTTCTTAACACATTTCCCATGTTAAAGTGACACAATAATTTCAATGGACCATTTTTTCAACACAAAACCGCATAAATTATCGTAGCAGTATAAATAATCTCTGCAGTATAAATGGTCTCAACTAAATTGGTTATTGCAACCAAATCATTTAGTAACAGTATATAGTGTACAATATATGGTACTGAATGATTTCGTTGCAGTAACCGAACGGTTTAGTTGAAATGATTTAATCAAGTCTTGGAAATTGCCGTCGAATTCTTCCTCCAATATATTCGAGCGTCTCGACGTCCCTGCGTGTTCCGTGTTGAAAGCTCGCTCTTAAAACGAGGTTAATGACATTTCGATGGGCCATATTCGGGCGATATCACACTTGGATAATGTAACGTACACACACGGCCTTGTGAGTGACGTGCGCGCGCGCGATATTACGGTAACACACTGTGTAAGGTCTCGCGGGTCCGTACGTCCGCGTATTTGCAGGATCGGATATATACCTCGCGCGGGCGCCGATTAATAATGCACGCATTAAGTGCACCACGTTTCCCTCCATCCCTCCTTTCCTCCCACCTTCTCCGTTCGGTTGATTTAAAAATGCAAGTAGCGAAACAACGAGCCGACCGCGCCGTCGCCGTGAATACTCGATCTCTCCGAGGAGATCCTGTCTTCGTTTACGCGAGACGGTGATCGAGAAGGGAGTTCGGTTCTCGGAACTCTCCCGAGGACTCGGGAGAGAAAATCGATGCTTCGATCGCGAGAGCCATATCGGAGAGGAAAAAAAGCTGCGTCGAGCTGCTTCTCCCCGAAGGCGAAAGCTGCGTAATTCATCCGAGAGACTCGGACTTGGCGGTGTTACATGTTTCGAAGCACGAACATGGCTCCTCGATTTCCTCGTTCGCGAATACAACGAAACAAACGATCGGTGGAAAGTTCTCTTCGTCTCTTCCCGCGCGTATTTATAGCGCAGGAGGTTCGACTTATTGAAATTCTATAGCAATTCCTGTTAATGCAAGTCTAATTAAATAAGTTGCACCCGCGATCAATAGCTACGCGGTTACGCGCAAAACGGAAACTGTATTTGTCCGATTTTTTGCTCACGCCACACTGTTCACGTGTGTGTGCGTGCGCGTGCGTGTTGGAAAAAAGAACTATATTTGTCAGTTAATTATTGCAGCAATCAGCGTGAAGGGGGACCGAAAAATCTGTGACCCAAGTTATCGCTGACGAGAAGAATTCGCGAGCAATTTCGCTGCGATATTATTACGCGAGGGATCTTCGATCTCTCTCTCTCTCTCTCTCTCTCTGATCTACACAACTAGTTGTTGTTTATTAATTAATAAGTATATTTGCCAACTTGTTACCATTATTGATCATTGCGTATTTAGTTTTTTGCATCCAGACTGCTTAATTTCTCTCTCTTTCTCTCTCTTGATGCCACGTCCACTTGATAAATGAATAAAATAGCGGCGCCACATATATAAGCTCAATGGTATCGAATAATCAATACTAATTAATTCAACTCGCACGGTAAGGCTGGTTTCATTTCGTAATTGTGTGCGAGTAAATCGGACAAAAACGTCTCTTTCTCTCTCTCTCTCCTTTTTTCAGAACTTTTACGAACCGACGCTATAAAAGTTATTTATCGTAATTTTTCAAACGTCATCTGTCTCCGCGCTATTAAACTTCACGTTTCAATTTTATTGGAAAATTGTGGAAAAAGATTTCACTCTTTTCCCTCTCTCTCTCTCTCTCTCTCTCTCACTCGAAAACTATCGGTGCTCCGATATTCCTCTCCGAGGAGAATGAAGTGGCTGCCAAGACGAGTAAAAATTCGGCGCGTGTTATCGGACACCTTTAGATGCGAGTATTTTCGGATGACCCACTTCGTCCTAGCCATCCGATGGCGATAATTATCGACGATACTAGGAATAGTAACTCGGGGGGCACGACGATATTTGTCGTTCTTTTCCGCGTGGAACCCAGAATCTTCAATACAAAATGCAATCGGCCGTTAATAGCTTTGATATCAGCAATATGAGTTGAGTTAGTTAATCTCGTTATCAAGATATCATAGGATTTATCGTCTCTGTGTTACGAAGAGAGAATTCGTCCAGCTAATCGTCGCAAAATTGGTCTTTTTAATCCCGGGTCCATACGGATAGGAATAATTCTGCCATTAAAGCGAAATCGTTGCTGCTGCAAATTCATTGCGACAGCGATAAAATTTAATTGGCATAACCGAGTTAACGAATTTTATTCTTATTTAGAGCAGAAACAATTTTGTCGCCAGGACAAAAAAATTCTACCGAGCGAATTTATCCTCAGAACATATTAATTTGCTGTGAGAACAAAATAATGTTTTCCTGTATTTACTAATTTGTTACAGCAAAATAATTTTTAGATTCAGCGAAATAATCCAGCGAATGGCAATTAGTGCTCTTAACAAATCATTTTACTATTCACACAATAATTTACAGATTTTGCTACAACACAAAATTTGCTGTGCCACTAAATTATTGTTCTCCATGCATGTTTCATTAGATCGTATCATATTGTGTGACACGATTAGGGGGCTATTTTTTGTTCATGTACATGTGTAAATTTAATGCTATCAAAATGTCATTCAGATTACATCAGAAGAGTTATAAAATTAAGCACCGATAGCACGTCTTGAATATTTTTAATTTATTCGTACCGAGTCTGAAGTGTCGAATCTTATTCTTGCAATATCCAAGGATCTAAATCTTTGACTATCGGTGAAAAGAGGAGCAGACGGAGAAGGTGTGATTTATGCGCATTAATATCACGATTAATTACAAACCCGTTACTCGTGAGCGAGACGTGCACACGTCCAACTCGGGAATTTAAAGAACGGTTCATCAATTTTTCCGTCTTTTAGCTGCGCTCATTGTCGCCTCGATTAATTTTTCCTGGAGCCGTGTCCGCGGTAGGAATCGAAGTCAAAACTGGGTCAACCTTTTATTGCATCGTCCCAGGGCCGCAGTTAGCGGCACCGTACGTCAAAAGGAGAGACGATTAATACCGGGTTACGCTGTTAGCCCGCCCACTGCAAGGACTCTCCGGCCGAACTTGGACTACTTTCGGCTAATACCGTGTCGCCTTTTCGTTCGGATGCATAATAGATGTTTCTATTTCAGCGTGAAGAGGGAACCCAAAGAGGAGCCCAGCAGCCCTCTGGAGGCCACCAGCCCCGGCTCCATCCTACGCAACAACGGTGAGTCCATCTTAAAAAGTAATTATGCACAACGATTGTGCGAGCTACTCAACGAAACGTGACAATCGAAAATCTCAGTCAGCCTGATGACGAAGTTTTTTTCAGATTTAAATTGACGCCTCGGGATTTATTTGAAAAATACGATTTAATATTATATTCTCGTTTTCTTCGATAAATGACTTTCGATTATGTAACGAATCTACCTATATTTTGACGGATCGACGACAGTGTCAATTAATTATTTTCGTTTCTGCAGCGTAAAAATTTCATAGATTTCACTCAAAAGAGATCTTAAACGTCACGAATTATTTTCATTTATTTAATATATCAGTTTCTCAAAGTGTGTTAAAAGTCCAATAAATCTTTGATTTTGTTTTTCCCGTCGGAGCAAATTCTCATAGAATCGAGCCATTGTCGAGCGTCTCCCATAGTTCAGCAAAGTCAACGGAGAGAGAGTTTACAATTTTAACCGCGAGGTTCACTAAAAGTGTACTACACGTTATTGGGAGACGCGAAGTTTCTTTCAGTAAAAATCGCTTATTCCGAAGCGCGGATTGAAAATTACGTTAATTTATTATGAATGAAATCCTGCGCGTACACTGAGGAAAAGAAATTGACATTTTGCAAAATAAATATTTCTTATGACATTTCCTCGATATTTATTTATGATTAAGAAAAAAATTTGATTATGATGACGGAATACATATTTTTATGAAGTATACTCAAGTTTTCTTATTACTTGGTTTATTTGCTGGGAAAAAAATTTTACTTCGCCGTATTTAAATAAACGTTTATTTCCATGAAATAAACCTTATAATTCACAAATAACTCTTTTTTTCTCAGTGTATACACAGCGCGGAATTTATTCAAGAGACCTCGTGAAACTTGATTTAAAATAAACTCCCTCACCCTCTCGCGAGCTGAACTCACACCCTCATTCTTATTCGATGATTCGGGCGCACTTGTATCCGAGAGCCATCGATTGCCAAATGAGTGACGAAGTCTAGGAAGATCCTAATTACAAAGACACTTTATATCCAAGATCTCCAGGGGGAGAAATGAGGGGAAGGGAAGAAGAGGAGAGTGTAAATAGATGAACATTTTATTCATCTTTCTGCTCGTCGCTTCGTTTTCATCGTCGATCTTACTCCAACGGAAAGATCTCCCTCAAGGCGATCTTTCTCGCGCGAAAAGATTAGAAATGTTACGAGTAGATAATCCGCGACAAATGAACGACCTTCCGGGACTTTTATCAACGTCGGTGAGGGTCTTTCTTCATTTTCATCGTAGAAGGCGCTCATCGCGCTAAATTATCTAAAGGATCCCTCGTCGCAAGGTTCTCAGGCGACCCTGGGACAGTCCGTGCACATCGTGTACGTGAGCCTTCGAGCGCGACGATAACACGAGCGATCGGAGCGGGAGAGCGATGAGAGAGGGCTGCAGGAGGGAGGGAGAGAGAGAATGAGCACCGCTGTTCAGCACGGTGGGATGAGGTTCCAGCTGTAGCTGGCGTTGGATCGATTCAAAAGCGGCTGCGAAGCGCCCCACCCTATTATGTGTTTTCTTCAAACCCCTACCCCCTCGTTCCATCCCCCGCTGCTTCTCGCGCAAATCCAACCCGCCATCCCTGCCTGCCAACCCCGCGCGTACCATGCTGCGCACTCCCTCCCCCCTTCCTCCCTTGCTGCCCGCCATCCTCGGTTCCATCGTTGCTGGAACGGTTTATTGCGAACCGGAAGATCTCGGCGACCGGAAGTTCCCTTCTTCGCTTTAATCGAAGGTGACTTTTTCGCCCCCTCCATCTTCTTTCTCTCTCTCTCTCTCACACACACCTGGGGCCTCGTATTTTCTCATCCCTCGAACATGGACCCGAAGCGCGTCTCTGAGATTGGCTTTTCGGCGACACGTTGACCAGCGGGACGGTGTCCGATGGGTAATTGGCTGCCGGCTGGAGAAATTTCTCGAGAAATTCTCCAGTTGATAGCCAATTAGCCCGTCGTCCACGGCCGGAGGGTCGCGGGATGTGTATCGCCGGGCGGGTATATTTGCTTACGCATGTGCCCGCTCATTTATTTATCACGCGAGAAATAAATTCGTAATTAATCCGCTCTCCCCCGATTGCGCGCACGCGTATGTGTGCGTGCGTACGTGTGCGCGCAGGATTCATTGATCCGAGTTCCTCGACAATGAAAATGACAGAGAGCTGTTAAGGACGCACTTATGTTATAAGAATATCTCTTTGTGCAGGGCGCAGAGATAGCGATATATTATTATCACATTGCATAAGAGCCGGCTCTCTATAATTATGAATATAAACTTATAACAGTGTATTCGTTGGATATGAGGAGGCGTCAAGCCGTGATTAAACATAAGCGTGTTCCTTATTCCTTCATTGAGAGATCGATAACGACGTCATCGTCGTTCTGCATCCTCTGGTCACTTTGGCATCCGCGACATTTTTCTCGGCAGTTCTCGCGATTACGCAACTAATTATGCTTAACACTCATCTCGAATTCCGTTAACACGGCTTCCCCGCGTCTCGATTATGTCCAACTGATCCAATACGGATTATGTCACTGTAACTTTCACCTTCGATAGAGATCAAGCGGACGCGAAAGAACGGCCGGACGAAAAAGGCAACCGCGGCTAATATTCGTTAATCCGTCGAATCGAAACGTTTTATTGAAACGACATTTGACATTGATATTCTTGGCAATCGTTCGATTAATTGCTCCGGCGATGACCGGAGGTGAAGATAAGGAGATTAATTATTACTCGAGGAGATCGGAGAAGGAGGGAGAGGAAAAGGTAGCGCGAGGCAAGAGGGAAAAACAGAGAAAGAAAGAGAGGGCGCGAAAGTAGTTTATATCGGCGAGAATAACCGCGAAAGCTCGATGAGGGGAAATGCAGCGGCTCGCATAATGTAACACAAGTACAGAGAGCGAATCGATCTGTACGTACGTACGCTCGCGCGAATGTAACCGGTTTCCCAGGTTCATTACACCGCGCGGAGCCGCGCATCTCCTTTCCCGACGACGGTAGTCCCCGCGAAGTTACTTACCGCCGGACTTCATCCCTTTCTCGTAAAACGGCCGTCCGTCTCCGCTCCTCCAGGTTCGCCGATCAGGAAACGTATAGCATCGCCCGTGGAAATAAGTCATCGAACCACGAGCCGCTTGCCATGTTGGGAACGCGGGTTTAACATCTGTCTAAGAATGCGATCAATTTTTTCCCCATGCCGCGTCTAGTTTCTCTCCCGAAGTCGTAAATTGGGAATCGGTTTGTGTTGACGCAAGCTCTCGATAACGTCGATACTCCAATCGGTACAGCTTCTATGCAGGAACTTCTCCGAGACCTTCGGATATAATCTTCCCGGAAGATACCTTTCGAAGGTAATCCTCCTCGAAGTTGCGCGCTCTTCCAGCGATCCTAGGTTCTCGTTCGCGTGCTTCCTGCCTCACTCCCCTTGACACCCCCGAATATCTCCGATATCCTCCGTCGCGCCTCTCGTGAGACCGGGCTGTTAAAGTGCGAATTCTGTTCTAGTAGCAAGCGGAAAAAGTAAGAGAGAGCCCGTTCGCTCGCACATACATACATACGTTCGTTCGTTCGTTCGGCTCTCCCGGCACTTCTCGGTCAATGAACCGCGTGTTGCTGGCGAACCCAGTTGGTCCACTCGCGGCGCGCGAACCCCACCACGCCGTCCCGCGATTTAACCCCCCACTGCAGTCGGAGACCACGTCAGGTCGGTCCACGTTTTATCCCTACCGGACGATCCTCCACGACACGGCTCACCTCCGGCTTCCCCCGATCTTGCTGGCCTGCCCCTCGCACCCCGCCGCTGCTGCAACCCCTTCCATCTCCAGAACTCACCTCCGACCCGTTCGCTTAATTCTTCCCGTCCCTCTCCCCATCTCATCCACCCTCCTCGCGTTTCCCTTGGCCCCTCTCCAACCACCTCCCACTCTCTCTTTACCCTTCCCCATCCCTACTCCATCGCGAATCGCGCAATGTCGTAACACGTACGACGGAACGCCGGTTTTACTTACCTCACAGGTGAGCGCTCTCGGGTAAGCGGCTGCACCAGAGGACGAAGGAGCCGTCCTGAGGGAGGGGGAGGGGGAGAGAAAGAAAGACAGTCGCGTGCGAGCGAGATGCCGACGGAGAAGAGAAAGAAAGAGCGAGCGCAGGGAAGGGAGATCAAACGGGAAAGAGAGAAGTCCGGGCGATCGAGGAAGACGGAGCACGGGAAACATGCGGCGAGACGGCCCATTCCCGGCACTCGCGCGAGAACGAGCGGGTCGACACGCCGTACGCTCGCGGATCGCGCGCACGCACGTGATCGCACGTTCTCGCGAAAAATTATTCCGTCCTCCGAGCGCTCTACGTGCGTACTCGTACTGTAACTTCTCTTCAAGTTCCGGCACGACGATCCGTCGTGTGTGTTCTGTCTTCTTCATCTTCTTCGCCTTTTCTCTCCTTCTCTCATTTTACATACAAAAGACGGTGGCCTCTTCGCGTCGTCACGTGGACCGTCCCCCTTCATTCGCCCGGAGCGATGGTCTCGTCGGGATAAGTGAGTGATTCTTGGTGTTCCCCGACGAGATAGAATACTATCTAAGGTTACACACTGTATACCGATCCCACGATTGACGTGTGCGCCGATCGGCCAGATCGATCAGTGATCAAACGAGATTCCCGTGGGTGCCGATGAGAACTGCTCGGTGGGAATCGTCGCGTTGCTGGATTACATCTCGTCGGGATCGAACTGTTTGTCAGTGGTGAATCTCTCAGCCGACGGGGAAAGAATCCGGACGCTGTTCGGGCGCCGCTCGTGCAGCCAGGTAAATTCATCGAGTGTTTGCAGCGCGCACACCCGTTGTCAACCTCGGTTCTCGCGCGAACGGCGGGATAATTACCGAGGAAGTTGCAAAAGTTCATTGCGCTTTCATTCGCACCTCATTGTCCCGCGGAGCGGAGCGTGTTGTTCCGAGGTGTCG